CATTTGGTCAACATTGTTCCCTTTTCCTAAATACTTTTCCATTGTTGGCTAACTTTCTCTCCGCATCGCATTACATCTCACTCTCCTGCACTCCATCACCCATCCATCCAGCCAGCCCTACCTCGTTTCTCTTCAAATGTGCATCTTCACATGGCCAATCCAAACCTACAATAAAGACGAGGAGGAAGTGGGAAAAAGAGAGCAAAACTCTTCTCGCCTTTCTCCCAGCTTGACTGATGCGACTGACAGGTCGAAGTGGGATCTGGTGAAAGTATTAAATATAATAAAACTTCTGAAGGTGGAGAAACTTTCTCCCAAAAAAGGACAAGTTTTTTGTTCTTCATGATTCTCGAATGATCCCGACTTTCCCCACCTTTAGAGGAGAAAATTGTATCGAAAAACGAGGCTTATTTATGGTTTTTTACAAGTTTTTCCCCTATTTTTCCCCCTCATTTGCATGCGGACCGTTACTTTCTACGTTTTGAGTGAAAGTTAAGCATCCCTAGAAATATGGGAACGTGACAATTTTGAAACGTCTGAAAAAAAACTGTGATTTCTGGAAGAAAAATTTGAAATTCTGTTCGCACGAGAGGATAAGGATTCCTCGTGGAGTGGACGGCACTGCAGCGTGAAATGAAATAAGATGCAACTTTTCTCCCTGTGATTACTCTCTGCGGAAGAAGGAGGGAAAGTTGGGCGAGCGAGGAGGCGAAGTTGGCGGCGGGACGTGATCTGAGATAAAATTGGATTGTTGAAGGAGAAAGAATTGCAATCGAATTGTTGGTTCATGTTCATTTTGACTCGTTTTCGTTTGAGTCGTGTTGGGACGACGTTGCGGAGAGGGGATGTTAGCTGGGTGAAAAGCTAGAATTTTGTTTGGTTATATAAATTTTATGGATCTTTGATAGTTACATAAGATGCTTTGTATGATTGTGTTTATCGTGTACGACATGAATTTGAGGGCGCGTCGAGATTTGCAAAATATTTTGCAAAATATTTACCAAATATTTTGTGGAGAAAATCGTGGAACATTCAGGCTGCCTTTGCATTAACTTGAAACTTTTTTAAGATATGATAAAGTTTCAAAAAACTGTTTTACATATTTTTTAATTAGAAAACCAAATTAAAATCATTCTTTGACTTAAACTTTGAAATTTGAAAAAAGTTGAAAATAGATTTTTTAAGCACTCTCCTAATATTGATTTCACAGTAAAATTACACATTAAAAAAATATACAGCTTAGGCAAATTCGCAAATTTTAAAAATATTCCTGTTTTGGTAATGAATACAGAATGTGTTCCATCATCAAAATCCGAGTCGTCCACTTGACGTAGTTGCCTTGTTCTAGAGGATAAAGTGAGTTTTTTGGGAGGACGGGTGAAAACATGGAGTGACATGACCGCGTGCCCAGAATGGTCGTTAGGATAGGAACGACGGATTTTAGTAAAGGCACGATGGACACAGCAGACCTTGAAATCCAAATTATTGCCCAAAACAAATAAAACTTGGGGTTGAACTGAATCGTAAATGTTTGTGAGATTGGTGCAAAAGTTGGACATATATCAAAGTGCAAATCAACAACGTTATGCAACCTTGTTTCAAAAATTTTAACCAAGCTAAAAATAGATCTGGAATAAATAATATCTAATTGACCAAATATGGATGATTTTTTTTACAAAATCTTAACACAAAGGTAAAATAAACACAATTAAATGTCTTTATCCTTATTAAATAGTTAATATAATCTTAATTAAATAGTTGCTTAATCTTAATTAAAGAGTTGAATATGAAGCATGAACAGTTTAGGTAATCTTTCTTGGTACGATGTGAAAAAAATTTGAACAAATTAACATCTTGTTAAAATTTTAGTATTCTACTTACTTTTCAAAAAAGTTACACCGTTTACATGGGTTGGGAAAGTATGAATGAATTATTGCCTTGAATTTTAAAAGTTGAGCAAGTTAAACGCCATGTGTTATATATATAATTATTCCCGTGCACAACTCTTCTTAGATCCATAGTTTCTACGCCATAGATTGACCCCAAATTGACACCCCGATAAATTGAGCCCATGTCATGTTGACCAATCTTTACACGCACGTGTCAAACATTCGCATTTTGCACTACCTGTCATCAACTTCGATAAGTCGGAGCTCCTATTCCTTTAGCGTCGCGTCGCACCACGTGGCCGAAAATTTATAAAAATTTATAATTTGGCGCCCCCCGCGAAATTGGTTAGCATTGATCTCTGACATATTTGGCAGGAATTTATCGTCTCGCAGGGCTTATATGGCATGAAAAATGTAAGTCTTTTAAAATATAATGTCTTCTCTGTCTCTTTGTAATAATGATGATGATGATTCCAATGAAAATTGAAGCACGGAATTTAATCCGGGGCCTCATTTCGTCAAAATTTTACGCACTTTCACTTTCAACTTTCGTCCATATCTGGACTCGGAAAGTTTTTTTTAGATTACCTACACGTGGTTTTTCTTCCTTTCTTTTCCCTCTCGCGTCTAGTAATAATCCGAGTCAAATGGTTTAGCTCATACAGGAAAAGTAGAAAAGGAGAAAGTTTCTGGAAAGATGGGGAGAAAAATGGACGTAATAAAATAATTGTATTCCTCTTCAGGGAGGTGAACTACTCTTAAAAATTTATGCACGAAAATTTTGCAATTTCTTTTCTGTAAAACTTTGTAATGGCGAAATTTTTTTAAGGTTTCAAAATTTGGACAAAAAATGAGATTTTTAATTCAAATTTTATGCACGTTGCTTAAGTAATACAAAGTTTTTGCACAGTTTCCCCAAATTTTAAGGTCGCGAAGCTAGTTTTGCAACTGTATGTGATGACCTATTTTTACATCATTGGTGTAAAGGATTTAGGCAATTCACGCAGTTCTTGGTAACTTTATAAAATTGGTACACCTGCAAAATGTTACAAATATTTCCAAGGAAATTAGCTTATAATCTGGTTCCTTATTATTTTGTAAACTTTGCGAACATTTTTTACAAAGTTTAAGGATTTTATGAAGTCACCAAGGATTGCGTGAATTGCCTCGTTGTTGTTGACGACTAAAATTCGTTGCAGATAATTTTTAGTTCAAAATTTCGTTTTAAAATTTAACATTTTGATAAACAAATCCAATTTTGCTACAAATTTTGTTACCAAATTTTGTTACCAAATTTTGTTACCAATTTATGCGGGCCTCATACATATTTCTCAACCTTTGGATACATCATATCTATCTTTCTCTCTGTCAAATTTTTAAGCGTGCCTGCCCAAAAGGAAGGGGAGGAAAACCGTGATGGAAAAAACGTGGCGAAGTCATCATCATTAATTCCTTCGTTGAACGGACAGATCTCGGCTGCCCTGATGAGATCGTGGCTCAAAAGAAATGCGTAAAGTTCGCATCAATTATTTATTAAAGGCTGCGTCCCACGACCATCTGCATGTTCAACTCCCTTCCTCCTTCGTTAGTCCGACAACTCTGAAACAATCCGAACATTGTGACACACTAAAAAAGTTGGGGACAAAATTTCCATTGGGACTTGATAGCATTCAAACATCCATGAATTCCGAGCTTTTACAAATTTTGAAAATACTTTGAAGGAAACTTGACTTACAAATTTTTGAAAACTAACTCACCCTCAGATCAAGGGCGTCTCTTTATTTTGTAAAAGCTTCTATAATTATTTCACAAAATTTCCAATGTCTGCGTGAACTAAAGAAAATTGAAGTTACACAAATTTTGCAATCATCTAATTACTTGTCAAACATTTTTTGTAATCATCCCAATTCGTGCAACCTTTGCAAATTTTAAATACTTTTGTAATCAAACTATTTAACTTTCGGCACGAAATCGACCCAAACCAAGAAATGAGAATCATGAGAAATTACATCTCATAAAAGATATTCTACCAATTTGGAAAAATTGGCTTACAAATTTGTACCAGTTTACTCACGGCAAAGGCGTGTTTTTGCTTTATAAAAATTTACCAAAATTATTTTACAAAGTTATAGATTTTTCAAAATTGCGAAGGACTGCATGCGTCAATTGCCTCACTATATCGCATTACTTGATTTGCTAAGATTTAAGCATCATCTATCTCATAAAGAGTTATGGTCGATAAAGTCAAAAAAGAACTTTATTAGTGTGTGAAATTGCCACCAGTTTCGTAACAAATTTGCGCTTCGACCGAATCATCGGTAATATTCTTTATCAAATTTATCGTGAAAATTTCAGAGATTATTTTAAGAATACTTTTTTAACAGCGAATTTATTTGCATTTTTTACCCTGATTGTTCACCTCATTTTTTAGAGTGTAATCAAGTTGGTTGGTTGATAGGGAACAATTGAGCCCGGGTCATTAATGAATAATTGAATTGTATGTAATTGTTCGTCACTTGAGGGAAATGTTTTACGCAGGCGAAATTGTTACGTAACCCGAATACGAAGCAGTCTTCTCTCCAGTGAATTGTACAATTTTACGCAAATGACAATGACACCCATCCAGCAAATTCATTTCTAAATATTTTATGCGTATACACAAATGAACATGTGTGGTTGCTCAATTTTCCCTGTTTTCTTTGTTTTCATGATAAAAATAAATAAAATTCACAAATTCTGAATAACAAATTTTTCGTCAAAATTTAAATTCCATTATTAATTATTTTGGAAGATAGTATTGTGTCAGATGTAGAAAGATTGAAGACATTTTTGATTCGACTTAAACACAGCACCGAAATGTTAACTACATAAAAAAATCGTCTTCGTCAACCTCCCGGAGAAAGTTTTGAGTGGTTTATTAACCTAACAAGCAGGGAGAACCACGCCCACTTAAATATAAGAAGTTTGCACTTTTTTTTTTAAATCATGGAAACTTTTATTACTAATTTGGAACGGAAATTCGGAATGAATTCTAAATTCCCAGGGACAAGGAAATAAGATCGTATTTGTTTTTCTGAAATGAATCATTACGTATTTTTTTACTTTTTCCAGAACCTGAGGAACCACAAGCGGTGCGAATATTGGGGCAAAGGGAGACAAATTTACGCGTTCGCGCCGGTGAAGAAACGTACCTATCCTGTCACGCGGAGGGAAACCCGCCACCATCTTTTTCGTAAGAAACCTCCTTTTAATCATGGCATGCATACATTCTTATCAAGTTAAAAACTTCAATTTATTACGTTGGCACAACAGCGGGCCAGACAAATCTTTTTTTGGTGTTAACCAGATGAATGATACGCATTTTGAATTCGCGGCGTTACGCTTCCACAAATAAGTCGCAATTTGTTATCTTAGCGGTTTATGTTACAGTGCAGAAATTCATATGATAATCACATTAGCTTAAATTCAAAACAAATTTAACAATAAAATAAAATAAAAAAATATTTATTCAAATTTAATAAAATGTAATTTAATAACAAAAATTTTCAATTATCTATTTTCACCGAAACCTTACATGTCGCAGGTAAAATTTGTTTTTGCATGATTTGAGATCTCATTAAGAATACAAATGAAATGAAAATGCAAAAAGAAACATATATTATATTTATTTTTACACTCTTAGAAATTCGGTATTTACCAAGCGGTATTCAGATATGACTCTTCTAAAGTGAAGTAGTGACATGTAGTAATATATCGGTATTAGAGCCTTATCGTGCATATTGGTAGCAAAATTTCTACAGGCCGGTAAACATAAATTTAATTCCAAACGGTAGCAACTTTATTATCGAGAAATCAAAACCTGCATGTGTGACTATACCAGATTTCTAACAGTGTAGCTTCCCGATTTTTAGCAGGGATTTGGGGAAACTTGTTCCACAGTAATTTGCATACGATGCTCAAATATTCTCAAGTTTTCCTGCAAAAATGCAGAGATTACTTTTCTGAGCAGGTACTTAAGTACTTTCTCCCGTGATTGACGTTAAGTGGATTTGAGTGAACAGATTTGTCGACCCAGTTTAAAATTGTATGTAAATGGCAAACGAGATTCATTTGAGTAGAATTTCTTTTTTTGAGGAGGTCAATATGTCAAGGATTTAAAACGACTTTGTATGCATAATTTTATAAGAAAATAGTTGTTACATAAATCGGGTTGTCTAGGATTTTCGTTAAATTGAAATTTTATTTTCGACTTACAAAAATCGGGGAAAAAGTATGTAAATAAAATACATATTTCACACAGCTCTTCTGAATTAATTGTCACTCATTAATATCCGTCGAATTTGCCAGTCTGCAATCTTCTTCTTCTTTTTACAAACTTGCAAGAATTATAATTCAAAATTTCTATGTAGTTTTACTACCTTTAAGAGTGATATTTTAGAAATTCTAAAGCGAAAATTACCAGATGTGTAAACTCTGCATAAATTTAATACTAAGAGTGCAACTTGAGGCTCGAGTGGATTGTCATTTTTTCTGCTTAAATTTATTTTTTAATCAACTGATTTTTTAGTGAATTTTAGCGAAATTTAAAGTTTGATTTTAAGCTCACTTAGTAGTTTCATATCAACTTTCAACAAACTAACTCGAATTTCAAATTTTTCAAATCGAATTTTGGTAATTTCCAACTTTAAAAAACTGTTGTTTTTTAAGTTGGTTTAACCCTTTGTGTACACAAGTGCACCACCATCACCAACATGTCTGAGGCAGGTGAAATGGAAACATTATCACCTGTTTCTCCTCAAAGACATCTAAATTATAACATCATAGCTGCCAAGGGGGTCGTGCCAACTACCTGGTGTGATCCTGCCCTAGATAAGACCAAGGGGGTACTCATAAGGAGATTGGCAGGAGTGACCTTACCCGAGTTGCTGGATGCTATCGGTAAGGTGATTTTACCTTCCAAGATAAAATATGCTGATTTTTGTGGAGCTGCAAATTTTGGGGTGTGGTTTGACTCTGTGGAGTCTGTTGACACCATTGTGGCGTTTGATACCATCACGATAAAAGGCCAATTGGCAAAAATAAATCGGTATTTAAATCCGGTACGAAGGGTGGTACTACGTAACGTTCCACCTTTCATACCGGATGATGTATTATTACAATTGCTTGAGAAATATGGGGAGGTGCGGAGTGGGGTCGAGCATCAGGCCTGCTTTGGAGTGGGAGAGGAATTTTCCCATGTCAAAAGTTTTACCCGCACCATCTCCCTTTCAATTCAAAATGGTGTGATGATCCCCCCCAGTGAGAAAGTACGTTGGGACGGGATCAATCACAACATATACTTACAAGTTGGTGCAAAAAAATGTTTTTCTTGTGGCAAATCTGGCCATACTAATAAAAATTGTCCCAACAAGATTATGCATCCCAAGAAAACACAGGGAAATCCTAGGAAAACTCCTATCCGGAAAAGAAAGTCCATCTCGGAGTCCACTTTTGATGACTCAGAGATTGACTCTCAAAAGCGGTCTCGATTTGACGTAAGTCAAGCTGAGAATGAGTTTTCGAGTGAGGGGGAGGGGACGGATTCTACCGTTGTCTCAAATGGACGCATGAAGAAAAAAATATTTCGGAAACGTGGCAGGCAGACAGAGGTGTCTGTGTCTGTGCCAACCTCGTCCAATTCATCACCTCCTTGGGCTTTTGATAGTTGGAAAAATGGATCTTTTGGGAAATACAAAACCATCAGTACCGATGGATTATTAGTTTTTTTGGAGTCACTTAAGGAAAATTATGATAAGGGTGGTTATCATCGCTTAAACCATTTGGTTTGCATGATAACAAAAGAGCCCCAGGAACTTCATGACCTTCTATTTGAGGTCATAAACTCCCTGGGGACTAAACACTCTTTAACAAAGTCCAAGATGAGCGACGTTCTGAAGCTTATCAAGGACTTCATTAATATGTCCCCTGAGAAAACTGCGAAAGTTTTGGCAGAGGTAGACCTAAACTTTCGCAGTTTCGAAATGAAAGCTTTTCAGTCTGGGAGGAAACTTTCGGATGATGAAATAAAAAATTATCGAAAATACTTTTTTAACTAACAATGTCTTCCCTTAACATATGGACTTTGAACTGTCAGGGTTTAAACAACTCTGTTAAACAACATTCCTTAACAACACTAATTCTTAAGTTTTTGCCTGACGTAATAATTTTACAAGAAACCAACATTGACATTACTAAACATGACCATTTTAACATTAATTCCTATAAGACCAGCTATAATTCTGCTACCACCCTTGGAAGTGGTACAATTTTTCTAGTTAAAACGACAATAAACATTTTAAATGAGACCAATTTAGTCCCCGGAAAGTTACAACACATTACAATTGAATTTAATAATCAACAATTTGACATTTATAATGCACATTTTCCTTTTAAAAATTATGACAGTGCTCAATTTTTAAATATTTTAAAGTCAAATATTTCGTCACTGACAAATTCTGACAATGTTATTTTAGCAGGTGACTGGAATTTTGTTTTAAATGATACCCTGGACAGGTTACGGTCGACTGAACGTCGCACTAAGATTGCGAAGGATTTCACTTTGGCATGCAATAATCTAAATCTCTATGATACATATCGACATTTTAATCCTATTGGTAAAGACATGACTTATTTTAGTAAACTCAAAAATAACTCGGAGGCCAGGTTGGACAGAATTTATATTAATTCTGTTCACCTTGGGAGCCTTGTTACATGCCAAATGCTTCCATTTATTGGTGATCATGTTGTATACAATGCAATTTTGCGTTTTGACAAAGACATTGATTTTAAAAATATTTAGCGTTTTCCAAATCACCTCCTAAATTGTGACGACTTTGTGTTTTCCATGTCCTACCTGCTTGACAATTTTATTCGCATTTCTGACTACTCAGACATAAGTTATACTTTACTAAAGCAAAAAATTACACAGATTGCAATGGAGACTGATTTACACTTGAGGTACAAATTTAAGAGATTAGTAAGGAAAGTACAATCGGACATCCAAAATATCCCTTCAAATCAAAACCTTACCAATAGTGACATTTGTAAAATTTTTATTGACACCTTGGACACAAAATTTATGACTTACTCGGTTTGTAATGACTATCCAAAACGTAAAATTTTAGTCAACAATTCTGACGTTACAATTTCGAAATCATTAACACATCTTTCCAACGATGCCAAAATTAGTTTAATTACAAATTTTTTTACAGACAAATTTGATGATAAGCAAGTCAATCTGACAGGGCTGGAAAATTACATGTCAGAGATGCCTAGGGTTCCCAATGACCTGTGCTCTCAGCTGTCTGAGGACATAGGTCCAGCGGAACTTGCAAAGGCAATCTCTAAATTAAAAAATGACAAATCTCCTGGAATTGACGGACTGAGTCATGAGTTTTTTAAACATTTCAGTAAGCATTTTGCAATTATTTTGTCCAATTTGATCAATACCTGCATTTCAAATGGTAAGCTACCTAGCTCCATGCGAACTGCTGTTGCGAGCCTGTTTTTCAAGGCAGGCTGTCATGATGATATGAAAAACTATCGCACAATAGCTCTGACAAATACGGACTATAAAATCGTTTCCAATGTTTTAAAGTCAAGACTTATCTTGACTCTCCCCCATTTAATAGGTCCGTGGCAGACCTGTGGTATTAAAGGACGGTCAATTTATGATAACTTGACTTTCCTTCGAGATGCTTTTGCTTCGGGTGAAATGCATGGTGGCCTGTTCAGTTTAGATCAGGAGGCTGCATTTGACCGCGTAAGCTTTAAATACCTTTTCGCTATTTTAAACATGTATGAGTTCCCTGACACATTCTGTAATTTCATTCGACTTTTGCACACTGATCTATCCTTGGCCATATCAGTTGGAAGCACCTTGACCTCTAAGGTACCGCTTAAAGTAGGTTTGAAGCAGGGTGACCCTATCTCCTCGGTTTTGTACGTTCTTGCGATTGAGCCTTTCTTATTTAATCTGAATAGGAGGCTGCTTGTATCGGGTCCGAGTTCTTGGCCCAGGGCTCCTGATAAATATCTCTCTGCTTATGCAGACGATACAAATGTATTGTTAAGCAATGCGCAGCAGATTCCAATTGTTGAGAATGAATATCTTAGATTTTCAACTTTCTCAGCATCAAAGCTAAATGTCAGAAAATCTGAAATATTACTATTGGGTGGAGTCTCGTGGTCTGTTCTCAATTTTCCTGTCAAAACTGACTTTGTAAAAATTCTAGGAATTTTATTTGGAAATATTGATTTCGTGTCATTGAATTTCTCAATTCTGCTTGAGAAATTCAAGAAGAAACTCAATTTCTATAATGTGAAGGTTTCTGCCATTAGTTTTTTTTCTAGGGCCAAAATTTTAAATATATATATATTGCCTATACTTTGGTATGTTTTTAAGATTCTTGACCCCCCTTCTAACTTTATTGACGAAATAACCAAACTCTGCGAAAATTTTGTATGGAAAGGTTCGAAACGATGGGTGGGGCGTCACTTTCTCTATTTGCCACTTGCAAATGGGGGGATTGGCGTTCGACATCCTTTGGTGCAAGTGGCCACTTTTCGAGTAAGTTTTGTGAATAAATTGATAAATTTTCAAGATTTATATTTCTGTGCGTATGGGCATAGAAATATTTTAAATATTTTGACCGATAATAAGCCCGATGACTCCTCCCCTTTTTATGATAACCTGAGTAATGTTGTTAAAACTGTGGGGCTTAGGTTTGAAAATGTAACTGAGGACCTACTACACTCAATCTCCCTTTCAAATACCACTTTTTTCAACAATGTAACTTTCCCAAACTTGGTAAAATCGGGTTACGTTACTGTTGGTGATTTTCTGACCCATAATCCTCGCCTTAGTCAAACCAGACCTCCATCAAAGCGTCTCACTGATGCAGAGTCGAGAACTTTGCGTCAAGTACTTGATGCGCAAATAATATCTGACTTGGCGACTTTACAGTGTCGCAATTTTGGCAGTTCTGAAAATTATCAAGTAATTACCAAAGCAACACTTTACCTGGTGTGTACCCCTGTGGCTTCAAAAATATCTTGGCCTATGGCTGACCCTGAGATCATAAATGCTGATCGATGGGAACAGTTAAAAAGGGCGGAGGTCACCAATCCAGAAAAAGACATAGTGTACAAGATCTGGCACAAGACTGGTTTGACTCCCAAATTGGCGGACGCTATGAACTTGAGAGAGGGAAGGGATTGCCCCTTCTGTAATTTTAAAAATATTAACTCAAGTCATTATCCATTTTGCGAACATTTTGAGCCAATGTGGCGCTTTATCTTTAAGATTTTAGGTAACAATCTAACTGCCTCGAGTCTCAAGTTGTATGTGTTAAACGGGTGCAAAGACAGAGTGGGCAATATTTTAATTTTTTATGGTCTTTGCACTACCTACAAGTCGTATGTCCTCTTTCTAAATAATTTTGATGATCAGTTTGATTTTCTGGCTCATCTTCGGCATATGATCTTCGGTCGTTTATTGACTGAATATCATGTCAGCATGAGAAGTGGCAGAGTTTTTGTAAATAATTTCCATCGTAAATGGAAAAAATACAAAATGTACAAGGTTGATAATAACAAAATTTTAATTAATCTCAATTTTGCATAATCTAGCTTATAAGTATGCTTAACTTCGTTTCAATTATGTATGTTTTCTTTACTCCATGCACAAAACTCTGCCACTGATTTATTCTTGCATGACTTATTGCATGATTTATACTTTTATCATAAGGATAGGTTAATTTTAATTTTCACATAAATGTTGCATAAACTTTCTCCTCTCAATATTCTCGGGCTATTTGTAATTATTTTAAACACCAAAAACCCGTGGTCCTCAAGCAGAAGGGGTGTAGGCACATGCTTAGTTCCAACCCTGACGGCATAATTGAAAAGTCCTCCCCATGAAGAAACCACCATCAAAATATTTTAATTTAAATATATAATTTTTGACATTTTCTTCTAATTTTAAACGATGGCTTCGTTCCTGTCTCTATACTATTTAAAAGAGCTAAGAATTTCTAAAAATGCGCAAATACGGGGTTGGGAGGCTCTTTCGTTTCAGCTTTCCTTGTCATTTTGGCTCGGTCAGGTTAGGGTCTAGAATGACAAGCCTTCCTCCGGAGGAGTCCCAACTCCATTAAACTCCGGGGGTGAGGTACACCGACTCCTGATATCTTTTCAGGGGAAAGTTGCCTCGTGGGCTTGTCATGTCTATGAAATTAAATAATTTCTTAAAAATTATTTAATGTGATATTTTCTGTGATAATCACTTTCTTTTTTTTTTTTTTGTCAATAAATCAGTAATAGCTTTAAACGCATCCCATAATTAATTAAGTGCGTGGTACGATTCTAAATGTTTTTAGTTTAATTTTAGTTAGTGAATCGTCTCATGTACAAACATTTTTATTTTGGTGAAATAAAGGGTTGGAATACCCGAAATATCATATATGTAAACAAAAAAAAAATTTAATACTAGTTGTGATTTATTTGTGAATATTTTACAGTTTGCATGAATGACATTGCTATAATCCCCTCGATCTATATGTTCGATCTGTTTGCCAAACATTGAATAATTTAATTTAGCAAATTAAGTCTTAGTGACTGCGAAGTCCTACAGTTAAAAAATAATTATGCAGTTGTGTGTATATCATGATAAAAATATCCATAATTTGATCTGGGATTTTTAACGAAAAGAAAACAATATCAACTAACGTACGATTTGTTCGTTAATAAATAACTCAAAGTTCAACATAAAAACTAGATCCTTAAGCACAAAATAGCAAAATTAGGTTTACACAATTATTGATTTTATAATTTTTGTAATAAACAACATTTCTACTAATTTCTCAAAAACTCAAAATCCTTCCTTTTCCAAGATAACACATGAAAATTCCATTTAGAGAAAATAGGAAATTTACGAAAAAACGAATAATTTTTAAGAAAAAATCCGTTCTGATAAACATGTAAAATTATTTAGTAAATTTCAGGATTATGGAGTCAGTTTGAACTTATTTTGAAATACAATAACGTCGTAACGAAATAGGTTTTACGGATTAATTCAAGTATGCAGATCCCATACTGCACTATATCCACAGAGACTATTAGAGACAAATACCAAATTTGATAGTGAATTTCCATAATATTTTTCACAGAGTTAGACTATATAATATGTTGCTCAAAATCCAGCCGAAAAATGGGACGCTTTCTACACAATTTTATATTTAAATTAAAATAAGTTTCTCCAATTTATTGCTAAATTTCAGGTGGTATCGAGAAATTGAGGGTGTTTTATCCGACCTTCCTCCCACGTTGAAAAGGCCGCCGACTTCGTCTTCCTCGCCGCAGAATAGTGTGGTGCACGTGGCGCAAGTGCGGCCCCAGGACGCGGGCTCCTACCTCTGCCGCGCTAACAATTCCCACTCCGTCGACCAAGCCGTCGTTCAACTCGTCGTTTATGGTAAGAAAACCAAAATTATGATAAATAAATTTTCATGAAAGTTGTACATTAGACAAATATTTGCAAATTATTATGAATTTTAAAAATAAATACTGAATTCAAACGCTCGTTAAAAACAGATAAAATTTCCTATATGAAATTTCTAGTATTGTCCGACGACCTTGTTCACATAAATGCGAATCCAATTAGTATGCAAACAAGTTACTGCACATTGAATATGTAATTATTTTCAACTAGTAGAAACTATTAATTGTTGAAAATATGCATCTTAAAGTGTGCACTCCAAATAAAGTTGAGTAAAATTTGCGATGACACAACGGGTTGTGCAAAATTTACCCGACGAAGGTAAAATTTACTCAAGGTTGAGCTAAAATTCTACAACGTTGGATAAATTCTAACTTTCATAGTGTAAATTTTACTCAACCAGTTGTGTCATCGCAAATTTTACTCAACCTTGAGTAAATTTTAACCAAATTTATTTAGAGTGTGAACATCAAATCAAATTTCGCAACAATTTGTCATAGTCAAGGATTCTAAGTTTTGCAAACTTTTGAATAATAATTATCGGGTTAGATAAAATTTCTCAAAATTTACAATTTCAAATCTTTCAAAAAACTTTGAGATTTTAAGGTACTTTTTGCAGTCAAAATTAGACGTCGTTAATCTAAATGAGTGAAAATTGTGTATTTGATAATTGGAAAGATCTGGTTTAATTCTTGAAGAAAAGGTGAAAATGTTTTACGCGTTTTCAATAATTTATCAATTTTCGAATTTTTGATTTCCTTGCATTAAAAACTTTATAACATTTCCCGTTTCTTTTTCAATTCTTGATTTTCTGAAATACAAAATATTCTGTAAATTGTTAAATATTTGAAAAACCTGTAAATCTTTCCAATACAAATGTATCATACATTTTAAGAAATTTTAACTACAAAAATAATGTAATTTGAGGAAATTAAGAAAATTAAGTAGCAACGAAATGCTGATAAGTTTATATTTTACGTTTTAAAATCGCAATCATCGCAAAATTTCCTTGTCGCGGTTACTTTTACAACTTTTCTTATCGGTGAAAATAAATCTGTTGACAGCATATTTCTCTCTGAATTTTGTTCAACTTATCAACTATATAACTTTAAATTTGTTGCATTTTCGGGCGAATTTCTAAAATGTGGACAAGTTTACGAGATATGTACAATTTCTTCAGTCACTTTCATTAAAAAATTCTGAAAGATCCTTGAAAAAATTGCTAATTTCGTCAAACTTCACAATCACAACATCCCATCCATTACACAATCTTAACAAAAAAGCTTAACAAATGTCTTTCTCGACTTGTAAGAAAACTTTCGAAGTGAAAATGAGTCAAAGGAGGAATCAATCCGAGTCGAAGTGGGATTTGAAGCGGGAGAGAAAGTCAAAGTGAAAGTGGGACAGGACAGAAATCGTTTTATTGTATAAATAAATTTGTTTCGAGATGACGTGAAAGTAGTCCCGAGGGTCCCATATTTGCACCAAAATTAAATGAACTCCCTTACACTTTATCCGTTTAGTCGGAGCCTCATGTAACCGGCGTGATTTTCTGCCTTTCTGCCTGTGATCTGTTGTTTAAATGCCGTTTTTATTTATTTTTTTCTTAATTTTCCTGTCTTGAACTTACCCTAACTATTTACGCCTAATGGTAAATTAAGAATCAAATCTTTTATTTGTAAAGGTTGTTAGATTTCGGGGCCTTGTCAGAAAAATTGGGAAAAGTCAGATTAATATTATGATTGCGCAGATGGTTCTAGTAACTTAATTTTTTGCGGTTTTCTCTAATATGAAAAAACGGACATGTAATCGAGCGAGACAGCCAGGTTCGGGCTTATTATGCCATTGATTATTTTGCTGACATTATTTTTTAAATTTTCGAACAAAACTGATAAAAACACTGTAAAAAATAGCTCACCAATAATTTAAGTTTATGGAAAAAATTCATAATTTTTGACAGAAAGTTGGCCCAGTGAGATTACATTATCGGGTCAAGTAAATTTGTTTTTTTTTACATTTTCTGTAATTTTAATTCTATAAAGCTAAAAATAAATCCTACACAAAAAATAGGTAACGTGTTTTTTCACCCAAAAATTATTCACTGGCAGCTGCAAATTTGAATTTCGTGCATCATTACAGCCACCATTTGGAGTTAAATTTATAGATCTACCAGTGTGGGTTAGCTTCATCGTGATTCTTATCAATTTCCGCGGATTTATTGTATTCTCGGCAATAAAGCCTGGCTCGGGCTATGCGGACCTGTACCGACTGCAAGGTTTCACTTGAACGACACGACTTTCCCCATTGCTCGATGGATGCCTGGCTGAATGGGATGATTGATGGATTTCCGTGTTGGCTGTCCTGTCCAAAGTGAAAGTTGGCTTATTTCACGAGGCGAGAAAGTCGTCAAATACAAGTGTGTAACGACGAGGGGTAGTTTACGAGGTGGTGGTGCTCGTAGCCTAATTTGCGACTTCATTATTTATTACGCGACTTTTGTGGTGCATATGCGAAGAGAAAAGTGAGACAAAAAATGGTCTCCTATTTTGACTAAATTAGTGCCAATCGATCACAAATTTAACTAGTATGAAATTTGCAAACGACCCGATCTCCTAATAGGCACGTTTGGCAGAGATATTTGAAATTTTTGTCAATTCTGGGTTACTTTTTGCTTTCTTGGAATGCAAATTTCTTACTCAAGCTTATCAAACCTGCTGAATTGTTTAATAAGCTATTACCACAAAAAATAAACTTCTGGCCTTCAAGGTACACAAGATTTTCAAAAAAGCTGAATGGAAAAAATTACTCGCCATCAATTCAAACATTTATTCCACGGTGGTATAAACTTTATAAAATTCCTAAATTTGAAAATTTTACAAAATTACTAATAACCCATCATTATTGCAAACAATGCTAATTTAACGTATTACATGAATGGAAATTTTACATTTTCTAACATAATTTGAAAAACGTTATAAACCTTTTGGCACAAGTTTTCTAACAAAGTATGAATTTTTTTTGCAGTTCCTCTCCGTGTGCAAGTATCTCCTTTGACGCAAATTGTGGACGTGGGGCGATCCGCTTCGCTTCGATGTCTCGTTTCCGGTTCGCCGATCCATTCCGTCGTCTGGCTCAAGGACGGCGTGCCCCACGCCGAGCTGGAAAACGGGCCCAGCTCCTCCCCCAGATTCCAAGTGGGGCCGCGCGAAGTCTTGAAATTGGTGGGTGTTCAGCCCGACGACGCGGGGATGTACCAGTGCCTCGCCTCCAATGACTTCACGACGGGGCAGGACTCCTCCCAGATACGATTAGGATGTAAGGATGGCGCTCAATTTGAATTCTTTAGAAATATGTTTAATCTTTCTAATAGTTAATTCGACGTAAATCCACGCCGGAAAATTTTTAAAATTTCAAATTATGGGAGGTTAATACGATTAGGATGTAAGGATGACGCTGAGTTTTGAAAAAACGCTTTATGTGTTGCGCGTAATTAATTTGACGAAAATTTAAGCTTAGAAAGTTCTTAAAATTTCAATTTCGTACATGAGAATTTTTTCAAGTGATTCGCGTGTATATTTGTAATTCGGCAAATTGCGTAAAGTTGCACATTTCCATGAAAGAAAAACACGCACACTTTTTTGGATTACGTATTTGACAGAATTCAATTATTTAGAAGTTTGGATTTATTTTATATTTTCAATTTTGCATATATTGCACGTCAGGTTCTATTTTTTTCGTTGGTTTTGTGTCTTTTATAAATAGCTTTTTTTTCGACTCAAATAAATTTAGGGAATTTCAACCCTTTATTACATATATTTAAGATTAGTTCGTACAATGAGAGTTCCAAACACAACTATTCTAAAAAAAAACGGAATAATCATCATACAAATGCAGCTATAATTAGGCCATGATTTAAAATATGCCGAAAACTTAGAGATATAATTTCGTATTTCATTCATTCACGAAAAACTGAAAGAAATGGCTTTATATGATAAGGAAATAAGAAGATTCAGCCTAACCTGACACCTAAGTTGTTGACATACCCACGACGCCATTTATAAATAGCAAATTATCCAAATGTTAATCCCAATGATGTCCACGGCGATTAAATTTGTAGATTTTTGCCTTAATTTCTAAGCATTACACAATCGAAAGTTTACAGAGCTTACAAACTAGCACATGTAAAATTACCATGTGAATTTATCTGTAATCTTTTATTTTTTTCAAATTTATGCGTACCGTTGCTTCAAAAAATGTCGAGAAACGCCTATATTTCTTAAATTGTTTTATGTTCTATATAAGCAAACTTTTCCAAATAACCTCAGATTTGTTTATCTCTATTTTTTGAACAAGCAGTAGAATCTATTTTTTGTAATATGAAATTCTACACGAATTTTTATTATTTTAGTAAATAGAAAGTTTGACCTAATTTTACTTTCACATTTTTTTCAGCCGTCCTGCCCGAGCTGGTGTATCGCTTTTCTGAACAAACGATCCAGCCGGGTCACTCCGTATCGCTGAAATGCACCGCCGTCGGAAATCCACCCCCGCAATTCACATGGACTTTGGACGGCTTCACACTCCCGGAAAGTGAAAGGTGGGTGCAGAAAGCAAAAATTGGTAGTTTGTGCACAACTTTCACTATAAAGTTAGACGAGATTCATATTGATGCAATTCATGGGGTCATTGTTAACTTTGTAAAATCCGTAAATTGTGTAAAATTGTTTTATACACTTTTACCCTTGGTCTGAGCAAGTTTCAAAATTTTTGAAGCTAATTTTCCTCGAATAATTTGTAAAAGTTGACGGATTTTACAATGCTACCAAGGACTGGGTGAATTGCCTCAATTGTTTCTCTTGCCTGCGAAAGTTTTTTGGCAAATTTTACTTTACATAAGTCAACGTGTAAACTTTTACAATTCCCAATCGTTTTAAAAGCAAGTCAGCGATATTGTAGTTTTTGTTTAATGTAATAAACTTATGAATGGGTTTAACGCCAAATTTAGATATTGAAAACTTTATGGAATTTATTAAAATAATTAGATGAATAGAGTGCCCTCAGGATGCGTACACCAGTGACATGATGTTCAAAAATTTATATATAATTGGGGATTTTTATATATTTCTGATGTTCGACATTTGTTAAAAGATTTGATGGGTTTCAAAATTCCTGAAGAACTTTTCCATCAATCCTTGTTGGAGATTTACATCCTTCAATTTCACTCCACATACGCCCATTTTTGCTATTTTCAGAAAGTTGCGATTAATTTTTGGCCAATTTCTTACAGATTTTTGGTCGGCCAGTACGTCACGATTCATGACCACGTGATCTCCCACGTGAACATAACGCAGGCCCGGGACGAGGACGGCGGGCTGTACGCGTGCCAGGCCAGAAACGCCATGGGCATCGCCCTCCATACTGGAAGACTCAACATTTATGGTGAGCACATTAATTCTTACATGGAAATTAGAGAAACAAATTAAGAGTATCTTTGTAATTTTGTAACAAAGTATGACAAAAATATACAAATGAATTAAAGTGCTATTTACTCTCTGAACTTTGTTAAGTTTAATTTGGAAATGGTGAACAATATCATCTGGCAAACATGAAGGGTGTTAAATGTAAAATGATGTATTTATGAAATTGTTTTATGTATTTTGGTAAATTGTTGAATATGCGTCTAAGATTACCCCGTGACGTGGTGGTGGTTGCCATGGTGACGTCAGGGTGGGATTTTGAGTGCGCGTCGTCCTTTGTTATAAGTCGTAGTAAGTAAGTAGGTAGAAGAAATCTACACAGTCGAGTTTTAGTCGTTGTCAAAGTCAGACATTTTGGATTTTTGTCGTCGTGGTAGGAAATCAAGAGTAAGAATTGTTAATTCTTTGTAATTGATGTCCACGATTAATTTGTCAATAGTAAGTCACCAATCAACTCGTGTTAGTGCAGAGCTCTGAATTGTGTTGACAATTAGTAATTTGTTTGAAATAAAATCTAGTTTAAGTAGATAAAATAATCGTATATTCACTCAGTCACTTTCTTGAATTCCAACGAGCAAAGCACAATTAAATATTCGTAAAGACACTATACTCCGGGTAGGTGATAGCTTGGTTTTTACAAAGGGATTATTATTTTAAGAAAATAAAAATATGTCGTGGAACTTATCCATAAGGTTCATTTGGATATTGCGAAAATTCATGCAAGTCTTGGTAACTTTATAAAATCCGTAAATTGTAAAATTATTTTACCAAATTTTCACAATATAAGTAAAAAGATGCCCTTCTCATCTGAGGATGAGTACGCTTACAAATATTTCTAAGCTAAATATCCTTGCAAAAGCTTGTGAATTTACGGATTTACGAAGTTTGGTGATTTGCTAATATTGTACATATTTTTGACTAAATTGTGCTAAAAAATCAATTCTGAAAATTTCCAGCATGCCTGACAAGACATGAATTTCCCCAAATCAACGTGTCAAACCTACAACAATTAATTTGCACTCCAAAATGGAGTTAAAATTTATTGAAATTTACAAAAATTAAAAAATAAATTGACTCCCCTCCATATAATGTCAGGCATCCCAACTAATATTCATTAAATACTCTTCAAAATGCGGTCAAAATTAATCGAATTTCATCAACATTTATAAAAAATTATCAAAATTTAGCTTGTCCAAAACTCTTGAATGTCATGCATATCAGGCATCCCTTAAACTACGCTCAAATTCTAATCCCCCTCCCTCCCCCCAAAAAAACCTTGTAAAATTAGCATATTTTATTTTTATCGCGTACAAGAACAATGAACCCTCGTAAAGAAATCTTTTCCCCACACGAACACAAATCGGACCGCATCATCTCCAATTTATCATATTTTTTATGATATTTAGTGTAAAATAAAGTCGGAGGAAGTACTCGCAATAAAAGTGGCAGTTGACCCTCTTGTTCACGTTCACTTGGAACTCGTGTCGTGGGAGAAAGTCTCCATTTTCTCTCGAGAGAAAGTGTGAGCAGTAAAATAATGGGTCTTAGGAGGAAAAGTACTCCTCGTTCGAGTGGATTTAGTACGTTTTCGAGGAGAAAGTGGAAAGAGAAAGGTTTCCAGAAATGATTTATTGCCCATTTAAATAAGCTGGATCAGTTTCGGGCACACTTAACAATCTGAAAAACTAGGCCAGTATGAAGTGAATGTAAAGTCCGTTGAAAAAATCGAGACAAAAAAAACTTGAGAAGTTAACTGGCAGGATTTGTTTACAAGTACAAAATAAATGATTTGAACAAATTTAGGAACCGGACTATTTTTTTATGAACGAAAAGTAGACTTTTATAAGACAGAAAAAATTAAATACCCTTTCGCCATTTTATCATGTAACCAGCGTGGTCATAATTTGTTTACCGCAAAACTTAAATTTGTGTCCGAGATTTATTTAGTGTGTGCGACCAGGGAAAAGAAACCCGGAGAAAGTTGACTACTCGACTTTGACTTTCTTTTCTCTTCTTGTGTCGCATTTCATTAAATGTTTCCTCAACTTCAACTTTCCCCATGTTTTATTTTAGTCTTGTCCGTAACGCGTCTTTTTTTCGGGCGATTTATCTCATTTGCGCGTAAACCAGTTTATTTTATTGCATCACTCAATGTATATTTATCCCGATCGAGGAGAAAGTAGTAAAAAATACGAGTAATTTTGTGGTTGTGAAAATGTGGTGTAATTTTTGGGAAAGAAACTAGTTTTCCCTAAATAATGGAGCATTTAAGGGAATCATGGTCTAAATTTGTAACAAAATATAGTATAACTGCATTCGTAACGATTACTTGTCGGCAAATGTGTGTGATACAAGTTTCAAAGTTTTTACTAAATTGGTAATATTTTTAATTCCATGTTTGCTCTTTCAGGTCCACCTTTCGTCCGACCGGTTCCTCCGATAAAGGGCGTGGCTGGGAAGAATTTGCAAATCCAGTGCCCCGTCTCAGGATATCCGATCGAGAGCATTTCTTGGGAGAGAGGTAATTGATAATTAATAAAATGATACGGTTTGCAGACAAGTATAACTTTATCCTTCATGTTATCGAGGTGGAAAATAAATGTGAAAAAAGCCACTCAGAATCTGTTAATATTAACATATAAGTATAATTCTAAACTTTCCTAAACCGGCGTATTAACGATACTTATACATATGAAGAAATGTTTTAGTTTTATATTTCCACCCAGCATTTCTTGCGTTTCTGGCTTAGCATTTCAAGAATTGTAAACGTAACAAACACGCAAGAAACGAAACACTAATTTAGTTTTCTAAGATTTTTGAAACGTGAACTGGAGATAAATGCCTGCGCACAATTCAAGTTTGACCATTTTAGGCGGAAGTCTTCTGCCCGTGACGAGAATGCAGCGCGTCTACCTGAACGGCACCCTGATTTTGGAGCACCTTCAGAAAGCGGACGAAGGGATTCTCACCTGCCACGCGAAAGGCCGACAGGGACAAATTTCCTCCAGAGACATTCACCTCCGCGTTGTCGGTTAGTTTCGCGTAATTTAGTAATAAATATCGGCATTAAAAAAAATCTTATTACCCAAAATCCATTCATTTGAATTTTTGTAAAAGTTGTAAAAGTTTACACACAGATAAAATTGAATTAAGAAGAAAATCAGAGCACAGCTTTTTTTAACTTGTGCCTCCCAATTTTATAAAATTTACGCAACTCACCGCGTAATAAATATAAGAGCAAAAAATCGTGTTATTGACAAATTATAATGCCAGACTTTATTTGTAAGAAAATGTAATTTATTTTGTTATCCGTTAGATATGGGGAATACAAATGTGTAATGTGCAATGTGCAATGTGCAATGTGATGATGATGTTGACGGGAGACTAGTTTTTGTTCAGAATTCAATCAAAGTTACGAAATCTATAAATTTTTCCAATTCAAGGGGATAAACTCTCAACAATTCAAATTTTCAAACTATTAGTAAAAAAAAACTCATAGTTTGCATCCTCAATCCGTATACAAACTTCGACAAACTAGGGCACTTCAAGATCTACATAAAATTTCGAAAATTTGTATGCTAATGATCCTTTGCAGTATTTTTAAATTTTTGTAACCTTACAAAAATTACGGATTTTGCAAAGTTATTAAGACCTGTTTGAATTGCCTCGCATTTTTTTTAATTGTGTAATTGATGCATAAATTTTATATCCAGCTTTTCATTTTACCTGCAAACAAAAATTAACCTTAAGCGGCCTATTTCATCAAAATTTCTTATTCTCATACAATTTAAACATGGTATCTTTTTCATAGCCAATTTGTGACAAAATTTGATCTCCTCCGGGCCACTCAAATATTTCATACGGTTTCATTTATCCCATAAATTTTACGACCTAAATTTTGCATGATACAAAGTGCTCCATAAAATGTCGTCTTCCTCGAAATTGGTCATGATCACGGTTGAATTTACATCCGAACCAAATTTGTGTCCCCAGTTCCGCCGAAGCTGATGCCGTTCCAGTTCCTGAACACGATTTTGCGGGAAGGAATGCGGGCGGCGGTTTCCTGCCAACTGCTCGAGGGCGATCGACCCATCGATCTCGTCTGGGAATTCGAGGGGAAACCAATCTCGGGAGGAGTGGCCAATGTGAGTTGCAAAATTTGTGAAGGCAAAATTCATGAAAAATTTGAGAAATTTAGGAGTAAGAACCATAAGTTGGATAGAATTTATGAAAAATTTTGTTAAAAAATGTAGGCAAATGTAGAGAAATTAAGTATGAAATCCATCTCAGATTGTTATTTGCTACTTGACGGATCTGGAAACTCAATTATGATAACTTACTTTTGCATAATTTACTAAATCGACTTTCAAATGACACAAACAGTCCCCGAAAATCTAATAACTACTGTTCATCCAATATTATTAGTCGCAATTTCTTGGAAAATTTTCTGAGAGGTTATTTGGTTGCTAATTGAAAAATAAATAATCTGCCAGGTAACCTTTCAGAATTTTTTGCGACTAATAATACCGGACGAACAGTAGTTCTTATTTTGACCAATGGCGTTAGGAGAATAAGATCGAAATTTCTTTAACGTTACCCTTTTCGCAATTTGCTAAATCGACTTGCAATCACGACACAAATATTCGCACGGAGTAACTTTGTCCACATATGTACCTAGTTAGTTGGTGGTCTTATCTTGTCATCGTGCTTATCTACCTGTCATTACCTCGTGTAATAATTTTAAGTTAATTTGCCCCTACTCTCACAGGGCATTACTATTCGAGTTCCGGACGAGTATTCCTCAACTTTGGTGATCGACTCCCTTTCTTCCGTGCATAACGGTGCGTGACATTTCATTACATTAATTAGTTTTTAAAATTTTGGGAGAAAAACTAATTTTTTAAATTTCATAATTCAGGGAAATATACCTGCATCGCGGAAAATTCAGCGGGACGAGAACACTATTCTTCCGAGCTTACGGTTCAAAGTGAGTAAATAATTTTATACACAATGTATCCAATTTTTGAATAATGAGTTTTATATTGGATTACCTATTCCAAAAGTGGTCTTTGCTTGTAAGTGGTAAAATGATTAAAATTTTCAAAATTACAATTTGACCGACTACAACGACGTTTGTGATTTCTGTAGAATTTCTGAAGTCGGATTGTAGGTGTAGGTTTTAAATGGGTTTTTGCGTATAAGTTGATCAGTTCATAAAATAAGTTCATTTATAACAAAAAATGTCAAAAATTGACAAATGTTTTTTTATTAAAATTTACAAAAATTTTACAAAAATTGCACAGTTTACAGACATTCCCCTAAATCCATATGAATAATTTATCCCCAATTTGGCATAATTTCAACATCTGTGCTGTACCACCTCATCCCATAAAATTAGGCATCTTGAATTTTGAATAATTTTCGATGATGGCATTCTTCCCCGAAAAAAATTCCTCCTCGTCACAAAGAACGTCTGATGTGGGTAATAAATACGTAAAAAAAATGTGTCACGTCGCGCTAAATCGAGCTTCCGGGACTTCTTTATCTCGTTAAAAGGGGAAAGAATTGGTGGTTGGATGGACGGATGGATGGTTTTCTGGCCGCGAATCTCTTACGACGTGGTCGCGTTGGTGGCTGTGGGATGAAGCCGAAGAGGGAATTAATCGTCCCATTATTTCCTTTGCCAAATGCCATAATGTGTTTTCGGGTTTGAGAAGTGCGTTACCCGGGTATCGGGAGAGATGAAGGAGCGAGAGGGAGAAATGAGGAAGTCGGAGAAAGCTGGGAGAAAGTTGGACTCCGAAAGAGTGCAAGATTGACCACTTGAGTCTAACAGGGTTCGCAGGATGTAGGAGAATTTTATTTTTGGGGGTAAAATTGTGTAATTTTGATCATTGTTCATTGCTTTTAAAATATTACCATAATTCATCTCATAAAATTTTGACTGACCGCTTTATCTGAACAATATCTCCTACTTTTATTACATACTCTGCACCTTTGTATTTGTTAATTGTCCATTTTATTTCACCATAATTACAAACTTTTTTACTCCGGCAAACTTTTGCCCACATTTTTTGCAAACCCTATCGCATTCCGCTGTCCGGCAGGGTGGGAGATGGGGGCAGCGAGTCAAGCGATGCGTTTGTGGAGTGGATTGCGAGATGAGATTGGTTTTTCTGGGAGAAGATTAATGACACGCGTTTACTTTCGAAGGGAAAAATACCAACTTCATGTCTCACTAAGGGTCGTAATAGCCGCTCAACTTCCTCTCCGCAAACCCACGCGTTTCGATTTCCTATCCGTCTTTGTCTCCTTGTGGGCAGCGGACGGAGAAAGTTGATCTCGATGGAAAATGAAGTTTCAGCTCGTGGTCAAATTTTAGGAAAAGTCGGGTCAAGAAAGTCAGTGAGTGAAAGTCGGCCTAGTTTTCTGACGCAAAAGTTGGGAGAGACAAGGTTGTTAATGAGTTTTTGCATAGTTTGCGAATCCATGCGAAAAATTCTAAATGCAGAAAAGTGAAATAGGAATTGCGTAATACAACATGATTGAAAAACTAGTTTGCGCATATGGGAAATAATTTTGCAAAAACATATTAAAAAAGTAGGAGAATTATGAATGCAGAAAAGTAAAAAGAATTACATGATACATTTTTTCACATGATTGAAAAACTAATTTGCGAAAATAGGAAATAATTTAACACACATGTTGAAAAAATTGAGGCGGAGAATTGCATAATATTTTAAATATTTCACATCATAATTGAAATACTAGTTTGCAGAAATGGGAAAGAATTTTGCAAGCAAATTTGCCTTGTTAAAAATATAGCCATGTTTCAAACTGCGTAATACCAACTTGCAAGACAGATTCCGGTAAAAGCTGTACTGTTTTCGCTTCAAAAAAGTACAGAATTTCAAAATTTGTTAGAAGTACAAAAATGTTTCAAGCAATGTAATCAGTAGAAAATTTACCAAAAATATGTAACATTTGAGTGAAAAAATTACCGGAATTTTGGCCAAATTCCACAAAATTTTTTAGTATTCAAGGAACCATTGTGTATATTTTGCGTTGTGCAAAAAATATGAATATTATGCATAGCGTAATATCGTAAAGATGATCCATCAGATCCATGCCATGATAATTAAGTAAGTTGACCCCAATTCTGTGTTCTCCTATGATCCCAGACTAACCAGAAATGGGCAATTAGTTGAAATTAGGGATCATTAATGGTGGATAATTTTGCAGTTCCGCCGAAGTGGATTTTGGAGCCGAGAGACGTCAACGTTTCGGCCGGACACTCGCTTTCACTTCAGTGCCGAGCTGAGGGCCATCCCACCCCCTCAATCACGTGGAAAAGGGCCACTGGTACGTTATCTATTGGTGGAAATTTTTAGAAATATTCGAATATTCCCTACGGCGAGTTTTTTTAGTGGTTACAAATTTCGTTACCAATTACTCTTCTCATGTAGTATCATTTTGTGTTCCCAATTTTGTTACTAATTTGTTTAATTGGTGTTACCAATGGGTAATCCATTGCTATCAATTTGGTCACCCATTCTATTAGTAAAAAATATCTTCTACCAATCCTAATTATCGAAAGTAGTTCAATCAAATTTATTTATTTTTTGGTAAAGAATTGATTACCAATTTGAGTTATCAATTAGATTATGTATGTCCTATGTGGGGTGACCAGACTACTCATTAATAGAGTCAGCCAGGCCAGCGGCGGTAGCACATTCAAGGCTAATTGCCGACATCAATTAGATTAACTATGTAGGTATTACCGATTTCTTTATATTGACTAGTGAAAATTTGATTATTTTTCGGTACCAATTTTTACTGCTTACTAGCACGTACATAATTTTGTATTTTTTTGTAATACATTCGAAATATTTTTTTACCAATTTCGACACTCATTAGGTATACTTATTACTCAAAAAAATATATTTTACTAAACGTTGCCAGATTTCTCTAACATTTTCCCCTCTTTGGTCATCTTTCTCTCAATACATAACTCATTTTCTCGTTTTCTTATCTCTACCTCAGCAGGCATGCAGCCGGGCGACTACAAGGACATCCTTTCTCCCACCGGAAGCTCGTCCCCCTTCGCCAACGGCACCATCAGATTCGACCAAGTCCGAAAATCGGACGAGGGGAATTATCTGTGCGAGGCGAGAAACGACGTGGGCTCCGGCCTCTCCAAAGTCATCTTCCTCAAAGTTAACGGTTAGTGGATTTCAAGACCTAGCTTGTCTACTTTACTTTTGAGTGTCATGTTTACCCTAATTTGCATAATGCGACAATGACAAAACATAACCTACTTGGTGCCCCCTGTCCCTGCTTTCACTTTCTTCTTCTCCCGGGTCGGAGAAAGTACACCACCCGGAAACAAGTCTGTCTCTAATTAATTAATTACCCGGATTAATTAGATGACGGCATCAAGAGAGAGGGAGAAAGTTGGACAGAGTCGAGTGAGTGGAAGTTAAAAAGACCGAAAGTATTTAGAGAAAGTCTAATCCCACGAGAGGCCTGAGTGCATGTGTGGTCCTTCTAATCTGGGAACAATGAAGGCAGAAAGTTTACTTAGGTTGCCAGATAAGCGTCGTTAAAGACAATGACTTATCTTGGACTTTATTTAGATGAATGTGAAGTCGTTCCAAAGAAAGTTCTCTTTTTTAAATTGTCCACTTTTTCAGTTTCTCACTTTTTTTTATTTTCAACCTTTTTAAAATTTCCTACTGCTGCTTTAGCTAAAAAAAATATTCAAAAAGAAAACTCTCTCTTTTAACTCTTGCCTTTGTTTTTTTTATATATTCAATACTTTTTTAAATTATCCACTTCTTTTTTTAAATTTCAAAATTATTTTCTAACTTTTAAATCCCAAGAAACCTGCCTTTTTTAAATTTCCCACTTCTTTTTTAGCATTTTTAAGCAAGGAGAAAGCCAATGAAAATTTTTTTCACTTACTTCCTCCTTCTCCTCAGAAATCTGACTTTCGTTTCATTCCCAATTACCGGTTTAAACTGCTGAGGATATTTTCTTGGCGGGGAAAGTTTGTTTTGTTGAAGACTTTCTTTTCTTCAGAGGAAAGTTCGGCACTTGAGGAGAGCTCAATGTAATGAAATTCTTGTAGATCTGTGTGCATCATTTATGGGAGTTGCATAACAGCGAGTGAGCAGAATTGTACAATTGCAGGGCATGAAATAAGGAAATGCAGTTTTTCAGCTATGGCAGAAGTGCATTTGAAACATTTATTATCGGGAAAGCAAGTTGGTAATAAAATAGTATATGCTCTACCAACATTTGTCACCGAATGATAATATAAACTTCAGAAAGCTCAAACTTCTGTAGAAATGAATTGATTAAAGCAGGACAAGTTTGAATTTGAATCTGCCAGAAATTATTCGGCGGCAAATCGTTACCAGTGATTCACATAGGGATTACACGCGGTGACAATTTTGTTACCAAAGTAAGCAAATTGTTTGCAGGGTAATTTCGTTTTTCAAAAAAGTCCACCGACATGTATTTCTCTACACGTTTTGAAGTGGTCACTTAAATAAATTGAATAGCTCACGTGTCGAAAGTCGATTATTATGTTCTGTGCTATACAGCGACATAATTTAGGTGAATAGTTTTTCCAGTCTTAATTTGGATGTTACGTGAAGCTGTGGAAATTCGTAAAATTAAAATCTCGTTCAAATTTACGATAAAATCATATCAGCAATGAAAATAACTGCTTGATAATTTGAAAATTTTGACTTAATTTCAATACCTTCCTACCAATCCGGTAGGAAATTGTTGCCAAATCAATACTAGCCAGGACTATCTATTTAAGTCTACCAGATTTTTAACCGTGTATTTTTCGTGGTAGAAATTGATTTAGAGGGGGTTGCAATTTCGAATTTCCCCGAAATTATGGTTACCATTCTCGGGTAAATCGTTACCTATGTTATAGAGCTGTACATCATGAATACACGCGGTGACGCGATTTTATTACATGGATTGTTTAACAAGCCAACTTTTGTTTCTGACAAAAAGGTCCATGGAAATATATTTTTTTAAAACGGAGTTTGAATTTTTCACATAAATTGGATAACTTACGTGCCAAAACTCAATTATTACTTTGTGGCAATACATAAATGCAATTCAGGTCCGGAGTTCCTGTTTGAGAAGTCCTGTTGAGGAGTGTACTGTTTCATTTGCCCGGAGTTCTTAAAACGAGGATAGAGTTTTACAAGGGAACTGGCCAAGGTGTACAGCTGCTCCTCCCATAATGGACGAATCCACAATTACATTAGCCGAACAGCCGAATTATTTTATTATTTCACATCACTCATTTTTATTTCGGCGTTCAAATTATTCAATTTCGTATGACTTGTACGCCAAAATAAAAATAATAGAAGTAGAATAACAGAAAATTGAATAATTTGAACGCCAAAATGAAAATAAGTGATCTGAAATAATAAAATAATTCGGCTGTTCGGCTAATGTTATCCCGGATTCGTCCATTATGGGAGAAGCAGCTGTACACCTTGGCCAGTTCCCTTGTAAAACTCTATCCTCGTTTTAAGAACTCCGGGCAAATGAAACAGTAAATGTTGAAAAAATTAAAAGCTGGTTCAAATTTTTAGAAAAATTCAATGAAAATATTTTCTTCGTAAGTATTTTTGGTATTTTTCTTTAACGCAAGCTTCCATGACGCGCCACCTACGTCATAACAGTGACGTCACAACCCTATATTTTTAATTAATTCTCAGCAACTAGGACGAATTTCGAAATTCTGGTCGACGATATTGTAGACCATCCCGTTATCGTTGTACTCGAGCAGAAATCCAAGAATTTGGAAGTTTGAGAATGGCTGGATGCCACAATTAGTGTAATTTCCATAAGGACACATGCTAATCATCAGGCAAAATTGGCTTATCCATATCGATCAATTTTAAATGCATATTTTTAAGCAGCTAATTATCAACAATAGTGGTGTACAGAATTTCGAAATTCGATTTCAAAGTCTCGAAAAATTAGTTTGAAATTTATGAATATTGATGTGTATTTATGTACGTAAAAGTATGGGAAATTTTGTGATGAGTCGAGTCCGTCCACCTGAAGAAATACTGGATCCGCGATTACATTACCCGAATGAGCCGAATTATCCTATTATTTTACGCCACTTATTTTAATTCTGGCGTAAAAATCACACCAAATTGAATAATGTAAACGCCAAAATAAAAATAACTGGTGTAAAATAATAGGATAATTCGGCTCATTCGGGTAATGTAATTCAAAGTCCAAAGGGGTTGCAAATTTCGCGCAGTTTAAATTACTCAATGATTTCTTGAGAAGATCACATCATAGAGGCTAGCCTTAACTTAAATAGCAGGGAAATCAGGCCATAAATTCCATGCTGTTTCGGATTTAAGAGAACTTTATGTGTTTTTGTGTGTGTGACTAATGTGTAAATGGCGATGGGCGAAATGTGACCGTGTGAGGCGTAAATAAGGCGACGGTGTGGTCACAATCAATTACTTGGTGGTGTCATTTATTTTACACATAAGCCAACTATTACTAATTTAGAGTGTAAAATGAGACGAGGGACAATTTAGAGGTTACGATGTTCTTCCTCGTAGTGGTGAGTCGACACTAAAATTATTTCAACTTGAACTTCACTTAAAAAGGGCATATTCACTGCCAAAACCGAAGCCAACTTCTGGCAAAGGGAAGGTCTCCTCAACCTCACCAGCCAATGGCTGATGGCCACACAATTATTGGAGGTGGGGTTGAGGAGGTCACGAAAGGTTCAAAAAACTTTAAAGAAAAAGATTAAAAAACTGGACAAGTTCCAGGAAAAAGGACGACAGAATGGCACCATTCAAATTTACCAAACTGGTCTCTGTCTCAAAGGTACATACATACATCCACCAAAGTCATTTTCATATCACAGCAAATACATTCAGATTTTTTTTCATTATCATGTCAAATATCATTTAAAATAATTATGTAAATCTCGACGACACATGCACTTGTAAAAATCTGGTAGAGTCACATTTTCATGAATTACCACTACTAGGTAACTCTACTAGGTAATTACCAGTACGGAGTACTTATACCTTGTACTGGTATTGATTTGGTATTAATTTCCTACGCGATTGGTAGTAGTTTGTTTCTGAGTGGTAAATTTTTCATTATAACTATATTACCGAATAGTAATACCCGTTATTACTAGTGCCGGTATGCATGTACTCTATAATGAGTTGTTTGATACCAGTTTTCTAAGAGTGTGAACATCAGTCCGAGTACAACTCTAAAACCGACTCGACTTTAAAGTGGGCAAAGTTTCCGAGTGAAAATCAAATTTACACAAGATATGCATTCCTTATTCTTCTCTCCTTCTTGCTGTGTCTTGATTAAAGAAACATCTTACCCGGGTTTTGTGGTTAGGTTTTAGGTTACCCGCCTGAACTAAATCTAAGTAGGAGAAATAAAGTTGTTGTTGTGGATGCAAAGTTTGGCGGTTATCTATTTAGCAGCTTATCTCTGAGTGGGGAGGTTATCAATATTTGAATAAAAGTGGGACTGGGAGAAGAAGTCACCTGCTGTCTTGGACAACTTTCCGCGTAAATGTTTTACTGTTATCACCTTACGCGGATGGATGAGAGGGGTAACTTTTGTACTAGTTCTTATGTAATGGAGTCACTAAAAAGCACTAATAGGGTTCCGAATATGGTGCGTTGTGGTGTTTTTTCTGCATTTTTGAGGTGAAAATGAGTGTAAAGTTATTCAACATTTATTTTATTTTTTTACTTGATAACACGAGCATACAAGATTGACAACTTATAAACGTCTGACAGAAACGAACCTATCAAGTTAAACTATTAAGTCAAGTTAAACTATTAATCCTGGCGAAATTAAACAGTTTTCATCCGAAAATCCAATTCACAATCGAGGAGGAAACAAATAATCAACTACCATTCCTAGATGTCCAAATCTACCGAAAAGATGACAACACCTTTGGACACAGAGTCTATAGAAAAAAGACCAGTACAGATAAGTACCTCAATTTCTCTTCATATCATCATATGTCACATAAAATTTCAGTCATAGATGCCCTTTCCTACCGAGCAATCAAAATATCTGACAAAGACTCTTTACCATCTGAATTGTCTCATATCACAAATGTTTTAAAGAAAAATAGGTATCCATCAAACCTAATTTCTAGGGATGGTAATCCGTATCCTAAATTAACCGATCCGTAGGATAGGATCGGATAAATACAGGATCGGATCGGATCGGATTTGCTAGCTTTAGGATCGGATCGGCTCCCGGTTCTACTCGAAATCCGATGCGATCCGATCCTAGGATATCCGCGGATGATATGTGTGAGACACCTTGTGTCTAACTATGGAAATACTTTACCAGCTGCTTTTCTTTATTTATTGGAACGGTTTTTGGTGAGTTCATCACATGGCGTACATTACCCGAATGAGCCGAATTATCCTATTATTTTACACCAGTTATTTTTATTTTGGCGTTCAAATTATTCAATTTAGTATGATTTCAACGCCAAAATAAAAATAACTGGTGTAGAATAATAACATAATTCGGCTCGTTCGGGTAATGTACGCCATGTGATGAACTCACCAAATGTGAAACGAGTTTACATCGGATGATCCGAGGATCCTGTGTGATCCTAGGATCTCATCGGTTAGGATCGGATCGGATTGTCTGATCCTCGGATCCTCTATCCGATCCGTGTGAAAATCCGATCCTATCCGAGTTTTTATGATCCTAGGATAGGATCGGTTACGGATTACCATCACTACTAATTTCTAAAAGGATATCAACTATGAAACACAAACTAAGCCTACCCAGACAACCGCCCTCTAGTGATGAACCGACCCCAAGATTTGTGTTACCATTTCTCGGACCCACAACTGGAAGATTAACAAGTTTCCTCAGAAGGAGAACAAATTTCGATTTTGGCTACAAAACCGGAACGAAACTTCACAAATTCTTCACCTCTCACAAGGATAAAAACCCCCCGATAACCTGTGGCATATACAAAATCCCTTGTCACGATTGTGAAGCTACATATGTTGGTCAAACCGGAAGAAATCTAAAAACAAGAGTCAATGAACATAAACGAGACCTCAGAAAAATGTCAGAATCTTCGGCTGTAGCACAACATATTTCTCAATATTCATCCCATCAAATTGATTTTGATTCGGCAGTACTCATTGAAACAGAACAAAAATACTTCTCAAGAATATTCAAAGAGGGTCTCTACATCAATGCCGAGAAAACAGCAATGAATCAAAAAGATGGAATGAAAATCAACCCGATTTGGACATCCGCATTATTACATTTACTGTAACATAACAACCAGTCTCCATTGTTAGTCATAATTGTGATCTTCATGATTTGTGCATTCTCATAATATCGGTGTATCTTAAATTACATTTTTACCATCTCCCCTGATGAAGACAAAAGTTTATTGTCGAAATATTGGGAAAATAAAGTGTTCTTAAAATAACGTCAACACACAATGTCCGTCTCAACGTCATCTAATTAAACTATTAAGTATTGCTTACAATATTTTACTCTGACGTTGAAATTATTTAATTTTAACCAATTGTTTAATCTATTACATCAAATTGTGACACAATAAAAATATAAAAATAAAAAATGGGTCAAAATTTTACAACATACAAGAAAATTGCGATAAGCAAGTTTCAATCACAAAAGCAGCATAAAAACACTGAACCACAAACCCTACCTCCTTAAAACCTATTGCTATCCCCCGGGCTACTCATCACTGATGATAAGGTAGCCTCATCCTCTCGTAATGCACACGACACTGAGCCTCCTGTCCCTGTAAAATCAAAGAGAAATCACAAAGTGAAAGCGAATCGAGTCCCGTATTTGTCTTCTCGAGTTGTCTCTCCAGGCTAGAAAATATCGCTCTTCCTCTTTGTTACCTTTGCCACAGGAGAAAAAACTTTGTTCAACAAGAGGAAACGAAAATCTAGGTTTTTTTGTTCAGCGAAAGTTTCCCATCTGTGTAAATATTGATGAATGTAAGTAAAAAGTGAGTGTAGAAGAAGGTGTAGAATCAAATCATGAGCTGAGATGAGATGAGGCGAAGATAAGATAATATTTATGACATGAGCCAAAAAGGTGGCGAAGTGAAAGAGAGAAACTTGTCTCGAGATTGTCTGATTTATGGATGGGATTAGATCTGCCATGGAGCTGGGAACTTTCTCCGTGAGATATTTTATTAAGTGGGAATTGGTTGGAAGTCAGTCACTTTTTGCAGAAAAGTAAGTGGTTTTAGGCTTGATTAATATTTTTCTTTCACTTTGATGAGAAAAATCGAGATTAGTTGTAGTAGATATAGTATTTGTTGGGGTACAGAAATTTTCTAAAAAAATTACAGGAATCTAACCTACATATTCAAATAAATAGGTTATATCGATATTTTTGGGAAATTATTTTATCTTCCAAAAATACCCTGCTAGTAAAAAATTAAAGTAGATCTTAACATTTAACGAATTTACGGTTACAGAATTTGCATAATTTTAAAGCTTATTGAGTTATAAATATCCCTCAATTGCAACAAATAAGTTAATACTGTGAACATTATCGACACACAAATCCACCTAAGTAAAAATTAATAAGTATTCTTGAACATTTATAAAAATGATAAACGTCGTTGATATATAACTTAACAAACGTGTCACGCGAATTTTAGTAATTTTTGTGCAAAGATAAAAATTCCAATTTTGTACAACTACGTACAAAATTTACAGAGTTGACTGCTAAACTTCTGAATTTCCTCAATAATATATGTATACTATTTTTAGTAATAACGTTAAGGAAGAATATTTGTTGCACTCAAACTGTTTGCACAATTTTATCTTAACTTTTAAAAATAGTATGTTAACTAAACAAATTAAATGTTTATGTTTCAGCACCTGCCAAATGTAATCCGGATGAGCAAGCAGTAAACGCCGTGATTTCCGTGCGAGTCGGGGAGAAAGCGATTCTTGGTTGCCGAGTCGGTGGCGACCTTCCAATTCTGATCGAATGGGGCAACAAACACGGCAAAATTGGGGCTCATTCGAATCACAGGTGAAAATTGATTTTCAATTTTACTTAGCAAAAATTGTACTTTTACGATAAAAATGCAATCTTTAATTGTATTTTAAATGGCAAACTATGAATTTGAAAATTTAACACTGTAAATAAGGTGGTCCCAAAATTGATATACTGACCTGGTGCAACTCACGCATTTCTTTGAAACTTTGTAAGGCATTTACATTTTGTAAAATAATTTGAATACGTTTAACTAAATAAAAGGACGCCCTTGATGTGAGTAAGTGTACAAAAACGTGTACAAAAAGAAGTTTGTAAGTTTATGAATTTTACGGATTTTACAAAGCTACCAAGCGTGAGTTGCCTATGTAAATTACGTAATCACAAAATTGATGCCATATTAGTACCGATTTTGATATTTGTCTAACAAAAATGGACCAATTTACTTACAATAGCAAGACTTTTGCAAATTGCACACTTTTGTAAATTGCATACTTTTTCAAATTATGGGACAACCTTACAAATACCGCATGACCCGATTCAATCATTACAAAATCATTTATTTTCAAATTATTCAAAATACCAGAATTTTCTGAAAATTAAAAAAAATATTTTTGACCAAATTTTTCTATTTTTAGGTACACATTTCGCCAGCAAGAGTTGGAGGATGGGATCTTATCCGAATTGCTGATAGCCTCCGTTGACCGGAGCGATTCTGGTGCTTATTCATGCCGAGCTTCCAACCCTTTCGGTTCCGATCATACCATCGTCACGCTCAACGTGCAAGGTAAGCAGCAACTGAAATATTTTCAAAAATAGGAGAAAATATCATAAATGTTTAAATCGTGCTTACATAAAATTAACTCTGGCAAAAAATTTCTGAATCTACTTAAATTCCAAAGCATTACGTTTGGGTTGGATCTTTGAACCTGAACAATTTAAAAAATATAACAAAATTCTCTGTTTTAAATTTAAGTAGAAACAAAATCAGTCCCGATTTTTTTCCAAAATTTAACTTTTACGAGAAATATGGAAATATTCCGTGTCAAAAATCATTAAAATATAAAAGTTCAATTAGTGAAAATACTATTATTAAGATGTGGCAGGTTCGAGTTTTCAAACTTACATTTAAATATTAATAAAACACTATAGTAAAATTCGTACCAAAAATATTTAAAAAAAAATTCAACTCGGTATATTTTCCAAAAGTATAAAAATTGTCTGTTTAAGATTCAATTCCGAGTTTTTTGTCCCAAATATTTAACTTGCATCAAAAATAACTTGTGTCAAAAACAGGAAAAATTCCGTGCCGAAAATATAAATTTTGAAGTGCAATACTTTTAAAACCATTAAACAGATGAAGTTTTATGCTTCTTTCAACGTTTAAAAATTGTTTGAAAAACATGTCCTTTTTCAAAATTCAGTAAAAAAATATAACCTTTCTTTTATCACAAATTTCTTTCCATTCTCTTCGAAAACCATGTTTCCGAGTAGATGAAATGTACTTCGAGAGAATAAAAAAATGTTATTGCTAAATTTTGAACTGATCTGACCATTAATTCCAGAGCCTCCGGAGCAGCCGGGTAATTTACGGGTGGTTGAGGTGGGGAGTCGTTCGGTGGGATTTCCTGGCTGGAAAACTTCAACGGGAACAGTCCCCTCATCAACTTCATCATTCAGAGCAAGTTCCCCTCAGGTAAGAATTCAACAAGGTTTGAGTTTTTAAATGCATAAATTTTTCGCATGATTTGTCATCATTTCCAATAATTTCGAGGGCAGAATAAAAATGTAATCAATTTTGGTGTGGGTGTGTGCGAAATATAATTTAATTTCTCGTCGATGGTGAATATTTAAGTTTATCAAATTCTGATAAATTTGGATTTGACAGTGAGTGAACTATTTCTTTAGGTTTTCATTTACATTATAATTTGTCAGACAAATGGAAAACTTTTCAATTGAGGGAGCCCATATCTACAAAATTGTACTATTACACACGTTTGCATCAATTTTTTAAGTTTGACGTAGAAACTGAACAATTAATTTTGATATAATTATACAGTACAGATTCCACATCGAACTTAAAAAAATGGTATAAATGAATACATCTAAGAGCATTAGCAGATACCCAAAATTCGGTTGCCATGATTAAATACAGGAATAAAAGGCATGCATTTAGATTTCCGTAAGAAACATTATTTATCATTTCCCAATTTCTCCCCACTTTCTTTTCATCTCTTCTTTATAACTTAAAAAAGTCACTTTCATTCCATTGCAGTTAAAAATGTTATCAATTTTGCCAACTTTTTTTCTTTGACTAATTTCCCAGAAAAATGGGTGATTTTTTCGTCGTCCCAGTTTCATACAGATCCACTTTCTTTTCCGGCATGCTCATACTTTGTGTGTTCCCTTTTGCAAATTAATTATCTTTCTTCGCATCCATTCCTTTGGCCACTTTGACTTTCATTTCACTTCACTTCACATTTTAATTTTAATTTAGTACACGAATCTGGAACATGCTCGGGTCCGGGATGACTTGGTATTTAGCAGGGTTTCGCTGTCCACGACTGTCCAAAGCAACCATCTAAAATGGGCTTTCAACAAGTTTTGGATACCGAAATTTGAAAGTCAAAAATGTCTAAAAATGTTCGAAATACTTAGAATATGGGTTTTTCATTAGAAATCTGTCGATAATCAGTTGACGAATATTTGCGAATCTCCCATTAATTTTGAGCATTTTGCTGTGTAATGCAGCATTGTTTCCAAAATTTCTGAATTTCTCATATGCCAAAACAAAAATTTTTCCAAAGTTTGTCGTATTACTTACAGACTAACCAAAATGGTCAAAATTAATGGGAGATTACATATCCATGCATAGATTTGCGAAAAAGTGGTTCATAAAAAACTTTCAACATTTTGCCCTATTTTTCTACAAATCGACATGACTTTTGGAAATTTTTAAATTATTTTGGGCAGTTTAATACGCTTTTGGACGTGTCAAACGAAACACTGGAATTTATGATTGAGAGGAAAGTCAAAGGGAAAATGAGTGAAAAGGAAAAGATAGGTCCGTGCATTGCAGAAGATTTCTTAATTATTTTCGCGAAAGAAGTCCATTAAATTAGATTCCGGGCACGGCTCAGTTCACGCGACTCGCAAAGAAATCCTTCCCCAGATGAAGCTCGGTCATGCCCAGCTTTCTCCTTCCGTTCACTTTTTCCTTCTTGTCCCAGGAGCCAACGGGCCAAGTAATTGTCATCTCAATATACGACATCATTTTCGCGGCGGGTGGTACACACACGAAATAATCGGGGACCAAAATTGGTGGAATTGGTAACGATTTCTTTCGATCGTAAACGATAGAAACAATGAGCAATTCACTCGAGCTGTTATTGGTAACTTCGTCAAAGCAGTGAAACCCGTGGAATTTCAAACTTTTGCCACATCTTACAAATATTTTCGACGAAAATTAGCAAGATCAATGGCGTCATTTAATATTTTGTAAAAGTTTGAGGGTGCAAAACTGACTGTGGTAACGATTTCATTATTTCGGTAAAACACGCAGTTCACGCAGTCCTTGGTAACTCTGTAAAATTACGAACTTTTACAAAATGTTACAAACATTGTGAAAAAATTAGCAGTCCTTAAAATTACTTTACAAAACTTGAGGATTTTGCAAAGTTAGCAAGGCCTGCGTGAATTACCTCAGTATTTAGGACAAGGAAATAAAGAAATCGGGTTTTCAAGTTAATTTGTTTTCTTCAAACTATGTGAAGTAATAACGGCGAAAGTTAATATTCTTAAATTTTGGAGTATTGATTTTTTGTTTCAGATACAGCATTTTATCAACAGAATTGTACGAATGAGGATTTTACAAAGTTACCAATGACTGCGTGACTGGCTGAGATATGCTTAAAAATTGTTACCACCTCGGTGACAATTTTGTTCCCTGATTATTTAGTGTATTTAGCCGGATAAAATACCCGGGTGTGGTTGTGCAGGGGAAGAAGAATGATAACGTTCATTGAATTTCATGCCTGTTTTGCTATCATTACTATTATTTTATTATTAGCTTCACTTTCTCCACTTTCTCCTCCTTTGTGTCAGCGAAGAAAGAAATTAATGTCGGGACTAACAAGACGAGAAATGTTTTCGGGAAGGAAAGAAATAATTTAAATAAATTTAATGAGAAAATGTTATGAATTTTGGTAAGTGGTTTTAATTGGAGAAAACAAGCAAACGAGTCCAATCTGTTGAAACAGTTGGGTTTTTAATGAGCGTAGTATGCAAATGAGGCGTGTCATGGAATGAATTTGCTGTTGGCAGTTGAATAAAACACAAGAAATAATTTTGCTAGAATTGGTAGAATAACAAGTCGACATAAATATTTTAGATTCTTTTGGAGAAAAATGACATACTAAGGTTCAAAAGTGAAAAATGGGTACATTTACATACATAACTTGGTAATAAAATCGTCACCGTGTATTGACAAACTAGTTACACTAGTTTCCGAGAGATTAAAAGTTGTTACCAATTTCTACTCGGGAAATGTCAAATTTGAGTTTCTTACAAATTAATGGTACAATTCTGCGAATGAATTTTTGTCACTTGTTACTATTCTTGTAACAATAATTTTCGGGTGCCTCGAAATTGTCAAAATTTCTAACCATCGGAAAACGTCAAATTTGCGTTATTCTGAAATTTATGATACCATTCCGCGATAAATCTTTGTTTGCTTTGGTAAAGCCTCGTAGTGATTAAACGATTTTGTTACCATCCTATTTGGAATGTAAATATCAATAAACTCCTAATTTGACCTTAAATAAAATTCCCGCCTAAAACAAATCCTATACATATTTCCTTCATTCTAGAAACCTGGACAGAAGCCGAAGTCGAAGAACTTGCCGTTCCCGCCACCCAATCCACCGCGCTGGTCGAAGGCCTAACCCCTTCGTCGACTTATCATCTCCGCGTCCTCGCCCAAAACGGGGTCGGCTTCAGCCCGCCCTCGGAAGTCGTGCAGATCACGACGACCGAGGAAGCCCCCGAAGGCCCGCCCATCGAAATCGTGGCGGAAGCGGATTCCTCGACGAGACTGAGGGTCCGTTGGGCCCCGCCGGAAAGGGCGCTCTGGCACGGGCAGATTTCAGGCTACTATCTCGGCTACCGAGAACTCTCCCTCGCACTGGCGGATCACCCCGTGCTGCTCTCACAGGAGGATGGAAATGAGGGTGGAACCATGACGGGAGAAAGTGGGAGGAGCTTGTTACGTTCTCATTTACACGGCAATTTGGCCGACCTGCATGGATACCACTTCAAAACGGTGGAGGTATGAGATTTAAATACCTACTTGCAATTTGTAATTTTGTGGACCTTGAAGGTTAGTAGAAGTTAATTTGCATAGGAAAATATAAGGATCTTACCAAATCAACTTACAAAAGTTTGCAATATTTGCGAAGTTGAGACTCTTTTTTCGTAAAAAAATATGTCTGTTTCTTTCCAAATTTGCCCAGAAATCGAGTATGGTTTTATTTTGCAAGATTATTTCGCAAGCTGTTCGCTAAATATGATGTCACTATGAATTTGGCGATATGTCCATAATTTACATATACATACAATTGTCGCGAAAATAAGTAGGTACATGAAATTATTGACAAATAAAATGTTTCCAATTGTTTTTGAGACGTAATTTTTGCTTACGAGCAAAAGTATCCTAAATACATAGGCAAAAGCTGAATAAAAATATAATTGCACAAAAAGATAAATTAGGAAGAGGATATTTACGAATTGTTAGTGGCACGTCTGTTCTGATATTTTTATAGATCTTATAAACGTCTAATGTGTTTAAATAGATCAAGTATCGGTGCCTGAGATACACCAAATTTATTGAAAATATCACAGCAATTTCCACTTATACGGAAAATTGTTAAAAATAACCATGATATGATCTGCCAATGATGTATGTCAATTATGTGCATAGCATCAAATATTAGACCACCAACTATTATGGGTGGATTTGCATCAGTTTATTAACCTGCTAGGTTATGCATGCATTATGAATGCATTAATTGTACTTGCTTATATACGACATGACTTGATCTTAAATAAAGTAGTCGCTAAATGTACTCGTTGAGCAGATGAGCTAAACCATTATTTTGAACAAAAATATGACATAATTTAGCACAATTTGCAATGGAGAAAAGCTCCCAAAATTTAATATATGCTCACCAATGACTGAATATCAATGGTTTCAAAATTTCAAAGCCATCAAAACTAGTTTGAAGTTACTTCACATCTTTCAAGGATTTTTCCAAGCAAAAAAAATCTCTCAACTTTTTATCACTAAATGTTAACAGAAATTTTAAAACAAATTTTTATCAAACATTGTTCTACTGATCATCGCAGAGTTCCCGATATTTCTGCCTCAGTTTACCAGTCAGTGATCATAACTGATCTCTTTATTTAGCTTTCTAATACATAGTAATGTATTTCACGTGCTAATTTTAATTGATTCAGGGAAAGATAAGCCGACCCATTTTTTAATTCGTGTTAATTCGAGTTTTCTGCATTACAGAATGTCAAAAATATTTCTCAACTAAACTCATCAGCCTTAATAGCCATGTAACTCGACGGAAATTCGAAAATTTAAAAGTTTGCTTGATTTTTCATAAAATGGAATGTTTGAAATCTTTGTAATTGTAAGTTTTAAAAAACCACAGGGCTAAGCAAAATTTAAGATTCTTAAAAAACAGCAATTTCGAAAGGTCAGGCTATTTATTTACTCAATTTGTATTGCCCAAAATATCATATTTTAAATATACGTTATCTATTCTTTAAGTGGCGTCAAAATTTGAACTGATCTCTAATTAAAAATGCGTATCGGGAAAAAACTATATATTTTCTCAATGTCAATCACAATCACAAACGAAACCGTTAAAACCCAAATTTCGACATTTTTCTCGTTTTAACCGGAACTTTTTCTTGGGCCGCAGATCCCTTTCACGGGCCAAATGAAAGCATTAAATCGTTTAACGGGTCTCCGCGAAGGGATCCACTTTCTCCCTCGTTTGTTCACTTTCTCTGTTTTTGGTGGAGAGTGAAAGTGAAAAAGTCATGACGCTCAGGAGGAGAACATTGTGTGTAATGCTGTGCGATGCAAGTTAAGTGATGATCAGAGGGCGGATATGTATTTATTTTCAAATTTTCATTTGGTGACTACCGACGGCAAAACTTTGTGGGCATATCCGTTAACTCGTATAGATAAAATTTCTAAATATCTGCACATATTGTTGCATATTCATTGGTTTTCAGACATATAAATATTATATTATTATTTAAAAAATACGGAAACCTTTTCCCCATTTTTTTCAAAAATATATACATACATATATTTTGTAAATATACCTATGTGAGACAAAAGTTCTTGCTGAAAGAAATTGAACCACAAAAATACAGAGCATTATATTTGAAAGCACAAATTATTTGAAAATTCTTATTTTTATGATTGTTTCGTAAATGTTATTTCGTAAACGTAATTTCTTGGCGTTTTTCGTACATATTAAATACATATTTTTCGTAAATTAATATCCTCTTTGTGGTGATTATGAGACGGCGTGACATTCTTATTTGACAAAGCTCTCGTGACGTGAATGGTTATGAATGGAATGTGAATGAATGAGGTGAAGAGAATCGAGACTTTGAGAGAAAGTACGCGGATGACTATTTTTAAAGGAGAAAGCCGAAAATGGGTGACAGAAGGTATTCTTTTTTGGCAGGATTGCGTACATATTTTTACGATAGTCGACTTTTCAGTTGAACAAATTGGAAGATTTACAAAATTTGTTGTTGAAATTGGAGTTTTTTTAAAGAAAATGGAGATAGATTTCGAGCAATTTTGTGAGAAATTTGTCAACTTTATTTTGTTTTTGTTTGTTTCAACTTTGTTTTTTGAATCATGTCAATGTTTGACCGTTTTTAGTAAGAAATGATGATCCAGTACCACCCACCTATTTTTCAATTTAATCGTTGAAATTCTCAAATTTTAACTTAACTCGTCAAAGTTGTACAAATATTTTAAATAAAAATTACACCCTTTGTATATTTATAGCAAAATTTTCAAAATGTATTTTCTTCCGGTTCATTCGGATTTTGCAACGCAGGAAACTTTTAAAAGTTTTGTAACATTGATGTACATCATTTTTTTTAAATATAGATTTTTAGCTAGATATTTCTTCGTAACCTGTGTAAACCTTGGTAAATTTAGGTGGCTGTAAATATTCGAGTGAGTTACAAAAAGAAGATATATTTACCAAATCTCTTATTTCTTGTAAAACTTTAATTAAACTTCCTTATTTTATGTTGTAGTATTTATTAGGAAAATTTTTCAGCAAATCTTTGAAATTACCCGTTAAAAAAGCAAGTTTTTGTATTAAATATCTCGCGTACTTTACTTTATTTTCAGGTTGGCCAGGACTTTGGGGGTGAAACGACGATTGACAATTTACGAAAGTTTACGCGATATGCCATCGTTGTGCAGGCCTTCAATGCGAAGGGTGCCGGACCCTCGAGCAGCCCCACCGTCGCCACCACGCTCCAGGACGGTGAGCCAAAATATTCAAATAAACTTTTGTGCAATTCACACAAGCCTTTCAACTTTGTAAAATCCGTAAACTATTAACACTTATTAAAAAATTTTAAACATTTTCCAGTAAAATTTTCGTAAACATATTCAGCTCCTTGGCGTCTTTCTATTTTGGAAAAGTTTGTAAAATTATTTTACGAAGTTTCCTATTTTACAAAGTTACTATTCACTTCGTGAATTGCCTCTTTGTACATATTTTTTTAATTATTTAAAAACGATAAATTTAATAAATTCTGTCGGAAATTTTACAATTTCAAGTTTACTCGGTTTTTGGTGATTCAAAACTGTGTAACCTTTACAAATTGTTTGACTAAAGGTTTAGTAAAATAATATAAACACAATTCTTTGCTAAATACTCTTCAAAATCAATAAACCGTTGCAAACGAAATGTAGCAAAGGGGTGAAAACACACGGAATTGTCTTTGTGGCACGCCCACAGCGTCTTTCAGCACTTTCCCGTCGTTGTCTCACATTACCCCACGTCTCAATTTGCCCCGTTTTGACACCCCACCGTAATTCAAACGTACACGACAATACCTTTCAATAGACACACCACATGACAAAAGTCATTTTTTCGACATTCGACACCTCCCACACGGTCATGGAGTCGTCGCACGTCGAAATGATGGCGATTTCTGAAATCCCCGCTAAAAAATACGTCTAAAACGGTGGCGACAAAAAATTCGACAATTTTCGACTTTGGCGTCGTCTACACGGTCACACGGTGATCGCACGTCGAAATGATGGCGATTTCTGAAATCCTCATCCAAAAATACGTCTAAAACGGTGGAAACGAAAAATTCGACACCTTTGACCGTTGGCTTCATCACCGTGGCGCCGTGACCTTACGACCTACAACACCCATCTTCGAACTCATCCATACTTCAAAAATTAGAAACACGTTGACGAAAACCGCATGCCGAAATACGAAACCATTCTAAAGTTATCGTGGATACAGACGGACAGACGGACGGACGGACAGACAGACGGACAGACAAGACATTTCCATAAAGGGGTTTTCACCCCTTAATAACCGTTGTACGGGACCGTTCTACCACTAATCTGCGTAACTAGTTTCAATTTATGCAATTTACAATTTTACTGTGATGGCGTCACAGTTATAAATTTAGCATGACATTAAATTAAATTATTACCAACGCTTATTTATCCTCTATGTTTTATAAACTCTGCATTGAACGTTCATATAGAAGATGTAGAGTAATTGAACTAATTCGAAATCAACTAAAATTTTGTTAAAAACGTGTAAAAATCGTGCTTAAAACACTCTTAGAATGGTGTAGTTCTCGCATAAATCATTCATTTTGAGAGTAAAATGGATCCATGAGAAGAAGTACTTATTTCATGGAACGTGCGTAAAGAATGTGCCGAATTTTTGCGAGGTTGAGGCATATTTCCCATCTGTACTAACATCGATCACTTGTTTGATGTCGGGCCCCCATGTAAATATGCAGATTAGCGTGGGAGGAGTTGCTGAGTACGGAATTAAATTGGGGCTGACACCTGGCCAGCACTTTCACCCGATTTGAATTAGAGGCAAAGTTGCCTGGAAAGTTGAGAGTGAAAGGTGTTAGCACGTGATGGATCGGATGTCATGAATTTGTAATAATTACATGTTCACACCTGCATGGTCGACACTCTAAATAATAATTTGGGGATTAAAATTCGAGATTGTGCTAAGGGAGCGTCCATAAATCACGTGATCGATTTTTGGACAATTTTGACCCCCTCCCCTCCCTTGGTGATCGGTGGTGATAATTTCGCTACCCCCCCCCCCACCGGTCACGTGACAGGAGATGATGCTCAAATTAAATCATGTTGTCCGGAATAACAATATTTTTAAATCATTAATCAAATTAGAGCTACATTACACACATGTGTAAATAACTATTTAATACGCCAGTCAGACACAAGAGTTTAAGTCGAAGCAAGTTTTAAAATATGCAAAATGAAAATCAAATTTATATAACGTGCGTGTGGTATGCCAAGAGAGTTTATATATAACTCTCATGACATTTATTGGCATATACAAAAGTTGAAAAGAAACTTGTCAGATGTCATGTGACATCTGACCATCTACCCCCCCTCGTGATAATTGGTGACAAATTTCAGACCCCCTCCCCCCTCTAATCGATCACGTGATTTATGAACGCTCCCTAAGATTACTAATTATTGAATTGTATGGATCTGCAAGAAAACCTTTTATATACTAGAGAATCCCATACTGAAATTTTTTTACAAATGGGCAACAAGCTTAACATAATATCGGTTACAAAATATTAGCACTATTGGGGGACAAACATGCAATTATCGACTTGTGACCTGCATAATTTTATTTGACAAACGTGATAAGTTAATAGTTTCACAATTTTGGTGTTGAACTATATGTAGCTATAAACTTGAAGTTTAGGTTTTCACTTTCACCCGATTTGAATTAGGTAAAGACAAAGTTGGTTGGAAAGTTGAGAGCGAAAGGTGTTAGCACGTGAAGCATCGGATATCATGAACTTGTAATAATTCCATGTCCACTTGTAATTACCAAGTCTGCATAGTCTACACTTTTAATAACCATGTGGTGATCAATGATCAAGACTGCGCTGAGATTACGAGTAGTTGGTGAGGAAATTCACGCAGTGCTTTGTAACATTGTAAACTCCGTAAATTCTACAAAGTTACGAACTTTTACTACATTTTACAAATATTTCTAAGGGAAATTAGCTTACAAACTTTTGTGAACTTGCTCAGATCAAGAGCGTTTAAAAGTTTGTACTTTTTTAAACGTACGTGTTTTTAAAAGTTCCCAATGATTGCGTGAATTGTCTCAATATAAACAATTCAGAATTAAATTCGCCAAAAACTAATTACTAAATTATGTCACTGGCCATTCATACATACCTTTGAAATTTATTTTAGACCTACGTGATTTAGTAGTTTCTCAATTTTGGCGTAAAACTATTGCTAAAAAATTATTCAACGTAAGTTTTAAGTTTCCAAGGGAGCCTCCATAAATCACGTGATCGATTAGACGGGGGGAGGGGGTCTGAAATTTGTCACCAATTATCACGGGGGGGGGGGTAGATGGTCAGATGTCACGTGACTTGAGTAAAGTTTTTCTAACTTTTGTATATGCCAATAAATGTCATGAGAGTTATATTAAACTCTCTTGTCATACCACACGCACGTTATATAAATTTCATTTTCATTTTGCATATTTAGAAACCTGCTTCGACTTAAATTCTTATGTCTGACTGGCGTATTAAATAGTTATTTACACATGTGTGTAGTGTAGCTCGAATGTGATTAATGATTTAAAAAATATTGTTATTCCGGACAACAAGATTTAATTTGAGCATCATATCCTGTCACGTGACCGGTGGGGGGTGGGGTAGAGAAATTATCACCACCGGTCACCAAGGGGGGGGAGGTGGTCAAAATTGTCCAAAAATCGATCACGTGATTTATGGACGCTCCCCAAAAAAATTGCAACAAAATAACTTTCAATTTTTTCAGTGCCAACCCAGCCTCCAGAGAAATTTGAGTGCAGGTCCACGTCCCCACATAGTTTGGCGTTGACCTGGGAACCACCCCCGCTCGAGGCGCGTCACGGGGTCGTACAAGGCTACAAAGTGGACGTCCTCGTCGTCGGAGGGCAGGACGAGGGGCCGGGCAGCGAGGCCGAATCGGGGGACGGAATTGAGACCAAAGTGACGACGGAGAGAGACCTCGTTTTGCATGGGTTACGAAAATGGACCAATTATTCCGTCACCGTGCGAGGATTCACCGTCGTCGGGGATGGGGCCGTCTCAACCCCGCTATTGTGCAGGACGGACGAGGACGGTAAGATTGGCAGCAGTTCTATTAAAAAAATATTTACTAGTTCGCAATGTTTAAATTGAAGTTGCAAGATTGAAAATTGCATAACTTTGAAAAAAATATTCTCTCATTCCTGGGTTACCTTGTAACATCCAGAAATTTTGTTAAATATGTAATATTACAAATTTTTACGAAATAAAAGGAGGAGATCAAGAGCATCGATGCGTTTTTAGTATGAAATGGTTAGGTAGAATTTACTAAGTTTCAAAAGTTTGATTGAATTGGATCAAAATAAAATTTTGGAAATTGTTGGACTTTACATGTTAATTAAAATATTTTGCATAATTTGTACGATTTTAGTGAAATACACAAACTTTGAGAATACGAATAAACAAACATAGGTGGGAAAACAGGTAGAGGCCAGTCCTTATCCTGTTAAACGCAATTCAAAATTCATAAAAAACGATGAAACCGTCGAAAATTCTGACATTTCCAAATATATTTGGTTAATTATTAGAGGCGAATTATTTGCCTCTGTCGTTACAAATTGTAACTGCTCGTTGGATTATTTTTACGCTTATTTACGTAATGTTCCCCTGTGTTCCCCTAAATTTGACATTTTAAGGAATTATTCGGCACAAAAAAATACGAATTGAATAGGAACTAACTTCGCTGCAAGTTTTGAGAAGATATCAAGCTCTCAACGTGATATAAAATATTATTTGTTTATTTGAGTAAATTCTACGCCAAAAGTTTAGATTGAAAATATTAAGTATAGTTTTAAATATTTTAGATTTCATGTTCTAATGCGCGCCTGCATAGGCGAGGGGAACATAAAAAACCGCTGCTACGAAATCAAATATTGCAAAATTGTGCCCCAAGGAATTTTCCATAAAAAATTAACTAGATTCATTTCTCGTCATCATCGCAAATTCTACGAAAGATATAAAATATAGTAACCTCCAATAAAATATTAATTGTTTGATTTGAGTAAATTCTTCGCCAAAAGTTTGCATTGACAATGGTAACTAACCTTTTCATATATTTAAGGTATGATCTGATTGTCACGAAAAACAACAGAAAAAAACTACTACGAAATCAAATATTTGCAAAAATAGTGTCCTAAAGGAAATTTTGCATGCAAAAATAAACTTGGTCAATCTCTCCTCATCATCGCAATAAAAAAATGGATTTTCCTATTTGTGCCAAGTTCCACTTTTTTCCTTGCAATTCAATCTGTGAATGTGGTGGTAACTTTATTTATTTTGGTCCCCACTCCACGCGCCGGGGGCGTTCCATGGAGATATTTGTTGCCAATTTTTACCCAAATAGACATTTACTCCCTAAACCTAAATAGTTTTCACTTGTTAAATTGGTTTTTTATATAAAGAACAAAATCAAGAATTGCGAAACAGTACGCTTGCAAAAAATGCAAATATGCCGTTTCTAAGAATTTCGAAATAATATAACATTCTGTGCATACCTAAAACTTGTATTTAAAGAACCTAAAAACCTAAAAAAAAATGTCACGAAGAAAGTTCTATTCCTTCCAAATTTTGAAATTTCATTTAAACAAAGTACTCAATTTTTGAGACGGGGTACATACAAGTCTTTGCAAAAATTGCAAGTTGCGAATATGCAATTCCTTTAAATATTTAAAAGTTGTAAATATGATATGTCATGCATAAAATTTGTATTGAAAAGAAACATCAAAATTTTCGCAAAGTTTCTACTCCTTTCAAGTTCTGAAGTAAAATTTAAACAAGGATGCAAATCTTAAGCCGCGTGTTATGAACATTAGTAAAAAATAAAGTTACATATAATATTCTGCAAAAAAATGTGCAAGAAACTCAGCTATTTCTGAGTTACGACATTATCTCCAGGTCTCAATCTTTAAAGAGATGGTAAATCGCAAAAACGGAATTTGCAGGGAGCCAATTTTATCGTTGGTAAACAGTTTTTATTGCCAATTTTTACCCCATTACTTTCTCCGACCAAGATTGATATACAGGATGCAGTTACGTAATTCAAATTGGGCATGAGGCTCGCTTTCCTTACTTTCCTTACTTTCCTTTGGCCTCCTTGATTCGAGGGATGTGCATAAAATACATCCGCAAAAAATTGAACTTGAAGCAATTCACGTAGTCCATAGCGACTTTGTAAAATCCGGAAATTACTTAAACTTTCACAAACTTTCACATACTTACAAATATTTTTAAGGCCAATTAGCATTCAAATCTTGGCACACTTACTCAGATCAAGGGCGTCTTTTTATCCTTTAAAACTTCATGTATTCATGTCAATTTTGTAACTTTGTAAGCAATAAATGTATTTATTGCCAACTTACTACAGGGATCGAGATCGACTCTGTACATATTTTGAAAATAAAATGCGGCAAAACTTATACATAGTTTAGTGGATTTCAGCAATCTGATTTAATCGGATCAAAATAAAATTTCGAAAATATTTGGAGTATTTTTATTTTCGTAAATTAAAATATTTAATTTGGACGACACTTGTGGAATGTATAAACTTTCAGAATTAAATAATTTAAAAAAAGATGGGTAATATTGCGGCTGGCCATTCGCGTAAAACGTTAGTTTCGAATCGTTAGATTTTAAAATTGATTTACAAACTGTCAAAGAATGTCACACTAGTAATTTGCAATCTTGTCAAGAGATTTTCCCTCAATTTAATTAGGATTTTACCCAGTCGGTGTAATTTCGTACATCGTAAAACTTATGAAAATGTTTTTAAATAAAATTCTAAAAAATATCAAACGATAATCGGTTTATAAGTATTTGTAAGATTATTATATTACGACAATGTCCCGTTATTTGATAGGAGTTCGTAAATTTAAATTTATCAACTGGATCCCAACATGCGACCTTGGAATCTACTTGCTTAATTAAATCCTCAAAGTTTGTAAATTTGACAAAAATATTTCAAAAAACTTTAATCTGAGTAAATACGTCCGCAAAAACCTTTTAAGCTAATTTTCCTTCGAAAATATTTGCAACGTTTATCAGTTTGAAAAATTTTACGCATTTTACAAAGTTACCAAGGACTGCTGCCTCGTTGAATCGACCTGCCCAGAAAATTTTCATGGTTGCTAACAAGTTTCCCAATAAATCGCTCCCGTGTTTTCTGCCCAGCCCCATAAAAACCATATAATGTCCCATGTTCTGTATGTGTACTTCTGATGGTCCCGATTTCCTTCCTGCCCGTTCCTCCCGAGGACCAAGAAGCGTTTGATCTCGGACCAAATGGAGGAGATCGAGAGGCAGGCAATCAAAGCAAACCATGATCGAATCAAATCTCTCCCAACCTCGAAAACCTAGCAGAAAAAATTCCACGCTCAAATCCCTTCTGTCCAATTGCACTAAAGTGATGGTATCCACGTCCAGAGAAAGCTGGTGAGTTTCTTAAAATTGTGGGGGATTAGAAATTGGAGCAGAATTCGAAATCAGGAAATTTTGCCGTGTTCTTTATTATCCATAATTTAAAAATAAATTCTAAGCGCGGAGAAATTATTAAAAATATCCTACGTTAAATGAGTACAAGAATTTTTATTTTTCAAAAAAGTACTTAATATTTCCAATTTTCAAAATTGCAAACTGAACTGCTTTAGTGGGGGGCCGTCCAGTATAAAGTTTCATGGAGAAGTAACGTTATTAAAGCTTAGGTATTTCTTCTCTTGAATCGAATAATCAACTGGATTTCCAAAAAGAATGAATTTATATAATTAATTAATTAAGAATGCAATTTTACAATTAATTAGTATAATTTGTTCCAAAATTTAAATTGATTCAATATTGTTTAAATTTAATTGTACAAATTCCCAAAAAATTTCTTGTCTTCGTTAAGTTAATGTACTGCAGATTATGAATTTAACAAAAATTATGCTAATTAATTTGCTCGGTTGATTAATTAACTAACAAGAATACTAGGGTCTCCCAAGTTTGTAAAAAAGATCTAAAAAAGCGAAAAGCTAAAAAATCTGAAATCCGCTTTTTTCGCTCAATACTTGACTGTCCCGATTTTTTATCGCTTGAATACGCAGGAGCAGAGAATGGGTGGTCAGGAAACTTTGGAGTTTCTTTTAAAATTTAAATTTGCTTCATGTTGGATATGATAAAACAACTATCTAAGATCATGTAAATCCAAAAATTACCAAAATTGGATGAAAATAGGATTTTTGGCAAAGGTTTGAATGCGGTAGTTTTAGTGGTTACAATGCTTTTCAGGGGGTGTGGCGGGCGCAGGTGGGGCCATGGAGTAAAATCCTCCTTCACTTTCCATGCACTCACCTTTTATTACAATATATTCCATAGGGCATCAAAATCGGGTGATGTCCCCTTAAACATGTCTCGGAGAGACTGATTTTTCACTCAAAGTAGTAAAAAGAGCGAAAAAATCATCTTAAAGTAGATTTTATTTTTAAGCAGAAAAAGCGGAAAAAAGATCGGAATCGCATGCGCAGTGCGGTTTAAAAAAAGAGCGAAAAAATGGTGAGCGGAAAAAGCGATTTTTTTACAAAGTTGGGACACCCTACTGTTATTAATTATCTCATCACAAAAACTTCTAAGGTTGGTGCGTAATCTATTCTGTATACATTTCATCCGCGCAATATTTTATTATGGACGGCGTCCGAATAAAACAAATTACATAAATCTCAACTCAATTCTCAAATTCGTGCAAAAATTAATTAAGTAGCAATCGCATATTTACTATATTTTGAAGGGTTACTTAACAAAATAACTGTTTCCCGGTTATTTTCCCGAGATGAAAATTTTCTGAAAAATATTCCCATTTTATTTGAATTTTGTTACATCCTGTCGAAAAATATCTGAGCCTTTGAAAATTGTGTATTTACAACTTGTCAAACCGCATTCTAAATATTTGCATTTCGTTACAGTTTTCAATCGAGAGTAATAAAATCTTTTTGAAGCTGTAACGTTTCGATGGATGTGTGAAACAAGAGAGATAAATATCTTCTTTCATTTATACGGTAAATATTTGCGTTTTTTGGAAAACTGCGTGCAAAACTTCATTTATATTCCACACAAATTCTTCATGCATCATTAAAGGTTGCAAATATTTGGCAAATTTCAACTTCGACGAGAGGTTACTGAAATACATACAATAAATTTCGACTAACGTTTAAGGAAAAGTTTTGTATGTACGTAGATACATACGTACAATAAATTGGTTTAAATTGTGATTTAATTCGAAACTATTTCATATTAATGAATTACTTCAAGCACAAAATCACTATATCTGTTTATTTGTCAAATTCACAAATAAATAAATAAATTCTTAATCGGCGTCGCAATTTGCAAAAAAACTTTACGATTTAGTTTTTTCCTTATTTTTCTTCGTAGTTCCCTCTCCACCGTCGGATTTGAAGGCGGTGGTGTCATCTCGACGGTCCATCCTGGTCTCGTGGCTTCCTCCGGCAAACCCCAACGGAAAAGTCGTCAAGTTCACCGTCTACAGCAGAATATCCGATGGTACCAAAGTGGTAAGAAATTTTACGAGGCAATTCACGCAGGTCTTGGTAACTTTGTAAAATCCGTAAATTCTGTAAAAGATTTTACCAACTTTTACAAAATAAAAAGACGCCCATGATCTGGGTAAACTTATAAAATTTTGTAAACTTACTCAGATTACGGGCGTCGTTTTATTTTGTAAAAGTTTGTAAAAATTATTTAACAAAACTTTCGGAATTTACAAATTACGAAAGACTGCGTGAATTGCATTATAATTTACTTAACCAAATATTTAAAAGAAATAACGAAATCGTAGCAAGTACCAAACTTATTTTGGTCAATATGATCTGTGAAAAATAAGTGGTTTGGTCGCTTCTATGAAGCATACTAAATTTCGATAAGTACATATCCGCTGGATACTCGGCAGCTCAGACCAGCATTTCCATACAATTTCAAAATAGTTTAAAGACTGCACGATGAGAATTTCATAATTCGCAGGCATCATAAACTTTCTCTATGCGTACTTAATTACAACAATTTGCATCTCAGAAATCTAGAGCATTAATTAGATCAACACAACTTGTTCAAAATTTGAACAAAATTTGACATTTGTTTCATAAATCTACCGAATTTGTTGCTAGATTATTTCGAAAACTATTTACGAAGTGAGTTCCGACATAAAACAAGATATTTACGTGACCACATTATGCAAATAATTATACGTTATAAGGTCTTATTTACACTGACCACTTTGTAATTTAAGGAAAAGAAGTTAGTGTCGTTTCCGGACCTTCGCGTGGAGTGGGTGGGGCTGAAGGAGGCCTCCACGTACGAGTTTTGGGTCAGCTGCACGACTCGAGTGGGGGAGGGCACGCCCACCAAAAGAATCAACGCCACCACCCCCACAAACAATAAAGGTAACGATTTATATAATTTCAGATATTTGGTTTACGAAATTTCTTGCGTAAACTTTACTCAGCATTTATTTACCCTCAACATAAACTACTTTCCACCATATTCGAGGTCAATCGTACCAAATCTTAAAGTTATAAAATTGAAGATAAATGAAATACTAAAGCTCAAACTTATTCAAATTTATAAAACAAACTCAATTCACGAAATTTGCAGCCAAGGTGACGGGTTCAATAATTTCAGATATTTTGTGTACAACATATGCATCTGTGCAAACTTTGCATTGTTCAACATTTATTCAATGTGAACTCCTATTCGACAAACAAAAACTAGTTGCCCCATCTAGAATTTATCAAACCAGTTGATAAATTAAACCCCAAAGTGCAAAAATGGCGTACAAATTATTCAAATTTGCAAAACAAAGACAATACTTTACTCAAATTTTAGCAACTAAGTTAAACCGTGCAAATTTTATAAAGTATACCATACAAGCTTTCACAAAATTAGCATTAATCTCTGAAAAATAATTCGTAGCCTCATTTCCCCTCATAATCGTACCACCTTTGTGTAAAGGGGTCCAATAAACTTAACAATTTTACAAATATCCCGATCTGAATTAACTCTGCCATAACAAATTTATCTACATTCAACAACAAGGCAAATTTATCGGTCTAAAAACATAAGTAAATATCCGCACTTCTTCAGACAGGCAGAGTGCAAAAATTATGTTATTGATTTCCAGAGAATTTTGACCTACATTAATTAAAATTAGGATGTCTTGGTAAATATGACGCCTCGACCCCAAAAAAATAGATTGCAAGTAGCTTTATGCATACACTCTTAGAAAACTGGTATATAATCATTACTGGCCGGAGTACATACACATATGACTTTCCTGGATTCGGTAATAAAGGTAGTTACCGTTTAATAATGTTGTGGTAATGAAAAATTTACTACTCAGAAACAGAAACAAGTCTACTACCAATCCGGTAGGAATTTATAACCAAATCAATACCAGTACGGAGTGTATATCTGACTCTACCAGATTTTAACAGTGTATGCACACAGCTCGTCAGAGACGGAGAAAGTAATCAAGTTTTGGGCTAAATTGCTCATTTTGCCCCGTAATAATTGCTCCTCTTCGGAACTAATTACTCTTTCTCGGCCGACTTTATTACTCCATTAAATCTACGAGAGGCCCAGTCTCCAGGTTGTAATTACTTTCATGAGAAATTGGTCGTGAAATGCAGCCCTGATCATAACTCCGGCAGAATTTAATATCTCAGGAATTTTTTAATATTTATTATCCCCAAGATTTCCTAATTGTTTTTCAGTTTCCGCGAAAATAGCGACTTTTTCTGGAACGGTGGAAATCCCGTGGAAGAAAGAGCTGGGACTGGATTGCGTCGCGGTGGGCGTGCCGGAACCCACGGTGGAGTGGAGCTTTAACGGCGGTGGGGAAATCCACGGGGGAAACGGGAAGCGAGAGGTGAGTAAAAAAAATGAAATTTCGAAATTTAAATTTATTTTGAATGTTTCTGTAGAGAGGATAAAGGGTCGATATGCAAATTAAATTAGGCGCTTAACGTGGTTATTGTAACTTGCGCCAATGTTATAACTAAATTATGCAAGGAGTGAAGTACGACCGCGTAACATTTGTGAAAGTGTTTCTGCAGTGCAAAATCTAAATTTTTGGAAGATTATGACGCCCAGGTTAAATAATACTGATTTACCATATTATAAGTGAAAAGTTAAAGATTCCTCCTCCGACCTAGAAATTCTTGTGAATTGATCATTTATTGCATACTGAAGTTGAGGCAACAATTGACCATTTAAGACACTATTTTTTGTGGGGGGGGATCACAAATACATAAATTACAACAAAAATTACAATTTTACGATGTATTCTTTGCATACTCTTGTACTCGCAATAAATTACATTTATTTAAAAAACATGGTAAAAATCCAGTTTATTTTATTATACATGATTTTGATTGTTGAGTGACATAACCCGCATGAAAAAAAGTTGGTATTATTCTCATCACAAAATCTACGCTGTATGATTTATCATCCTTTTTTGTCCCGTCGTTTTTTCCTCTATTTTCTGATTTATAGCGTCTTCCTCTCCCGACTTCCTCTCACTTTCCCATCCTTTTTAGGAACCTTTGACTCTTTTTTGTGTGACGGACGTATCAACAAAAGTGCGGATTTAGCGAACAAAAAGAGCACAACAATCAAGTCAAAGTTGAGAAAGATCGTCTAAAAACTCAAATTCGTGCAGGATGGGCACGCATTATTGCATAAATTTCGGTCATACTCACGTCAAATGTTTATTTCAAGGCTGGTCTTGTAAATTCCGTAAACTTACAAAATTTTACAAATATTTCTGAGAAAATTTTGCAAATTTTCTCCGATCAAGGACGTCTCTTTATTTTGTACAAGTTTGTAAAATTATTTTTACGAAACTTACGAATTTCACAATGATATTATTGAGTGGACTGTGTGAATTGCCTCATTTTTATTACATTCATAATTTTCAGGATAAAATTTGGACGAGAAAATTCGATTCCTAATTTCTTCACCATCACCATCCAAACTCAAGACACTCATAAACCTCCAAAAATTTAATGGTATAAAAAAACTTCAAAATGCATTAGTTCCCGTTGAAGTCTCACAGTTTAACGGGGAAAAAATTAAGCGAAATGATATTTACAATTTTTACAATCATTTCTTAACTTTTTCTTGAAAGCACCCACTATACGCACTTTCTCCATTAAATAATTTTTGAAAAAAAAACCAAGGATAAATTCGAAATGAAAATTCGATACAAAATCTCTTCAAAACCCAACGAAACTGAAATTGAACCCACCCCAAACAATTAATTGTATTTAAAAAAAAATGTCAAAATATATTGGTTGTCATTGAAGTCTCGCAGGAATAAAAAACGTCACCCTGTGATTTCCCAATTTTGGCTTAAATATGCGTATTGTACGCATTCTGTAAGTTCCATAATTTTCGAAAACGACAGGATAAAATTTGATACAAAATTTCATCATTGCCATCTAATTGTAAATAAATTCTTCGATACACCTTACAAAATTGGTTTCATCTAAAAAACCTTCCAAAATATGTTATTCGCCGTTGAAGTCGAAATTCACCATAATTTGTTGCAAAGTTTGACTTGACTACACCCATCGGACGCACTTTACTTTCTCCCCCGGCAAATCATTCACTTTCTACCATCATATTTTCCCCGGATCCGATTTTGATGGGTTGAACAGCAGCATGAAATATATTTTTTAAAGAGAAAGCGGAAGGAAGTTGATGATGATGATGACGAAGAGAAGGCTGCCGGATGATGCTCATCATCACAACGGTATTCCTTCAAAGTGAAAGTAAGTGGATTTTTGGATGAATTGCTGAGCTCTCATCCTCTCCCGGTTTTAGGACACGTCGGAATTTTTATTGTGAAAGTAAAGCGTTTGTCATCCACTCATCACTTTTTATAAGTTTGCTGACTACTCTTGTTTTTTTGGCTATAAAATCTCGCGGTAAAAAGGTTTCCACCTGGCCCATACAGTTCGCACCCAATTCCATTCAAAGCTTATGGCAACTTAAAACTTTAGACATAGGGTTTTGAATGGAATTGGGTGCGAACTGTGTGGGCCAGGTGGAAACCTTTTTACCGCGAGATTTTATAGCCAAAAAAACAAGAGTACGTGACGTACCGCAAAATGACACGACACTTCATACTTTATTGTGAAATGATCAACACATAACGATTAAAAGTCGATAAATGAATGAAAGTGATTATAGATTGCTAAAATGTTAACAAAATTAGTTTTTTACGCTGAGCCCACTCACACCAACCTTTCGCATATTGAGTACAACTTGCGAATTTTTGTAAGATTTGGAAAAAAATTTGCAGAAATTAAAAAAACTATAGGATTCACCCAGCCCAGCCGCATTATCCTGCAGCAATTGGGCATGTATAAATTTCACAAATTTTTTTTTGCAGATTTTATTTCTGCAAATTAAAATTTGATAGCCTTCATCGTTTAGAAGGGTTTATGAGATTACAAACCTAAGCGTATAATAGAGTTCGAAGAATCGATCCGTCTGATGTGATTTATTATTCCTTATTGAATTTCAAATTTAACCAATTATGACTTTCGGCGTTATTTCTTCTCATTTTGTAGGTAAATAAATTTAATGGAAAATCCTAGTTCTAAATTTACTTGTCTTAAATAGTTTCCAAAATTATAAAAATTCTGTGTTATTATACATAAATACAAATTTATGGGAACATATATTTTTAACATTTTCAGAAATATTGAGTAGTATTAAATAAAAAATAAATGCGAGTTGAAGTCAAGGCATGACATGAAATATTATTTTGTAATCACTCACTCAAGTTGAATAGATATTTGTAATCTAATTTTCCTTCGAAATATTTGTTAACATTTTGTAAAAGTTTAAAGAGTTTACAATCTTACTTACATGAATCACCTCACTGTTTACTTACACGCATAATCGTAAAATTTGTAAGGTGCGTTTAGTTAAAAAGTGGTGTCATCTAAAAAAAATACTCGATAGTAAATTATGTATACAACTAATTTTTAGAGGTTTACAAGAAAAATATGTAACGGATTTTAACCCATGTTTTAACGATCGATTAAATTACCAAAGGTACAACCGAGTCCAGGTGGAAATACGAAACTGGTCGTGAAAGACGTTGGAGTGGAAGACGTTGGAAATTACACCTGCACAGCCACCAACGCGCACGGGAGCGAGAGCGTGGTTTACGCGGTGAAAGTGCAAACCCCACCGGGAGCCCCCATCCTCCAAGTCATCGAGGTCGGCTACACGTCCTTAAAGGTCGTCTGGTCAACACCACACTCGGGCGGGAGTCAGGTCAAAGGTTAGATGCGGACATTTTTAAAAATTGAAAAAATTTTGCATAGACAAAAAATTCTATTTATATCATAAGATGGAAATGTCTGTCTGCCACGGAAGTGAAAGTGGAGAAAGTTAAGTTTCGAATGGCGCGAAAATTAAAATTAAAATTATTTTAGGATCTTTTTGAATTTTCACTTTAGTGTTCCTTGATTTCCTTCCGTTGGCGACAAATACTTTCCTTTAGTAAGCATCTAAAAAATATAATTAGTGGAATTTCAAGTATTAAATCAATTCTTGCCCGGCGGAGACGGGCTTATACGCTAGTAAATTAAAATCATGGCCTTCTAATTTATGTTTCTTGCACTATTAAAACTAAAATTAGATCGAGGGGTCATTTGCTACAATGTGTGAAATTGTTTGCAACTAAATCTGCTAAACTGGTCAAAAGTCTTGGTTACCGTTGGAAATAAAGTTTAATTTTTGTGCGAATTTTACCACGACATTTTTTAAATGTACACACAAAAATTCTGTAAAATTTGCACATCATTATTTAATTTATATTCTTTCCACTATTTCAGATAAAATAGAGATAAAATGATGATGTGTCACAATTGGTGAATTTTTTGCAAACAAAACGTGTTGAAATGTTGGAAAGTTATCCATCTAAAAAATGTTTTATTTTTCTGCGAATCCTCCAAATCTTACAAAATGTATTTATTAGTAGTTTTCAAACTTTTTCTAATTTCGCGTACAGTTTTTGCAAATTGATGATTTTGCATATTACTTAATTGTGTTCCTAAACAAAAGCTTGTTTTCCCCGTAGGTTATTTGTTGAGCTACCGTCGTGACGGGGGCGACTGGGAGGAGGTGGAGGTTGGTCCACGTGCGACGGGGCACACGCTGCAGCCGCTCCTCTGCGGGTCCACCTACCAACTCTACATCACCGCCGTCAACAAAATCGGCTCCGGTCCGGCCTCAGATATTTTGACCCGCAGCACGAAAGGCAGTGGTGAGGAAAATTATGAAATATAGTTTTTGAAAACTTAAAACTTTGCAAATGATTTACCAATATAACCAAAGAATCTGTTGATACTTTAAATATTCAAAATTTGCAAATATTTATTTTCGACGGTTTAATTAGAAAAACTTTGTGGCATGATAACCAATGAATTTCCAATTTTTACGCTGCATATGATTAACACGGTATTTTGGAAATATTTCGGCACATATATTTTAAAGATATGTACAAGGCAGTTTTTCAAAATATGGCACTCAAAATTTCGCAAATAAGTAGAAAATACATCTGTTCATAACTTAAATATGCAGAATTTGTAAATATACTTATTTGTTTTCGACTATTTGATTAGAAAACTTGGTACTTTGATCAACACAGCATTTCAAATATTTTTAAAATGTTTTTACATTATCATAAACACGATATTTTGAAATATTTCGTCTATTTCTTAATCCAAACTTTTTCAACGATTGTTCGAAAAAAATAAAGCCAAATCTAAAAACTTACATAAACCTTGTTACAAATAATTTCTGAAACAATGGAGCTCTTCAGTTGCAAATACATTGAAATTCTGTCCTTTTAGGTGATATATTAATTATGTTATTCGAAATTAAAGTATACATCATGACAGAATTGAATTTCTTCAAAAAAAAATTAACCGAGTTTTCTGCAACTTCGCAATTTTGACTCGGTTGGTATTTATTTTATAACCAACTTATTTTGGACATGTTGATAATTTTTTCATAATTTAGTTCCTTTAAAAAGGCCATTTTAACATTTTCATATTTAATTTCTTAAAATTCTGTAAAATTTCCAGTCCCAATTTCGCCCAAGAAGGAGGAAGCCCTTCTGTCGAACCACTCGACAATCGTGGTGCGTTTGGACCTCTGGAAGGACGTGGGCTGCCCCATTCTCAGATTCATGATCGAGTACAAACAGTCCCAGGAAAAAATCTGGATGCGAATTCCAGCCGAGCTTAATGTAAGTTCGCACATAAATAAATTCGTAATTTTTTTGCACAGTTGTATATTTTTCTGTACACAAAACTCTTTCGCAATTGCCAAAAAAAGTCGTTAGCATAAATAAATCTGCACGCATTCGTTTCCTAAAGATAGTTTCTGTAAAAAAGTATTGCGAAATATTATTTGCTACGAATAAATATGTATGTACGTTTACAGATGAAGACATATTTTACACTTCAGCATACATATGTGCGAAATTTTCCAAATCAATTTTAAGAAATTCTTTCCACGCACAAAATGAAGTTTGCAATTTATTGCTTGTTATACCGAAATTATTCACAAATTTTCTGGTTCAACGCCGGTTTACAATTTCAACGAATTCGGTTTTGTTTACAATTACGCCCCAGATGTTAAGTTGGACATGTTTTTTGTATCTGAATCAATCAAATTACCTATTTTGTCAGTGCGAAAAATTGTGATTTATGAAATTACCTCCTGTGATGTGATGATTGACTGTCAATAATCAGGAACAGACTATTTTGGTCACCTGTATTTTGGCCAATAATTTACTTATCAGTTAATATTTTTTTGCCAGGGTTCTGCCAAGTCGTACACGTTGACGGGACTTCACGCCAACACGCGGTACGACATTCGCGTCACGGGCGGAAACCATGCCGGCGACACGTTGGCCAAATACGAATTTCTCACCGGATCACTTCCCAAACTGGCCACCACCAGTCACGGTAACAAAAAATATTCCATTTTACTCAAGCTAAACAATGTAAGAAGAAGCTTAATGCCGACTTGGTAGCGATTTATTATGGAAGGGTAACAATAATAATTATCCACGAAATTTTAGATTATCTTCCCAGGTTATTAAAACATTCCTACATGGTAGCAAAGTACACTAATTAATCTTCCCTCACAATTTATCTGAGAAATCCAGTATTAAAAGAATACCAAGCGGTGTTAATAAATGACTCTATAAAAGTAGTTTTGGTAAGTAATACCGTGTATGTAGGAATATCTCAATATTAAACTTTCATCGTATCGGTAGCAAATTTTTTCCGGACTGGTATCGATAATTTTAATACCAAGCGGTAGCAAATTTAGTACTAAGAAATCAATACCCAACTAATTACCATATATGAATCTAAAACCTGTAATGTTTAATTAATTTTTAAACAAAATTAAATTCGGCATTAAAATTTGTCAATTACAATTTAATGTTTCAATCGTACATATATTTGTACTCCATTAAATTGTGTAAATTTACTTACTCTGTGACTACAATTGGTAGTAATTTGTTACCAGAGGGTAACAATAAATCCCACGTTGCCACGGGCTGAATACATTTCTCCTAGTAAATGATACATTCTTCAATAATTTTCATAACCACCCGATTCAATTTTGGGTACCATATATCGTTCTTTAATGCTTCTCTTAACAGAATTAAAATGAAATATGAATGAACTACACAAAAATCGAAATATGTAAATTTTCACGATTTTTATGGCGTGGTTTGGATCCGCAGGTGGTGGAAAATCCCCGGGAGAAAGTATTGGAGAAAGTCGTGATGGCGAGAATGCTTTGGGAGAAAACGAGGCGTCCACGCTGAGCACGTCGCTCCTGATCGTGTTCCCCTCCGTCCTCGCACTCGCCATGGTCACCGCCGTCATCTCATTCTTCTGCTACGTCCGGAGAAAACGTAAGTTGGTGACAGTACAAAAAATAAAAATTTTGCCGAGTTTTGGTCAAAAACTAAATTTTTCCAAAATTGCAAAAAATGTGGCCAATGTCAGCTTGTATGTATGTGTCTCAGAAACTGGATAAGACCACACCTACTTCGAAAATAGAACTACTATTTACTTTTTGTAGAAACAGGTTCGGCTGGAGAAATCTGCAGAGTATATCTACATATATATTTCAAAAATCATTCATTTCAAAATTTGAAAATTTCAAATATTTCAAAAATCATTTATATAAAATTTACACTTGCAACAAGATCAATGTTCGTAAAAATATTCGGAATTGAGTGGTTAAACAAAACGTTGCAGTTTTCAGTAGTGTAAAGTTGGTGCAAAATTCAAAGTTTCAATAAAATATGCGCGCAGGAATTTCCGCAGGAAATTGTATATTTGCGACACGTACGAGTTAAACGTCATTTATGAAATGTCGGGAATGTTGAGTACAAATTTATTAAATATAGATGGAATTCTTCCTTAGCAAAAAAGTAGCAAAAAATCGTAAATTCGAACATATAGCGTAAAAACTGGCTAAGCGTTCCCTAATTTTATCACTGATTACTGAAGCTGGGCTCGGATCTGCGATGTCTAAAAAGTCCTGTTTTGATGGGAATCTAGCGTGCACGCGCTCTCACCTACTATAGCCAATTTTAAACTTTGACCTAGAGATGCGAAATTTGGCATGCACATGCACCAACATATGCTGCATCATAATGTAACACCAATTTCCGTTCCGTTCGCTATAAATTTTTCAGGAAAAATCAAAAACCAAGTGGAATAGGGGTGACATTTGGTTTTTAATTTTTCCTGAAAAATTTATAGCGAACGGAACGGAAATTGGTGTTACATTATGATGCAGCATATGTTGGTGCATGTGCATGCCAAATTTCGCATCTCTAGGTCAAAGTTTAAAATTTCACATGAATCGGTGCTAAAGTAGGTGACAGCGCGTGTACGCTCGATTCCTACCAAAACAGGACTTTTTAGACATCGCAGATCCGAGCCCAGCTTCAGTATTTATCTACTAAAAATTACGCACATTTTAAATTCTCATACTTCTAAATCTTTAGAGCGCGAGTAAACGCTATTAAATATATTAATTAACTTAAAATTTCCATATTTTTGAAAATTTTATAACAAGGGTTTCATATTTTTTATAAAATGCAACTATTTTCTAATGTCAAAATCAATTGTGGATTTTATTTAAAATTATTGACAGGAATTTTGGGCATTCCACACCCCAAAACGGTGATTGGCGACCACAATTACGCCGGATCTGGCGATGGGACGTCCTATCTTGACCGTGGAGGAGGTCAAGGTCAAGGTTACGGTCACAATCAGGGTGGAATCATGTACGATGCAGCCACTCCGCATCAGCATTACACGCTCGTGAAGGGGTCTCAGGGCCAGTACCCGCCCGATCTGACCGCACAATACGCCACCAAAGGCAGAAACCACCCAGGTGGTAAAGTGAAAAATAAGGAAAACTTTGAAAATATAATTTTGAGACTATTGAAAAAAAATATATTTGAAATAATTCGCAAAATTAAAATTGTGCAAATCAAATTTTTAAAATTTCAAATTAATTATTAAATAATTTGTTAATTACCTCTGATTGTTTTCCGAACACTTCTCCGAAGAAATTTCATGAATTTCATACCTGTCAATGTCATCTTGTCGTACTTTGATTATTTAACTACCTCAAATAATTAATCATCGGTACTAAATTAACTCAAAAATGACAATTATCAAGAATGAATTAAATCATCTGGCAAGCATTTTACCAAAATTGCTATATCTTTATTGTTCTATTGTTTTCAATTCTCCTAAAAATTTCTCTAACCAATTTTCTCAACCCCGTTCATAAATTTTAAGATTTTTTTCGCAAATTTTGTAAAAAATAAATCTTGAAATTGACTTTACATTCATATTTATCTAAATCCAATACGTCAAACTTCAGGTTTTTACTAGAATTTATGAAATTTACATATTTGAAGAAGGAAAGAGCAAAATGAAGTAAATAAAGATACTAATATATTTTGCAGAATTTATTTTATTTCAAGTTCCTTGTAGGAGGTAATATAAAATATGAAGAAATTGCCAATATAATTCTGAGACTACTGAAAATGAAATATTGCTAAATTAAAATTGTACAAAATTTGTGAACTCCAAATCATAAAGATGGTGTTCATTAGTCTTACAAGGGACACTCACGACCTGTCGTTTGAGTCCAGGGTACCCACTATGTTTTTTAGAATCTACTAGGACCCCAGGTGAAGGATTCATTCGTATTTCCGTGTAAAACTCATATTTGACGCCATGGCGTGGCGCCAAATTCGCCAAATTTGCATGTTTTTATTTTTGAAACCGCCATAGCTTTTGAAATCCTGGACGGATTTTAAAAAAATTTGGCAAAAATCATGACAAGGAGTTCAACTTTCGTATTCCATGAAATTTTTTCCAAAATTATCACTTTTAACTTTTCGCAAAATTTCTTAATTTAGTTATAAATGGGGGTCGAAAAAATGCTAAGAATATTTCAAAAATTAGAAATTTTTTATTTTTATTTTTTTCTCAAAAATTTCGACTTTTGTGATCATTTTAAGCATAAAATTTTGAAAATCCGACATAAACTGCTAAAGTTATGGGGGTTTGAAACTGGTCGAAAATGCAAATTTTGAAGTTTGGCACCACGCCATGGCGCCAAATATGAGTTTTACACGGAAATATGAATGAATCCTTCATCAGGGGTCCTAGTAGATTCTAAAAAACATAGTGGGTACCCTGAACTCAAACGACAGGTCGTGAGTGTCCCTTGTTAGTCTTAAATAACCTTTAATTGTCAAACATTGAATATTTGCACAATTGAAATAATTAGTTATCGGAACCAAACCAACCCAAAAAATGACAATTAGTTCTATTTGCAATAAAAAATCTTGAAATTTACTTATATTCAAATTTCAGGTTTTTACTGCAATTTATGATATTTGGTCCTATTTTTTTGAAGAAGGACAGCGAAATATAGTAAAAAAAAATACTCGGGGGTTAATAATTTTTTTTCAAATTTATTTTATCGTGAAAACTGACATTCTAACAAAATCCCTTTGTTTGCAATGCTCCTCTATTTCATTACTTTACGAAGTTCATCTAATTCTCATGGCAGAATTATTAACACGATTACAACCACACTTTATGTACCTTACACATACTTTCACCCTGAACACATCCATTATTCCTCCTGTTTGGCGCTTAAAATTTCACCAAATTTATGACACCACGTTGTAAATTGTGGAGTTCGTCGAGATATGAACTTACCGAAACCAGTGCCAACTTTCACTTTCACTGCATCATACATAGGTACTTCAGGATCACGGTGAGGTAGAGAAAGCCACAAACTTTGGTATGAATGTAGGCCAATGTGAGAGAAAGTAGAGCGAAAGTCATGTATTCTCATGAAATTACATGAACATGACGCATCGCGTGATTTATTTATTTTATTAAGCGTAACAACATTTCTTGTTCAAATCTGTTATTTCCTCAACTGAACCATTTTATCTTAAATGTATGAAGTAACTTGTTTTTTCCAAAAATTCCAAATACAGGCGTTGAAGTTACGATGTTAAAATTTTGATTTTTTTTTCTTACCTGAGAAAAAATTTAGTCTTTACTTATCACTTCTATTTTATATTTATTTTTTTCATGGAGGAAAAAAAAAACAAATTATAACCTCCTATAACTTTGTAAACCTAAAAACTATCGATGTTTAGGTGCATTAAAATCTTAATTTTGTAAAAACCCATGCACGTAGATGAAAAGATTTCAAAATCGTTATTAGAACAACGAAGAAGACAAAGGGAAAGTTGAGACACAAAAATTCAAACTCAAAACCCATAGTTCAAGTTCCTGGTGAGGTAGAGAAAGTCACAAACTGTGGTATGAAAGTAGCCCAAAATAAAACGATAGTCATGTATTCTCATGAAATTACATGAAGCATCACGTGATTTACTTGTTTTATTAAGGGCAACAACATTTCGTATAGTTCCCATATTACAATTTCCGTCAACATAAATTTTATCTAATAATTTATCAAGTACATTATTTTTTTGCAAAATTCCAATTTCAGGTGTTGAAGTCACACACAAACAAATTTTTGCAATAAAAACATTTAATTACTTCATTTCACGATATTCAAAATCCTGCAAATGACTAATTTGTATAAATTAATTAAAACAACGGTCACTAAAACTTATGCGTGGAATCTCAAGTGTATTAACTACGTTATTTTTTCCCAAATTCGAAATCGAGGTGTTGAACTCACACACTCACTCGCACAAAGTTTTGCGAAAAAAAGGTTTACTTCTTTTAAGTATTAAGCGTATTATGCAACAACAATTACTATTCACAACATCCAAAATTCTGTGTCGGCCTAATTTTTGCAAACTATTTGAAATAACGGTTTCACAAAAGTTTTGCAGCAAAAAACATGAAAGTTAATATATTTTATTTTAGCCATCAACGCCCAGACAAACCCCTAAATTTTTTTTACTAAAAGTCTCCAGTTTGTGAAAACTTCCTGAAAATCCGGTAAATTCCTCTCCCGAAATTAAGGCGGCATAAAGTTCAGACACATTTTTTGCAAATTACGTAAATAATGGTCCTACAAAAATTTTGCAACAAAAAATTAAAAATCACATTTTAAATCCAGGTCAGACCCAGTTTTTTGCCACGGTTAGTAAAAATTTCCTGAAAATCGGTACGTTCCTATCTCCCCAGTAAATAAAGGCAGCATAAACTACACGTATTAAAGTACACGATAATAACTGTGCAGTCACGATACAGTAAAATCGTCCCGTTCTGCTTGCCGAGATCGAGAGTGAAAGCAACCTCGAGGTGAAAGTGGGAGCAAGGTTGTGCTCGTTATTTATGTGAGCCGAGTGCGAAAGTAGCCATGTTACGGACGTGATGATGGTGACAATCCGATTACAATTTCACCTCCTCTAACGTTCGGCTGGGTGCGAGGAAAGCGTAATCTGATAATAAAGTAATGGCACGGAATGAAATGTCATTATTAGTTTAGCCCTGCCAGCACCCTCCACATTTTAGCCCGACGTAAAGTCAAACACGACGACACACTTCCTCCTGCAACGACGACAACTAAATGAAGATGTGTTACTTGCTAGTTATCAGGATGGGAATGAACTGAGGCAGAATTTTACCATAAATTTTAGTAGCACATGTGAAGATGAGTGCCAAAGATGAGGAGATATACATATTTGGCAAATTTGGAAAATTTAATTTATACGAATTTTTCATCTCGAATTCAATGTGCATGAAGTATAAATTTGAAGGAAATACCGTGTTGTAATCAAAGTAATGAAATTTCAGACACGCTGACAAATCTAATAAGAGGATTTGGAGCTTTTGACATTATTGATAATATTATTATTATTATTTGCAAAGCATATTGCAAAATTTACAAATATTGTGAAATTGAGAGATATTTTACAAATTTGAGAAATTACATTATGAAGAGTTTTCCATGTCGAATTTGATTTGCAATCTAATAAGAGGGGAAATAATTAGCAGTTTTTTTGTAATATTGGTTCATCAAATGGTTTTGGCTTTGCAAAATACGTACGAAATATTGGATAATTATTGTGATAAATTTACGAGCATTTTATGTTTTGATATGACTTTGCGAAACTATAAAGGAAAACATTGCACAAGTACGTATTCTGGAAAAGTTCGTGATATGAATAAACCTTGCATTGTGAAAGTACAAAAATATTATTTACAAATAAGTATTACGATATTTCAAACTTAATTACGAATTTAACCATTTTTTCTATAAAATTGCAAATTTAATTACGAATTTAACCATCTTTTCTATCAAATTTGCAAGATATTGGGAAAATTTGAGAAATCTATTTATTAAGAAGTTTGCATTTCAAATGTAATTTGTAATGAATAAATGGATTTGAAGGGGAGCTCGGGTTGTTGCATGTAAAAAAATTTCTAACAGAATAAAAAGTTAAGAAGATGGGGACAATTTGCAAATTTTTCTAATATTCAGATTTGCGAAAAACATTACGTGATTATTCTGAAATATTTCCTGTTTTGAAATATGCACAACCCTTCGACGAGTGCGAAAAACATATGAAATTACATATTTAATTGCAAATTTAACAAGTTTTTTTCTACAAAATTTTCAGATTATGGAGACGACGTATGTCCGTATGCGACCTTCCAACTTCCCGAGAACCCCCCGACACGCCCCCTGCTCACGAAAGGGCTGGGCGGCAGTGGGGGTTTCCACACGGGGGACACGCTCTACAACGTGGGAAACGTCTACTCCGGACCATACCACGCCGTCCAGTCGCAAAATTTCATGGCCACACTTTCTCTCCGAGTGAGTCAAAAAATATTTCCAAAATTTTTGAAAAAATATTTTCAAAATTTTTGCAAAAAAATATTGACATGGTTTCATCAAAAATCGTCCAAATCAGAACATTTCTAACAATTATTAATTTCCCCGCTCTGGGAATTTATTTTAAAATTATGCCCGACAAATTTGTAGAAAATGTCGTTGCCAATTTTTTTAAGAAATATACATTCCAAAATTCCAATTCAACTGCGAAAATTGTAAAGGAAAAAAAATTGTAAGTATTTGACGACGAATTTGAACTTTGATGATAAATTGTAAAGAACATTTTGCAAATAGAATTTAAAGTTTTTAACCAATTTTTGGTTAAAAACTCTACATTCTGAAAAAAACAGATTCCATTACAAGAACGCATCGGGTTTTTCAGACTTTTCTTTAGAATTAAATAAGATGTCGTAAATCTTGAATCTATTTATTCTAAAATTATTAACCCATGACGGCAACCTCATTCGCATAAATCTAAATATGACAATTTTCGGTGATACAGACTTTTCATGTTAAATAATGCGTCAAAATATGCAATGTCGCCGGAAGAATTCTACTGCACTTGTAAATTTACAATACTTTGGTAAAAAGATTTTTTCTAATCTCTGCAAATTTCTGAATAAATTTTTTAGTTTTTTTTTTTACAAAAAACATGGGTTCGATTTACGTGCTCTGCTGCAAACGTGCAAACGCGTTTGCCGAAAAAGTTAGGGGAAATTTCCGACATTTTTCAGAAATTTTAAAACTTTCCGGGAATTTCGAGCATTTTTAGGGTCGGTGTTTTAACGGACCGTGGAAATTTTCTGAAATTTATTCCCCAGTTTTCCGGAAATAACGCAGAAATCGAATCCATGCAAAAATCCGACAGAATTTTTTCCGTATTTACAAAATTTTGATTTTAATACACTTCCTTCCATTAAAATTTGACTCGTTAAACGAAATTGGTACTTTCCACAGGACACCGAACACATGAAATCTGGTCGCTTTAGCAAAGTTGTTGGTAACGAGGAGGACGCCGAAGTCACCAAAATCCTGGCCATGCACATGCCCCCACTCGAGTACGACCCCACCGGCGCAAACGATGGCGAAATTTCGCCAAAATATCACCACCCCCACAACCAATTCTCCTCCTCCTCCCACAACCACCACAATGATTACGCTTCTTCGCAACAGCAACGACAACACATCATTTTGCAACAACAACAATACCACGAACAACAAGTTGGCACATTTAGACGCCGAAATAGACAAGGTAACAAAGTAGCATTGAATTTCAAATGTATGAAAGGTAGGAAATGCGTCAAGTGCAAATAACCACTTGCAAGAAATTCCTGCATGAAACTGGTTTTTTGACCTGCAAGAAATGCACGGCACAAGAAACTACGCCCCGCCGCTTTAAATACTTCATACGGCGCGTGGTTAGATTGCGCTTATTTCTTGCACTTTCTCCCAGTTTCTTGCACCTCACATTTCTTGCGTGGTTGGTTTTCCAGTGCAAAAAACTTAGCAAACCTGCAAAAAAACGAAAGACTATGTCCAAAATTATTTTTGACCTGTTAAGATTCAAGTCCATACATTTTGTCCTGTCCAAAATTAATTTAAATCGAAACCCTGACCAAAAATCGCGATTAACATAAAAATTTCCCCCTTTCATCCACAGATCACATCCTCACCTCGGAAGAAATGGAGTCTTCCTCTTCCTCCCAGGATGACGAATCTTCCCCCACCACGGGTCGCACCTCGAGCAAAAGAGGCCGCGCCACTTACCGCGGGGGGCGCCCACACCAACGCCATCACCACAAAAGGAGTAACAAGTCCACCTCGGGGTCTTCAAACAGTGGGGGCGGCAGGCAAATCATCCCGCGCGTCCGGTCCAGCTCTGGGTACTCCTCGCATACGGAGGAGACTTCTTTCACCACGACGGCACAACCGCCCCCACCGCCACCAAAATTTTCGGATTTCCAAATTTAAAAATTTTTCCATCCCATATGAACTAAGTATCATATTCCCAGATTCTCTTGTAGAACTTTGACCTTATCGAAATTATTTACCTTATCGATGACGATAATCTTATCTGATCTTATGTTATAAAATTTTAAAAGGTTTGAAGTACTAAAGTACTGAAGTACGAAAAAAAAAAAATTTCAACTTTCCATGAATCCAAAAGAGCTTCGGGGCGAGCACGTCGACGTCAAAAAAAGGCGTCCAGGCACGACGTCCAAGAATTATATTAGCCGAGAAGCCGAATTATCCTATTACTTAACACCAGTTAAGTAATAGGATAATTCGGCTTCTCGGTTAACATAATTCTTGGACGTCGTGCCTGGACTCCTTGTTTTGATGTCGACGTGCTCGCCCCGAAGCTCTTTTGGGTTCATGGAAAGTTGAAAAGGAGGAGTATATAATAAATTAAAAAGTGTGTGACAAATTTGTTTCTTAATCAATTCACAATTTTAAAAATAGTTTCCTTACTTGATTAATTTATACAGGTAAATTAAAGTTGATGTTGTAATAAATATATAAAAAACTTGGATATTTATGAAGAATAATAAAATTTAATATGCAATTAATTCTAATACAATTTGAAAAGATTTTTTTTCATAAGCCCATTTTTTTGCCGCGTTGATTCAGAAACTGTCAAAGTAGCGTCGGACAAGGTAGCTGACGCCGAGCAGGGCGACGATGACGACGCGTTTGGACGAATCATTCATGTCGTTGGCCTTGTTGCAAAAGTCCTTATCGCAAATGCAGAGGTCCTCTTGGCAGGAATTCATTTTTGGGGTGATCCCAATGTTAGTTTCTGCATTGCCACACATGCTCCCAATCGTGCTGTGGGCTATGCAAAATGGAACTAAATACGAAAGGAAATCAGGATTAGAGAAGACGGCAAAATTTAGTATGTACAGCAGAATTATATGCGTGTGTGTCACCTCATTTGCATACATATTTAAACGCATGCGCAAGACATAAAGTTTATTCAAACTGTAATTTGTAATTTAATTTTCAAATTCGAAAGCTGGGTAGGTATCGCGAAAATGAGCATTTATGCAAATTAGGTGACACGCACAAATACTTTAAATGGAAGTCTCCCAGCGAATGCTCACAGATTTTTACGAAATTAGTGTCAATCGATTGCAAATTTAATTAGGATGAAATTTGCGAAAGACACGATCTCTCAATGGCACGTTTGGCAGATATATTTGCCTCCGAAGAGGAGGAAGCGTGCCCTAAAAAGACGACAAAATTAACAATTTGCAAATTTACTGCGCATTTTCTCCTGTTGGGATGCAAATATCTGCGCCAAACGTGCCCATTGGGAGATCGTGTCTCTCGCAAATTTCATCCTAATTAAATTTGTGATCGATTTTCACTAATTTGCTCAAAATCGGAGAGCATACGCTGGGAAAGCATTCCATTGTTAATATCAAAAAACATACTATGAAAGCTCTCCGGACATTCAGCCTTGTTTCTCGCCTCCTTTTTACTCGCAGCGTCAAAGTCCTTGCAAAGCACGGAATTTCGCCACTTGACAGTATGCTCAGCCTCATCCCACTTGGATTCTATGACCTCCGCTCTGTCCTCAACTTGCTTAGAATTTGGTCCAAAACAAAGGTAGCAGGACAATCCTATCGTAGTCAAGATAAACAACGATGCGAATTACGTGTCGAAAAATATGACAAGTAGCCGTGGAAGTGTTGGTGAGGACATAGGGACAATGTCCCCACGATTGTTCGATGTCCCCATCATATATAAACCCGGCCCTCCCCAATCCTACAATGTCAATGTAGGATTCCACGGCTTCCGCGGGCACTGCATCATGTACATGCGTTTGAGTAGCCTGAATTCTCCAATTGGCCGCGGAAGCATTGGTGAGGACGGAGGGACAATGTCCCCACGATTGTTCGATAACATACTTTTATGCAGTAGCCGCGGAAGAACAATGTCCCAACGGTTATTCGATGTCCGCATCGTCTGTTATATAAACCCGGCCCTCCTCAATCGTACAATGTTAATGTCCCCAGATGTCCTCACGGCTTCCGAGGCCACTGGTAAAAGTTAGAGGATACAATCCCCCCTGTTAACTTTTAACTCCACTAACCTTCCGCGGTAGGGACGTTGTCCAAAATCATCACGATGGCGATGATAGCGACCACGACGTGGCGTAGTTTTGACGAGATTTTCATCTTCCTAGACTGATGTTTCCCTTCCGGTTTGAAAATAGGGTCGTGTTCCGGGTGGGTGCAGGATAAGATGACCACCTCGAGCAGAGGACAAGCAAGGTCACAAGGCACAAAAAAATACGAGACTGGGACAGAAAGCAGTACTGTTCGCCTTGAAAATTTGAGAAATTTATTTATTTTTATACTTTTTCTGAGGTGAGGAAAGTAAGAAGGGCTACCCTCACGACAGAAAAGCACATGGTTACGGCGAAGCCAAAGTATGCTTTCAAGACCCTAAAATTTCCTAAAATTTCCAGCTCGACCGGTTGCATTTATTGAAAAATTCTTGAAACAAAAAAATCGGACCATTAGAAAATTTAGTGTAATAGTATTTTCAATTTTCTTTTTGCAAAAACTCTAGTATGGTGGAAAGGGCGATCCTGTCATTCGGACCTGTTTCCACAGAAGGAACCCATTTTATGAACGGGAAGCTCAAAAATTGGTCCAAATCGCGGAACGGTGCGGTGAAAGTGAGTTATCCGTCGCTTATCAACTAACTTATGTATCTAACCCCGTCTTATCTTTCAGGAAAGGCAATCTGTCGCCAAAATTGTCTCTCTACAAGTTTAAAAGAGATTGTTCGCTGCAAGCTCAGGACGCGCTTCTGTGGGCAATCAACGAGGGCGATGAGGCGCTAACGATGACACGGACCGGGGACAAGATTCTGTTCGAAGGCGACGCCAAGGTCGACGTTACGGACACCCTTCCCGCCAAAATTCCCGACGCTCTTCCCGCCAACGTTACCGACGCCATTCCCGCCAAAGTTCTCGACGCCCTCCTCTTCGTATGGTATCACGGATGGGATACCTTTTAATTGAAGTTTAAGTAATTACGCCTCCACAGAATATAGATTCTACCAGAAGAATCGATCTTATGTATTCGAGTGACGCTTATGGAAGAACGGGGAGAGCCAACCAAATAACTCGGTGTACATTTGGCCCACCTGGGGGAGGTGCCTACGCATCATCATCATCGCCACATCTCCTGGCATCAAAAAATGATGATGGAAGCACATAGGTGGCGGTGGCACCCCCATTTGTGCACCAGAACACACCGTCGTAGAGCATCAAATTTGTGGAGACGCAGCTCAGAATTGTGTGTTCTGGTGCACAAATCGGGGTGCCACCGCCACCTATGTGCTTTCATCATCATTTTTTGATGCCAGGAGATGTGGTGACGATGATGATGCGGAGGTGCCATCCCCCAGGTGGGTCAAATGTACACCGAGTTATTTGGTTGGCTCTCCCGTTCCTCCATAAGCGTCACTCGAATACATAAGATCGATTCTTCTGGTAGAATCTATATTCTATGTTACGCCTCTAAATCATATTTAAACTAAATATTAATTTCCCACAATTTATAAAGAGAGGCTACAATTTACTCCTAACAATCTTTCTCCCCATTGATCCAATCATGTTACAAATTTGTACACAATATAAATTTTGCACCGTTTCCAAAAGTAATAAATTGTCTCTTTAAACATTTACAAATCTGAATTTTTCCCTGATTAATAACCACATCGGGTAGACAAATAAGTCGGGATTTCCGTGTCGATTCAGTAGCCTGCCCCACTGCCAAAAAAGTAGCGTCAGGCGAAGAAGCTGACGCCGGTGAGCAGGGTGACGCTGTCCACGACGAGTCTGGTGGACGAACCATTCTTGATCTTGTCCTCAAGGTCGGGCGTGTTGCAAAAGTCCGTTTGGCAGTAGCACTCGTTGCCCTTGCAGGAATTCATGGTTGGATAAGGGAGCACGCTGTCTGGAACAGGGCCACACACGCTGCCAAGTCTCTTATTCACCGCACAGAATGGATCTACAGAGAGAAATCAGGATTAGAGAAGACTTCAAAATTTATTTTAAGAACTACTGAAGTCATTCTGAAGAGACATATTTTCGAATTTTTGGATTCACGCTATAATTCGAATATTTATAGAATTTTCAAAAAACCGAGGTTTTGGCTGAAAAAATGTTTTAAAATTCGCGCCTCGCGCTCAAACTAACGCGTTAGGAAAAATGAAAAAATACGGGTATGCTTATTTTTTGTGGTGAACAAAATAAAATTGGTTCCCAACCAGATCTGAGTTGTACACGTAAAAGACTTGCATTGTGAGTGTGAATGAAGATCTTTTTTGAACAGGTATGCAGCCACGTGGATTGTTACTGATTGGAAATTATTCGACACGTGACCAGATTGAAAGAGACTTTTAAAATTTACATTATGGTAAATTTTAAAAGTCTCAACTAATCTGGGTTACGGCACTTGTCGCAAAATCTAAAATTTTACATTTTCCAACAACCCGGCCTGATTTTGAATTCAAGTCCATCATTTCATAATCAATAGTACCAAAAAAGTTACTTTTAAAGTTGGATGGACATTTCGCCCGGCTTCTTTCGTCGTGCTTATTCGCGGCGAAGTCCTTGTCAGCTTCAACGAATACTGGTACTCCTCCAAATCGATTTTCTTGGCATTCGAATCACCAGCTTGGTTAAAATTTGGTCCCACACAAATGTAGCAGTGCAATCCTAAACAAGCAAATGATGCAAATTACGAGTTGCAATTATCAATGTTCGCGGAACAGAGGACAATGTCGCCACAGTTATTCGATGTCCGCATCATCTCCCCATGTTATATAAACCCTTCCCTATCCTACAATGTATTATTTATTATTAACATAAACATTGATAAACTATGAAATACACTTAGTTGGCTTGGAAAGTAGAGGAAAAACCCGATGTTGGTGGGTTGGGAAAACCTTTACTTGATCCGGATAGGCGTCCGAGATCACCATTCGGCCCCTTACATGATTTTTGTAAATAAAACGACCTATCATTTAAAATATAAAATAATTCTTCTAATCCTCGTTGACTGGGGACAGCTCCCTACAATGTTAATGTCCCCACGGCTTCCGCGGCCACTGATTGTAAAAATTAGAGCATATTTTTAACTTTTTCTCCCCACTAACTAACCTTCCGTGGAAGGGATGCGGTCCAAAATCATCACGACGGCAATGATAGCGACCACGACGTGGAGCAATTTTGACGAGATTGTCATCTTCCTTGATGTTTCCCTTGCAGTTCGAGGCGACAGCGTCGTGGTTGTCAAGATTTTAAGACACTGACGAAGTTGACCAACTCGAGCAGACGACAAACAAGGTCTCAAGGCGCTAAAAAATACGAGACTGGGACAGAAAACGGTACTGTTGGGTTGAAAAGTTGGGAGATGACACTTAAATTTATTTTTGTTTACACTTTTTCCACACTTTTCAAACTGGTCGTTCTGGAAGATATGTTGGCAGGGAAATTTATTTCATAACTTGTAAAAGCTGTGAGGCGACTTGTAAAGCCATTTTTTTCTTGAAAACCATGTGTGTGAATTTGTTTGAGTTGCAAATATTTGCAAAATTGATATTATGCTTTCTGGTATTGCAAAGTTTCGCATCCTGGTAAAATTTGAAACAAAGAATGTGCTTTCGCAATAACATCGACAGAGGAAATTTACTCGGATATTTGTAACAAAAACAACTTGCAAAATTTTACAAAGATTTTTTTTAACATAACGCACGAATTTATTCTAATTAATCAACTTAAATCATAAATTACATATCATTTTTATAAAAATATTAAGATCTCGAGAAAATTTGCATATTTTGGCCGTCATGGGTAGGAACTATAAGCCAGTCTCCGATCATCTTCTTCTTGCCTCTCAAAATGTTATATACAATTTTTGGTTATTTAGGACAGTTTTATAATTCATAAATTTTTTACAAAGATTAATTACGAAGGAATAATCTGTCTCGCAAAGTACCCAAATCTGTTGTAAATTTCCAAGGCGTGTCCTTGCGTTTTACACACGTCCAGAATTGCATCCTTGTAAAATCAGTGTGAATTACTTACGGGAAGAAAGGTGCACGTGATGCAGCAACATGTGTCTCAACATCCGGTATTCCCAAACCGGAAATAAATCTGCTTGTCTGGCCGAAATCTGAATAAATGATGGTGCCCTCGACTTCTCACCCTGCAACATAAACTATCTTCCTGTCTACGAAATTCGCACCTCGTGAATCTCATTATTCGCTTAAACTTTCCCCATAAACCTTTCTCTGTTTCATATGATAAATAATATTTATCATAATCATTACGCATATTATGCGCAATGCTGTGTGATGAGAATGAAAAATGTGAAATCTTTGGAAAGATAAAATTTCACATAAATTCAAACTAATCTGAACTCTTGTTGGGTAAATAAATCGAGAAAAAATTATATTTTATTTTATTGTGTTACTTGCAAGTCGGTAGTGTTAAATTGAACGTTTATGTATAATTAGATCTACAAATGTAATATTTCAATTTCACGCAATGCTCGGTAAAATTCGTAAATTTAGAAACTTTTATGCATATTTCTGAGGAAAATTAGTTTCAAAATTTTTATAAATTTGCCCAGATCAAGGACGTCTCTTTATTTGGTAAAAGTTTGTAAAATTATTTTACACCACAAAGGTTACTGGTTTAACAGAATTACCACTGACCACGTGAAGTGTCTCATAAAAATTTTAGTAACAAAATAGGAAATGACTACAAATTCGTCATCCAGAATTTTAAAATAAATTCCCAGAGTCGAAAAACGATCAAAAATGTTTTTATTTTGATTTTGAAGATTTTGGTGATTCGTATGACATCCCCAATCCCAAATTACATAACTTATTAAAATTTTAAAATTTTAATCAGAAAATAGCAACTAAAATAACTTTGCTGCGAGCCATTTTTAATACCAGATGGATGTCACTCTCCTAAGAACCCAGACATCTAGATCATTTTCTGTGGGGGAATTTCCCCCCGAAGCCGCGTTCCCCCATCGCCCCGTAATATCGACGGAGGCGTACAGCTTGTATCCAATTTTGCGAAAAGCGCCAATTAATTGGCACAAAAGCAATTTCGCAGCAATACTTTGTTCCCCGTCCGATGTGAACCATGGATTTCCTTTCAACTTGATTTCACTGCATCCGTAATAGTCTCGCTCGTCTTGGACGCCTTTTGGCCAGGATGAGGTTACAGTGTCGCGAAAAGTATCGAGCAGCCAGGAGGAGGACGATGGGGTGTCGATCAGTCTGAAAAAATTGGACTTTAGAAAATGCTCTTAGAAATCCTTAGAAAGTAAAATAATAGTAATATTAGTATTATTTTAAGTATTATTTTTATTTTAGTATCATTTTATTATCATCGCATTGTTAGTGGCATATGCCACTAATTGTAAGAATTGAGGTCTCCCAATGTATGCTCTCCGATTTTGAGCAAACTAGTGTCAATTGATGACAAATTTAATTAGGATAACATTTGCAAAAGAAGCGATCTCCCAATAATGGGAATAACGTTTGGCAGAGATATTTGCATCCCAAGAGGAGAAAACGCGCAGTGAATTTGGAAAGTGGAAAGTTTGTAGACTTTAGGGTGCGTTTTCTCCTCTTGGGATGCAAATATCTCTGCCAAACGTTATTCCCATTATTGGGAGATCGCTTCTTTTGCAAATTTTATCCTAATTAAATTTATAATCGATCGACACTAGTTTCTCAAAATCGGAGAGCCTACGCTGGGAGACCTCTGTCATAAGTTATTTTTGTCAAAATTTATTCTCATTTTTTACTAGGTACGAAATTTATTTTGCGAAACATGAAATTCGTAAATTTACACTTTCATCCCAACAATTTATTTGATCCTGAAATATTCCGGATGACATCCTGAACATCGGCCAAATACTTTTTATGTCAGACTTACAAGCCAAATATTGCGATTTAGCAAAAATTCATTACCGAAAGACTGAAAATAGATTAACTTGATTGAGGTCAAAAGGTACCGTGATTTTAAAAAAAAGTCTTTAACTTATTTCCGTCAATTGTAGCAGTCTCTTAACGTCGAAATGAAAATCAGTTGAATATTTTTTTTATTATACTTGTAATTTAAAAATTCTATATTTTTTTATCACATTTTTACATTTTTACATTTTTACATTTTTACATTTTACATTTTTACCCATTTTGTAATAGCATACAAAAATGAACGAAATATTTTATGCTTATGCGTACCTCGAAAATGAATGAATATCGAATGGATGAGTGTCGAAATAGATGACAAAAAGTACCAGCAGGCAAAAAAAATTCGTTTTTTTTGGATGTAAAATTACGTTATAACACAAAGTTATCTTCCATATTGCATTTTAAGAAGTGGAAAATAGGAGAAATTCATTGTATACATATTTCCCAATCATAATAATTCTACACAAATTTTTTAACTTTCCAAATTGTTCTGTAAATAGCATTTAACCTACTTTAAGGCATTTATAAATCAATTTTAGGTAAAACAAATATTTGACTTGTAAGTCCGACAAAAAATATTTGACGAGTTTTCACAACATCCTCGTAAGATGGTCTGGTCTAATAAATTATCGGTGTTAACACAGGACTCAAAGACTCATTACTAAAATCGCCACGTTTTTAATCATTTCTTGCCTCTGGGAACTTATTTCAAAATTCTGGACGAAAAATTTAGTGAGTTGATTCATGGAATGGTGCTGAGTTTTTGGAGCCAGGTTCGATGAGCTCCAATTTTGCTGTAGGCTTCTTAAACTTGAGATCTCCTCATTCAAAAAGGGTCAAAATCTGAAGTGTATATTTTCAAAAAATTGGGAACTCCTTGATCTACAAATTTGTCGTGCAAAATTTTAAAATAAATTCCCACATCGGATAGTCGTTTAAAAATGTGTTATTTTTAACGATTTTGACGATCATTGAGCCAAGCGTTAATTTATTTCGAATTGATTAATTATTTAATATTTCACGAGGCATGGTGATCAGTTTACTTACCGGATTTTGTCCGTATCATTGAAACTAATGGCAAACATTTGCGCTTCCGGGTCCGGTTGTTGGTACTCAAAGAACATGGTGTCCTTGTCGTTGGATTTTTTGCTAGGGTCGAAACTTTGCAAGTGGACCCATCCCTCTCGGGCCAGGTGAAGTAGAATTGAGGACAGCAGCCTAAAGTTGTACCGTAAGAATGGAGGATGATTTATATATATTTACACTTCATAACGGATTAAAAATAAATAAATTTCCTATTTTTCTTTTCCAAAAACTGCTATTAAGATTCTATACAAAAAATTCATAACTCAAAAACATTTCTATTTAGCGAGTTTATATAGATGCCTTCACTCATCTGATAGATTTTGATTATTAATTTCTGAATATATTTGGACAGCTTAATGAAAAAGGAGAAATTTTATTTTACATACAAAAACTAGAGTTCAGAAAAATCGGGGTGAATGTATCTTGCAAAATATGTTTCTAAAAATGCCATCGAATCTTCTAAGCCAGTTACATCTTTATTTTTAAAATTTGCAAGCTTTTTAGTTTCACAAAATAATTTTCATAAAATTTTTTCTTAAAAAATCAGATTTTTTAATTATTTTAAACTACCTAATTATCTAGTAATTCAGTTATATTTGACACACTTATCCAAAACCAGAGCTTCTGGTTGTTGCAGATAGTGCCAAAAATTTGCTAAATTGTTGTATTGAAGAGCAGAAATTGTTAGAATGACTTTCAATCCCACAGATCTTTATTAAACTCTTCTAGCCGAAAACGGAACCTATTTTAAGTACTTTCTTAAATAAATTTAGGAAAATATAAGTTTTTGACTTATAAGTATGACAACAAATTTTAAAATATTATAGCGTGCAAGCAAATTTTTAAAATGAAATTCTGTTTTATGTAAAACCTGCAGTTCGCAAAAATTGTCTCCGTGTTAACTTATCCAACAATATATTTTTTCTCCAAAAAGGCAATCTTACAAGTTGCTAAATTTGCAAGGTTTGCTAAATTTATGTAAATTATTAAATTCTATTCTTACCTTCTCGCATTGACGCCATCTTCAGTTCGTCCTAGCCACGGATTTCCACTAACTTTGAATTCATACGCCCCATGGAAATCCCCCTCGCTTTGAATCCCCTTCGTCCACCCGGTCTCAATCGCCGTTCGAACGATGGGGATCAAATTTTCGGGAAAATTAGGAATCCCATTGATTCGAATACGATCCGTTTTTGAAAATTGGATTGAACAAACTTGGACAGATTGGGGGGTTACAGGTGGATAATATTTTTCGGGATATGCCATCATTTTATGTTAGGAATTGATTGCAAAGATTGGCAAAAATTGGCAAAAATTGGCAAAAATATTTAAGACGATCGACGATCGACGACAAAGTTAAACTACTTTTATGTTACAAATTAATTGAAAAAATGGCAAAAATTTGGCAAAAGTGAGAAGATCAGAGCAAACTTAATTGCTTTAATATTACAAATAAATTGCAAAAATGGCAAATATTTTGCAAAAATTAAAGTATCAGAGCAAAGTTAACTCCTTTTACGTTACTAATTAATTGCAAAATTTGGCAATAATGAGAGAATCAGAGCACAGTTAACTGTTTTAATATTACAAATTAATTGCAAAAATGGAAAAATTTTGCAAAAATATTTAACAGGATCAGAGCAAAGTTAAAATTAACTGTCCATCCAGACAACGAAATGTGTAATGTTGTCGATATTTTTTATCCAGTGTAACCACGACAACGGCGACCTTGCCTTGTAAGCACTGATATGACTCACCCTGCTAGATAATCATAGGTTGTTTGGTATAACAGGTATACATACATATGTACACAAGGTAATTTATTTCTTTGTACATAACACGGGAAAATTCATACATGCGAAATAAAGAAGTTTGCAATAAAGTTAATGTATTTGCCAATGTGGTTCGTGTCCTGTTTGAATATTTAGTTTCATAGCGTGCATGAAATTTATTCGGAAATCATAGGTTTACATGTTGTGTATAAAATTCATGAAGCAATTTATTACTGTGACCTTTGTACAGATGTAACTTTGTAAAATTAGTTTGCTAACCTTTTGCGTGATGTACTATTTACAAGGTTAGATAAGATTTGTAGATTAATTTTGGCTGGGTAAAATTTTGGAAATATATGAAAATTACAGTATTATTTACAAAGTACTGCGTAAATTGCATGCTTAAATACATGACATGTAAAGTTGCAAAGGTAAACTTGCACTTTGCACTTGACGAGTAAACCTTATCTCGGAACGGATGCACCATGTACCATTCGTACTAAATACGTTATTAATTAACCACTTTAAAATACCGTAATAAGTGAATGACGCGCATTGATTAGGACAAATTTGTGGCTCATTTCCGTCGTGCTGGACTAGAATTTATGTTTATGTTTGTAATTAAGCCACAAAAAACACGTATTTTGCTTTATGCTGAAATTTTGGCTTAAACAGACTCAAAACGCATACACGTTAAGTGACGTAATTGTAATTTATATTTTGTAATTTGACTTTTGAGGTCTGTATTAAATTTAATACTAAAGCAGGACGAAATCGTGGTTTAAAGTATTATTTAAAAAAATAAAATACAGATTTTTCATGAAAATTATTTTATGAAATTCGAAATTTGCTAACTTTCATTCGAACAATTTAGAAAGTAATGAAAAATTACAAATAAAAGGGATGAGATCGTGAAAAGAATCGAAATATTTTTTGTCAAACTTCTAAGTCAAATATTGCTATTTATCAAAATTTATTTTGAAAATGAGTAAAACTAGATTCGATGTTATTTGGATTTAAGTTTATGAAATTTGAGAAATTCTTTGACGAATTTCTTATCCTCAATTGTAACAATTTCTCAAATTTTTAACCGTTTGTATCCAACTTCCAGTTTTGGATAAGTGGGTGAAATATAACAAATTACTAGATACAAAAAATAGAATTAGTTTAAATTTTTTGTAATTTTTATTTTTCTAAATAAAACAAATCGAACAATTTTTACGAAAATTATTTTATGAAACTTGAAATTGTAAAATTTCAACTTTCACCCGAGCTACTTGGTAGGTCATGAAAAATTACAAATATAGTGAAAAACAGTCAAAATCTTTTTGTCGGACAAATACTTGAATTTTTCAAATTTTATTTCGCTAATGGTTTAAAATAGATTCGGTAGTTTGTGCGTACAAGTTTATAAAATCTGAGAAATCATTCGACCAGTTTTGGTCAACTTTGACGTTGGTAAAATGGGAAATGAAAAATTTTGTAAATTATGAAATACATTTCTAGATCCGTATCGTCTTGTTAACTCGTAAAATTTTGTCTGGTTTAATTCATCAGGTAAAAAACAACCTTTTGTTCAGCAAATATTAATTGTCTCAAACAATTAGAAAATTTTCTGAGAGGTTTTTTTTTAAATATTCTTAAATATCTGCCAGAAAACCTTTCAGATTTTTTTCCGACAATTAATATTGGCTGAACAGTAATTGTGTATAGTGCAGAAATTAGTCAATTTTAGAATCAGTATAAAAAATTCAGTATTAAAATAAAAGGTGAAATGAAAATTGGTAAACTTTGGGGTGGGTAAAATGATCCGTGAAAAATTTAGAAACACTTAAATACATTCTAGATTTGTATGGATTTTGAAGTGTGGCAAAATTTTGTCTAGTTTAATCAGCTAAGAAAAACAGCCTACTGTTCAGCCAATATTAATCGTCTCAATTCATTGGAAAACTTTCTGAGAGGTTAATTTGGTTTTTTGAAATTGAAAATACTACGAAATATCTACCAGAAAAGCTTTCAGATTTGTTCAGACTTTTAATATTGGCTGAACAGAAGTAGATACAAAAAATAAAATTAGTTCAAAATAAAAAATAAATAAAAAATAAATTCAAATTTTTTAAAAAACAAAGAACAAATTTTTAAAGAACAAATTTTGCTCAAATTATTTTTTGAAATTGAAAATTTGCAAATTTTTAAATTTGCAAAATTTTAAATTTTTCCCCTAACAATTTAAGAAACCATGAAAATTTACAAATAAAAGCGAAGATATCGTGAAAACCAGTTAAATATTTTGTTTGTTAAACTTAACAGTCCACAGTCGGAAATTTATATTTAGCAAAATTTATTTTTAAAAAAATCACTCTAGTAATTTCTTCTGGAAAATTGTAACAATTTCGAAATTTTTCAACTTTGATTCCAACAATTTTGTAGGTAATGAATAATTATGATTATAACGAGGAGATGGTGAAAATCAGTCAAAAATTTTGTTATCAGACTTACAAGTCAAATATTTTTTATTAAAGAAACCATAGTTTGAAGTAACAAAAAATAGGTAAATACAAATCCTCGAGAGTCAAAAAGTAAATTTATTCACCTAAATTGCAACAAGTTCGAAAATTTATCAATTTTGATCCAAACAATTTAGTTTGTCATAAATAATTATTGATTATAACGAAGAGATCGTGAAAATCAGTCAATTTTTTTGTCAAACTCTCACAAACCATGTAAATATTTTTATTAAATACAATTTATTCCGAAATTACTTATAGATTATTATGTAACTCGTGGAGAGTTAAGAAATCTCAAAATTTGAAAATCAGTTTACTAATTTTTTCCCCTGATTGTAGAAATTCCGCAAATTTTTCTTAAATACTAGACGCCAAAAATAAATTAATAGTAAAAAAAATTACGATTTTCATCCCAAACATTTAGGAAGTCTTGAAAAATTACAAATAAAAAACATTGTGAAAGTCAGTAAAATATTTTTGATCAGTTACATGTCGAATATGTTTATTAATCAAAATTAATTATTTATAAATAGTTTCATTCAAATAAGTGAATATGGAACTAGTGGAAAGTTAAGAAATCTAATAATTTAAAAATCAGTCCACCAAATTTCTTCCCCACAAAAGTATTACAATTTTTCAATTTTGATCCATACCTGTTCACTTTCATTCAATTGCGTGATTATGATGGTGAGCGATAGCGAATGAAAATGAATTTCCTGCGATTTGAGTGAAAATAATTCGTCGCCGTAGATCCATAAGATACCAGGACGAAAACCAGTTGGGACCATAAAATACCAGGACGAAAACTAGTTGGGACCATAAAATACCAGGTTAAAAACCAGATGGGACCATAACGTACCAAGTTTGTTTTTTTGATTTTTCAGGACAGCGTGAAAACTCGAACCACATGATTGCTGGTTGAAGGAATATATCCACGTATTCAAGTATTGCTTTTTCCACTGTTTAATGTTCCGTGTAAATTTAAATTGCATCCAAAAAATTTGAAATTTGGCATGAACATGTATGAATATATTGTTAATCATAATATGACATCAATTCCCATTCCGATCGCTATGAATTTTTCAGGAAAAATTAAAAACCACATTTTTTAAAGTCTTTGATTTTTCCTGAACAATTCATAGTGATCGGAACGAGAATTGATGTCATATTATGATTAACAATATATTCGTATATGTTTACGCCAAATTTCAAATTTTTTGGATGCAATTTAAATTTAAATTTAAATTAAATAGTGTCCAGATCGCATATATTGGCAATCTTACCACGATTTTTCCTGAGTGAGAGAAAGCAAAATCCTGCACATTTGACTAGTTTTTGAATTTTAATACCTCCAAAAATACTTGATCAATTAAAATTTGGAAAAAACTACTGTGTGCGCAATTAACAAACCAATTTTTAGCAATTAAAATTTCAGCACGCCCCAAAACAGTCTTGGTATGTTATGGTTCCAACTGGTTTTCATATTGGTACTTTATGGTCCCAACTGGTTTTCGTCTTGGTACTTTATGGATCTACGGCGACGAATTGAAAGATTCAATCATTTCAGATGAATAACTGTGAAGCCGTTGATGAATTTATAAATTAATGTTTGTAGCAATTTTTAATGCAAAAAAGTAAAAATCTCACTTATTCAATTAGAAATTAAATTAAACGAGTCTGAGGCCTGTTATGGCTGAGGAATTAAAATTAAACACATTTTTACGTAAGAAATGCATGTAAAAATGTCTTTAATTATAATGCCTCGCCCATAATTCCTATTTAAGCCGTACTTAATAATGTTTTATTTTGGTTATTTTGCATCACTGCCTATGCTTATGTATAAAGGCGTATGTATACATATGTGAGTGAGAAACCTGAATAATGAACTCTAGGAATTTGGAAATCAGTTTACCAATTTCTTCCCCTGAATTGTAACAATTCTGCAAATTTTTCCTAAAAATAGACAAAAAAATTAATAAAAATAATCAAAATTACACCTTTCATCCCAACAATTTAGGAAGTCATGAAAAATTACAAATAAAGAACATCGATAAAATATTTTTTGTGAGACTTACATGTCGAAAACTTTTATTAATAGAAATTTATTTTTAAAATGGTTTAAAATAGATGAACTTGAGGGAAGTGAAGAAATCTATTTTTTTGTAAATCAGCCCACGAATTTATTCCCCTCAATCATAATAACTATTTAGCAGGTCACGAAAAATTGCAAATATGACGAAGAGATGGCCAAAATCAGTCAAATACGTTTTTGTCAGATTTTCAAGTCAAATATTTTTATTTGCCAAAATTTATTGCTAAAATGATTTACATTAAATTTTTTTAGCTTTCACAGAAAGTTAATAAAATGTGTCAATTTAAATGTCATTTTACAACCTAATACGCTGGTATTTTTGCAACTGCAGTTGCAAAAAGGGTCGCATTTAATGGTGACCCAAAATGACTGAATGGGATACCTAAGAACTAAACCCTACGGAGGACTGAATGGCCTACCCTAACAGGTCGAAAAAAATAGCTAATAGCTGAATCTCGACCCTAAAGTTCTGATAGTTAAAAATCGTTGATTTACATCATTTTTTAGATAATTACATCTCGATTATCATTTATTAAGACCATTTCTAAGAATTGAATCTTAAATTAATAAAAAATTCAACAACAAGGGCTCGCTTGCATTTCTTTGGGCTCCCTGGTCCACGTTTTAACCCAAGAGGTACATTTTTGCAAATATCAAAGATATTAAAATCTCTGTATGCTAGTCTGGTTAAATGCTCACAAGCATGCTGTTGTTTTAAATATTTGACAATTACATAGAGGAATCAACTAATTTGATTCTTGTCCTTTTGTCTGTGCGTACGAATTACTCTAAATAAAAATAAGTAAAATTTACTCAAGTTTGAGTAAAAAAACCTACAGTGCAGACTTGATATAGCCCGAGTCAGGCGTAAATCTGTTTTCAAATTTAAATTTGTAAAACTTCGAATTCTTCAATTACGGGCCTTTAGTAACCCATATACCAAAATGTATCCACTATCACTAAATTTTTGTTAGTGCACACATTTTTTTCCCTTGGTCACCAGTATCGACGGTGACAAAAAATTTGAAACGAGTGTATATTTTTTCTTAAAACTCTCAGGATATTATCCTAGTAATATTAGACGCAATATATGTAAATTCCAGCCACGCGGGTGACTAGGTTCGTATACATTTGTTGGTGCACAGATATTTTTCTCCCTGGTCATCTTATTAGGTCGCCCAATAAGGTCCTCCAGATGAAAATTTGTCGAATTTCAATTCATATTCTTCCATTGGTAGTCATTAACAACCTATGTACCAAATTTCAGCTCGATTGGATAAGTTTTAAAAATCAGCATGGGTCACCCCCTAGGGTCCCTCGAGGGTCCCTCGATATTGCAAATTATTTTTTACATTATCTGCAAAATTGCATAAAATTCTTATAACGTTGAACTCTGTGTGAATACGGTCAATATTGATAAACAATCAAATCCAAGATTATGCCATGTCTTTAAATACGTGTGACATGATTGAAGTAGGATATTGTCAAATTATTATTTTGTTTTGTTCATACATGGGTATATTAGTTTCTCAAAATTCCATAAACTGGGTTTGCTAAATTAATTTATGTATTAGTCATAACAATTAGACCTACCAGGTAGTAAGTCATGAAACGTTACAAATAAAAGACGATGAGATCGTGAAAATCAGTTAAAAACTTTTTTTGTGAAACTTAGAAGCTAAATATTTCTATCGACAACTAATTATTTTAAAATTAGTTGAAAGAGATTAATTTGCGTCATGGTGAGCTAAGAAAGCTAAAAAAATAAAAATCATGCTATCAAATTCTTCCCCTCAATTGTAACAATTTCGAAAATTTTTCTCCCAACAATTTAAAAAGTCACGAAAAATTACAAGTATTACAAAGTGATCGTACAAAATGGTTAAATATTTTTTGGTTGGACTTACAAGTCAAAGACGTTTATTTACAAAAAATGTTTTTCCGAATGACTTAAAATAGATACAAATGACGTTTGGCCGAGATATTTGCATCCAAAGAGGAGAAAACATGCCTTAAAATCGACATATTTATACTTTCCAAATTTACAGTGCATATCTCCTCCTCGGATGGAAATACCTCTGCCAAACGTGCCCATTGGGAGGTCGTGTCCTTCGCAAATTTCATCCTAATTAAATCTGTGATCGATTGACACTATTTCCTTTACATTCATGGCGTTTACTCCTCTTCGGATGCAAATATTTTTGAATTTTTTAATTAAAAAATTCAAATGAAAACCACAAATAAATTGTTCACGGTCAAAATTAATTGTGTAACTTCTACGTCAAAGCAAAAACTTTTTGTAAATAGTTAAGACTTTACTTTTGTAGATATGTGCCACATATCTACGAAAGTGCTCCGATCGGGAAATACCGATCCCATAAGAATACATTGCTACCGTACCGTACCGTTCCGATCGGGACCAATGTATTCTTATGGCATCGGTATTTCCCGATCGGAGCGCATAATGTGGCTAACGTCATACCATATGTACTCTCCATCAACGCAGCATACCTGTTCAAAAAAACTTTTTTCATTCAAAGTTCCGTCATCTCGATTTCTGGGTGAAGATTTTCATTCACATTTAGTCATTTTCATTCAAATTCATTTCACTTCACTTCATCTGACTTCATTTTTTACTGCGCCCCATGTATTAAGCATAGGGTGAAAAATGAAAAGAGTGAAAAATCCTTTCATTCACAGTCACTCATCTGAAATTACTGAATATTTCACTCATTTTCATTCAAATCACAGGAAATTCATTTTCATTCACTATCATTCTCTATCATAATCACTCAAATGAATGAAAGTGAACAGGTATGCAATGCAGGATTGAATTTTTACAGAAATTAAGAATTTTGAGAAACTACGGCATTGTCGGTCCTAAATTCCCTTAAATTTTTCTGACGAGGGACTTTGAGCCTGACAGTGCCGTAGTTTCTCAGAATTCTCAATTTCTGTAAAAGTTCAACCCTGCGTGGATTTAGAGTAGTTAAAATTTTTGAAATTTAAAATTTTCGAAATAAAAAAAATCCGGAGTTTTTACGAAAACTGTTTTATGAAGCTAGAAATTGTAAAATTTCAACTTTCACTCGGGTAACTTGGTAGGTCATGAAAAATTACAAATATAATGAAGAGATAGTGAAGAACGGTCAAAATTTTTTTGTCAGGCTTACAAGTCAAATATTTTAATTTTTCAAATTTTATTTCGCTAATGGCTTAAAATAGATTCGGCTAGAATTAGAGTTTAATAGTTTAATTAAATAAAGTTTAATATGAAACTGGTGGAAAGTTATGAAATCTAATAATTTAAACCTACAGTGCAGCTTTGCTTAGCCCGAGCCAGGGTGGGTACAACTAGAATTTGTTTACCAATCTTTACGCCAAAATTCAGCTTAATTGAGTGATTTTGCAAAATCAGTATGGGTCACCCCACCGGGTTCCTCTGGGTCAAAATTTTCAAAATTGTACATCATAAACTCCCATTATAAGCTGCTATCGACTTCCATACCAAATTTCAGCTTAATTGGACGATTTTGAAAAATCAGTTTGAGTGACCCCATAGGGTCCCTCCAGATAAAAATTTTCGCAAATTCACTTCATATCTTTTCATTAGAAGCCATTAGTTACATATTTACCAAATTTCAGCTTTCTACAACAATTTTGAAAATTTGATGCATAATAACCCCACCACCCATATGGCCCCCACCGGCCAACCACTTGACCGATTCGGCTCATCTTCGAACTTGATTTGTCTTTTGGGTAGATATAGATGTGGTAAAAATTTCAAGTCGATCGGTTGAGTTTGAAGAGAGTTATCGCGAAGACAGACGGACGGACGGACAGACAGACAGACATAACGGGTACATAAGCCCTGGCTCGGGCTAAAAAATCAGTCCACCAAATTTCTTCCCCACAATAGTATTACAATTTTACCAAATTTATCAACTTTATCCCAACTTTTTTAGGAGGTCACGACAAATATAACGAAGGGATAGCCAAAATCAGTCAAATATTTTTTTTTTACAAATTTATCAAACTTATTATTATTGTTAAACTTACAAGTCAAATATGTTTATTTATAAAAATTTATTCCCTAAATGATTTGAAATAGATTTGCTGTAGCTTTCACACAAAGTTTATAAAGTTAAAAATCATTCTACCACTTTCTTCCCCTCAGTTGTTAAAATATTGCAAATTTGCGTGATTACAGTCAATATTGATGAACAATCGAATCCATGATTCATCCATCGAATCCATCGAATCCTTGAAATGATCGAATTCGGATTTTGTCAGATTCTCATTGTTTCCTTTATGAATTTCATCTCAGCTTTTGTTCCTCTTCTTTTCCCCATTGTTTTTTCTGCGCCAACTTTCTCTCACTTTCTCCGTCGCATCTTCTCCCCAAATTTTCCCTTATGTATATCGGCCCAACTATCTTTTTGATTTGCATGATGCATGGCTGAACACTGACTGATTAAATAAAATTATTTTCATCCCAACAATTTTTAGTCCTGAAAAATTAAGTGTATAGAAATTATGAATATTCATGAAAAAATGATTGTTTTAAGAATTATAATTAATGATTTGAATTAGAATTAATTATTTTAATTCGGTAATAAAATTAACCCTTGTTTGTATGGTTTGTTTACACGCTGATTTTGGAAAATACTCCGTTATAATGGTTAACCTTAATATTGATAACATCTTATCCATACTTCATTATATTTACTCTAATGAAAGACTAACAATAAGTGTACGTCTACTAGGAAGAAAGTTATGCCTAAGAAGAACTGCTTTAAGTGCTCTTGTTTTTCCTGTGAATTTGAAATTTGAAATTATTTTCAAATCAAATTTCACTAAATTTCAAATCATTTACAGTCAAAGCTGTGAACAAGGCTTACGGTTTTTTAGGGGGTTGAAACGTTGGCAGGTTAGTATTCGGTGGTACAGAAGAACTTCCTCCCCCCTGCGGTTTGTAATTTGCTGTGACAGCAACAGCTATACGAAGAATGTTAGTTATCATAAATATATTGATAAGTACTGATAATTAATATACCCGATGAGCAACATCCCAATGGATAAGGTATTAACAGAAATTTACTATATCTAATAAAGCCCGTAAACCGTATTACCGGTAGAATTTCCATTGCATTCTGATGAGGATTTACTTTCAGCACTTCCCATTATGAAAAAGATTTTTTTTGTTTTTAAAAATTCTTCGAATTATTATTTATAATATGCTCAGATGAAAATATAGTTGTGGAATATGATTAGAAACCAAAAAATGTTATCCTTTGCTATTAAGTGTCATGGGCTTATCATGGACAGTTTTATAGTAATGAGTTTGATAAGATAAGCAATATCGCTCGTTCTAATGTCAAACAGGAAGTGACAATTGACAGATATATCAATAAATGATCTCATCCTCATGTGAGCCAGAATAAATATTGTAGAAAACTCTGATAATAATATGCGTTGTCATTTATTCAAAACCCTTCGGGCAGTTCGTGTTTCTTTTTAAATAATCTGTTCATTTTCATAATAATGGTTAAGGTATTGTTTAATTATATATTTTATCTGACATACATAACAAACAAACTCAAAATGAAATCTTTTTTCAAGCTATACCGGGATTTTCTAGCGAGTTATATCAAAAAATCAAGCCAAAAATTAGGAATCACATGACACTTATATTTCCGTTGAATGGCCCTTTTGAAGAAAAATATTGGGGGCAAAGTTCACAAGGTCCGTCCTGGTTTTCGCCCGTGGGGGAGAAAACGAAAGAAAATCTATGCAAAAATTAAACTTTGCCGTCAATATTTTTATTAAAGTTGTCACTCACATGGTTCCTAATTTTTAGCTTAATTTTTTAATATAACTCTTAATTTTTTAATATATGTAACAGAAAATCCCTGTGTAGCTTTTAAAAAAGGTCCCACTATTAGTTAACTGTAAAAGCTTATAAATGACATTGTTTGCAGATTGACATTCTAGTTCAAGACGGAAAGCTGACCAGTATCATAACGATTATAAGAACCTCCCATTCTATTATAAGATAGGAACAAGTGAGTTATCTTATCAGTGCAAATAGCAAAATTATTTCAATTCCATCAATAATCAACCGTCACGTGAAACCTTCATATTTTTGTAGCTATCGCACAAATGATCGACCCAGGTTATATGGATTCAATGCCAAATATTCTGTACCATGCAGGGATTCGCATCGTAAATGATGCTGATATCGTGTATGAATATACTGAAGGTGGCATTGAAGCAAAAACAATGGGACAGGAAATTGTAATGATTTTTGAATAAACCGTTCGAAACAAAATGTAGCAAAGGGGTGAAGCGACACGGTCACGCGGTCATAGCATGTCAAAACCATGTTGATTTTTTAAATCCCCGCCCAAATCTGCGTGTAAAACGATTTAGACAAAAAATTCGACTTTAGCGTCGTCGCACGTCGAATTAAACGGCGATTTCTGAAATCCCCGCCAAAAACTACGTGTAATACGGCCGAAACAATCAAATTCGACACGTTTGACCTTTGGCGTCATGACCTTATAACTTGCAATGTCCATCTTCGAACTTATCAGTACTTCAAAAATTCGAAACACGTTGGCGAAAACCGCATGTCGAAATTCGAATCCGTTCTAAAGTTATCGTGGATACAGACAGACGGACGGACAGACAAGACATCTCCATAAAGGGATTTCATTTCGCTTCACCCCTTAAAAATTTGTTGAACATTTTAGAGAGAATCAAAGAGTAAATAAAACTTGTAATTTATTCTACTGCATTTGTAGATTGATAAAGGCTACCATTTGCTGGAAAATTACTCTTACACCGTTTCACAAGAAATTGTTAACAATTATATTGAATGGATGACTTCGCCCAATGTCCAAGCGAAATATTCCAGGTAGTCTGGATGGCATGAGTACTGATATTCTTTTGAAATTGGGTTAATATGACTTAATTTTATCCCAGAGAAACTTATGACAAAGCTTTAAACAACTGTATTCATTTCCTGAAAGACTCATGCCCAATACTTCGCATGCAATTTCCCGATTGTCTTCAGGAATTTCTGGATTGGTTAGGAAAACAGTAAGTGATAATATATGTATGCAAAATTGAATGAATAATTTATTTGTAATAATAGAAATATAAATTTGGACATTTTTTAAAATTTAGTCCGAAGCTGGTAAGATTTACGGGAGTCCGGAGTGGAGGATCGGTTTCGTCCTCATCGTCCGCTGCAGAAGCTAAATAATTAATAAAATTAGCAAATAATTAGCAAATAATTTTGGTGAGTACCAATACAAAATTTGACCTTTAAACAACAGTTGATTGATTTTTTTTTCACGATATCCTCATAACTTTTCGTAATTTTTAATGATCTAATAAATCATTCGTATTAAACTTGGCATTTAAATAAGAATTTAAATTTCTGTAAAATTTATATAATTTCCGTAAAGCATACATTTATTTGATCAAAGGTACACAAAAATAATTTTTTATGACATATTTTTTTAGTATTTCATGCACTTAAATAAATACTGAAATTCATAATAGTACCAAAAGTAAATTTTTTTCTGGGAAATTTTAATTGTGCCCTAATTATCCTTAAATTTGCAATATTCCTGAACATATTGCATCCTGCTATTAACCAAAGGAAGTAATTCATCCGTATGAAAGTTTCCACTGAGGATGAGTAAAACATTAGATAACTTTAATAACCAATCTTTAACAAGTTGTTTTGGAACAAATTTTTGGAAATAAAAATATTTGACTTGTAACTCCAACAAAAATTATCACGTCATCCTCGTAAACTTCGTAATTTTAATGATCTAATAAATTTTTAGTGTTTACAAATTTAGAGTTTTTTGCGACAATTGCCTTTATTTTATTCAAAAATACATATTTACACATAAGTAAAAAGCTTATCTTATTTTTTTAAATTTAACAATTTGTCCTAATTGTTCTTAAACTTGCAATATTTCTGAACATATTGCATCCTGCTATTAACCAAGGGAAGTAATTTATCCGCATAAAATTGCCCACTTTGATCAACTCCGTCCGGATTCTGACACTTGTCATTATTGGCTCCATTTCCTTTGTAATGATGCAAATACGCGAGGTCAGGTTTGACTTGAAACTCGACATATTTCTCATCCACAGAATTTGCCAAGTTGTGAATTCCTGGCTCAATCACGAGGTTCGGCGTGGTTATAAATTTCATCCTGAAATGTAAATAAATTAGCAAACTTTTTGACAAGTTTTTCAGAAAAAGATATCATAAAACGCTTGAAAATATTCATGGTTTACATGAACAAATTTTCAAGCTAAATAAAATCTTATGTTTTTCTAGAAAATGTTTAGCAAAATTTCATAATGCGAGCATACCTGTTCAGTATCATTCATGTGACTGAGTATGATAGTGAATGATAGTGAATGAAAATGAATTTCGTGTGATTTGAATGAAAATGAGTGAAAGATTCAGTCATTTCAGACGAATGAATGTGAATGAAGAGATTTTCACTGCTTTCATTTTTCACCATATGCTTAATACATGGGGCGAAGTAAGAAATGAAGTGAGATGAAGTGAAATGAAATGAGTTTGAAATAAAATGACTGAATGTTAATGAAAATCTTCCGTGAGAAATTAGGATGACTGAACTTTGAATGAAAAAAGCTTTTTTGAACAGGAATGAATGCGAGATTTTCATGCTGTGTGAATTACCAATGTCAGTAAAGAACGCCGATTGTAAATATTGCGAAATGAAAATGATTTACATAGGACGAACAGATTCTCATTATAAAAGTCACAAAAAAGATTAAAATAAAAATTTTCACATAATTTGTATTTTGAAACATATTTATGCTTTGGACTTTTTGTGGAGCAATTTCTCTGAGCAAAAAAATTTCGTTTAACATTGTTCAAATACATATTTCAAAAGTATATGTCTTTTTGAAAAACAATTGTAACTGATTTGCATATTTTTCAAATAATAGCTCAGAAATATTTATATTTCTAAAAACCTAGAAATATGCGCGGTAATATGTAAAAAAAAATTGAAATTTTTGAGATCTATGTGAGTTATAGGGAACACACCCATGTTTGACTACCGGTTTTTGACAAAAAGTTTGACTATCGGTCGTCATCAAGTTAAAAAGTTGAAAATAAATATATGTCCGCCGTCTGGTCATAAATACTAAAAATTTTACGCACTAAAAATGACTACCAAAAAATTCCCAAATTTTTCCTTACTTGTAAAATCCTAAGAATTTGAACGAGTAGAAATGCCCAGCTTGAAACTCCCAAAACATTTCCACAATATTTCTAACTTATGAAAGCTTTTAAAAATTTGAAAAAATAAAAATGTCTACCACAAAATTTCCCAAAAATTCTCAAAATTTTCTCTACCTTATGAAAAAACCCTAATTTCACTTACTGCCCATAATCGACCGCCTTTGGCCTCGTAATTCTTCGATAAATGATTAAATCTTGTACCGACATAATCCCCTCATTTTCATTTTTTTCTCCTTTTTCAGTTCCGTTATCACAGTCGAGATCGAAAATTCCGTTGGCAAATCCAAACTGGACGGCGTCCTTGCCCTCGGGCAACCCTAGCTTTGCCTGGGCACTAATTTCGATGTAAAGTTCCCCATAATTTTGCACCCGATCCGGAAAACTTGGAACGATATACTCGTCCAAATCGATCATTAAGAGATGCTCGATTTTTCCCCGGGATCGAAAAACGCATTCGCTCGCTTGGCCGTACTGGTCATTGTTGTGGAGCAGGTCGTCATCCTGGATGGGGGACGACCAGGGCAAGACTTCGACCTGGAAGGGAAAATGTTTGAAACAAAGGGCGTGAAATAATTTGAATTGAAAAGTTACGAAGAAACTTGATAATGCGTTATTTATTTACAGGGATTGATACGTAATTTAGTAGAAATTTTTACCAACCGGTAAAAACGTCCTTTGCACTGCAAAGGAACAAATGCAAGAAATGCGAGGTGCAAGAAACTGCATTTACATTTCTTGCAGGTCAAAATAGCTGCAAGAAACTTTATACGGAAATAAATTGGTTCAAACCTTTTTGTCAGCAATTTTGTAGGGCTGGACACCGTTTTTGCAATTACAAATGGTTTATGTGGTTAAATACGTTTAGATGCATTAGGTGAAAAATAGTGCAATGAATGCCATGAATGCAATGAAAAATGCAATGAATTTATTTTCAGAAAAATTAGTTTTCAAGAAATATTACGTATATTTGATTTTTCAAAAAATTTGATTACCGCATAATTATTACCGAGAAGCACAATTTTTGAGGAAATTTATATGGTGGGCTACCCCATTTTCGTTAAATACTGTCTTTTTCAACAAAAAAATTGTACCTGGATTCCATTATCCGAATTTTTGTACTCTTCTAAAACGCACGAAACACTCGGTCCAATCGAAATATTGTAAAATGTGAAGTGCGTCGCCCCCATCAAAATGTTGTATTCCATCCACTGCACAAAACGTGGGGTGTCATCGTATGAAAAAATTGGTTGGACGCAAACACCAAATTGATGTTTGATACGGTTAAGATTTTGATATATTCGCAACGTGGGCGGTTCTTGGTCGTCTTCTTGTTGAGAACTTTCACCGGGTGAAAGCGTCACGTATTTTGGCTCTGGTAGGGAAGATATGGTCAAGTAGAGGGAACAAATTATGAAGGCGGCACTAAAATTGGAAATTAAGAATTTGACTAATTTTAATTTTTAATATAAATATATTTTAATTTGCCAGATTTTCAGTTTTTCTAAACTGTTGGGATAAAAGTTGAAGACTTGTTAAGAATTTCATAAATAATTTTCGTAAATTTGAATTTGGTTTATTCGAAAAACTACATACATGCGTAGAAATTTAAAAAAATACAAACTTATTTGTTATCTGCTGTTATGTTTTATGCAATTAAATGTCCAAAACAAGAATTGAGGAACTGAGGAAATGCAACACACGGTGCAAAAAAATCTATTTTAAGATTATAGTAATAAATTTTGGCAAATACAAATTTTTGACTTGTAAGTTTCACAAAAAAAAATATTTGACTGATTTTGACCATCTCTTCGTTACACTTGTAATTTTTTATACCTTCTTAAATTAATTAATTAAATTTTATACCTTCTTAAAGAAATTGGAAGTAGTTAGTGGAATTCTTCTTCAGATAACTTGAATTCCCGAGCGACATAAAACCTAGTTTATTTTCTTACAAAATAAATTTTGGGAAATGTACATTTTTGACTTGTAAGTCTGACACAAAAGGTTTTTGACTGAGGTTCACCATCGCTTCGTTATAATCATAATTTTTCGTGTTTCGTGATGTTTCTTAAATTATTGGGATGAAAGTTAAAAAGCTTGATTTGCAGGTTTCGATTTTGATAAAACAATTTTCATGAAAACCGTTATATATTGTATTTTTTAATAAAACGCTAACCACGATTTCGACCTTCGAGAAACGAAAGAGTACAAAAATTCGTACACGCATTTCATAGCTTGAAACATTAATTTGAAACTGCTAGTAAATTAACTCAAAACATGTAACAAATAATTTTTAATTGAGTGTTTCGACGCATCAAAATATGTAAATATGTGCAGTTTTGGCCTAAATAAGACTATCTGATAATCATTAAACATGTTAAATACTGAAAATTTGCATGTCATAAAACCCAGGGGCATATGCAAATACATGCTAATTTTCGAAGTGGTCATGCTTAGAAATTCGCTCACCTGTATTCCGTATCGATATACGTCTTTCCGGTCTCAACGTGACCTGGAACAATGGCGTAAGTATTTTCATCCTCGTCTTTTAGATAGCATTCAAATTTATGCGTGGAATACGACGGTGCAATTGCTATAATTCTGAGAATGCTGCGATTATTCCTGTATACAAAGATGTAAAATTGGTGAAATATTATAAACAAAATTTAACAGTAACACTTTCTACCGATATTTTTTGCAAATATTTTTCATCAACTAAAAATGGAGGTCTCGCAGCGTATGCTCTCCGATTTTGAGCAATTTAGTGTTAAGCGATCAAAATTTAATTAGGTTAGGATGAAATTAGCGAAAGACACGCCTCCCAATGGGCACGTTTGGCCGAGATATTTGCATCAGAAGAGGAGAAAAGGCTTACCAAACTTGACAAATATTACCCTTTCCAAATTTATTGTGACTTTTTAATCGAAAATTTAATTAGTTTGGCATTGCAAAATAGAATATGTGCCAATGCTCTTTTATTTGGGGGAGATATTTGCATCTGAAGACGAAATACCACCCAGTAAATTTGGAAAGAGTCAAATTTGTCGATTTCTCCTCTTCGGATGCAAATATCTGTCAAAAATGCCCATTGGGAGATGGTGTCTTTCGCAAATTTCACCCTAATTAAATTTTTGATCGATTGAGACTAATTTGCTCGAAATCGGACAGCATACGCTGGGAGACATCCATTGTTTTGTTAGTTACATTCACAGCGTTACAAAAATGTGGGGACATTGCAGCATAAATGCTGTCGAATTCACTTTATTTTATTGTCATGTGCTGTTCCCAATCCTATTTTTGACTAAAAATTTTTGACAAATTAAAAAAATCGGACTATTCCGATGAAGACTCATTGACTCAATGGTATCTAATTGTCCTCACCGTTGCAAAAATTCGACTAAAAATATTCTGACGTGGAAACCCCGCAAATTTTCAAAAATGTTCACGTCACTTTTGAAACTTTCTTCGTATGTACATACTGCGTACACTTTTAAAAATCCAGTATTAAAATAGTACCAAACGTTATTCTTATCGTATATGACTCTACCAAAGTGGTATTGATTAATAATATGGCAAATGTAGGAATAGCTCGATATTAAAATTTTTACTAAATCGGTAGCAAATTGGATAATTTTAATACCAAGCGGTAGCAAGTTTAATACCGAGAAATCAATACCTGTCTGACTATATCAGATTTATAACAATGTACGAATTCGTGTACAGAGGTGTTTCAGGTTGTTAAAAACTTCACGAGTTTACAAAACAATACATATATTGCAGAAAATCCACCTAATCCCAAATCGTCGGGTCATGATAATAAAAGTTTTATAAATCTGGTGACGTTATTAGAGAGTTGGAGATTCCTTGTACTCTGACTGTAGACTGTACTGTGGACTCTAGATGATGACGTCATCAGCTTTTTGTACTAATTCTACAGTCTACAGTAGACAAATTGAAACACGGGCTCAATTTGTACTACTGTGGAAAAATCAAGGGTTGGCAACTAGGATATCTCTAGAACGCCTCAATGTAATCAGACGCCGTTTTCGCCATTTTGCTTCTAATTTTTGACCCTAGGTCGAGTTCGAAGATGGGCTCCCTGTGGTCAAGGTCAAGGTCACCCTGGCGTGAAGTAAACGCAAAATTGTACCTTAATTTTCATATGCGGTATCATTTTAAAGGAAATTTCACCAAGAATTTATAGTCGTCAATACTTTTGACCTACGACCAACCAATGACCGAAAGGACGAGGTCAAAGGTCGCAATTTAAGTGTCGACTGTTTTAGACGTGTATTAAGGCGAGAATTTAAGAAATCTGCATAGCTTTAACGTATGAAGACCCCGTGACCATGTTCACGAGGTCAAAGGTCAAAAATGTTAATATTTTATTTCAACCGTTGCAGACGTAGTTCACTTTGAAGCGAGGAGTTCAGAAATTACTATCATTTCGGCTTATATCAGCCTGGTGACCGTTTTAATCGAGGTCAAGGGTAAAAAATTTCGACTTTTTGGTTTGATCGTTTTAAACGCACATGTTGGAGGGATTCTCATTTTGTATATCATGAGTTGATTTGTCTCAATTTTTGACTCATCTATTTCGCGGAGTTTTACAATACAATTTTTTCAGAGTACAAAATAATGAAATTCTCCAGGTCTTTTGATTTTTGTACTAATTTTTGTATTGTACTGTAGTCACAGTACAGTACAAGTAAAAGTACAAAAAATCTCCAACTCTCTATTGTCTCGCATGGAAAATATGTTTGGCATGTTTTTGCACATACTTTACAAAATTTGTATCTAGAAAGAAACCACAAGTTTGAAAAATATTTAAGTACGTAGAATTTTATTTTGACGGTAAATGCAATTTTTAATTAGTCATATCCTTCACGACTATTTATATATGCCAATTAACTTAATTGAGGCAATTCACGCAGTTCTTGGAAAATTTGTAAAATCCGTAAACTTGCACAATTTTTAGTAAAAAAATTACTTTAAAGTAAACAATTGCTGTAAACGTTCAACAGATTGAATTCCTAGATTTGCCACTCTTGAATTACCAGACTTGTATAATTTGTTGAATTTTGTCTTGAATTTTTGAATTTATTTGTCTATTGAAAAAAATGAAAATGAAAATTAAAAACCTTCTCCAAGCAACTTTGCGGGGCCTTTTAAGATAGCATAAATGTCATCTTGGTAGTTAATGGCAACACATTTGGGTGGAAAAGACCCCCACTGGCCAACTACTTGGCCGATCATGCCCATCTCCGAACTCATCCTTACTTTTGACCCGAAGGTGAAGTGTGCAAAATTTCAAGTCGATAGCTTGTGTTTAAAGAGAGTTATCGTGCGCACAGACGGACGCACAGACGGACGGACAGACAGACATCGTGGTAAATCTATAAGGCCATCTTAAAAGGCCTAAAACATATTTTAATGTCAAAATTAATTGTGTAGTTTTTACGTCAAAGTAAAAAATTGTTGTAAATATTTAGAAGTAAAACTTGATAGATATCCAGTCACAAGTTCAAATTTTGGATGTACATAGTTATTAGTTTCGAGTTTATTTTTCGACTCAAATTTTATAATACGAATGAAAACCAAAGAAAAAATTGTTTACCGTAAAACTAAATTTAGCAGAATCTGACTAACTTAACACTACATTGCACTCGGGTTTTGAATTTACATTTTTGTCTCAACTTTCCCTTCTTGAATGCCGATTTTGAAATCTGTTCACCACCGTGCGTTCTTTTAAATGAAGATTTTAATGATAATTGATAATTATTAGGTTTGCAAAGTTCGGAGATTATCATTTTTATTTTATTTTCTTCTGTGACAGAATAGAAATATAATAAATTTAAAAAAGTTCAAATGAAATATTTTCTGATGTCAGACAAAATCGAAATTCTAACCTCCAAACTATCCAAACCTAAAAATTCTCGATTTTTTGACGTACCAAAATCTACATTTTGTAAAAATGCAGGGAGATAGACACGTTTCAAAATCTCAATTTAAATTCATGCAAAAAGGGAAAGTTGACACACAAATTCGCATTCAAAACCCGTATCCAATGCCACCTTAAGTATAACTAACCCGTCTTTATCGATGTATGCTGAATATACGAAATACTGGTCACCACTCCCACCACCAGGCACCAATTTCCAGTCGTCCACATTTTGATTACTGCTGAGATTCCTACTATTTCCAAAATATTTCACCGGGCCGCCCCACCCAAACGAGTGCCTGACTTGATTTCGGACAAGTTGCCACCGTCTCCGAGTCCCGTTTAGGATTCGATAATCCTTCGAAAACACGACGAGCACGACGAAATAGGCGAGCACGAAGGAGAAACAAATTATCAGGGTTAATCGCACGTTAATTTTACACGAGAGAAAGTAACACCACTTATTCGCTTTCACTTTGAGGTTTTGTAAAGATGAACCACTTTCACTTTCACTTTGAAACTGCTCAATTACTGGAAGTTGGTGATACGCAATTTTAGGCATTTTAGAAAAATGTGGAGAAATACGAAGTAGAAAGTTTGTATAATTATAAAGTTAGTTTTATGGATTATTTAAAAAATAGTAAACATTATTACTAATCACTAAAACTAATCACTAAAATTTTTAATGAGTATTACAAATTATTAAACGTTTCCTAAAATGAATATTAAAAATTATTAAAAATAACTAAAAATTTGTCGAAATGATTATTAAAAATCACTAAAAATTCGTTAAAATGAATATTCAAAATTATTAAAAATCACTAAAAATCGTTAAAATGAATATTAAAAATTATCAAAAATAACCAAAAATTTGTTAAAATGAATATTAAAAATTATCAAAAATAACTAACAACTAGGTAGGTATTAAAAACTCTTAAGATCTATTAATGACTATTCTATTGAGTATTAAAATTATTAAAAAATGAAATACGAGTATTAAACTTGCATATTTTCATAACCAAAAATGTAACGAAGATATTAATGTATTTATCTAAAGAAAATTGCAAATTTAAAGAAATTTTGATATACCAGTTTTGTGACACACCTGGTGAAAGTATGTATGTATAAAAAGGACGCAGAAAAAATGGTTAGTGTTGACTCAGATAAGGCAAAGAATAGTTATCAGTAATTCGATAACGGGTCAAGCTATCCGTCACATTTTGCTATACGAACTCTTGCGTACGTACTTATGTACTTACTGGGCCCACTGTAACTGTAAGTGGCTGTTTTCTTCGAAACCGACAGAGATAATGAAAATCTGATGATTGCATTGGATTCCCCGTGCGATTTTGCATAAGTACCATAAATCAGTTTTTTACTATTTGCAATGCAAATTCGCATGGAAAATGTTGAATGGAAGCGGGCGGCGAAAATTTTTCATTACAAAAATGGGGAGAGAAATGGCGAATTTTAAAAGTGTGGCAGGAATCGAACGAGCCGTATAATTTAGCCCAACAGACTATAAAGACGTTCATGGGGACGGGGTGGACTAACAACAGTCGAAGAAAAAATTTTTGAAATCCTACAAGGACCACACCCATCATGAAGGCGCTGAAGGATGGAATCCGAAGAAATTCACGAAATTCCAACGGAAACCAACCTCACAGCTGCCAGTGTAGAAGCAGATTATTCAATGAGTGCTTAAATTGAACCTTAGACTTAGGACTTTGAAATGTGGTACTTGCCACATGCCGACCATCCCCCAAAGGGAAACCAGATTAAAGAAACCCAGGAGTGACTTCAAGCGGTACGCTCAGAAAAAGTGACGAAGATTCTATTTACAGATGAGGAGATTTTCACATAGGAAAAATATTTTAACAAGCGAGTTGGCCTTATCTACGCCAAATCTGTCAGAGACATTCCCCAATATAGACAGAAGGTCAGAAAGCCACATTATCCAAGCTTTGTGATGATTTTGGCAGGTGGGACCTAATTGGGGCAATTTCTCTACATTTTGTTGAAAATGGGGGGAAGGTGGGGGGATCAAATTTCTTAAAATACGTTTTCGAGTCCGCGGTACATCCCCTAAGTGAGATCCAATTCATTGAAGTCGACTGGACCTTGCAGTAGGACTAGGAATCAGCTTATAGTGCAAAAAATGACCCAAGCGTGGGTAAAAAACAAAATTCCGAACTTTTCCTCCTCTCGGAAATGGTAATTCTACTTTCTGGATTTGAATCTCCGGATTATGAAAAATGGTCAAAGTTAGGGGCAAATGTGTGTTCTAAGCCTCGTAGAAGTGTAGAGATCGGAAAAAAATTTTTGACCACGGAATGGAACACTTTGCCCAGGAATTAGTGCGTGCTTCAGCGGAGAACTGCAGGCGGTTTCCTCAGCGCTGCATTAATGGCAGGGGAGGAAATTTCGAAAACTAAAAATTGTTTTCTACTCAGAAATTAACTGGCTTTCGGTTAAAATTAACTCGAAATTCGTAACATAAAAACTGTTGAAGCCACAGGGTTTCATTTCACTTACAGTTTCAGTGGGCCACCTAGTATACGTAAATAAAGCCAAAAACTGTGACTCAACTCAACACCTTATCATGCCTGCATGCTCTTATCGAGCACCGGTTAAACGGGTGTTTGACGAAATGTGATTAGTTAATAACGGTTAACTAACTAAATATATGTACATACTTCAGCTATAAAAATACTCAAAGTGAGTTGGATGGTTCCGTAAATTAAATATAAAAAATGTGTAAAATATAGTTTTGTTAATTTCAATTTTGTCTAAAATTTGTTCATGAATTGTTTGATCTGGAAGGCGAACTGAATCTAACATTGAAGGTCTAGTAACGTATGCTGACAGATTTTTACCCAATTATTGTCAATCGATCGCAAATTTAATTGCATGAAATTTGCAAAAGACACGATCTCCCAATGGGCACGTTTGGCAAAGTTATTTGCATCCGAAGAGGAGAAAACGCGTCTTAAACTAAATAGCCAAATTTTGCACTTTCCAAATTTACTGGGCGTTTCTCCTGTTTGGATGTAAATATCCGCAAATAGATATTTGCAAATATTCGCAAATATCTGCCAAACGTGTCCATTGGAAGATCCTAAAAAAAGTAAAAAACTTTTGCAGAAGACATGTCTTGTGCAAATTTCATCCCAATTAAATTTGCGATCGATTGACACTAATTTCACCAAAATTTGGGGCACCTCCATTGTAAGCAGTATTAAAAATGATGGAAGATTATGAATTGCATTTCGTCTACACTAATGAATGATTCATCCTGCATTTGCATTATTTGTCCTGCACTTGAATATCACTAATGAATGTTTGCATAACCAAGTATGTAAGTACAATGTGCTACAAGATTATGATGTAAACTTTCAAATTAGATTTTCAGAATGCTGAACAAACTCTGACTAATTTGTTTTCTGATTGTATAATTAATTAACATAATTGACGCAAAAAATTGCAATTTTACTGCCACTACGTAAATATGAACTTACATACGCATGCAAATTAATTTATAAGTACACATGTACGATTTCATTGTCAAAGCGTTTATTATTATTATTATTATTCCATTTCTTAAAATAATATAAATTTCCTTTTTCATAAATATTTCTGAATTTCATTTACACTCACATTTCTAAATCTCAGTTGATTTTTTGGAAAGTAAAATAGGTAATTACCTACAGACACCCACATAATAACTCAATTTTAATTAAGGTGCACTTTTTACACCTATAAGTTAAATACATAAGCCAATTAATTAATTAAATAATATCAATTAAGGAATATAGTTTTTTAAAGATAATTATCAAATTTTAATCACTTTTCTACTTTCTTTCTCAGGTAAAAATCACTTACTGTTTTCAGGAACGATTAAGAACAATTTAAATTCAATAGTTAATTAATTCATAAATTCATAATAAATGCTATGTAAATGTAGCAAATTTCTTTTCGGCAGGTTAAATACACTTCGATTTTGGTTTTGGTGATTGGTTATTATTTGGCAATTAAGTGGTGATTGATTATTGATTTTTTTTGGTAGCTCGTCTCACTAAATTTAATACTTATCCCAGAAATCTTCCCAGAAATTAAAAACACGATATGTTTCTCATCATAATTTTCGTTAAGTTTTTTTCTTAGCTAACTATTGATTAATTAGTGATTAATACGTGGTTAAGGATCTGTTCGTGTATGTAATAATTACGATTTTTTGAAGCAGTGGTTGCTTAAAAGGCACAACTTTCACTCGAATCTAACATGACCGGATGGAGAAAAAGAAAAAAAGATAAATGCAGATTTTAAACATAAAACTTCAGTCAATTTCTAATCTAAACACAAAACTGGGCTATAATTAAAGTAGTTAAATTATTTAAATATTTAACGTAACGTAAACTAATGGATAATTATATTAAATTATTAATTACTTTTCCCAACCAAAAATGCAGTCTCTACAATTTTTTTCATGTAATTAACAACCAAAAAAAAACCCGAAAGAACAAAATAATAATAATGGAATTATGTAAATACAAAGAAACACATCAATCAACACGTAAAAATGACAAGATTAAATCGACAAGATTTTGCAATTGCAAAAAAATAATAGAAAACGTGTGGAAATAAGTGTGCAAAAATTATACGCGAATGAACTCGAATGGAAAAAAATAAGAAATTAGCAATAATTTTACAGGTACAAATTAAGGATTGTTGTGCACGTGACTGATGAAAATTATTGAAAAATGCTTCCCTAAAATGATAAAGTTTTGGTTTTTCGTCCTCATTTCACAGGTCAGGTCTCAGACAAGACATTATAAAACGTCAACCGGAAGTGGATAATAACACAAATGGACAAAATATGTGGATGCCGACGATCACAAATCTGTCGACTCTCGACTCGTCTTTGGTGCAACTGATGATGTCGAATTTGGCGGGGGAGCGGGTGGATGTGGGCGTGGAGGACGGTTCGGAAAAGACCCGCCTTTTCCCGTAGGCGAAGAAAGTGGAGGTAATATGGAAGATGAAGAATTTGCGAATTTTGCGACACCTGCAAAATATCAAAATTGTTTTTGTGATTTCGTCTTCTTTTTTTGGTTGGGGTGGATGGATGGATTTTAATGTTTTGTGATTTTGAAGTGCTTGCCGTTATTAGTTTGTTGGGTGGAGGGTTCAACGTTGATGTCGTGTTGTGCGTCTTCGTTCTCGTGATGTTGACTATGACTAGGTGCTGGTGCTGTGGGTGGTGGTGCGGAAGACATGATAGGTTCGACGAGGTCGGATTGGCTTCCGGTGGAAGAGTTGTTACTCAAATTTCGACGTGAGAGGTCCCGAGGTTTGGCCATGATGGAGGGTTTATCTGGAAAAATATCGATAATCAATTAATATTCATCGATAATCAATTAATAAATCTGAAGCTTACCCGGTTGCATAAATTTCCTTGCCATCGCCGGGTCAGAATTGGTATCTTTTCCCTAAAAATAAAATTAGATTAGCTATGTAAAGCAAATTTCGGGGCTGTCGTGTTGAAGATAATCCTGGAATTAATTCAATCATACCTCAAGATTTTGCTCTTTTATCGCGTTGGACTCTGAAGAGAACAATAATCAATTAATTAATTAAAATTAATCAGTAATATTTAGTTTCCAAATAACTAATCAATACACTCACCCGAATTATTCGAATTGGTCGTGCCTTCCTTAAAACTCTGACTCTGCATTAACAAACTCGACCTCGGGGCGGGTATCGGTCTCTGAAATGGTGGATCTGCCACCGTCACACTTGCGGGTTTGACACTACTACTTTCATCTTCGCCAGAGGATGATGTCGACGTCGACGACTCTTTCCTCACTTCGGCCGCCAGCTTTTCAAACCCGATGCATCCTCCCGTCACAGGAACGGGTAGTGATACTGCGGGAGCTTGATATTCTGGGACTGGTGCGACACCAACTTTCTCCTTCTCTACGACCGCCGTCGTCGGCGGAGCGGGGGGCGGAATCCCAAACATACTCGGCGGTCTGGCTGGCGGCGTGGCTTTATTTTTATGTGAATGCTCCGTATGAAAGTGTCTCGGCAAACTGGCAAAGTTATTGGCAATAGATCCATTTCCGGTTGCACCACCAGTTCCACCCGGCCCAATTCCAAGGTTATCCGTAGTGTTGCTAGTACCTCCACCCCCACTCTTTCCCCCTTCGATGCTATTGCTCGCCTTAAATGAGGACTTGTATCTCAGCGGTGACTCTGGTTTTGGGGGTGGTTGACCTTGACCCTGATTTTGATTCTCTGCCGACATCCATTTCTGTTTCGCGACAAGGCTGGAATCTGGCGGGGGTGGTTTTGCGGGTGGCGCGTTATTGTCGAACCGTCTCCGCTGAGTGTCTTTCGGGCTGGGCGGAATCCAAACCCCTTCACGTTTCTCTTTCGAGATAAGTTTATTAGTTTCGATGATGCTCCCCGTTTTATGATTTCCGGGTGGTGTCGAGGACACCGGCGAGACGGGATACGCCCCACTGAAAGGTTTCATATTTGCGAGGGGATTTTTATTCGCGGCGTTTTTGACGGTGGGTGGCGTCGGGGCGGGTTTATTTTTCCGGCGGATGATTGGTTTTGGACTGGAGCCGGGTGGGGATGAGTTGGGATCGTCGTTCGAGTTCATGGAAGAGTTGGACACGGAGCGTTTCATGTCGGAGAGGAAGTCGTGTTCGGAGGGGTGGTGTGTCCCACCGTTGGAGAGGCCTCGGGTGTGATGACGGGTGTCGGCAGAATCGTGCTGTTGCTCGGGTGGGGCTGGTTTGGTGCAGGTTATGAAGAAGTCGAGTTCTGTGGAAGAAAAAAAGTATGGTTTTTAGGAAACTTTTAAATTTTAAATTTCTGGCGTGGATTCGATTTGTGGTGGAATGGAAACATTCAAACGAGTTTGTCCGGAAAGCGGGGATGAGGACTATTTTATTTATTTTAGTGTCCGTTTTTACGGACCGTCGGAACTTTCCGGGATTTTCTTCCCCCCGGTTTCCGAAAAAACACAGAAATCGAACCCACGAAATATGAATTGCTTAAAAATAAATTTCTGAAATATCAAAAATTGTAGAAAATTAATCCCGAAAAATATTTGCATACCGTCAGGGAAGAAGTATCCACAGTTGGAGATTAACTGTTCGAGCAGAGAGCTGTATAAATGCGTCATCGTCATGTTCAACCCCATTTGGCTGTTGTCCCCGAGGGAAGAGCCGTCATCGGAGGAAGATGTCGGGGGTGGCTGCGACCAGAGAAGGTTTGGCGCAATGACGATGGCAATGTTGGCGGGGGACATTTTATTGGCATCTTGGTGGTTGCTTAGCTCGCGTAGAAACTTGACGAGGTAGCGCAGATTGTCGTAGTTCGGGGTCGGTAGTTTCTTTAAGACGACCCACAATGCTTCTTGACGCTGTGTAGAGTCCTGGATCCTGTAGAAATATATGAGAAACCAAGTTATCGTCAATTTGCATACAACGAATTGCATAAAAAAGGCCAATTGATTGTTATTGGTTTTGAATATTCACACGGAACTAAACTAGCAACCTTTCGATAAAAAATATTTCTACTAAAGTAGAAATTGTGAGGTTACAATTCTTCATTTTGTGAATTTACGAATATTTCTTACAAAAAATATCACTGGTCTTGTGAAAAAGTGACTGCAGAACAGTCGGAAATTTTCAAAACCAAAAAAAGCTTTGTAAGTTTGTAAGCTCACGAAAGTTTGTAAACAGTAAGTTTGTAAGCAGTAGTCACGAAAGTTTGTAAACAGTAGTTTTGTAAAAAGTTTGTAAGCTCACGAAAATAGGCTAGTGTGCTATGCTAAAATTTCATTTTGTGCATTCCCTAGTACTAGTAAATGAGGGTAATAAAGGCTATTATTATTATTATTATTATTTATAAAAAAAGGTACAAAGATTTTTATCGCAAACTGTGTTTTTTGAGATGTCTGACCTGATGGCGTTCATCCAGTCTGAGTAGAGTGGGAAGGTGAGGAGTGGTTCGGGGAGTTCGCGTAGGTAGCATTTTAGTGCGTTGGCTAAATGGAAATGAAATATAAACAGTAATTAATCTGAATATTATAAAAATCGTAGTAACAATATGTACACATGTAATCCTACCGATGACGTGAGGGTCACAAAACTCTGTGAGTAGAGCCTCAAGGTCCATCAAGGTCGCGTCAAATGCGCTCTTCAACTTCTTCACCTTCGATGTACTCCCAGCAATCCTGTAAAGAAAATAATTTAATAAGTCACTCGAAATGTTGTCTGACTAAATAAAATAATCGTCTAATCCCCACCTGAACAAACCCTCCTCCTCCAACGCGGTCTCGAGCAGGCCACAAACACAGAGCTCCAAAGGATACGCGATGGTACGCCCCGACGAGCGGAGATGTTCTTCCAAGTCCCCTCCGTAAACCGGTTTATGTGTGGAGGACGCAACGCACGTCTCCACGTTCGATATCAACTCGGACAAGATGGCAAACACGGAGGCATGGTAGTCCTTTTGTGATGTCAAAAAGTCCACGATCAGACGAGATATCTCAGACTCTCGGGCGATCAGGGCGTACATTTCGGCAGCCAAGTTATCCTATAAAAATTAATGTATTAGTTTTCGTGTCGTAAAAATGGGGAAAGTTTTCAGAAAAAATGTGACGAAAATAGCAGGTATGGTCAAAATGCTTTGTGAAAATACGTATTTTGAGCTACGTTCTTCCCAATGCTTGGATTTCCAGGGCTGTTACACCCACAAAAATACAAGAATGTACGTGGATAATACCACTATCACACGAAAATACAGCTTTTATGAAGAAAATTTCTTCAAGAAATTATTTTCTTATCCCTGTCAAAACACTTTATTTAAAAAATCGTGAAAACAGTGTGATTTGACAGCGATCAAAAGTAAATTTCTTCACAAAACCTTGATTTTCTCATGACTTTTGCCTTTTCCATGCAGGTTCTCGTTTTTTTGTGGGTGTAACAGCCCTGGAACTTCAAACCCTGGGAAGAAAGGGCCACAAAATACTATATTTTGACCAAGTATTTTGACCATCCCTGGAAATAAACTCACTCGACACTGCTCCACCTTGCCCAGCGCTTCTTCATACTCTTCACGGATGGAATCGGCCTTGTTATTCGTGGGCTGACCAAGGGTGGAGAGGGTGGAGTGGCGATTTGCAGTGGTGAGTTTGCCCCTCGCGACGTCCATGTCCGTCGTGTACTTGGCGAGTTGTCGTTTGAGTTTGTAAATTGAGGGGAGGTCATTCTCAAGAAGGGCGGAGAGCGGTTTGAGGATGGATTCCTCGATCCGCACCTCGTACTCGACAACAGCTTGACCCAACTTCATCTCGATCTGACCTGACTCTGCTAACACCTCCCTGCAAGAAATTAAGTAAGACTAATTAGTAAAGTAATTAAATACCAAACAATTAGAACTGGCTAAAAATGGAGGTCTCGCAGCGTATGCTCTCCGATTTTGAATAAATTAATCTCAATCGATCACAAATTTAGTTAGTATGGAATTTGTAAAAGACGCGATCTCCCAATGGGTACGTTTGGCAGAGATATTTGCATCCGAAGAGACGAAAACGCCCAGTAAATTTGGAAAGTGTACAATTTGTCAAGTTTATAAGTTGTGACTTAAATCCCATTATTTTCCAAAGATGCAAAAAACCATGATTTATGAAAAAATAAAAGCTTTTCAAATTCAAAAACGGCACCTTTCATTCAGAAAATCGTCCCCCTTGCTCATAGGATGGACCAAAACCCGGCATAATTTTATCAAAGGAAATAAAATAAATGGGAGCATTGTCTTCAAAATCGCATAAAAATATCCATCCATCACGTCAAATTCTACACTCCATCATCCAAAAATAGTTAGAATAACAACACTTTGACCTACTTCTGCCCCCAATAAGTAAACTTAAGTGCATTTCAATTCAATTCCGTCTGCCGTATTCCGGCTAAATGAACGTAAACACAAAATCATTTTGCGTTGCGTGAATGTAAACAAGACATGATTCCTTGCACAATATTGCTCATCATCATCATAATCCATATTTGTGCAGAATCACGCTTTCTTTAATTCCATAAATGCAAATTTTTTTCAACGAGTATACATCTCCCCTAAACTCTAAGCTACGAAACAGTGGCCGCAGAAGCGTGGGTGGGGACAGAGGGACAATGTCCCCACGGTTATTCAATGCCCTCATCATCCGCCCATCTTATATAAACCCCTCCCTCCTCCATCCTAAAATGTAATGCCTCTACATGTCCTCACAGCTTCCGCGGCCACTGGCTATTCCAAGTACAGGTTGTCTTCCCCTAATAAACTCTAAGCTCACACACGAGTACATAAACCTGCAAAATATTAAACAATTACAATTACACACTTCACAGAAGAACAAACAATACGATACGAATACGATACACAAGCGTGCACAAAAATGGCCAGTATTTCCTCCTCATTTCTATACACAAGGAGGAGGTACTTCCTTTCCCTCTTGTCTCGTAGCGTAGTTAAATTTCTGAGCCGAAACTACTTAAATGTCATCCTCATCATCCTGTGGCGTCATCCGCATGATCTTAAATTTTAATGCCAAATCTCATCTTGGTAAAGTAAAAGTAAAAAAAAAGTTACGTATCATTACGTGATACAAATCAACACTAAATTTAACAATGTCCTCATCTTCTTCGACTAATCCAATGTCATCATCTTTAATACGATTGACATGACATGATCCCCACGAAAAATATTTGCAGTGCAAAAATAATTCGCAAAATAATTTGACATCGCATCATCATCTTAAATCTTCTCAAAAACTTTAATCCTCGCTCCAGATAGTTATTCATTCGTAGAAATCTAACCTATTTTTTCGTATTTAGCTAACTATACCCCACTTAAAGAAATTATTTACCCGTAAATACAATCCTACAAAGATAGCTTTGTATAGTTAGTTACATACAAAAATATAATCCTGGCTGGGTTTGTATAGCAGAATTAGCGAATTTATTAGCAAAAAACCAACCGAGCAAAATCACATGAAAATTGGGGAGCAATTCATTCACATTCACTCACTCAAATCAAGTAAGCATTACTTTACTTTAGTTGTTCACACAATTAAATTTGCAGTCTGTCAACAACTTACAAAGTGCGGAAAACTTACGGATTACTTCTTCTCATGAGTGAGATATGGCGTATTCGTGCAGAGAATATGGTACATTACGTATTATCTCATGGTTGGTGGGGATGAGTCATACATAGCCAACAAACCTTATTTTATACCACCCTCATCATTATGCATAATATTGCAAAGTTGAAATAATGATGATAAAAAGTGCAATGAAAATGCATACGTGTGCATCGTACACGATACAGCGTGTCATATTACGAGTCACATTTCCTACCCTCATGTCATTTTTGCGATTACGCAATAGGCAAAATTATCAAGTTAAATATTATCAATTCAAATACAGACATAAAATGCAGGCAATCATCAAATGCAATGCAATCCAATGACGCCCAACGAAACTAATTCAAATTCGTTTCGTAGAATTTTACTTATCTTATCAAAAGCGAATCGGAACCTTTTCCCATCAAATCAGAACCCATCGCAAAAGCAAAGTACATAAAATTTATAGCGTGCAAAATTCTACAAGTTTGTCAAATTCGTACTTAAATTCGCACAAAAAGGGAGTTGGAACTTGAGCTTTTTCGCAAATCAAAACACATCCCAAAAGAAAAATTAAATTTATGTATATTATTGTGTATCGCGAAAAATTCTACAAGTTTCGCAAATTCCATACTGCTGAAATTCGCACAGGCGTCACGTTACCATATTATAAAGTAGAAAATGTAACCTTAAAGCTTAATTGAAATTGATACTTATTTGAAAACAGTTGAGGATGCATTATTACCTCGTCAAATTACTGCGTAACTAACAGACTTGAACCACAACCACCACCAATTTTACAACCCAAACCAGACGAACATGATTTAAAAAACGAGCTAAATATTGCTATTATTTACGTACTTAATTGCATGTACCATTTCATTTCGTTACTTAAAAAGTGCATTCGTTATTATAAAAGGACTGGTTATCTGTAAAATGCAAACCTTAAAAATAAAAAAATCCGATAAAAATAATGCTCATCCATCTAACCAACCAACTTCCGCTTGAAAAATTAACTCTTTTTTTAACTATCTATACAATTAAACTTAAAACTGCATGACAAAATGCATTCGAAATAATAAAGATAACGCAACATTATTTAACTTTGTGTTAAGTTTGGTTAACTAATAAATAAAATATTCCATTTCCACCTTTGCTAAATTATTACATAGTTGTTAAACCGCCCTTCAAGCAAGGTCGAGGTTATCTTTATGCCTGTGACAGTAAAGTTAACGTATGTAATGCACGTATTTCTATATTTCACGAATGTAATGCATAAATTATGGTTATATTTATTTAAATCGTGATGCACACACTAATTAACTAATTAGCAGGACCTGCTTATGTCCTATCTTATGTAGCACTAACTTATCCACTGGATTAAGGATAAGTTAACACTTTTCATGTCAAGTGACGTTAATAAATAATGCAGTATGACTTAACTTAACGATATCAGTAATTTGCATGTTAATTAAATTTTCATTAATTTCACCCACCCGAGAATAGATCCGTCTCCAAAATTCTTCCCGTTCGTTATCATGGCGGATCCCAACAGAAATTCGGGAACTTTTCTCTGCAAAAAAAAGCAGTAAAAAATTTGCACAGTTTCAATACCAATGATGTTAATTCTGATTTATTTATTCAGTCACTTAATTGTTTAGGTAATTAATTTTCTTCTTTAGTTAATATAAAATTAGCGAATGCAAAAAACAAAATGAAGAAGATAAAATGTTATCTGTAAGAAAATTTAATGACTCACAATGCGCTTATCAATCCCGGCATCTTTTCCTCTCCCTTGAAGACAATCGTGCACTTTTTTCGCAACCGTTTCGCACGTCACTTTGATTTGGTCGATGCGTTTTTCAGCCTCTTGCAAACTTTCGGTCAACACTTCGGTCCGGTCCGGCCTGGGGGTCAGAGATACAGAATTATGCAAATTGACAATTAACAGGAATCGAAATAAATTTGCAATGACAAATTTTGCGAGTATAACTACAACATTTCGGTAATTCATTTTTTGTTGTGACTGGAGATGCATAATTCTTTAACTAATTTTAATTGGACTTGAAATTTGATGAATTCAACCTTGAATGAAATTATTGCGTGAAATTGATCCAGTTCTCACGCGGCGACCATTTTTCTGGTTTCATGGTTTTATGAGCTTAATATTTGTTTAAATAAAACTAGCCCAGAATCATAATTTAAACACGAATTAAAACTAATATGCAAGCAAAATTAAGCAATTTGTACATATTTAATTTAGCAAATAATAAAATGAAATTGCATAATTCTCTCTGGTCTGGTTGCAAATACTTATGAATCATAAATGCAAATTATATATTTCTGCCAATTATGGATTTGAGCTAATTTTCAAAATAGGAACAAAGAAAATTAAGGAGCTAAATACCTGCTAATTATCTGTATCGTGGGAGAACTAATTTATTGAAGTATTTATGCTACCTAATAATTTGCAGAGTTGATTACTTAATTCTTTGTCAAAATAAAATTGCAAATTATAAGCTGATTAAGAAAAAAGAGAAAAATTAAAACTGGGTTATTCACTTTCAGGAAATTTATGAACCTTTATTTCAAAATTGCTAACTAATGAATGTTACTCAAACACAAAAATTTCCAAATTTTTGAAAACATCAATCAGAATTTCTTTTTCTTACTCTTTCTTAAATGATTTAACACCAAAACTTTAAAACTTACCGGAACGCATTATTCGCAAACTGTTTAATCTTCTTCATAATTAATTCTAACTTTAATTGAGCACTATTTTAAACAACAATACGCCTACGCACGCCTGGCTCCCTCCCCTCCTCGCCGTCCGTCCTTATCCACCTTGCACGAAATTTGATGATAACCACACTCTGCCTGCTACTAACTCTCTCTCTCGCTCCCTGATCCTGATACTCACCCCGATTAGACCTTATCTTCCTCTATTTACTTAATCCGTGGCATATTTACGAATTAAATGCTCAATCATTTCGCTCGCTCACAAATTTATGAATGAATGAACACAGAAACTTGCTGAAAATTTCGGAAATTTCACAATCACTAATTGTCTGTCACTTTAAATAAAATTATTTAAAATCACATCATCCCTTCGTCACTGCATGAATGACATCATCTTGTCCGTCCCACGAGCAAAACACGACTAAAGTTAAACTTTAATTGCTCTACTGATTTCCTCCTTGTCACAATTTTTTTATCAGTCTTTCACTCTTACTTAAGCCTAATTCGTGTACCGTATCACTAACTATAATAATTAAACTTATTTAAATTTAAATATTGTTAATTAAAGTTGCAAAAAATTGAATTGTATCATTATTTACACCCGAGCAGAGCAGTGGAAGTCAAAACCACCCAAAATTGCTCAATGGCTATTTCTCGCGACCAATGAGAGGACGAGGTTCAAATTTGGAAGGCGGGAAAGACAGGTCGAGACAAGGAGAAGAAAACGCAAAGTTCATTCGCACGTAGAGGAGCCGATTTTTTCAGTCCGAAAAATTTAATTTTTTGGGTTAAACTTTGATTTTTAAAGGCAGTTAACTTTGATTTTGGGAGAAGATAAGTTTTGCAAGTTGAGGAAACGAGGAAGACTGGGGGGAAGAGGGTAAGATTTGCAAATTGAATACTTTGAAGTGAGGAATAAGTATGAATCCGCAGAGTTGAAAATTTTGTGCAAAAAAGTGCGTACGTGACGTGGTTTTGAGATTTTTGCTGACTTTTGCAGGTCAGATCAGAGGAGTGGACACGGACGGAGATAGATAAACTGGAGGCTCCAGTCTGGAGGAGAATTAATTGGATAAGGAGAAAGTTTGGTAAGTATTTTAATTTCGAATTTTAAAATTGAGTATTTGACTTATCTGAGGTGATGGTGAAGGGCGGCTATAACTATTTGCTAATAAAATGTGAATAAATTAGGCTAGCTGGTGACTTGTAGTCGAACTCGTCGTGAATAATAAAGGGAAAAATAACAACGGAAATTCGGGGCCTTCATTTTGGTAAGAATTTATAATTTTAAAATTGACTGCTTTTGACTTATCGAAATTGAAACATGGCTTTGATTATTTGATAATAAAATGTGAATAAATTAAGCTGCCGATTTGTACTGAACTCACCGTGAAACTTATAAAAGGGGAAAATAGGAAATTCAAGGCCTTCATTTTTAGGTAAGAGAAGAAAGGCAAAGTGAAAACATTTTATAGTTAGGGCATGATGTTGCAGAAAAAGTTTGTAATTAAATATAAAGTGAATTACTCTTGCAAGTTGCAATATTTATGATATGTACTTTTTAAATAATTTTATTATAGAAAAGTGACCAATATAAACGAGGAATACATACATCTTGAACATTTTCAAAGAAAACTTGGCAGACTCAGGTAAATTTTCAGACTTCCTTTAGCAAATAATACAATTGTTTATAGCGAAAATGTGGCTAATTATGGTTATGTGATTAGGAAGGTTTTACTATTGACGACTAAGTAGTTGAAATAGCAGAAACCAAACAAAATGGCTCATGTACCACTTTCTCGTCTGAGTATTCAACGAATACATGACCATTGGGCACCATGGCTAATAGAAAAAGGCGTTATCGATGCACCATCACCAATGCAAGAATCAAGTAATGATCAAGTCGGAAGAATGGAGAATCTAGAGGTCGAAGCAGTTCCGACCGTTATACCACTGCCACCACCACACGAACATATTGAAGCCGTACCTAGGCTCACGGAGAATCTAGGCGTCGCAGCAGTCCCGACAGTTATATCATTGCCACCATCACACGAAACTATGCGATTGGAGAATCTAGAGGTCGAAAAAGACCAACTGAATTGGAACTTCACACCAGTCCGTCGCTGTCGGACAAAAAAGCCCAGCCCTATTCGCTCTTCAGTTTCAACCCGCGCTATGGCTTCTCGTCGAAATAAATCTACGACCGGGACAGCAGGAAAAAACCCGCCTGCATCTGCTTCTTCTACTACGGCCGTCCGCAATAATGGAAATCGTGGCCGTTCTCGCGAAAAAATGAAGCATACAGAGCCAAAAAAGAAACCAGACGCCTCGGTTGACAAGGATCGGTCACGATCACCTCATCGCAAGACTAGTTCGAGTCCCGTCAAGCCAGTGAACCCTCAAAGCGGGTCACCAGCAGTTCCTAAATCAATCCCAGGAAAAAATTGGGTGAAACCGGGCTTGGACCTGAACTCGATCGTTGATGAGCCCCGTCATCGAAGAACAACAGATCATGGAAATAAATCTACGACCGCAGAAAAACCAAAACGTGTACCCGTTTCTCCTACTGGGGCAGTCGTCCTCCGCGCAAATGGAAATCGTAGCCGATCTCGCGACAAAAAGAAGACAGAAGAGAAAAAGGAAGCCAACCGTCGGTCATGGTCACCTCGTCGCGAAATTACGAATCCATTGGCAAGACGAGCAGGACTGATAATTGCAAAATCACCCTCACCACCAGAATCAAGTGATGACGAGGATCCATTGAGCGAAGACGAACAGGATGTGGACTTCACACCAGGCCGTCGTAATTTGATAAGAACGTCCAGCCCAGCCCCCTCGTCAGTATCAACGCGCTCTATGATTTCTCGTCGAAATAGTTCTACGAGCGAGGAGACCACAGAAAAAAACAGGCCTGTTTCTCCTACCGGGTCAGTCTACGGACTTGAAAATCGTGGCCGATCTCGGGACAAAATGGATAATCACGAAAGGAAGAGGAAAGCTAACGGTGAGGTTGACAACGGTTGGTCGAGATCACGGTCACCTCATCGCGAGTATGATTCGAATCCCGTCACACCACCTGCGAGAAAAGCAAAAGTGGGTCTGACTGTTGCACCAGAACCACAATCAGAACAAGCAAGTAATGACGAACCTAATGGCATGCTGGAGGTCGAAGCAGTTGAGACAGTTGCAGTACAATCACTACATGAATTAAATAATGAAGAACCGAAACTAGTGAAGAACTCAGAGGTCGAACCGGCTCCTACCGCTGGACCATTGCCACCACCAGCTCCACAAGAATCAAATAATGCCAAGGAGAACGTAGTGGTCGAGGAAGAACGACCGGATTTGGACTTCACACCAGCCCGCACTTTGGCGAAAAAGTCCAGACCTACCCGCTCATCAGTGTCAATGTCAACGCGGGCTATGAGTCCTCGTAACAAATCTACGACCGGGTCCGCCGAAAAACACAAGCTTGTACGTGGTCTTGACGAAAAGAAGAAAGCTTCCACTAAGGTTCACGAAGCTCGATCACCTCATCGCAAGACTAATTTGAGCCCCGTCAAGCCACTGAATGGTCTACGCGGTTCACCGAGAAGTGCAGTTGCCAGCCCAGGACAAAAATGGAACTCGGACTTGGACCTGGACGCGATAGTTCCAGGGAAGCGCCACCGAGGAACACCGTTTTATGGTTCACCGAATAGTAGGTCGGCTTCCAAAAATGCTCCAAAGGCATCTGTCCAATCGCGAAATAAAGATGTCGGCATCGTTAAAAAAAACATGGTCACCAAAGCGGCGAGACGTGAAGTGACGGATAAAAATGTTGGTGGTAAGAGCGACTATATATATTTATTTCGTTAAATCATTATCGCAAGGAATTTGAAAACTTGACCTTCTCCGTGATTTTCCAGGCCAGAAAGTCAATAACGCCGTGAATATGGGAGCAGGCAATGTGATTGAAGCTATCAAACGTACGTACTATTTTTGAACAATAGTCACTTTGAACAATAGTTTTGAACAATAGTAATACAAAATAAATCACATTAGAAAATATATGTTTAAAAAATGGTGCTAATTTTATGTATTTCAGCTCCAAAAGCAGACAGCATGACTGAAGCTGTCAAAGGTACGCAATATTTTTGAACAATAGTCGCACCATAAACTGCATGGGTAAAAAATTGTGCTGCTTTTATGTATTTCAGCTCAAAAAGCAGTGAGCATTCCCGGAATGGGAGATGGACAAGGTGGCGAAATTAGAGTGGGTAGCGACCGTAAGTATTTCAACTTCAAACCGCAGTATCTATATTTTTCTCGTCAAATCATTATCACCGGAAACTTGATAACTTAACACTTAACTTTTATACATGATTTTCCAGGGAAGAAAGCCAAGATCGCTGTGAACATGGGAGGCGACGTGATTGAAGCTGTCAAAGGTACACGTACGAGTTTTGCATGGTTGGCACCCGAACACTAGAAAATAAATGTCTAATAAAAAATTGTGCTAATTTTTATGTATTTCAGCTCAAAAAGCAGAGAGTATTCGTGGAATGGGAAATGAACAAGGTGACGGAATTAGAGTTGGCAGCGACCGTAAGTATTTCGACATCAAACCGTAGTATATATATTTCTTTCGTCAGATCATTATCACCATGAATTTTATAGTTGAACTTTTATTCATGATTTTCCAGGGAAGAAAGCCAAGGACGTCGTGAAAATAGCAGCAGGCAACATGACTGAAGCTGTCAAAGGTACGCACTATTTCAGAACAATGGTGGTACCACAAACTGCATGTGTAAAAAATTGTGCTAATTTAATGTATGCAGCAGCAACAAAAGCTACAAAACCAAGGAGTACTCATGGAATGGGAGATGAACAAGGTGGCGAAATTAGGTTGGATAACGACCGTAAGTATTTCAACGTCAAACCGTAGTATACTTCTTTCATAAGGTAGGTAGTAGGTAGGTATTTATTTCAAGATTGATATGGCGTCAGCCTTTACAATCATCTCATTCATTTCATACAAAATTACATTCAATATATACATACATGATTTCATCTTATGATATACAAATCAGTTAATCTGGTAAACTATGTATTTAGTTGTGGGCATTATCCACAAGTAGCACCCGGCATCCCAATACAGGCTAAATACATACTATGACAAATATTTGACAAGCTCATAGTCTAATGATAAAATGTATGCGGCAGTAAGGGTGTAGAGGGAAAACCGGAGATGGCCTCGGAAAACCTCTACATGTATTGGGAAGGTGACCCAATACACCATTCGGCCCATTACTGCCGTACACCAGGTAGGAAAATGCATGGCAGTGATGCATAGGCGGATTCCATGGGGTGGTGGTGATATCCAAATGAGGGTGGCGTCTGCATGCGGAAGCAGACAGGTGAAGGTTGTTGGGCGGGGGCTGTCCACGGACCGCGGGATCTTGCCCACGTCCCCCATGGTAGCCGTAGCCGGGGCCGACGACACCCCCACTTGCCCCTTCCCCCATCACAACACAATCAGGTCATGGGACCCCCGTAGACCTGACCATGCCGCCCCCCGTCATGCACGACCCCCCCCGCCACTTTTCAAACAACCACTCCCCACGGTCACCACCCCGATATACCAAACAAAAACCTACCTGGGGAGTCCCTCCAAGACGTAGATCCTCCAGTGCACAGAGTCCGGCGAAATCCTTCTTCGCCTGATGGCCAGCTTGTCGTTGCTGGGACGGGTGTGGCAGGGGGTGTCACCAGGCACGCAGGTGGGGGAGTGAGTGGACGAGGCTCACGTGGCGTTAAGGCCTTTGGACACACTTCACTTGCCCTGGCACACCCGCGACCCAGATGGAAGAGGATCCAGCCAGATGCAGAGCGAGAGAGAGATACGTGTGCACATGGAGGAAGTCAATACTTCTTTCATAAAGTCGATGTCACCAGCAATTTGATAACTTGGTGGTTTTCCAGGTCAGAAAGCCAAGGACATCGTGAGCAAGGCAAGTGACGTGGTTAAAAATGGCAAAGGTATGCACTAGTTTTGGTTGACACACCAGCAGCTAAATGTTTTTAAAAAATTGTGCTAATTTTATTTCAGTGCCAAACGCAGTGAGTGCTCTTGGATTGGGGGATGAACAGGGTGGCCAAATTTCGGTGGATGACGCAGGTAAGTTTGCATTGACGACGAAAATTTTATTTTTTCTAAATAGACGTTCCTCTAATTTTTAGTTCGGGCTCCCATAATCGACACAGCTGCAAATGAAGAGGCCATGGAGGCTAAGATGAACGATCTTTTAACGGAACATATCAACAGTCTTGGTGAAAATGAAATCAAGGCTTTCTGCCGTCGCCACGCCGTACGCGTGTTGCGCTCGTCGAACATGTGCAGGGATGAAGATTTGACACAATTGTTCAACCCGGTGGCCATGCTAATTGAAAAATTCAATGCTGAAGCACAACGTCCAAATTAAAGTTACTTCAAAAATGGTGCAAATTGAAATATTTAATTAAGAGAATTCATGTATGCCGTAACTTAATTTAATTGTTACGCATTTATCATGGTTCAGATCGAAATTCTATCAAGAATTTTTTCTGATACAGTAATTGCATAATGATCTATTCATAGAAGGTTTAACTATTAATTAATTGAAGATTATTGAGTACCTCCCCAGGTAAATTTCTAGTGCAATTAGTGAATTACTTCTTTAATTTGTTAAGTGAAGATGAATTCCAGTTAAATTTCCAGTGCAATTAATGAATTATTTTTTTAAACGTGTTAATTAAAGATTAATAATTTCCAGCTAAATTCCTAGTGCAATTAGTTACATTTTAGGCTGTGAACAGTTAAATTCGTAGTGCAATTAATGATTATTTTGTTAAAGCTGTTAATTGAAGATTAATAATCCCGTGTTAAATTCCCTGTAAAATTACTTTTTTAAGCTTTTAATTGAAGATGCATTCCTAGCTAAATTCATAGTGCAATTAGTGAATTATTTTGTAAAGCTGTTAATTGAATTGATACTCATTCCTTGATGTTTTTGTTAATACAACAAATATTCCAATTATATTTATTTATTCCTCATAAAGTACAAGTAAAATGATCTCTTGTTATTGTAATGTTAATGAAAATTGTGTCACGTGATAGAAATTATTTTCTTGAATTACATTTTATTTCAAATGACATATATTATAATATATAGTACCTGACAAATTTTTAATTTTAGAAGAAATGCTAACAAAAATTATAATCTTGGGAAATTACGTTAAAAAGTTACACCAAATTGTCAATTACCATCGTCACCGCCGTACATGTACAAAAATCATCGTCGCTCAATACATCTACCAAATAGATTAATTTGCATCAGTTATAAATTAACAGGCTTGAGGACGTTGAATCCAGTGGCGGAGGTGGTGAAGAGAACGCCGGGGATCTGGTCGTGCCAATGGACCTCTTTGATATCCTGTTGACCTTGGTGGATGAACAGCAGCTGCGGAGGAACGGCGGCTTCATCCTCGTCCTACCCACAAAAAATTAATCAATCATTAGCAAATTATACTTAAAATCTTAACACATATTGAGTCAAAATTATGGTCAAAATTTCTAGAAATGGATCCAAAGGCTTGGCAGACAAGATAAAATCAAAGGAAACTAAAATCTGAAAATCATGACTGTCCTGTCATCATTCAAAATTATGGTCAAAATTTATAGAAATGGGTCAAAATCCAAAAAAATGAGGACTTGTCAGATAAGATCAAACTAGATAAGAGTCTGAAAATCGTGACTGATTGTTATTGTTATTCGTCACTCACATTTCCTCCTCCTTCTTCCTCTGCATCTTTTTCCAACGCCAAGTCCCAAATGGCGACCTGGTCGTCTTCTCCTGCTGAGGCGAGAACGGATGACTCATGTGGACTCCACTCAACCGAGCAAATGGGGCCTTTGTGGTGGTGGCTGAACTCGGCGACGGGGTCAACCGTGGCGGAAGAGAAGGAGCGGAGATCCCAAACTTTGAGGGCACAGTCGTCTCCTCCCGAGGCGAGAAAGGGATCCTTCCCGTTCCAAGATATGACATTGATATCCTTCGCGTGGGCGTCGGGTCGACACAGCATCGAGCCTTTGTTGGGAGGAGAACGAGCGTCCCAGATCCGAATGCTGGTGAAAAAATTAATTAACATATTAATTAATTAGTTGTTTAACGTAGGGCTTCTCGTAGACTTATCATCAACGGGGTCAAAATCAACACATTTTTATTCATTTCTTGGCTCTGTGAAATTATTTTAAACTTCTGGACGACTAATTTAGTTGATCAATTGAATAGCTGTGAGTATTTTGGCCAGTTTCGATAAGTTCCAATTTTTCTGAGGCTTCATAAACTTGAGATCTTCTCCTTCAAAAACTGTCAAAATCTGGAGTGCATACTTCTTCAAAAACAATTTTGGTGACGAGTTATCAAGGAATTAATATTGCTTGCTAAATTCATCACTCGCCTCTTATCGACGGAGCATGACGCGAAAACGTGCTGCTCGCTGCGTGACCACTGAATGTCCTCGACGCTGGCAGTGTGGGCAGAGAAGGGGCGTTGATCGACGAGCCAGCCGGACTCGTGGGGACGCCATATGTGGATAAACTTGGTATTATCGCCGGAAGCTAGAACGCCCGGCATGGTGGGAGACCAGTCCAGCGCGAACCCTTCTCCCCGATGACCTTTAAAGGTGAAGAGCGGCTTGGGCTTTTCCTTCGATTTTATATAGTCTTGAAGGTGCTGGACATGCAAAATAATTAATTAAACCAAAGTTATAGTCAAGTGGTTAATTTTCCAGACTCATAATGGAGGTCTTCCAACGTATGTTCACAGTTTAATTAAATATGTTCGTATGCTCACAAAAATTAATATGAAATTTACAAAGGGCACGATCCGCAGATTTGGCAGAGATATTTGCATCCGAGAAAACGCACAGCAAATTTGCAAAATTAAAAATCTGGCAACTTTAAGGCTTGTTTTCTCCTATTCTGATGCAAAAATCTCTGACAGATCGTGCATTCCGCAAATTTCAGCATACACTGGAACACCTCCATGTCATTAATTAACAAAATTAGTCAATATTGACTTGAATTACCTCTCCATTATCCAAGACTCTCAATGGCACACCTATATCCCAAATTGACACCTTTCCCAACTCGGACCACGTCGCGACCAGCGGTCTCTCCCCCACGAAACGAAACTTGAGCCTGTTCACGCATCCGTGATGTGGAACTAGGGCAGCCACAAGTTCCGGCTTTTTCGTCATGGCGTCATCCTCCTCATCCCCACCGTCCGACTCGTCGTCACTCAGTTCATCATCACTCCCCTTGGGCTTCGTCTTGTACACGTTGGACAACTTCATGACGATGAGATTGTTGGCGTGGCTGCGTTGCGCTTGTGTGCCCGACACGAGGTACGACGTCAAGGGGAACGTCGTCCTGTCGTTGCCACCACCGTCGGGGCGAATAATGTCGAACGAGAGACATGGCGCAGAGGTGGTGAAAGTGTGGAGGGTTGTGTAAGCAGATTCGTCACAAATTAAAGATTCTCCCTCGGCGATAAGCATTCCTGGAAGGTATGCTTTCTTTTTACTCTACAAAGCAAAATATTATGTAAATTAAACTTTTTAGAAATGTGTAAATTTTTAATTGATATTTAATTAATTGGGATTAATCACCTTATCTTTTTTCTTAGAGGTGGAGGCGGAGGAATCGTCGGCCGGTTTAGATTTCGATTTCATTTCGGCTTTGATTTTTGCTAATTTTTGCTTCTTTGTTTGTTTTCCTGGAATAATTTGCAAGGGTAATTTATACTATTTATGTCTAAACCATAGTTAAATTAACTACCTTCCCCACCACCCCCCAGAACGACACCACCCTCTTCTTCTTCTTCAGAAGAGTCGTCGTCGTCTTCACCAGATGAATCGTCATCTTCGTCGATATCTTCAAACTGGTCGTCGTCATCGGCTTGTTCAATATCCATCTCATCTTCGGGTTCAACTTTGTTATTGTCCATGATTTATAATTTCGAGGAGATGAATCAAACTGTCAATTTGAGCAGGTGGGCAATTAATTAATTGTGAATTGACGTGGAAATTTAATTAATTGAATTACTAATTAATAATTGAATATTAGAACAGCTTACAATCTTAAAAGCGTGCCCCAACCAGAACCAGAGTCGCCAGGCGTGTTATCAGAAGTAATTAGTCGATTCAAGTTAAATACCTTAATAATTAAAGATAAATAATCAAAAAAAATTAGTTTGGAGTCCTTTGGAATTTGACTCCCTGAAGAAATTAATAAACAATTTAACATAATACTTGTATTCCTTACCTCTCACACTACCAAACAAGTAATTGCTGAAGTTAATTATTACGTATAATAATTTAAAATCCTCAAAATTTCAGGTTTTCTAAAGTTTCTTAAAATTCTGCTGGACAAGCACGTGGCTCGATTCGCACACGAATTTGCTGTAAAATTCTCAATCCGCCGTCCCGGGAGTGCAAAGCCAAACTTTTAGTGCATCGTCACCACCGGCGAAAATCTCGTTTTGCGAAAAATATTCGCTTCAATTTTTTACCAAACCTAATTATCTAATTAATTAATTAACTAATTATGGCGACGACTTACGCCTTCGTCGTCATTTTACCTAATGCACGCCGTGCTAACGTGAAAGCCAGTACGAATACAACAGTTTTGGAGGTGAGTAAATTTGCATCTGATTAAATAATTAAGCTTTAAATTTAAATGACTTGTAATTTAAATTTGCATTATTCATTATATTCCCAGGTGTTGGAAGATGTATGTAAAAAACATGAACTAAATCCGGTGGAGTTTGATTTAACGTAAGTTCTCATTACATTTTTGTATAAAATCTTGATCACAATTTTCAAAATTCAATCACCGTTTCATAAATTGATTGTAAAATAATGAATCATCCAATTTTTCAGATTTCACAACAAGATAATTGATTTGGGGAACACGATTCGCTTTTCTGGCATTCCGAACAATGCAACGCTCGAAATGGTGGCGTCCACGAAGGCCAGAACGGAGTCAGCCATAAATCTGGGGCTGCAGCTCGAATCTGGAAAAAGACTGATGCACCCCTTCCACCCCCAGCGTAAATTTAATTCGACTAATTTGCATAATCAAGTAGGATTTCTAATTAAATTAAATATTTAAAACTTTAGAAACTTTGTGGGAAATCGTCACCTTTTGGTCGGACAAGGGTGAAATCGTCGCCAATGGTGCCACTTCCGGTTCTGGTGTAGACGATGTGAAACCTGTCTGCATCTACATGCGGCAGGAAGTCATTGGACAGGACCAGTTGGAGAGGAAAACGCTGCGTTCACTCGGGCTGACAAAGGGGAGTGCGATGATAAGGTATTTATCACTTTTAGTTTCGTCAGTGTCACCACTTTTTGTTCCTCACGAGATGAGAAAATCGTAACATTAATTATTTCTTCCCTTCCAGATTCATCTACAGATCTGAATCCTCTCTAAAAACTCAGGCGAACGTTTCAGCCCCATTGTCACGACCGGCTATTGTCCAACCGATGGAAGTTGACGTGGATCAAAGAAATTTACCGTCATCGTCACATCCGGATCCAAAACAGCCTTCTCACAAAGTTGTGACTCCTCCAACACTACCAAAATCGATGCCAAAAACCCAACCAGAACCGATGACCACGACGACTCCGACGATTGACGACGCTCACGCTCAGAAAAATACGGAACAATTAGTACATGTCGAGGAGGAACACACCTTTACTTTCACACCACCAGTGGTAAATAACGCTGCCAGGTTTTCGAAAAAAGGGGAACTTCACATTGTAAGTTTTTTTTAATGGTGACAATTTTGATATAAACCTTATCAAATTATTTCAAAATTATGTCTTTGTTTGTTTAGATCGGACCCCATGACGCCATTCTGTATCACGGAGACGATGTCGTAATTGACGCCAAGGATTCTGTAGATGACTCATTCTTTGATCTTTCTCTGAACGAAGTGAAACGAATGTATTTAGAATTACAGAGTAAAAGGTGGGAAGAAAGTTTCCGAAACACTTTTGAAAATTATTTGAATTGAAACTTCTTTTCTTCAAGAATTCAAGAACATGATCTTGTAAAAAATTGTATAGTTTAGTTTAAGATCTGCAAATTACAAAACAGGATTTAAACTGTTGCAAAAAAAATATGAAATCTATGAAAAAGATATTCAGAAATTTTAGTAAATTAAATATTATGTCAGATTTCGAAAATTTTTAAAAAGTATGTAAACGTTCTACAAAATTAGACTCAAAATATGAACAGGTTTCAAACATCATATTTTATTCATGCAAAAATTACTATGCAAATTTACCTTATCAAATTACTCCCCTCTTTCAGACAGGCGATGGAGGAAGCTCCGCTACAAACGAGGTCAGCGCGTGAGTTGGAGCGAGACACGACGACGCTGCGGATGCTTCGCGACTATCCGACTACTTTGGTGCGTATCCGTTTCCCTGACCGTCATATTCTCCAAGCATCCTTCCGCACGGCCGATTCGATGGCCTCTCTCCATCAGTGGCTCGCCTCCTTCCTCCGCAAGCCAGACACGCCCTTTTATCTCTGTAAGAAATTAACCGGAAGTCTCTTTTGGTCACTTATTCATAATTTACTATTTGAACCCCACTCTTACCATAAAATGTAGGTCTCCGCTTCGGAGCAAACTAGTGTCAATCGATCACAAATTCAATTTGTATGCAATCGACACGATCTCTCAATGTTCATGTTTGGCAGAGATGTTTGCATCCGAACTGAAGAAAACGCTCAGTAAATTTGGAAATTGTAAAATTTGCCAACTTAGAGCGCGTTTTCATATGCAAATATCTCGGCCAAACGTGCCCATTTTGGGAGATCGTATCTTTGCAAATTTAATACTAATTAAATTTCTCATCGACTGACACTAATTTGCTCAAAATCGGAGAGCATAAGCTAGAAGACCTCAATTGTCACTTGAGTAAAAATATTCTTATTTTATTCCAGTTACCGCACCCCCAAAGAAAATTTTACCTCGTGAGTCCACCCTCGTCGAACAGGAACTAGTTGGAATGGCGGTACTATATTTTGGCTGCGAAGAGGATGCACCATCATCATCATCAAATCAGACCGAAAACAACACAACGGGAAAGAACACCGTGAATTTTTTGAAAGACGAATTCTACACAAAGATCAGCGCACCGGACGCCGTGTACGAATTTTTACACAAAAAGTTGAAGAAGGAGGTCGCGACGCCGACACAGAGTGGGGACGATGCTGGGACATCAACTTCCGGTGCTGTGGCATCCCCACCACGCGAAGATCGTCACGCTCCCCCTCCGCAACGACAGCCTCGTCCCACAACGACTTCGCCGGCTCCAAAGTGGTTTAAACCGACATAAATGAAAGTATTTTTTTTACTCAGATCTAATCATTATAATTCAAATTCTTCCCTATATATCTGTGATTATGATGAGTAAAAGTAAATTGAATTAGGTTAAGTTTCTACAAGCTTATCGAGGATGATAAGTAAAACCAAAAAATAATAAGTCATGCTAAATATTCAAATCTTTATAATCTTTCAATTAAAAATGTGCTTATGATTTTGTTCGTCAAATTGAGAGTATTTTTTATTCATTTATATATGTCATGATGAGTAAAAGTAAATTGATTTAGGTTAACTTTCGACGAGCTTATCGATGATGATAAGTACATATCAAAATAATATTAGTAACAAGTCATGATAAATGATCATTCATCATGATTTTGGCTCACTCTAAACGGTTGTGTAATTAAATCAGAAATTTGCATTGGTTTCAAATTTTGATTTATATTTCGGGTTTGTAATTCATTCATTTTATATTTCTAATAAATAAATTTCGAAAAAAACTTTCAAAAATCAGTTTCATTTACATAGGTTCACGTCTCATTTTTTCCGGGGTAACGTGAAACTTGGGCGGATCCCCTTGTTTCCCACTCTTCCTTCAAAGCCAGACGATCCCATCCACCATTTAATTTGTCTGGAAGAGAAAGTTTCTGAAAACGGCGTCGAATTAATTCCAAATTAATTTGAAAAGTTGGAAAAGTTAATTTCAATAAAGTTTACCCTCTCTGGACGGGATATCAAGGATTGTGATAAGTGATAAGGTTATCTTTAAGTGGTAAGTTTGACGAGTTGTTTTTAAAGTAAAATTTCTATGTTATCTATATACAGGTCGTTCATATTGCGTTGTATTGTACAAAAAATATTTTTATATTCATTTAATCTTTTCAGGTGTTTAAATTAGTCTAAAAGTGCAATTAATTTGTATTTAAGTCGACTGAAATAATGTATTTAACAATTTTGATAAGTGGGTCACTAATTTTTTTCATCTTTTTATTTCAGATCTGGGCGATATCGGGGTCCCTAAACTGCAGTCGTCCCCTTGAAAACTGGCTAAAAAAGTCTCGTTCCTGTCTTATTTTTACGCTGATTCTTGAAAATTTGTCACCACCTTTATCGAAACTCTGAAGTCATCCCCAATTAAGTAACGTCGTCGTCGCCAAATTCTCTCTGGGATCTGACCTTGATTAACCTTTTGGACTTGAAGACGTCAACAAGTTCCCGAGCCAATTTAATTAACACCCGCTTTATAATCATCCAAACTTCATCCTTCCTTTAATTTCAATAAGCAGATTGATACCGTCAAGATGGCTGATGATTTCGATGTGGACGCCATGCTGGAGGCGGCTTATCAAAATAAATCGGTAAGAGTCTTTCTCCCTTCGTTAATTAAATTAAATGTCAATTAAATGTCCATCACCACATTTACATGTAAAGCTATTTAATTAATGTCCCTTCACTAAATATTTATATCGTGCATATTCATTCATCCATGCAAATTTTGATTATTTTATTTATCAGTCATTATTATTATAATCTGTCAGTTTGCAGTTGTTGTTGTTCTAAATAAGAGTCGGACCCGATTCGGGCGACTTTTTGCTGCTTTTTTGTACCTAAAATGTTAAATAATTGACCAGTTATATTAGAAAATGTAATATCTCAACCGTGGAACGGTGTTATATTATTCATTCATCGATCAGAAATTCGCTATACTTTGTATAAATTTCAGGTGACCTCACATCTCTGCCATCCATGATGATGATAAGTGTTGATTGATGGGCAGGATACATAAAATATTATGTAAAAAATGGTTATCAAGGGCAGCGTCACTATTTCTTATCGAGTAGAATTCCATCCTCTTTTTAAACTACCACATTGTGTGTCATTTATATTTACAGATTGTCCCATTCGAAAGAAAGAAAGTTGAGAGAGAGAGAAAGGTCCATCATTCAATTCATTACTGAGCGGATGGGTTAATCATTGTAGCATTTGTCTTCTTTTACATATAACCGCATATTTAAAAAATAATCTCATTTCACTAAACTATAAACTTAAAACTATTATAGATCCATTCACCGATCCCTACACTCTGCCGTGAAAAAATATGGTTTACGATTTCGTATAAAGAAAGAGCAACAAGACGACGACCAAACCAAATCAAGCCAAATCATTCGGGGTTTTTTATTTCATGAAGGACTCGATGACGAATCACCAAAATTGTCAAAATGGGGACGCTTTTAATCATTTCTCGGCTCTGGGAATTAATTTTAAAATTCTGGACGACAAATTTGTATCAATGAGTTGATTGATAGAATGGCGTTGAGTTTTTGAGGCCAGTTTCGACGAGTTCCAATTTTTCTGAAGGCTTCTTAAACTTGAGATCTCCTCCTTCAAAAGATGTCAAAATATTTTTAAAAATTGGCACCGAGATGCTCTACAAATTTTTCTCTACAAAGAATTTTAAAATAAATTCCCAGAGCAGAGAAATGATTTAAAGTGTACTAATTTTGACTAATTTGGTGATAAGTCACCGAGTCCTAGGTTCAGAAAATTCCACAAAATTTTACAATAATGGATAAGCAAAGACGCGAACGAGTCGAAAACGTGAAAATGGTTCAAAATCAAGATTTTAAGTCAGATTAGGGTTTCACTTTTCCAAGTGGTTAGATTCTCGACTAGTTTTACCCTCTAGATGCAAACTTTGCCCGCTTTTTCGTCCTGAATTAATTCCACCTTTGACATTATCTCCTTGCAGACACGAAATATGTCTGAACTGATTTCGAAAAATGTTGTAATTCCGCAACAATGCCTCCTCCTCTTCCACACATGCGACGACGAAGGAGCAGGTCAAGATCCGGGCGGTCGGATGGGGTGGTTCGCGTTGTGCGCGTGAATTGTGATCCCCATCATCAAAAACAACATCAAACTCGCACAACCTTTATATCCGCACAATCTTCTGTTTTTTAATCATCAAACGCAACAACAATTAAACAAACAAAAAGCCAACGAATCAGCCAATCAGACAAAAGGTGAGGTTTTTCCGGTCGCCGTGTTCTCACTCGAAAAGAAAGAATGGAGGAAATCCAAAAAAAATCAAAATTGAAATTGAAAAAGCATGAATTGAAATCTTGAAATGAAACTCAGAGACTGAAAATTAATCAAGTTTTGCTTCTCTGATTCCAGATTTGTACACTTCTATCGTACTGACAAAAGATCAATAAGTCAATCTCAATTATTATGATGTATTCTTTTTATGGTAAGTGTGATGGTGTATGCGTCCAAGATGTGGGGGCGGGGGGATTAAGTAGTAAAATAGTTACTGGGGGAAATAGGCAGGTATTTTTTGATAAGATCGATTCGCCTCGTTCACGTCTTGTCCACTTATCTTGATTGAAGGTTTGGTTTGGTCGCGTCGTTTTGGTTGGTTGGTTGGTTATCGAAAATTGACTATGCTTTATTAGGTGCGTTGGTGGTTTGGTGTGGCGTTGTACGTCCAACGGATGTGGAATTCATGATGTTAATTGTCTAATTATTGGTTAAATATTGTAAAAAGAAATGAAACTAATTTGATGTTTGTTGTTCTTTTTTCTCTTTCCTTTACCCAACCCTTATCTTTCCTTACTTCCTTCCTGCCCGTATTTATCCCTTAAAAAATGCGACGTCCGGTCACCTTCTCCGCCTTGGTTTGGTTCTCTCTCTCTATTTCGTGTCAACAGGGAAGTGGGAGCAGCGAGCGGCACAGGCATCATCGATCCGACGTGTTTGAAGAGTTTGGTGGAGGCAGTGGACCTGAGGAGGATGGCTCGCCAAGCGTGGGGACTAATGGGAGCAGTAAATATGGGTGAGAAATAATTAATAATTGACAGAGGTGGGACAACAATACTTTGGAAAAATAGAGTATTTTGAGCTCCGTTCTTCCCAGGATTTGGATTTCCAGGGCTGTTGCACGCAATAAAAGACGAAAATCTACGTAGAGAAGGCAGAAATCATGCGAAAATACAGGTTTTGTGAAGAAATTAACTTTTAATCGCTGTCAAAATACATCGTTTTCACGATTTTTTTACAACGATGTATTTTGACAGCGATAAATAGTTAATTTCTTCACAAAACCTATATTTTTGGGTCAATGTTGCTCTCCCCACGTAAATTCTCGTCTTTTTGTGGGTGTAACAGTCCTGGAAATCCAAACCCTTGGGAAGAACGGAGCTCAAAGTGCTGTATTTTGACCAAGTATTTTGCCCATGCTTCATAATTGACCTGGATTTACTAACTGTTCTGTTTAATTTATTTCTTTGTAGAAGCGATGATCGCCGCGAGCGTCGCTCCGACCGTTCCGAAAAGGAAAAGTCCTCCTCTAAAAAATCTTCTCGTCGTTCCCGGTCCCGATCTCCAAAATCGTCCCGTCGTCGGAGCTCGTCCCGCGAGAAAAAGTCACACCGATCGGACCGCAATCGGTCGAAGGATCGCTCCTCTAAACGTTCCTCTGGTCGAGGATCCTCTAAATCTCCTCCCAGTCGAAATCGGTCACGTTCTCCGACTTCGCGTTCTTCCCGCCGGGCTCGATCTAGATCTGAATCTCCAGCTCGAGGGCGTGGATCCCGCCGAGGTGGACGTTCCCGATCGAGGTCGCCACGATCCCCCCTTCGCCTCCGGGATGACGAGCCGCTCACTCCAGAAGAGCGCGATGCTCGGACCGTGTTTTGCATGCAGTTGAGTCAACGCGTACGAGCGAGAGATTTAGAGGATTTTTTCTCCTCGGTAGGAAAGGTAGGTTGAGTGGATGATAAGTTAATTATAGGATAAGTGGTTATCTAAATTTTGGTGCGAATTGTATTCCAGGTTCGAGACGTAAGGATGATAACATGTAATAAGACGAGGCGATTTAAAGGGATTGCTTACGTGGAGTTTAAGGATATCAGTTCTGTTGCTTTGGTAAGTTCTCAAGACTTATCATCGATTAATGTCAGATTTGCCGTGAACTTGCTTATCTTATTCTCTTATCTTTCATCGCAGGCTTTAGGTCTTGGAGGCCAGAAACTGCTGGGCATCCCAATAATCGTGCAACCTTCACAGGCCGAGAAGAACCGAGCCGGTCAGATGGCGAAGGCTGGGGCGATGGCCGCCGTGATGGCGACATCCGCTCCCGGTCCAATGAAGCTGTACGTCGGCTCGCTTCACTTTAACATCACGGAGGAAATGCTTCGTGGAATTTTCGAACCTTTCGGACGCATCGAGGAAATCCTTCTTATGAAAGATCACGAGACGGGAAGGTCAAAAGGGTTCGGATTCATTACGGTGAGTCTTATCTTAAATTAATTGATACGTTGTTAGTTATCGCTTAGATTAATGTAAATAATTTCGTTACTTAGTTCCACGAGGGAGAAGATGCCAAGAGATCGTTGGAGCAGTTGAACGGTTTTGAAATCGCCGGTCGTCCCATGAAGGTCGGCTACGTGACGGATAAGGCGGAAACGGCGTACTACGCAAACCCACAAACTTTCCTTGATTCGGACGAGATGGACCGGGCTGGAGTCAACCTTGGAGTCACAGGGAGACTTCAACTCATGGCCAAGTTGGCGGAAGGTGCGTAAAGTTTTAAAAACAATAATAGTAAAGTAGCAGAAAATTTGTGATTTACTAATTTTACATTTTGTATTGACAGGAACGGATCTTAAACTTCCTGAAGCGGCCGCATCCGCGCTACAGTTGCAGAATCAACTCCAACATGCCCTTCTCACCCCGTCTGCCGCTGCAATTACACCAGTAGCTCCACCAATTGCTACCCAGTGCTTCATGCTTGCCAATATGTTCGACCCCACTGCGTAAGTTTTATTATTATTTTGATCTCTATAAATCTAAACGTGGGTTGGATTTCGTTTTTTTTTTAAAAAAACGGGTGGAATAAAATCCTGAAAACTTCCCGGAAAACAGGGTCGCCCCCGCTTTCCCGGCAGACGCATTTGCACCACAAATCAAACCCATGAATTGAAACCCTGATCCAACAAGTTACTAATTTTATTTTGTCTCTATTTTTTTTAGTGAAATGGGGAACGACTCGCTCGAGCAGGAGATTGGGGACGACGTGTTAGAAGCCTGTCTCGAGCACGGTGGTGTCGTACACGTCTACGTTGACGGGAAATCTCCAGAGGGAAACGTTTACTGCAAGTGTCCCACGGTCTCGGCCGCAGTCGCCGCGGTGAATACGTTTCACGGCCGCTGGTTCGCCGGCCGTCTCATTACCGCCGCCTACGTTCCCCTTCTCAATTATCATAACCTCTTTCCCGACGCCATGGCGGCTCAAGTCATCTTACGCCCCAGCGCAAAATAAAAAAGGGTCAAAAGTGTTTAAATGCATAATTGTCCACTAGAAAATACTTGTAGTTTTTTTTAACACATCTTGGTTATGTATTTCTAGATGTAAAAAAATATGTGATTTTTGTCTTAAATTGTATTTCAAAATTCCATAATTAAGTAAGTAACAATTGGCAGTGGACTTTCAGATATTGTTAAATTTCATTGTTCCACAACTGGAGAGAAAAACTACTATTTCTTGTAAATATCTACTAAAAAAGCACCATAATTGTTCTCGTTCTTTGAAATCGTATCGCGTTAAATTAATATAAACTGTGTTGTTATTTTAGAAATACGAATAATATTTCTAATTCGCATTAAAAAATATTTCCAAAAATGTATTGTTCTGTTTTCAATTCCTAAATATTTTTTACGAATTTAATGAAAATTATATTGTTTTAATTCGTTTATTGTACTTTGAAACGAAAATGAACCCAAATTCGTGTAAGAAGAATATAATATGTAAAAAGCTACCGAAAATCTTAGCGAGTATGAAATTACATGGGACGGAAGCTTATGATACGTATCTTATCTTAACTACTGTGCTGATAACCTGCTTCTGTGCGATCGAATTATGTATTTAAATAAGAGGGGACCTTTCCTAATAATGAATTTCCTGTAATTCGTAACGGAGTAGTGACAGATTGATTAGAAAAAAGTTTGGAAGTAGTGGAAACTTTGCGTAGTCAGTTCGCATCGTTAATTATGAATTATAATTAATTAGCAAATCAGTTATTGACTATTATTTTGGATAATGTACATACACATGATATTGATTGATATAGTGACACATGAGTTACATCATTTATGTAGAATTTAAGCTACTAGCTATCTGGATTATAATAGAAATTATTATGAGGTGACGTTACATATTTTATCTGGGATTATATATGTCAGATTAAATGAAATGCATAATTCGTAAGATTCAAAATTAAAATAAATCTGATTAAGTTAGTGAATTTGGTGTTTTTATGTGATTTATTGCATTCACGGACTTCCATACGGGCAAATAATTTTCATATCGCTAAATACAAAAAAATTGACGAATGACTATTTTTTTAAATTAAGCAAAATTATTGGTCACACTTAAATCATGAAATTGCCATTAATTATTTACTAGATATTACCAAAAAAACTTATAAAAAGTGGACAAACTTTATCGCAAGTCATTGCTTAAATCGTGACTAAATTGAATTGAATAACTTTGGCTTCATTTAAATGTTTTGAGCAGTTTTGAATATAATTTATTTAAATGCAGATGCTTGTATAGGAAATGTCAAGTTAAAAATAAAGAGTTATTCATAAATCAACAAATTAACTAAATATTACCCGGTTTTCGGAGATTGTTGCAGACATTTTAAATCTAAGAATTGTAACTTTCAGGAATTTGTTTTAACAAAGTTAGTAGGTTATAATTTTGATTTTCACATCCATGACCATTAGAAATAAGATTGGTATAAAAATAATCAATTAAATCTTTAATTTTCGCATTATTAGCTCAATTAAATATTTTACTTTGGCGTCTACTTTCTCATGCGTCAATTATTCTGAGACTATGGGGAATCTGTCTCCGGTTGTCTCAACTTGCCTCAAACTTGACACAGTGAAGTTGCTTTGTCAAGTTTGAGGCAAGTTGAGACAAATATTTACAAACGGAATCGTACGCAATGCAATGCAACTCGACTTATTTCCCACCGTATGAATTCAGCAGATGCATTTCATTTTACTCATGTTGATGGTGATGTAAAATGTAAATTTTTAGATAACTGGTATTATATTATTACTGATTGGGGTACATATTTTACTCTACCCGCACCGGTAATAACGGGCATTACCATTCAGTAATATTGTGGTAATGAAAAAATTACCATTTAGAAACAAACTACTACCAATCCGGTAGGAAGTTATTACCAAATCAATACCAGTACGAAGTATATATCTGAGTTTGCCACATTTCTAAGCAGTGTATGAAATTATTTTCAAACTCACAGTCCAAGCAAGAGGAGGAACGCGACGTAAAATATTTCGTCTCAATTTTATCAAAATTATTTGTACTTTTCTCATTTTTTTATTCAGATTTTTTATTTTGGTTGAAAATTTTGATACGCCGCGTAGGAATCAACCCCACCTTGAAACGGGGCCGGGATTATTTCGCCATACTCGTTCCCGTTTATGTTAACATTGACCGGACCTCCGGTGGACGTTGGGGGCACGTTGTCACTGAAATGGCTGTTGAGATACGAGTCCCGCGTGGGGGTGGTGGTCGTGGGGACGAAATTTTGGGCAGGAACGTGTTGTTGTTGCTGTTGTTCTTCTAGCGGGGGTGGGGACAGGAACGAATCGTCCTCACTTTTAGGATGGGACGACGAAGAACTTCCGGTCGGAATGCTATTTCCGGTTTGGACCCTTTGTGGGAAGTAGCTCGTCGCTGGATCGAATTCTGCTCCGAGAGGAAAACCTGGCAAATGATGGGCTGGTTAATTTTTTTGCACAAAAAGTAGGTCTCTTAATATGTAATTTTTTGCACAAAAACAGGTCGCTAAAATAAATTTTTTTGCACAAAAATAGGTCGGTTAAAGTCTAATTTTTACACAAAAACTAGGTCTGTAGATATCCACTTTTTGCAAAACATAGATTGATATTCATTTTTTGCAAAAAATCGCTCGGTTAAAATCTATTTTTTGCACAAAAATACCATGTTGATTGACAATACCTACTTATTTTTTTCATAAAAACACGTAAAAAAATATTTTAAAAATCATACCTGTCTGTTGTACTTGATTATTATGATTATTCTGCTGGTTGTTAAATTGTGGAAATGCGGAGCACGTTGAGATCAAGAAGGTCACGCCAAAGGTCATAATCCACTTCTGACTAAGATATGAAGCTTGTGTGAACAACATTTTGTACCAGATTTTCAAAAATACTGCGCCCCCAAAAAAATCACCAACTGTTCCGTTTCGACCCAAGGAAATAAATGGTAGTCGAGTAAAAATCGTGGTATCTTTTTATACCAGAAATCAGAAAAATATTATTTCTAATGATAACAAATTAAGTAATTGAGGGCGAAGCGTGTGTCACATTCTGAAGGAGGAAAGATAAGGTATCTAGACTCAAAGGACGCGCATTGTTTTATGTGTAAAATATTTAATTTAACAAACTTCACGGCTAGTTAGGTCGTTAAATGTTATGATGTTTCTTAGAGTAAGTAGTGCATACGAAATCCCACATTAAATTTTTCATCACAGGGCGGATATGTATTAAAGGAAAAAATGATGAATATTTACCCACAAAGTTTGCCCGTCCGTCGTTATCAAATGAAAAAGCTGAAAATAAATATATGTATAGGTATACTTGTCCGCCGTCTGCTTATCATTGTTTAAGCATTTATTTATGGTGGTAGCGTATGAATCGTGGTCAGATTTTGTGCTGGTTGACTCGTCATCGATGCTATTACGCCATGTCATTTCATTCATTGCTCAACGGGCTATAAGACAAGAAGGCTTTAAAAAATTACTTCCCTTCCTTGTGAACTTTATCCAAATCTAGTTCTTTTTCTACAAAAGCACACACATAAATTTGACTAGAATCAAAGTATTTACATGGATGGATAACTCCTTCAGGTAAAAATGCTCCAATTAAGAAAGACTATTTAAAAGAATGTGGAAGAGTGGAAAATATGCTAATATATTATGCGAATTTTTGCAAAGTATCGCATACATACGCACGATTTAGAGATGGATGGTTAGATAGATTCATTAGGTAATTAATTGTTTACCTGTATAAGCTTAGATAGAGGACAAAGGACACAACTTTTTCGTATCATTGGATTAATTCTTATCAAATAAACCCTCCAAACGAATGTAAATAAGTAGCGTCAGAGCGATTCCAGTTTCTTTTAACGTTTCTCCTTATATGACCTCGTCCTAACGTCATGAGGTCATAAGGTCAAAAATATTAACGTCTTTGAATTTGCGGTGGAATTTCCTTTAAAATGATACCCCATATGAAAATTATGTATTTTCTGACCTCTGACCTCGTCGTCAAGGTCATAAGGTCAAAAATATTGATATCGTTGAATTCATGGTGAAATTTCCTTTAAAATGACACCCCATATGAAAATTAAAGTTGAATTTAATTTGGACCACACCCACTGGCGCTGTGGGGTGTGGTCCGATTGACCCCATTTTCGAATTCGACGGAGAACTAAAAATTAGAAACACAATGTCGAAAACCGGGTTTGATTATGTCGACTCGTTCTGGAGATATCCTGCTTACAGACGGACGGACGGACAGACAGACGGACGGACAAAACGATCACAATAAGTAGCTGACGCTACTTAATAATGGAGCAAAATTTCTCATGGAAGGATGATGGAGAATGAGATAATGTGCGAAATAAATAATTCAATTTCATAATTTAATAATAAAATGTACAATCAAATTAATGGATAATGATACTTCTTAAAGTTTGATTTATGCATGAAATGAAATAACGAAGCAATAATGACATATTTACAAAAAACCTACAGTGCAGACTTGATATAGCCCGAGTCAGGCGTAAATCTGTTTTCAAATTAAAATTTTTAAAACTTCGAATTCTTCAATTAAGAGCCTTTAGTAACCCATATACTAAAATTTATCCACTATCATTAAATTTTTGTTAGTGCACACATTTTTTTCCCTTGGTCACCAGTACCGACTGTGACCATAACTTTGAAACGAGTGTATATTTTTTCTTAAAACTTTCAGGATATTATATTACCAACATTCAATGTAACATATATAAATTCCAGGTATGTGGGTGACTAGGGTTATATGCTTTTGTTCGTGCACAACACATTTTTTCCCTTGGTCACCAGTACTGACTGTGACCATAACTTTGAAACGAGTGTATTGTTTTTCCTAAAACTCTCAGGATATTATCCTAGTAATATTAGACGCAACATATGCAAATTCCAGCCACGCGGGTGACTAGGTTCGTATACATTTGCTGGTGCACACATATTTTTCTCCCTGGTCACCTTATTGGGTCGCCCAATAAGGTCCTCCAGGTGAAAATTTTTCTTATTTTACTTCATTAGGAGCTATTGACTGGGAACTGGTTAAGGGTGATGGAATTTCTGCCCGCCAAAAACACGTGCCCATTTGATTAACATTGCGAGCGGGCTGAAATTCAAATCAAATCCATCACCCTTAACCAGTTCCCAGTCAATATTACCAACTTGTCTACCAAATTTCAGCTCGATTTGACGAATTTGAAAAATTGGTATGGGTCACCCCATAGGGTCTGTCCAGGTGAAAATGTGTCCAATTTCAATTCATATTCTTCTATTGGTAGTCATTAACAACCTATTTACCAAATTTCAGCTCGATTGGATAAGTTTTAATAATCGGTATGGGTCACCCCCTAGGGTCCCTCCACATGAAAATTTTTGGAATTTTGCTTTGCATTCCTTCATTAGAAACCATTATCAACCTCTGCGCCAAATTTCAGCTTTCTCCGGCAATTTTGAAATTTTGATGCATAATACCCGACCCACCTATATGACCCCCACCGGTCAACCACTTGACCGATTTCGCCCATCTTCGAACTTAACTCCTCATTTGACCCATACTACATTTGTGCAAAATCTCAAGTCGATCGGATTAGTTTAACGGCCGTTATCGCAAACCAGACAGACAGACGGACAGACAGACAGACAGACAGACGGACATGACGGGTACATAAGCCCTGACTCGGGCTAGAAAGTAATTAAAAATGTCAACATTTTTGACATTTTTTTTGCAAATCAATTTCGTTAGCAAAGAGATCTTGCAATCTTGGATGATGACCTAAAATCACCAGAATTATGACAAAGGAAAAAATATGGAGGAGGTCAATGAACTCTCGAAAATAAATTCTCCCAATCTCAATTTCTGACCGATTCACATCAGTCCAGTCAGCCAGACTTTTTATCGCGTAAAGTAATTACTACAAATTTTTAGTAATTTGTGCAAGAAAATGTCACCACTTCGTCACCCCGCTGGATTCCTCGTCCTCCTCCTGACCGTCGTGCAAGTGGGGAAAGTGTCCCCCCAGCTGTACACGTACCTTGAAGACGTCGCCGCCGTGTGGAACCTCCCCCTCGAAAACGTTAACCCGGAGCACAAGAATTTCACCAAGGACGGCACAGATCGCGAAACTGTCATCGACGAAATCCGATATGTGACTTGTCTTCCCAAAATTCCAAAGTATTTTTTTTTTCAACGACTATTATGTATTTTTATTAGCCAGAGAGTCAGGGCTTATCCATCAGTCACGGTTGTCTGTCTGTGTATCAATCTTAGAGTATTTAATAATAATAACAATAATATTATTATTATGATTAAATACTCTAAGGTATCAATTGTGCTCGTAAAACTTTGCCTATCCACTTGCACAGACGTGGAGTACCCAAAATTTGGAAGCAAGTATATGTAAAATAGGCAAACTGTGCGAAGAAATTTTTTTTAAAATTTCTAAGGGGTGATCCATAAATTATGTCACGCTGAAGATGGGGGGGAGGGGTGCCTAGCATCCGTGACAAAGTGTGACATATGGGGAGGGGGGGTTCGGCCGATCCGTGACATCACGTTTCGCAGGCCTAACTTGATGCAAACTTTAACTCACATTTTAATTCTCCGACAATGGCCAAACTAAAGTTTCGCAATTATTTAGAAATATTTGTCCACCCGAATATCAGATGAGAAGATGATCATCCACAATTTCGACCAAGGTTTGGATTTTAAGATTTTCAACCATTTTAATAAAAATTTTAAAATTTGTTCAAGCCTTCTAATAATTTGCACAATATCCAATTGTTTGTTTATTAAAAAAAAATTAAAATTAAAAAAACTCCGTGCCGTAAAGTGCCGTACAGTTTGTATAATTTCAAAAAATCGTTGTAATTTTGTTCAACAACATTTAACAATTAAGAAACTTTACTAAATCTCCAAAAATTTCCTCAATTTAAAAAATTCGTCCGAAAGAACCATATTATTCATAGTTCAAAAATATGTACTAATTGGAGGCAGCTGCATGATTAAAAAATGTTAACAATTAAAAAAATGTATAGCAATAAATGAAAAATTTCGTTGATTTTTTTCAACTTATTTGGAACTTTTGAAATCTAAAAAAAATAAAATAACGGGAATTTTGGAAAAGCTTATTTACAAATCTAAAACGCTATGAATTTTCACTCCATCAAAGGTGTGATAGATATGAGTATAAACAGAGCTAAGAATTGTTCCTATCCTGTAAAATTACACGGGTTTCACTCGTTATTGAGGAAATATTTCGCTTCACCGCTATTTGCAATACATCTTCTATGAAAGAGGCGTGGCTTCATGAAGTTTGGCAAAATAAAGTTAATTTGTGAATAAACCCAGGTGACACAGCACAAAAGATTCCCTTGTGAGTCTTGCTATTACACAATATTTACTACTTTACGAATATGAATGTTATTCCTGCTAGGTATCGGAAAAATTCAGATTTTCAGGCGTGACGTGACAAGAGGGGGGGAGGGGTCACGACGAGCGTGACAAAGGCGTCACAATAGGGGAGGGGGGGGGGCCTCAAAAAGGGCTTTTTTGCGTGACATAATTTATGGATCTCCCCTAAGAACAATATGACTCGTGCTATTTTAAATAAAGCTGCACTGCGAGTTTTTCACGTAGATTACACAATAAGGTCACACAATTTTATTAATGTACTTTTCCTCACTCGTAGGCACTGGGGCGACATATCGGCAGAAGAGGTGAGTATCGAGTCTTGGGACTACTTCCGGAATCGGCACGACACCAATTTCAATCCGCACTATTTCTGCGCAAACGTGCCCAATCCGCGGATTCCGCATAGAGATGATGGTACGTAAATTGAATTTCAGAAATCTTCATTTAAAAAATTCCTCATCTTTGACCATAACCTTTTTTACCTATAGATGAGTACGCCTGGCCGAACCCTGGGCCCACACGGGAAGCCGGGCATCGTACCCCCCACGCCCTATTTTGGCTGAAAGAACCGTGCGGAATATAATTTAATGGATAAATAAATAAAGAATTTTTTGTCTCGGAAGCTGTGGGGACATCCGGGGACATTAAATTGTAGAATAGGGGAGGGAGGGGTTTATATAACTGGACAAATGGTAATGACAACCGTCCCTCTGTCCCCACGCTTCCGCGGTCACTGCCTATTTAATTACATTGAAATATTTATACTTTAATATTCCAGAACAATGTGGCATTGGGCAAAAAGGTGGTCAGGTCAGCCTTATTTGCATAATTATTTATCAAGTGTCATCGCATCAAAAGAACCAAGGTGACAAAAATTGTTTAGGTCAAGCTCACCCACGCCAACGCGGCCTTCTTGAATCCAAACGAGTCGAGAACAGTGAAGACGTCGACAAGATGGGGCCCGGACTTGGCGTCGGGTTAATCTTTCTCGTAGAAGTGACCGGAATTAAGAGTAGGGGTCGATTTTTGAAGGGTGAGTGAGGCATTTTTTATTTAGAATAAAAAACACTAGAAAACATGAATTTTGATAAAATTAGGCTGGTTCCATCTCAAAGTGACGCTCGAGATTGACCACAATTACTGGGAGGGACGCACCGTTCCAGAAACAGAGGACGACAGAGAGAAGGAAATTCACAATTTTCGGAAACAACATTTCGTCGACAAACTGATGGTCACGGCGCGAGGGAGGATTCTCGTCTCGGGCAGACCGACGGATAATTATACAAGGGATGACACAGGTAAGGGGACTGACATAAGGTATGCCACGCAAAAATCGGGAATTTCTAGATCCCCCTCCTCCCACTAATGTGTGCCAAATAGGCACGATTTCATTGGAGCCTTGGACCCCCACCCATCTTGTGTCACATAATTTAATTTATGGACGCTCCCTAATCAGAAACAAGGGGGAAAAATTAAGCTAATAATGGGAAACTTTAATCCTCGTTTTTAGAACCTGGACCTGCGAGACGCGCCTGGGTCGGAGGAATCGGTCAATTTGTCCAAGACTTTCCAAATTGTGCGGAACCAGGTTATTCGACGACGGAATACGTGACTCAACAGTATATTCCGTGTGGATCGGTACAAGGCGGAGAGACGGTGGTAATATTTATGATACGATGAAACGCTGATAATGTATGTATGTTGGATATCTTTAATTTTTTTAAATTAATTCCAGTACGGAAATAATTTCTACTACACGAGAACAGAAAACGATGCCAAAACGAAGTACGGCAAGACGCAAATGAATTCAGGCGAGACGGAAATTCATCTCAATTTCAGACTGGACAATTCACTCTGCAATATGTATTACGATTTGGATTTTGTGTAAGTGAAAGTAAATGGTAACCAGTTACGAAGAGTGATTAATTTTCTGTCATGTCATTAATGTCATTAGAGCTAATGGTGTCGTAATTAATGCGACATGGTCAAACCCAGCATACAAGCCTCACGTCAATATAAGTGGACTATATGGTACTACACACCTCCGACATATGACCTTTGACCTTGAATTTAGAAACTACAGTTACTATTTACAGCCGTGCAACGCTCCATCTCCACTCGGTTTGCCTTCATCACATCGCACGCTATGCACTCGCCGATATTCTACGAAAACGCGGACCCCGTCCCCCGCGGTGTCCAAAACGTGATCTGCTCCGAGCCCCTGAAAGGCGAATGGATAATGAACCCCGACCCGACAAACTTCACCTGGCCTGGGACCAAAACCAAGCACCGCGCCTCCATCACCGCCGGTGCCGACTTGGTCCTCAATCCCAACGCCACGGCAGATTCGACTTTCGGCGGCGCCATCAAGTTCATCTACCCTGTTCCCTCACGCTCCTCCCTGTACAACCTGCACCCCCCGTGGTACACCAACTCGACCGAATATTCCACCCGGGACGACCCAATCCGTCAAGCTTTCGGCGGCCGACGCACCTGGACCTATTCCGACCGCCCCATGCAAGACCCTGACGAAATCTACTCCGCCTGGCTATTGTGGGACGACTGGTACGAATATCCCCGCGGGAGGGATCCCACCCTTCTAATGTCGCATTCCCACTACCACTCCGCCGTACAACGTGTCCTCAACGAGTTCGACTGGGAAACGTGGCGGGAGCGTGGGGACGATCGAAATCCTGGATATCGTCCTTGGGGAAATGGTCACGATCGGTGCAGCGTGTATGAAGGAGGACGAGATATTTTAAACCACTACCCGCATCCCTACTACGATGCGACATGCGTCCAGCTGATCGCCCAGCATCCCGAACACGATGTGGCAAATGTGCAAAACACTGATGTCCGGGCCACCTTTCGCATCATCATTAGGCGGAAGGAGACAATCAAGACGGAGGGAAGGTTTGTTCATACGGAGTGGACGCTGATAGCTAACAGTTTCGATGCCGAACTCCCCCCGATTTTGGGGCGATGCAAGCCCAGTATTTGGTTAATCCATGGCATTGGAAACTTTGATCAAGGTCCACCCGTTTGTGACCTGTACTTCAGACAGTACGAGGCACGAAAGACGTTAGGTGAGTGGGGGAGGGAGATCAAAATTCATCTATTTTTAGCAAGATGTTTGACACAAGGTTTCCACATTGCAGAAAAGTCACATGACCTCTTAGGTGCATTTTGGCCCGGGTTTCGGTCCAGAATAATTTTCAAAAATAAATGCAAAGCAACAAATTTTGATGTTTTTGTACATCCAGCGCCGTCCAATTTTCCATTTTGAATTTTTTTGAAAATTAGCCCGGACCGAAATCCGTCCGTGGAATCGGCAACGACAGTTCAGCTACGACGTCATGCGACTTTTTCTGCAATTAGTGCGTGTTAACCAGGCTTAATTTTCACGATAAGCACATATTTTTCTTTAACCTACCAGATCCCGCGCTGGGCCGGGTTGTCAAAGCTGTGCGGCGTCAGCAGAACGCCAAAGTGGGAAATAGATCATCTTGGCACAAGAAGTATGTCAGTCGCACGCCGAGAAGGATTCTACGTGAGAGGATACTTTGCGAGGCGTTTAAGAAACTTCATCCGTCCGGGTTTGCATGTCCGGTCGTCATCCCAAGACCGTTAACTTTGGCACCAAATCGTAAGATGGAGAAGTTTGACCTTTGACCTAACTGAGATTATAATTGGCTTTTTGATTTTGTAGTGACGCAGGAGGAAATTGCACAGAAGGAGAGGTTAAAGGAGAATTTCAAAAAGACAAACGCGTACAAAAGGGGCATAATGGCGGCGGAGGATCCTTACACGCTCTTCGTTTGGGTTAGTTCATCGTCACGGTCATGACATGACACTTACGACACATAACGTAGAATGCAAGCCCCATGACGCCATGCAAAATAATGGTCAATGCTCGAAGTTGCTTCTCCAACGGTCGGAATCCACCCAGGAGAAGGAGAAGGATTGAAATCACGATCGAAAACCAGCCCATGATGCGATGCGCGGTCGCAGAACGGCGCAAACTGACCCCAAGCAAGGCTTTACATCCAACTTGACGCCACATTCCGACCAGGAAGAGGAGAAAGGTGATAAAAGCGGAGGAAACGTGAACCTATCAGAAATTATCAAGGTCAAAGGTCAACCCTTGTCTGAAATAAAATTACTATACTCACAAAGAACCAGATCCGATGCAGGAAAATCCGATTATTCATGAAGGTCTCTTTGAAATACCGCGTCAGAAAGAAGCTCACCGGGGTCACGAACATGACAATGATGGTCATAAAAATGCCATGCAATAGGCGCGAGTCCTGCGAAAAAAATGAGCATAAACCGGAAGTCGTAAGTGCCTGGTTAAATTCAGTTTGACTTAACCACTTTTACCGTCAAAGGTCAACAGAGGTCAACAATATAATATTTGTGACATCGGTAGTTGCTTGTGTGCTGACGGCGAATGCGATTCCTGGGTCGCCCGCTGCCCATCATGATTTTGCAGTCCTCTCATTCTTCGGGAAAAATCTGACCACGGAACCCGTCTTCATTACCGTCATGACTTGGATCATTTTTGATATTGGGATGCACATTGGAATGACGGTGAGGAAGACCAATGATCGTGGAATCGTGGGGAGAAAGGGACAACGGTTATGCGATGTCCGCATCATCCACAAATGTTATATAAACCTCTTCCTCTCCTATCCCACAATGTTAATGTCCCCACGGCTTCCGCGGCCACTGAGACATATACTCTTAAAAAATACTTGTGGAAACTTTACATATGTATTTTTTTCAGATTTTGCAATGGCGTAGTGACAAAGACATGCAAATCTGGACGCGTCGCCATTTCTTGTTCTCGCCGATTCCTGTCCTTCATGAAAAGGAACGATTCGATGCGCCGGTAGTCACAATTTTTTATTGAATATTTAATTTTAATAGGATAATAATTTGTCAACATTTGTAGGGTCGTTTCGCCCGGATTTACATGCTGATCGCGTACCTCGTAGTGGCGCTGGTCGGCACTGTCACTATCTGCACGTTCATGTTGAAGAACTCACCACGGGGGAAGGGGCTGGGACACATGTCGTGTACACATGAGGGTCTTGATAACGACGTGCGCGAGAAGTACGAGTGCTAATCAAGTGTCGCAAATTAAGATAAGATTATCATGTCAAAGTTATATATTTTATTTTGAACTTTTTCACCATAACCTGTCACTTTTTTTAGCTTATTAAAAATCACAAATTTGCTTTGCTTTTGGCGTAGAAGTTGTACATACATAGTGTACTGCATTTTTGACAAAGATGGACTACGGAAATTAATGCATGACGTAAATAATATTAAATATCGGGTGCACTCTTAAAAAAATCCGGTAACAAGGCCATTACCCGACTATGCATGCATATGTGACTCTACAATGAACTGATAATGAGGTGCATGATAGCATGATGCATCGTAATTATGGAAACGGAAAAAATATGAGGGGAAATAAATTATGGGAATCTCAATTTCTGAACGATTCACAAATTTCACGTCACTTTTTATCGTGTATTAATTTGTATTAGAGGAAGAAAATGGCACCACGTCGTCACCACTCGGCCGTCGGATTCCTCCTCCTCTTCTTGACCGCCATGCATGTGGGGAAAGTATCCCCCCAGTTGTACACGTACCTTGAAGACGTCGCCGCCGTGTGGGACCTCCCCCTCGAAAATATCAACCCGTCCCACAAGGACTACCGGAAAGACGGCCTGGATCTCCAAACTATCATCAACGAAATCCGATATGTCACCTGCCTCGCCAAAATTCCAAGGTATTTCAGTTCAGCAACTATTTTTCGTTCGAGTCAGCATAGGGCTTATTAATTCTAAACACTACTTCTAAACACATTTACAATCGTCTCCCAGCGTATACGCTCAGAGTTTGGCCGATCAATGGATCACAAATTTGATTAGGATAAAATTTGCGAAAGACACGACCTCCCAATGGACACGTTTGGCAAAGATATTTGCATCCGAAGAGGAGACAATGCACCGGAAAGTTGACGACTTTTACACTTTCTAATTTATTGCGCCTTTTCTTCCCTTCGGATGCAAACATCTCTGTCAAACCAAACGTAGAATTAAAGAAAATTAGGAATCAAATTAGAAGATGATAAGCAAAATCTCTGGAAAAATAAAAGAAATTGTGGTGGTCGTATTATGCCCATCTTAACTGTTAATAACCTGACTCGGGCTAAATAAGCTGCAGTTTTTTCCTGAATTTTTCTGAATTTTCTAAATAAGGCTGCATTTTTTACGTGAATTTAATCACAAGGTCACTTGTATTTTTTATTTCGCAGAGACTGGAACGATCAACCGCCAGAACAAGTGGCCATTGAGTTCTGGGACTACTTCCGGAATAGGCATGACTCCAATTTCATTATTTCTGCGCAAACGTCCCCAATCCGCGGATTCCACACGTAGATGACCGTACATAAATCGACTTTAAAAAACTATTCTTATCAAAAATTTGTGATATTTGATCATCTTTTTTTACTAACTAGGTGAGTTCGGCTGGCCGAAGCCTGGGCCCACGAAGGAAGCCGGGAATATTACGCCACACGCCAAATTTTGGCTGTCTGAACGGTGAGGAATATAATTTTATGAATAAATAATTCCTGCCGTGAATATTTAAATTATTCATATGATATTCCAGAACAATGTGGCATTGGGCAAAAAGATGGTCAGGTTGGTCTTTTTTTCTATGTTTATTCAAATATAGTTCCCAAATTTTTGCATCTATTGAACAAGTTCAACTAAGGTCCGTCGTCGGATCGCTCACTGCGGAAACCATTTTTTAAAGTATTCTAGCGATTCCGTATAACAAGCGGCCAGGGAAGCCGTGGGTACATTAACATTGTAGTATAGGAGAGGGAGGGGTTTATATAGCATGGGAGATTATGCGCATATCGAATACCCAGGGGGAATTGTCCCCACGCTTCCGCGGCCATTGCGCTCACCTATGCCTTACATAAAAATTATTTAGGTATGCCTCGCCCCCGCCAACGCGGCCTCCTAGAATCCAAACGGGTCGAGAACTATGGAAATCCAGACAAGATGGGGCCTGGACTTGGCGTCGGGTTGATCTTCCTCGTGGACGTGACCGGAATTAAGAGTAGGGGTCGATTTCTTAAGGGTGAGTGAGAGGTATTTTTCATCTAGAGTAAAAAAAAACAGTTAAAAACTTAATTTTGATAAAATTAGGCTGGTTCCATCTCAAAGTGACGCTTGAGATTGACCACAATTACTGGGAGGGACGCAAAGTTCCAGAAACAGAGGACGACAGAGAGAAGGAAATTGACGCTTTAAGGAAAAGACATATCCTTGACAAGCTGATGGTCACGGCGCGAGGGAGAATTCTCACCTCTGGAAGACCGACGGGCAATTATGGACATGTTCCTTCGGGTAATAATTATAAACAATGGAAGGGCCTTGGGTATGATAGTTATCGTGACTTTTGACCCGTCTTTTTTCAGAACCTGGACCCGCAAGACGCGCCTGGGTCGGAGGGATTGGTCAGTTTGTCCAGGATTTTCCAAGTTGTGCAGACTATACTTCGACGGAATACGTGACTCAGCAGTATATGCCGTGTGGATCGGTGCAAGGCGGAGAGGCGATGGTAAATAATATATTTCTGAGTGATAAGGTAACGTTGATAAGTGTGTGTTAAATCTCTGTACTTTTTCCAGTATGGGAATAATTTCTACTACTCAAGAACAAAGGACGAAAAGAAGTATGGCAAAACGCCCACAAATTCTGCTAACGAGACGGAAATTCACATCAACTTCAAGCTGGACAATTCACTCTGCAATATGTATTACGACCTGGACTTTATGTAAGAGAAAATAATAAACCCTCCAAACGAATATAAATAAGTAGCGTCAGAGCGATTCTAGTTTCCTTTAACGTTTCCGTATATGACCTCGTCCTAACGGTCATGACGTCAAAAATATTAACTTCCTTGAAATCGCAGTCAAATTTCCTTTAAAATGACACACCCCATATGACAATTATGAAACTTTTGACCTTTGACCTCGTCGTCAAGGTCATAAGGTCAAAAATATTGGCGTCGTTGAATTCGTGGCGAAATTTCCTTTAAAATGATGCCCCATATGAAAATTAACGTGAATTTAATTTTGGACCACACCCCCTGGCGCTGTGGGGTGTGGTCCGATTGACTCAATTTTCGAACTCGACCGAGAACTAAAAATTAGAAGCACAATGGCGAAAACGGGGTCTGATTATGTTGACTCGTTCAGGAGATATCCTGCTTACAGACGGACGGACAGACGGACGGACGGACAAAGTGATCGCAATAAGCAGCTGACACTACTTAATAACCACTTACTTATCGAGGATTACATAAATAATTTCCTATCATTATTACAGAGCCAATGGGGTCGCGATTGATACACACGGGTGGTTAGACCCAGCATACACGCCTTACGTCGTAATGGGTCAAGTCTCTGGTAGTATTTAAATAATCGGAAGTGTACCGCTATCTGTAACCAGGTATTTACCTACCGTATGCATACGGTAGGTAATTTGGCTATATTTTTGACGATTTTCAAAAAATTCCTGCGGCCAAACGAGGCGTGACCTCATGAAGCCTCTTGCTGGAGGTGACACTCCAGTATGGATAACGTCGTTTGAGATATCTAGGAACCCATAAATCAGGTCGCGCACTGCGTCACACGGTCGCAAAATACAAAATGTCGATGTTTGAACACTGATAACTCGGCTCTGAAGCGTCCCACGTAGTCGTAATTTATATGAATTTGGGTTATCTTTCAAAGATCTATCGAATGCAATAGTTTTCAAAGCCACACTCCCTCAAATGGAGATAACTCCTCCCCCAGGGGGTGTGGTCGCACCACAGTCATATAATTTGTGTCATCCGTCCCCATACTACCTTATATGCATAAATAGCTAAAAAATGTCATAAAATAATTTCTGATATTTCATACCATTAAGGCAGCCGCAGTGTGGTATGGTAGCACAAATTCCTATTTTTAACAGAATAACCTAGGGTCGACCCATATTGAAGGTATTAATTATAGTAGATCATTTCTGCACAAAAAGTCCCAACTTTTACACTCAAAACTCTTCAGGAAAAATTAAGATATGCGTAAAAATCGCATATTTTTGCACATATTTTGATTTTTCCTGGAAAAACTTGAGTGAAAATTGGGAATTTATTGCGTAGAATTTGTAGAAATGATCTGCTCATTAATTTTTCTTATTTGATGTATGGGTCGACCCTAGGTCACTCACCTTTAAAAACAGGGATTATCATAGGGTACCATACGGTAGGTATATATGTAGGTGGGTACAGATAGCGGTACACCTCTGCACATACCTCCGACCTTTGATCTTGACCTCGAATGTAGAAATTACTACTTGCAGCCATCCAACGCTCCGTCTCGACCCGCTTTGCCTTCACCACCTCGCACCCCATGCACGGACCGGCATTCTACGAAAACGCGGACCCTGTCCCCCGCGGTGTCCATAACGTGATCTGCTCCGAGCCCCTGAAAGGCGAATGGATAATGAACCCCGACCCGACAAACTTCACCTGGCCCGGGACCAAAACCAAGCACCGCGCCTCCATCACCGCCGGTGCCGACTTGGTCCTCAATCCCAACGCCACGGCAGATTCCACGTTCGGCGGCGCCATCAAATTCATCTACCCTGCTCCCTCGCGCTCCTCCCTGTACAACCTGCACCCCCCGTGGTACACCAACTCGACCGAATATTCCACCCGGGGCGACGCGATCCGTCAAGCTTTCGGCGGCCGACGCACCTGGACCTATTCCGACCGCCCCATGAAAGATCCTTCCGGCATGTTAGATATAATATCGGAGTCCTCCGCGTGGAAATTGTGGGACGACTGGTACGAATACCCCCGCGGGACGGATGTCACCCTTCAAACGTCGCATTCCCACTACCACTCCGCCGTACAACGAGTCCTTAATGAGTTCGATTGGGAAACGTGGAGAGAACAGGGTCCGGGTCACGGTCGGTGCAGCGTGTACGGTGGACCGGCCTATATGCTCAACAACTACCCGCATCCCTACTACGATGCGACCTGCGTCCAGCTGATGGCCCAACATCCAGGCCATGACCAATATTGGGAACAAAATACCAATGCCAGGGCAACTTTTCGAGATCCCACTACGAAGATGGCGGTTGTTGTGGTCGGAGATCGGTATAAACTTGATTGGAGTTGGGTAGGAAAGACTTCCTTTACGTCCAAACTCCCCCCGATTAAGGGGCGGTGCACGCCCAGTATTTGGTTTGTCAATGGCATGGGATTCGCTCGGGACCGTCCCCCCGTTTGTGACCTGTACTTCCGACAGTATGAGACACGCAGGACGTTGGGTGAGTACCTTTTTCGTCTTGACAATGAGATGTATCTTACAGTATGGGGGAAAAGTTCAAAATTTATCAATTTTTGGGATAAATGTGGGGTTTAAATTTGAACTTGGGTTGACTACATGATCCCTTTTCAAATGGAGATTTTAAAAAACCTGTTCGTCTCGATACATTTTTTTAAATGAAGATTTTAGTGCATCTAAAAATCGATAATTTTTTAGTTTGGAAAGTTAGTAGGTTAGAATTTTGATTTTTTTTCTTTGATGAGAAAATGACAAAATTTTGACCTCCTAACTCCTCCTAAATATACCAATTATGGATTTTTAGATGCAATAAATTCTTCATTTTGAAAAAAATGCACGGCGATGAACAAGTTTCAATATTGCATTGTGAACACCTAGAAGAAGCGAAAGTTGCGATACAAAAATTCAAATTGGAATAAAAGAGAACTATAAACGCTTATTTTTAACCTGTCAGATCCCGCACTGGGCCGCGTTGTCAAAACTGTGCGACGTCTGCAGAACGTCACTTTGGGAAATAGGACAACTTGGCGGGAGAAGTATGTGACTCACACGCGGAAAAATATTATCCTGGACAACAGAGTTTGCGAGGCGTTGAAGGAACTGCATCCGTCCGGATTCCAGTGCCCCTCCCTCCTCCCGAGACCGTACACGCCGCAACCAGAACGTGAGAAACATAAGTTCTCAGCGTAGTGATACCCACTCTCTCGACCCTCTCCACCTTCCATGTAGATATAGTTCCTTGCATAAGTTTGACCTCTGACCTCACTTATTATTATTATTGCCTTTTTATTTTAATTCAAGTGTCGCCCACGGAGGCTGCCATACTACAGCGTCGGAAAGAACGTTACAAGCTGAGTAATGCGTACAAAAGGGGCATGATGGCGGCGGAGGATCCGTTCACGCTCTTTATTTGGGTGAGTTCGTCATCATAATGGTCATGACTATGACTTCCGGTTTATGCTAATTTTTTTCGCAGGACTCGCGGCTATTGCATGGCATTTTTATGACCATTATCGTCATATTTGTCACTCCGGTGAGCTTCTTTCTGACGCGGTATTTCAAAGAGACGTTCATGAACAATCGGATTTTTCTGCATCGCATCTGGTTCTTTGTGAGTAGTAATTTTATGTCACTATAAAGGTTGACCTTTGACCCTGAAAATTTCTGATAGGTTCACATGTCCTCCGCTTTTGTTACCCTTCTTCTCCTTTTGCTCGGGATGTGGCGTCAAGTTGGAAGTAAAGCCTTGCTTGGCGTCAGTTTGCGCCCTTCCGCGACTGCGCATCGCATCATGGGTTGGTTTTCGATCGTGATTTCGATCCTCCTCCTTCTCCTGGGTGGATTCCGACCGCTGGAAAAACAACTTCGCGCAGTCACCATTATTTTACATGGCGTCATGGGGCTTGCATTCTACGTTATGTGTCGTAAGTGCCTGGTCAAACTCAGTTTGACTTAACCACTTTTACCGTCAAGGTCAACAAAGGTCAAGAATCTAATATTTGTGACCTCTCACTAGTTGCTTGTGTGCTGACGGCGAACGCGATTCCTGGGTCGCCCGCTGCCCATAATGATTTTGCAGTGCTTGCATTCTTCGGGAAAAATCTGACCACGGAACCCATCTTCATCACGGTTACGGTTTGGATCATTTTTGAAATTGTTATGCACGTTGGAATGTCGGTGAGTACATACATAAGTCTTGATGCAAATTAGTGTTGTCGACGAGTTGTAAATGAGTTGGCGTTAAATGCACCACAAATATTCACCAACTTGTACAAAGTTGAATTTTTAAACATTTTTGGACTCCCAGATAAATCTACGATGAAATAGTTCAATTTTCGAATAAATACAAGAATCCTGAAAATTTTATTTTAGGACCAAACTGCTAATGAACCGAGCCGTAAAAAATGACATGTAGACAAGCTGACCCAAAAATTTGCAATTTATTGATTTCGATGGAATTGATACCATTTTATTCATCTCGAATTTATCTGGGGGCCAAAAAATTCAGTACAACCGGCAACTATTTGTAGTGCACTTTAGGCCAACTCATCTTCAACTTGTTTAGAAGTAGAGAGGAAATTTCGCGTATTTAATTTTTGTATTTTTCCAGATTTTACAAAGTCGCAGTGACAAAGATATGAGACTCAGGAAGCGTCGCATCTACTTGTTCTCGCCGATGCCTGTTCTTCATGAAACGGAACGATTCGATGCGCCCGTAAATGATTCTTTAATGAATATTTAATAAATATTCATAGTTTAATAATAATAATTTATAATATGTCGACGTTTGTAGGGTCGTTTCGCCCGGATTTACATGCTGACGGCGTACGTCGTAATGGCGCTGGCCTGCACCGTCACAATCTGCACGTTCATGCTGAAGAACTCTCCGCGGGGGAAGGGGCTGGGACACATGTCGTGTACACATGAGGGGCCTGATAACGACGTGCGAAATAAATACCAGTGCTGATTACAAAAGTGTCGCCACTAATAAGATAATCTTGTAAGAGGCATATTTTATATTTTGAGAGAAAAATCAATAACCAATGATCGAAACTAATTTTAAATAAATTATATTCAGTAGTGATATTAAATTAATAAAATTGGTGTGATCCTACAAATGGGGGTGATAATTTATGTCGTGATGTTATTTTTCTTTAAAAATAAATTACAATAGATTTGATGTTGAAACGCTTAAAGTATGTGCGACAGAACTTTAGTTTTAGTAGGACAAATTACTACCGATAATGTACAGAGGGTGAATTTAAGGGCCGTCCATAATTTACGGAAAGTAAAAACCCGGATTTTTTAGACCCCTCCCCCTTCCCCCCTTTAACACGTGTAAGTAACATATGCACGATATTGGAACCTTCTACCCGCCCTCCCCCCTCTCTAGTTGCGTAATTTATGGACGGACCCCTACGAAAAATAAAATCAAGCAATCGTGCTCTGCCTACACCGTAACTATGGAAACGGAGAAAATTATGTCTGTCCCTAAATTCAGAAAACAACTCTTTATTTATTTATCAATCTTTATTTCTGAACGATTTACAATTTTCACGTAGCGGAAAATGACACCACTTTCAGCCGTCGGATTCCTCCTTCTCCTGACCGCCGAGCAGGTGGGGAAAGTGTCCCCCCAGCTGTACACGTACCTTGAGGACGTCGCCGCCGTGTGGGACCTCCCCCTCGAAAATGTCAACCCGTCCTTCAAGCACTACAAAAAGGAGGGACGCGATCTCCAATTTATCATCAACGAAATCCGATACGTCACCTGTCTCCCCAAAATTCCAAAGTAGGCACATTAATTTCATCTAGTCTAACTTCATTTTTTTGTGGCTGCGGAAGCTGGAAGCGTGGGTGAGGTGAGGACAGAGGGACAATTTCCCCACGGTTGTTCGATGTCCGCATCATCTGCCTGTCTTATATAAATCCCGCCCTCCCCTACAATGTTAATGTCCCCAGCGGCTTCCGTGGCCACTGTTTGTTTATTCCTTTTTTGTATTTTTTTCCTTTGCAGCGACTTGTTCGACCAAACGAAAAACGAGGTGGCCATCGAGTTGTGGGATTACTTCAGAAATCTGGGACAATACAACTTCAATCCACAATATTTCTGTGCGAACGTGCCCAATCCGAGGATTCCACATGGAGATGATAGTACGTTTTATTAAAAATCAAGTTTAAAAATTAATTGTGTCAGAAATTTGAAATTTTTTATCATAATTTTTAACTAGATGAGTACGCCTGGCCGAGACCTTGGCACACGAAGGAGGCCGGACATCGTACCCCCCACTCCCAATTCTGGCTGAGCGAACCGTGAGGAATATAATTTAATGAAAGAATAAGTATAATTCATAATCTTGTGAATATTTAAATAATCTACATATGTATTTATATTCCAGAACTATGTGGCATTGGGCAAAAAGATGGTCAGGTTGGGCTGTCTTCTATGTTACTTTTTATAACGCTCTATTATACAGGTTTTTAGTTTGAATTTTTGGGTCTCAACTTTCCCTTCTTCGATGTATTTAAATGTGGATTTTGAAATCTTTTCAGTTTTTAAAATGAAAATATTTTAAAATGAAAACCAGCAATTTTTAGCTTTATAAAGTTAGAATTTTAATTTTTTCTGTCATGATCGTGAGAAACTAGAAACAAATTCGGTAATACCGAATTTATTATTTACAAAATAATAATAAGTAAACATACAATACTTATTTTATGGAAGAAAAAATCAAAATTCTAACCTCCAAATTTTTTAAAGCTACAAATAGTTAGTTTCACGATGCAATAAGATCTTCATTTTTCAATGAACAGATTTCGAAATCGCCATTTAAATACATCGATGGTGAGACGCAAAAATTTAAATTCAAAACCCGGATGCAGTGGGTCCTTAATTTATTTCTGACACGACACTTTTAGAGACACTAATTGTTTAGGTATGCCTTACCCACGCCAACGCAGCATGCTTGAATCCAAACGGTCAGAGAGCGGACCTGGTGTTGGGTTAATCTTTCTCGTGGAAGTGACCGGAATTAAAAGTAGGGGTCGATTTCTGAAGGGTGCGTGAGTTAAGAGGAGGCATTTTTTGATTTATTTACTTGGAGTAAGAATTTAAAAGTTGAAAATTTGATTTTTTTATAAAATTAGGCTGGTTTCATCTCAAAGTGACGCTCGAGATTGACCACAATTACTGGGAACATCGCCCTGTCCCAAAAACAGAGCTGGAAAGAGCAGACGAAATTGCACGGCTTCGGAAGAGACATATCCTGGACAAGCTGATGGTCACGGCACGAGGGAGAATTCTGTCTTCGGGCAGACGGACGGATAATTATGGAAAGGACTTAACGGGTAATAATAAACCATAGCAAACGCACATAAGGAAGTAGCTTCAGTCTCACTTCGCCCCAACCATGCCCACCACAGTTGAAGGTTCCCATGGATGACGCGTTGGCGCGTAATCTCACTCTGCCCCTATTCAAATGCAATTTCTAAAATCGAATCAACTCCATGAGTTTTTAGATAAATGCAACTTTTGATATTTTAATCTAAAACTAATTTTTGGTATTACAAACCAGTCGATTTGAAAAAAAAATAAAAAATTCATTTCCGAGGAAATTTATTGTGAAAAATTGACAAATGAATTTTGTAATTTTTTTCAAATCGACTTGTTTGTAGTACCAAAAATTAGCTTTACATTAAAATATCAAAAGTTGCATTTATCCCAAAACTCATGGAATTGATTCGATTTTAGAAATGCATTTGCATACATTGGATAGGGGCACAGTGAGATTACGCGCCAACGTCATCCATGGGAACCTTAATTTCACTGTATTTCATCTGTAGATTCAATTGCATTAAAAATCTCATTTGCCCTGATCATACCCCCTGGCCCCGAGGGGGGTGGTCCGATAGACCCGAAAAGTTGATAGGATCCTCCCTCTGCGGTCATATGTATAATTCCGCAAACCGATTTCGATTATCTCGATCCGTTATCCTGCTGACAGACAGACGGACAAAGTCTTCGCATAAAGTAGCCGAAGCTAATAAACAATTGGGTATGATAGTTATCGTGACCTTTGACCCGTCTATTTTCAGAACCTGGACCCGCGAGACGCGCATGGGTCGGAGGAATCGGTCAGTTTGTCCAAGATTTTCCACGTTGTGAGGAACTCGGCTATAATTCGACGATGGGACACGTGACTCAGCAGTACATGCCGTGTGGATCGGTACAAGGCGGAGAGGCGACGGTGAATAATATATTTCTGATAAGGTAAACTCGATAATTGTGCATGTTATTAATTTTTTCCAGTACGGAAATAATTTCTACTACACGAGAACAAAAAACGAAGATAAGTATGGCAAGACCTACACAAATTCTGCTAACGAGACGGAAATTCATCTCAACTTCAAACTGGACAATTCATTTTGCAACATGTATTACGATCTGGACTTTATGTAAGAGGGTTTGATAACCACTTATCGAGGAATGAGTAATTAATTTCCTCTTATTATTGCAGAGCAAATGGAGTCGCGATTGATAATCATAAAAACGCGTGGACAGATCCACCATTCTCGCCTAATGGCGTCAATATGGGTCACGTCTCTGGTAATACTTATTTACATAATATCTGACATTTGACCTTGAATTTAGAAATATCTTACTATTTGCAGCCATCCAACGCTCCGTCTCCACCCGCTTCGTCTTCACCTCATCGCACCCCATGCATGGACCGATATTCTACGAAAACGCGGACCCTGTCCCCCGAGGTGTTGAAAACGTGACCTGCAACGCCTCCCTGCAAGGCGAATGGATCATGAACCCCAACTCAGCAAACTTCACCTGGCCCGGGACAAAAACCAAGCACCGCGCCTCCATCACCACCGGTGCCGACTTGGTCCTCAATCCCAACGCCACGGCAGATTCGACTTTCGGCGGCGCCATCAAGTTCATCTACCCTGCCCCCTCCCGCACCGACCTGTCCGACCTGCACCCCCCGTGGTACACCAACGCGACCGAATATTCCACCCGAAACGACTCAATCCGTCAAGCTTTTGGCGGGCGACGCACCTGGACCTATTCTAACGGTGTCACGAGAGACCCTCAAGACGTCTTTTATAAAGGCCCACGCCCACCATTGGTTCCCTCCGACTGGAAATTGTGGGACGACTGGTACGAATATCCCCGCGGGAGGGATCCCACCCTTCTAATGTCGCATTCCCACTACCACTCCGCCGTACAACGTGTCCTTAATGAGTTCGACTGGGAAACGTGGCGGGAGCGGGCGGATGATCGAAATCCTGGTTACAGTCCTTGGGGAAATGGGGTGGGTCGGTGCAGCATCTACAGTATATCGGGCGAGGGTATCAACCACTACCCGCACCCCTACTACGACGCGACCTGTGTCAACGTCCAAGCCCAACATCCAGACCACGAAGTGAACAATGTACTAAATACTAATGTGCAGGCAACGTTCCTCCACGTCTATTACTTCAGGGAGTGGGAGCATGTAAAGACGGGTGGGTGGATTGTTCATCTATATAAAATTTCACCAACTCCTATTACCGGCTTACTCCCCCCCCATTATGGGGCGGTGCAGGCCCAGTCTTTGGGTTCCAATGGGTTATGGAAGGCGTGAGGATGGTCCCCCCCTTTGTGACCTGTATTTCCGAGAGTACGAGAGAGGCAGGACGTTGGGTGAGTGGGGAATAAAATAAAGCATATATTTTCACAATATACCTAATTCCATCGCATGTGAATTTTTGAGTCTCAACATTGGTTTCAAAATCGCCATTTGCACGCATGAAAGACACACAAAAATTCAAATTCAAAGTCCGCAAAGGGGAACATAAGCACGTATTTTGTTTATCTGTTAGATCCCGCGCTGGGGCGGGTTGTCAAAACTGTGCGTCGTCAGCAGAACGTGGGGAATAGGTCCACTTGGCACGATAAGTATGTGAATAACGGGTTGGAAAAGAACGAGATACTTTGTCGGCTGCAAGAAGAAATGCGTAAGGCTGGGTTCGAATGTCCTCTCCTCGTCCCGAGACCGTTAACTTTGGCACCAAATCGTGAGAAATATCAGGTTAACCTTTGACCCAACAATGAAGAACGGTTATTATTATTGGCTTCTGATTTTGTAGTGTCAGTGGAGGAGATTGGCATACTGAAGCGTCGGAAAGAGCGTTACAAGCTGAGCAATGCGTACAAAAGGGGCATGTTGGCGGCGGAGGATCCGTTCACGCTCTTCATTTGGGTAAGCACTTGACGACTTCGGTTGTTGCATGTGCTAATTTTTCATGCAAATTACTTAATTATGACGGCAGGATTCGAGGTTAATTCACGGGATTTTTATGACGATCATCGTCATGTTCGTGACGCCGGTGAGCTTTTTCATGACGCGGTATTTCAAGGAGACCTTTATGAACAATCGGATTTTTCTGCATCACGTCTGGTACTTTGTGAGTGACACGTTTAAGCTGGGATTTTCAAATTGAGTTTCAGCCGCGCTCCATTGTTAATCTTTATTTGGGGGGCAGCAATTAACGGGAAGAAATTGGTGTCTTGTAGATATTTTGATCTGCAAGAAATGCAAGGCGCAACCAAGTACGGCGCGTCGCTAAATTCCGCATATTTCTAGCATTTTCGCATGTGGAAATGCAAAAATTCGGGAATGTGTTTCGCATTTCCGCATATTTTTACACCCGCAAGAAACGAAACACTTATGGGCACACGGCTTATTATTCAGGTGCGATTAGGTATGTGAAATGTGATTTATTTACAGGTCCACCTTTCCCTCTCCTTGGTCACGGTGCTTCTCTCCATCGTCGGATTGATTCGTCAAGTGGGGAGCAGGGCGATTTTAGGGGTCAGTTTGAGCCGCTCAGGGCTGGCGCATCGCATCATGGGTTGGATGTCGGTCGTAATTTCGATCCTGCTCTTCGTCCTGGGGGGAATACGACCAATGAAGAGAGAATTTCGGGCAGTAACAATTATTATGCATGGCGTCATGGGGTTCTTGTTCTACTGGCTGGGTCGTAAGTGAATAGCAAGGTCATCCAAGGTCAGGTCACCAGATTGAAATGTTTTGTGACCTCTGTAGTGGCGTGCATGCTGACGGCGAACGCGATTCCCGGTTCACCCGCGGCCTACCAAGACTTTTCGATCCTTTCTTTCTTTGGACATCTGAATAAGGAGGCAGTCTTCCTCATTGTAACGTTTTGGATCCTCTTCGATATTGCGATGCACGTCGTGATGACGGTATGAGCACAATTCGCAGTAGAGGTTGTCTCCCAACATATGCTGACCGACTTTGAGCAAACTGGTGTCAATTGAGGACTTTTATTAGGACGAAATTTGCGAAAGACACGATCTCTCAATGATTGATTGATTGATTTATTGAGACTAGAGATGTGCAGGGCAGGCATTTTTCATTGCCCGCCCTACCCTACACCCTACTTGGCCCAGCCCTGCCCTACCCTACCCTATTGGGTAGGGTAAAATCGAAAACCGGGCCTGCCCTACCCTGGAAAAATAAAGCCCGCCCTAGCCCTACCCTAGATTTTCTTCACCAATAAAAGCCCTACCCTACCCTATAGGGCTTCGGGCCCGGGCCATATCCGTAATTGTTTATGTTAATTGTTTAATTGAACTAATAATATTAATATATTATACAATGAGTCCAATATTTAAGATTAGGAAAAATTAATAATGATATTCAAGCTCCAAAAACGATCTAGTAATGTTATATAAGTTAATTTCGATACGGTTCCACCGGATCGTCTTGTTATGGCTCGTGCTTCTGTTGTCGAACATAATATCTGTAGAATGTAACGCAGTCTTTTTGGCAACTTTTCGCAGAATAATATATATTACTTGTGAAACAAGTGAATTGATACAGTAGAAAGATGACAAGATTTTAATTCAAGTCCCGTGTCTCATTTCTCATGTCCTACGCGATGACTGATTTCGTTACAGTAAAACGGAAAAGCCCTACCCTGCCCTACAGCATATTTATGTGCACATAAAAAAGCCCGGTCGGCCCTATACCCTACCTCAAAAAGCCCTACCCTACCCTACCCTAAAAAACTATGGGTAATAAAAGCCCGCCCGCCCAAAGCCCTATAGGGTACGGCAGGGTAGGGTTTTCTTAGGGTATACCCTGCCCTATGCACATCTCTAATTGAGACTAATCTTCCCTCGGGCGATCTCCCAATGAGCACGTTTGGCGGAGATATTTGCAACCCAAGGCGCTGTAAAATTAACAAATCTTTCAAAATTTACTCCACGTCTTGGGATGCAAATATCTCTGCCAAACGTGCCCATTGGGAAATCGTGTCGTTTTCAAATTTCATACATATTAACCTTGTCATCAATTGACACTGGTTTGATCAAAATTGGAGAGCATACGCTGGGAGACCTCCATTGTCAATCAAATGAGATGATGTCATTAATTGTTTCGTCATATTCTCTAAATTTCAGCTCTTGCAATGTCGCAGTGACAAAGAAATGAAGCTGACGCAACGTCGTCTCATCCTCTTTTCGCCCATTCCCGTTTTATACGAAAAGGAACGATTCGACGCGCCCGTGAGAGAAATAAATATATAAAAATTTAGCATTTTAAAATTTAATCTGAATCAAAATTACGGCAACTTGAATGGCAGGGTCGTTTCCCCCGGATTTACATGCTGACGGCGTACATCGCTGTGGCACTGACGTGCACCGTCACGATCTGCACTTTCATGCTGAAGTATTCCCCACGGAAGAAGGGGCTCGGATTCATGTCCTGCACACACAGCGGGCCTGCTAACGATATCCGCGAGGCGTACACGTGTTAACTCATCTTATCGCCCAAAAATTACTTCGAAGTCAAACTGACTCCACGAAATGTGTCGAAAATGAAAAAAAAACACGCTCCGAACTCTTATAAAATTTAGGCTTCGATTGAATAGTCGATATCAGTGAACAATTTACATAAGTGCTCAAAACTAAAAATACTTCTCTATCCTGTATTTCTTGTAAGAAAAATATAGCAAAACTTACTAAACAATAATGATTCTACCGTCCGTCATCACGAGGCGACAATTTTTTGTTCAATCAAAATCCGACTACCAAAAAATTCAGAGCATATTCATATTCATAAAGAAAATCCGCAAAAATTTTTATTTAATTTTTTTTGCATACATTTAGTAAATATCTGTTCCCTTTTTTCCTCAAATACAAATACACATATTTCCACAAGTTTTCGTAAATATATATCCGCCCTCTGATAATATGTAGTATGCATAAAAGCTCTCAACTTTCATGCATGCGTTTTTTCTGCGGTTTTACTTTGTGTACATAAATACCCGTCTGGGCCGAGCCAATATTTATATAAGTTCCCCTCGTCAGCTGGACTGGAGCTGGAGAGCACGCCTTTATTTTTTACAATAATTTTTGTTTAATTCCTCTCAAAATTAAACCGTAAACTTAATTAATTCTTCGTAGTTAGTGTCATAAATTGCACACTAGACAACTTCCACGTACAAGTAGTTACAACCGTAGTTAGTTAAGTTAATTGTTTGAAAATAATAAAATCTTCCACAAAAATATGGGACAATTCCTGGATTGGTTTTGGAATCCAGAATTCTGGCTTCCGCCTGGCATGAAGTGGACGGATTTGCGATCCACTGACGAAATCAGTTATCCAGACCCGGCCGACGTGTATTACACCGTTCTCTATGCACTTGTTCTTATCGCGATTCGATATCTGGTGGAGAGGTCAGTATTTAAGCTGTTTATCTAAAGTATTTATTTATTGGACAGAAAAATAATGGTGGAGGTTATACATAATTTGACTGGACAGGACAAGATTTTGCTGTTGTGGACAATGTCCCCCCTGCTTATCTGCATACTCATACATATAAATAAAGATTCTCGTGGAAATCTTGCAGACTGATTTTTAATCCGTTGGGCCAATCATTCGGATTAAAAGCGCACTCCGCCCTGTCAGCGCCGGAGGATAATCCAATACTTGAAACGGCTTACAAGACGAAGGGGAGAGGACAGTTGTCGCACCAGGACATTGAAGCGTTGGCGAAAAGAACGGATTTGAAAGTTAGACAGATCGAGAGATGGTTTCGAAAAAGGAGTAGATTGGATAGGGCTTCAAATTTTACGAAATTTAGTGAAAGCGGGTATGAATTTTATCGGTTAAATAGAATTTTTAATTAGTTTAGTTAATTTTATTAACAAAGATTTAATTAATTCCAGGTGGCGATGTACTTGTTACGTCTTTTCGGTTCTAGTCGGATTATGCACATTATGGGAAAAACCGTATTTCTGGGATTTTTCAAAGTGTTGGTACAATTTTCCGCATCACGTATGTAATTTTAATATTTATTTGCTAAATGATAAAACGTGTAGGACTCGATGACTTACATATCACTAAAATCGTCAAAATCAACAGGTTTTTCATTATTTTTCGGTTCCACGAATTTATTTAAAATTCTGGACGACAAATTTGTAGCCAGTAAATTGATTAATAGAATGGCCTTAGAATCAAGGTGACATTTTTTAAGCCAGTTTCGATAAGTCTCAATTTTTCTGAAGGCTTCTTAAACTCGAGATCTCCTGCAAAAAGTAAAAATCCTCCTGTAAAAATCTGGAGTGTAATTTTTTTTAATTGGCAACCACCTGCTGTATAAATTTGTTGTCCAGAATTTTAAATAAATTCCCAGAGCGGAGAAATGATTAAAAATTTACTGGTTTGTACGATTTTGACGTGAGTACTACTAATTTAGTAGTACTAAAAGTATGTATGCACATGTGTGATACGAGTTTAAGAATATCTGTACCTTGCTTATTTGTACATAATAATTGATTGTTTTTCTCAGAGCATTCCCTTCGACCTTAAGGCCTACTATTTGTTCGAGTTCAGTATGTACTGGAGTCTCCTCATCACGATATCGATGGACGTTAAGAGAAAAGATTTCTGGGAAATGTTCGCTCATCACGTGGTCACCTTAACGCTCATGGCACTTGGCTGGTTTGTCAACTTGACTCGAATGGCGTGCATCATCCTCCTGCTGCACGACACGTCCGACATATTTTTAGAGGTTCGATTTTTATTCCGATATTTCTGCATCGGTTTAGAAGTATTATAATACAGATTTTACGATCAATTAATTCTAGGCCGCCAAAATGGGAACCTACGTCAAAAAGAAGACATTTGCAGACGTCACGTTTTCACTTTTTGCCATCGTCTGGATTATCACGAGACTTTGGATTTTTCCATTTTACATTGCCCACAGGTATGTGGATACATATTTGACATTTAACGTAGAACTCGATGATTTATCACCAAAATCAACACATTTCTACTCATTTCTCGCCTCTGGGAATTTATTTTAAAATTCTGAATTTTGAAATAAATTCCCAGAGCCGAGAAATGATAAAAAATGTTCTGATTTTCACGGTTTTGGTGATGAGTCATCAAGTCCTATATTGAAAAGTTGAAATTTATATGAGATTCGTCTTCCCTAGTTCAATGATTGAAGCACCCAAAATTATTCCAATGTTTCCTGCCTACTACGTATTCAACGGGATGGTTGCCTTCCTCATCGGTCTGCACGTGTTCTGGACCTACTTCATTTTCAAAGTCATTCGAAAGGCTCTCGCTTCCGGCGAGGTTTGCATACATATTTCTGATTTCCGCCCTAATTCCTTGCGGATAAGTAATAATAATGCTAATGTGATTAAACTTTATTGAAAATAGGTGACGGATACGAGAAGTTCGAGTGAATCGTCCATGGCCGAGAGCGAGGAAGACGGATAGATAGATTTATGGGGTTGTGGAATTATCCATATCTTGAAGATCTTTTTACTCATCTTTTGCATAATATTAGTAGTATAAAAGTCTTATCATTCTGTATTACACACATTTGCCAGCCATATATTATACAAATATTATCACTTATCTTTAATTATGTTGTTTAAACACAATGCATAATTCAATTGTGTTGTTGATACACAATAAATACTTTTCACATCAGAATTTAAGCTCACAAACTCAAATATTACAATACTTACAAGTCAGGTGCAGATTAATTGCAGCCTTCCGTCATGCAGTTTAACGTGAATCATTTACACAATTAATGATTATATTGTTTAGCAAGTTGTAGTAAGGGTGATGACGAATCCTTAATGTCATTTACACAATTAATAATTATATTGTTTAACAGGCTGTATAGTAAGGGTGATGACTGATGACGAATCCTTAATGCAGATAAATAATCACGTGAAAGTGAAATGGTCAGCTTTTCCAATAAGTTATGTATTGAACCAATATTTGTACAGATACAGATATCTCGATGCACAGATATTTTTGCTCAGACGTCGACGCCGACCAATTTTGCGGTGCCAATTTTGATGAATTTTCGGCGGCGTCCCACCATTGAAGGCTTAGGAAATTAGATTTATCGATGCGTAAAATGAAACCAGCGGCGTCAACCTCTGGCCCGCCAAACTTGGCGAAATTTTTGCCAAGCTCGCTAAAATTTGGTTATTTACTCGCTAATATCAACGTCAACGTATTTTCCGTCACTCTGCTCACATACCGTAAAAAATACCTCATCTCGACCCCATTCCGGATCGAATCCAGAGAAACCAACAACTCCAACTTGACCGTATTTGGCAACAGAGCTCCCACAACCTTCCTCTTGTACCGATTCCTTCCACTGTCCCGTGTCATCCTCGCGATAAAAAGTTTCGCCCCACGCGCTATCCGCGCAATCAAACAAATCGCGTAAAACTCAATGAACACACAAAAGCCCAAAATTACCACGCAAACCGCGACAAGAAACAGATCCGGCCTCTTTTTCCGCATAAACTCAACAATTAAATAAAACAGCGCTAGGGTCGAGAATAGCACCGCGTGCGCATGGTGGAGGCACGGATTTAAAAAATCCCGCGTCAGCGCGGCCTGAATGACGGTCATTATTCGAAGACTATTATACATTCGAAGCGCCGTTTCGAACGAGATTCCCGCGCGCAATTGAGAAACGCGGAGGCGCCCGTAAAACGGGATGAGGAAAAGGGTCCACACGTACAAGCAGGAGATTGAATAGCCCACAATTAGGATGCAAAGGCCAATCGTGGATATCCCGAGATTTCCCGCGAACCACGTGAACGTTCCGGACATGAGTAAAATCATCCAGGAGAAGAGGCGTCCGTACGGTTCAAAGTTATAAATGGCTCGAAGTAAGGTGTAGAAGGGGGCGTTGAAGGAAAATACGAGGGGCAGAAGTAGCAAGGGGATGATGTAGTCGAGACAGTAGTAGAAGAGCTTTGGATAGAAGGACATCGTCGCAATGGCGCGGTCGGTGTCGTCCCCACGGTCGAAATTCATCTCTGGGATTAGTCCTGAAATAAGGAATAATGACTCGTCGCCAAAATGGTCAAAATCGGTACATTTCTAATGAAATTTCCGCTCCAGAGATTTATTTTAAAATTCTGGAAGACTCTAAACCCATCAAACTCAGCACATTTTTAATCATTTACCGGCTCTGGGAATTTATGCAAAAATTTTTAGAGCAGGTTGTTGCCAATTGTTTAAAAATTTACACTCCAGATTTTGACACTTTTTGAAGGGGTTTAAGAAGCCTTCAGAAAAACTCGCTCAAAAAACTCACGCCATTCCATCAATCAACTCACTGCCTACAAATTGGTCGTCCAGAATTTTAAAATAAATTCCCAAAGGCGAGAAATGATTCAAAATCTGATGATTTTGATAAATGAGACTAACCCGTTAAACGTTTCTCCATGCGCATCAACCCCTCATAACATTTGATGAACCGCTTGGGTCCCCTCCGGCGTCCCAGAATTCTACAATATTGGAGGAATGTCACCACTAAAAATGTCGCAATGTACGTCGTGCACACCGTGATCTTAGTTTCTACAGCTGGTTGGGTCTTGTACAGCTGATAACTTCTAATCGCTAGAGCGGGAAGCACGACAATTGTGCAGTACAAGCAAGCCAGCTGAAAAAGTCCGTAATGATAACCCGACTTTAACGCAATGACCCGCTTATTTTTTGAATCCCACTGAAAACAATATGCAGTATAAAGGGAGGCGCGTTGCGTCGCGGTAACGCCGCGCCGAATTAGGTAGAGCGCGACGTCGTCCAGCATCGTTTCAGGACCTTCAGTTTTCTTGGTATTTAATAAATCCGAGTCTTAAACGAAGCATTTTTCGACCTTCGCAAGTCAAATATTCAATATCTATTTACGTATATACTTAGCTTGATTTAATCAATTATGAACTCGTGGAAATAAATGGTCCAGTGGCCGCGGAAGCGTGGGCGTGGACAGAGGGACAACGTCCCCACGGTATTCGATGTCCCCATCATTTGCCCATGTTATATAAACCCCTGCCTCCCCCTATCCTACAATGTTAACGTCCCCAGATGTCCCCACGGCTTCCGCGGCCACTGTTTGTATGTAAATTCCGACGTGTATGGCTTACCTGAAAGGATATGTATGTATAGGTAAAAAAAGGTTCCGTTCAAAAAAAGTTTGGATATCGATCTCATTATGAGAGATCGATAATATCATGAGATGCTCAAATCATTTAAATAAGTATATAAAGTTTGATATATATTTAAAGCTACTGACAAGGGAACCTGCCCACGTGCAGTTCGAACTTCGAAACGATGTCCCCACCAAAATTAGCACAAAATAAAACTTATTAGGAAGCAACTTCTATTTCAAAATCATGCTTCGTCATGTCAAAAAAATTTCAAAAAGTGAATGAAATTTGACCCTCTATCGCAGATAATACCAGCACCTGTAAAGGTTCCCTTGTCAGTATTCATAAATGGAGAGCAATTTATTATTCATCACATTTCTAAAATTTATTCTTTCCGGTGACACGGCAGATTTAATAAATTCGTTTGAAAGAAAAGTACGTACCTAACTATTAAAATATAATATTCTTAACGACCATGTCTAAAATTTTATAAATTGTTTTAAATTATCCCATCGAAATGTTTCTACAAAATGGTAGTTATATTTTATGCGAGATTCCGCATCATATTCAATTTACATACAGCCCTGCGTCCTTAAAATTAGTAGATATGTAGGTCCCATTGTGACCAGAAGTTGTCAGCCAATTGTTCTCAGAACGTGGAATTTTGAAGGGAATACCACCGAGGTCCAATTAAGGGTGTAAAAAATCAAAATTTTGCAAACAATTTGTGCCAACAAGTATGGAATTTGCACAACAATTTGGTCACTTGTACCGCATTTTGTACTCATTTTGCACACCTTCCACTAAACGTGACAACGTTGTATCGTCCCCCATAAATTCCTCGACCCCATGTAAAAGTCCAATCTCGTCATCAACCTTTCCTCCAAAACATCTTGGTAGCGAATCTGGAGCCGGAAGCATGTCATGTAGCGGCTTTAAATTCTTATGGACGACATGAATCTATAAGTCAGGTAAAGATATATTTATTTATTTATGTACATTCAAGTTGATTCATGAACAAAATCGTCAAATTAGCACATTTTCACTTTCATTTCTCCGCTCTGGGAATTTATTTGGAAATTCTGGACGTAAAACAAATTATTCTACGTCAAGAATTTCCAGATTTTTATAGTCTTTGAAGGATGAGATCTCAAGTTTAAGTAGGCTTCAGAAAAATTAAGACTCATCGGCTTACAAAACCTACACCCATTCCATTAATCAACTCAATTGACTCAATCAACTTAATTTTTAATCAATTCTAACTGACTGACAATGGAAACTTTTTTCAAGCTACTCCTGGATTTTTTAACGAGTTATATCAAAAAATCAAGCAAAAAATTAGGAATTACATGACACTCATCTTTCCGTTGAATGGCCCCTGTGGGGCCGTTCATAAATTACATAACGTGAGATGGGGGGGGGTCAAAGGGTCTAATGATATCGTGCATATGTTACACATGGTAAAGGCGGGGTCTAGAAAATATCGCAATTTTTGCGTTATTTAATTTATGGACGGCCCCTTTTCAAGAAAAATATTGGGGGGCAAAGTTCGCAAATTTTCTCCTGCGTTGCCCCCAATATTTTTCTTGAAAGGGGCCATTCCACGGAAAGATAAGTGTCATGTGATTCCTAATTTCTGGCTCGATTTTTTGCCATAACTCGCTACACAATCCCAGTATAACTTGAAAAAAGGTTCCAATGTGCGTACAAATTTGTCCCCCAGAATTTTAAAATACATTCCCAGAGCTGACAAATTATTGAAAATGTGTCCATTCTGACGTTGAGTCATCCAGGCCCTCAAAAAAACTAATTATTAACTTTGTTAACTCACCAATTTCCTATTCTTCGCTCGTAACACGTATTTGAAAATGTTAAACAATTGTTCCACCACTTTTGGGCTGTTTATAATTACAGAACCAACAAATTTAATTGGCAACGTGTTTAGCAAGCAGTTCATCTTTTTAACCGTGTCAAACGATAAGACTTTAACGTGATTAAAATTAAATCCATCCGCATCTATGATAAGCACCCCGCCGTTCCTCTGTATCGCTGCGGAATCCTTGATGACCGTATAAGCGTAGAGAACTCCAACGGCAATTAATTCATCGAGCGAGACTTCGTTGGGATTCCAACGATCTGTGCGTAAAAAAGAGTTGCGAATAAATGAGGTGCACTTTTTAGGGTGCAATAAAGTAGTCTCTTGCAGCTATTTTACCCTGCAAGAAACTCAAAGCGCAAGAAACGACGCCCCGCCGCTGCACTTCATAAGGCGCGCTGTAAAATAAACACTTTGTTGCGGCTCTTTCAGCAAGAAATGCGAGATGCAAAAAACTGGACGAAATATACGCCATCTAGCCACGCGCCGTGTGAAGGAATAGCGTCAGGGCATCGTTTCTGTGTCATGCATTTCTTGCAGGTTAAAATATGTAGTCGCAAGAAACTACTTTCTTGCAGGAAATAACACATTGATTTCAAATAATTCTGAAAATGGTCTCGTCACTTATTCATACATAACTCCGTGGGTTCGATTGATTTCTTCTTTATTTCCGGAAAAGGGGAGGAAAAGAAAATCCCGCAAAATTCCCACAGCCGTTAGAAACGGAGCATCAAAATATTTAAAAAATTCCTGCAAATGTTCAACATTTCCGAAAAATGCTCGAAAATACTAGGAAACTTTCAAAATCTCGAGAAAATCCAAAGAGACAGAAAACTTTCCCCCGGTTTCAATTGCACGTGCTTGCACCATAAATAAAACCCACGCATAACTACTTATGGATAAATATGTAAATTTAAAGTTCTTTAGTGCAAATTGATGAATAATAAATGTGCCTTACTAATCCTAAGGACAAGCATTCCTGGAGACTTGTTACACCCCTCGTTCCCACCGGTGTTAATAATCTGAAAAATGTTCTTGTCCAAAACTGGCTGAAGTTTAGAATAGTTTATCAAGGCAAAAAGGTCAGGATACGACATGGTGCAACTGTGTAGGAGGCGTTTCATCTACATATTAGTTAAACGACACCGTGTTAAGGGTTCATTGCATGTAGGTTTTAAATTTGAATTTGTGTCTCAACTTTCCCTTCTTCCATGTATTTAAATGGTGATTGTGCAACGTGTTCATCTCCTTGTGTTTTTACAAAATAAAGATTTTAATGCATCTAATTATCGATAATTTTCACCTTTACGGAGTTAGGAGGTTAGAATTTTGCTTGCTTTCTTCCATGAGAAAATATTTAATTTCTTATTTTGTATCTATTTATTTATATTTTCTTATGAAAGAAATAAATCAAAATTCTAAGCTCCTAATTTTCAAATCTACAAATAATAATTATCGATTTTTGGATGCATACAAAATGTTGACTTTTTAAAAGCCGCACGGAAATGTTTCAAAACCACAATTTGAATACATGGAAGAAGGGAAAGTAGAGACACATAAATTCAAACTCAAAACCCGTATACAAGAGAACGTTAAATTGCAAAGAACAAAAATTCCTAATACCACGCGAATCACTTTATGAGCATCGCATCCAAACGAGCGAATCGCTATCAGTGCGAGCTTATTTGTCCAAAATTTTCTCATGGGCTGCAAATCCTTGTTATCTATACATTTTAATTTCAAAATACGTAAATACTTGAATTTTGAACAATGACATATTTATATGTAAATTTTTCTTAACGAATGTAGGACTCTGACACGATGAATCGTTAAAATCAGCGCATTTTTAATCATTTCTCACCTCTGGAAATTTATCTATTTTAAAATTATGGACGAAAAATTTATAGAGCAGGTCGTTGCAAATTTTATAAAAATATACACTCCAGATTTTGACACTTTTTAAAAGAGCAGATCTCAAGGTTAAGAAGCCTTCAGAAAAATTGGGACTCGTCGAAAGTAGATTAAAAAACTCACCGCCATTCCATCAATTAACTCTGAATTTGCCGTACAGAATTTTAAAATAAATTCCCAGAGCGAACAAGAAATAATTTGAAATGTGCTGATTTTGACGATTAGCTATGTACATTAATTAACACTAACGATATAAAATAACCATTTAAGTACTTGTTGCACGCTTACCGTTAATCAATTTGTACGTGAGACGTAAGCATGTTTTTTCTTTTTCATCCTCAGCACAAAATAGTTCTCCGATTTCTTCACAAATTTCCATTTTGCTCGCGAAGGAAGGAGGAAACTCTTTCTAAATACTTTTGGCATGCAGAGTCTGCATGTATTACATACTGACTGACTTGATAACCACTAACTTAACTACGTTATGAAGAGTTCAAGTGACAAGTGTCCAAATTTAGCTACGGTAGATAAGTGCATATCTCATCAAGAAGTCAAGTGGGAAATCAGATACATTGACATAAGTGACATTGCACCGTATTGACATTTTAATGCACCTAAGTATGTGAGTATTTAGATTATTGCATAATTATCTCAGTACATGATTGATGATCATTAAGTAGTTGTAGCTACTTTATGCCAAGACCTTGTCCGTCCGTTTGTCCGTCAGCAGGTTAACGGATCAAGAAAATCGAGAACGATTTGCGGCATCATACATCTGACCCCAGGGGAGGATCCTATCAACTTTTGTGGTCAATTGAACCACTCCCCCCCCACCTCGAGGTCTGGGGGTGTGGTCACATAATTTTTTGGGAATTACTGGTTTCACCCTATTGCTACAGTTCGTTTGCTACGGTTTATTTACTAAGATTGCACATGTTTTTTGATGCTAACCTTCTGTCCATTTTTGCATGTATGTAAGCTTTGTATATTGTGCAAATTTCTCAATATATGTGTTAAGCAACTCTGTAGTAATTAATTATATGTACATATAGCCAGACAGACATGTGTGTTCCATGTTTAAGCTTATGGAGCCTTGAATGAATGCATTATCGGTACAGCAGATAATCTGCACCAACGGACTACATCAAGCAGGGTTACGTTGTCCACTTCGATAATACAAATAGGTATGTATGAAGGCGAAACATGATGTATGTATGTATGCAAACGGGCAGTTATTACCGATGGGTAATAAATTGTCACCGAGACTTTTTGAACATTTAGACGGGTATGCGGCTGTGTATTATGAAAACCGATGCAACTTGTGTACGTATATATTTCCACCTCCAGGATTACTCTAATTATCTTTAAATTTATTTTAAGTTTTTCACAATTTCTTGATTTTTTAAAATTAAGTGTAAGACTTGCTCCTTTAGGTTAGGGGATGTTCGACTCCTTTGCAGTCAGCTTTTCTGATCGGGAATGTGTTTCCAATGATAATATGAAGTAGATTTTTTAAATAAAAATTTCGGAGATTAAATTTTATTAAATTTCCAAACCTTAATTTATTGCTGAATAAGTTTTTGCAAAACTACACAAATCATTGGTACTTAAGGTGACATTATATGCGGGTTTCGAATTTGTGTCTCAACTTTCCCTTCTTCTACAGATGTATTCAAATGACGATTTTGAAACCTGTTCATCACCGTGGGATTTTTACAAAAGTAAGATTTGATTTCGTTCAAAAATCGATAATTCTTAGGTTCTCAAAATTTGGAGATTAGAATTTAGATTTTTTTTTCTCCGATGAAAAAATAATATTTAATTTTTACTTATTATTTGCTATGCTTATCTTTTTAAGTTGAGGAGGCACCCGATCGGCGATCCAAAACCCGCAACTATTAAGGAGGAATTAATTATTATCCTCTATTCCCATTCTGGACAGCTTGCACAACGGCAATAATGACGCGAACAATGGTTCTCCAGTTTCTCCTTAACCAACGCCAGAAACCTCGTCTTTGCCTTCCGGAAACCATTCCAGTACTTTCCGCCGTCCCATTTCCCTCGCCCAGGCTGGCGTCGAGCCTATATGCTGCGTCAATCACGTCCCCCATACTTCCCGCCTTCCCCCGCGTGACCACGGTCCAGGCTTCGTTCGCCTTTTCGTCAACGGAAAGTTGTTCTTGCAGGTCGGCGTAGATTTGTGCGGTTTCCTTGGCTTGGGTTCTATTCCGACGGGAAAGGTCCTTTATATACAGAGGTATCCTGGCTTCGATATTGCCCTCCTGGAATACTGTGAGCGCCACCTTTTCGCCATGTTTTGAGGCGAAATTGCGAGTAAAGTCCCCCAAAGAATCGGAAGACTCAGGGGAGGAAGGTGGTGGTGGGGGTGGTGGTAGGCGTCTTCGTTCTTTTTCACCGTCCTATAAATAAAAAAAAGTTTAGAAAATTTGAAATTTGAAGAACTAGGATTTATTCAAAATTGCGTAGAAGAAAAGACACTAGAAGAAAAGTCTCTGGAATCCATCGTACCTGAATTCATCAATTTCATGAGTTTTGAGATAAATGCAAATTTTAATAGTTTAATGCAAAGTTAATTTTTGGTACTATAAAGTTTGAACCTTTAAGAAATTAGTTTACGTATTTGAGAGGAAATTTGTTGTAATAAAAAACGGGGAATAAGTAAACTGTTTTAAAGTTAAGGTTTTGTAGTGCAGGCAGGTTTTTCTATGAAAATTTGCATTTATCTCAAAAATTCATGAAATTGAGGTCATTATATCATTTCAAAGTTATTGAATAGGGGTAGAGTGAGATTAATAATTTATGACGGAGTAATTCCACCTTGATCCTTACTTCCTGTCCAAATACAACGGTGATAGAGAGGTGGAGCAGAATAATGCCTAAGACGAGCGTTCCCACACGAACCATGGTTAATCTTGTTTACAGCTTTTCGGAATTTTATGCAATCAAATCCTAGTTCATTTAGTGTGAAATTGGAGAAGGGTTTATCCAAATTTTGCAAGAACACCTCTTCTTTTATCTGCATTCACATTGACGTAACTGACTGAATTTCGTACAAGTTGATTTTTTAATTGACAGCCCCAATTTATTTACTGGGTGTTTTTCCTCATTCATTTGCCTTTCTCCGGTCCGCCTGTAGAAATAAACTACATAAATAAATTGCACTTTTCTGAGAATTTGATTCGGTAAATTCCGTCTTATTTTCCATGTTGTATAGTACGTGACGTTACTAGAAATTAAAAAAATTAATTCAGATCATGGCACGAGGTTAATGGAGACGACTTAAGTTGTTTGCTACTTATGAATTATGCAGATATGTAGATTTCGCATGCAATACAGATCACAATATTGACATCCAATTGTTCTTTAAAACGCCAAAAACGACGACAACTACCTGAACAACAACTTCACTAACGGAATTTCGTATCTGCATGTTTCAAATTTTCTGACAGTGACAGACATCTTATTATTGCGGGCTTCACTTATTGGAAATTTGGTATATGTATGTAGCCACGGAGTACAAATTGATTTCTCTGGCATTAAAATTATCTATACCGGTTCCGTAAAAATTTGCTACCGAACTGGTAAAACTTTATTACTGAGGAGTAGAAGGTCACTACTTGTCGGGCCCCGATTTCGATCTCCTTTGGATATGTTGTAGTACTACATGAGTCTAGAAAAAGTGAAGGAGGGTTAGACTCCATGAGCCCATTTACGCCCGCCACACCCCCTCAAAGGCGCCCAAACCCCCAGAGTTGCCGCACTAAAATCCTCGCCAAAAATCGAGTTTTGGTCAGATTTTCAAGAAATTTACATTTTTGTGATCCCAGATAGTTGCTCTATCATATCCAATAGCAGACTCAACTTTTTTGAAATTTTCAATATTTTCGAAGATTTTCTGACCAAGGGTATGTATTGAAAAAATTCGAAATTTCAAAAAAGTTGAGTTTGCTATTGGATATGATAGAGCAACTATCTGGGATCACAAAAATGTAAATTTCTTGAAAATCTGACCAAAACTCGATTTTTGGCGAGGATTTTAGTGCGGCAACTCTGGGGGTTTGGGCGCCTTTGAGGGGGTGTGGCGGGCGTAAATGGGCTCATGGAGTCTAACCCTCCTTCACTTTTTCTAGACTCATGTAGTACTACAACGTATCCAAAGGAGATCGAAATCGGGGCCCGACAAGTAGTGACCTTCTACTCCTGAGCTAATATATGCATTACTTCAAGGTGTTACTTCACATGCATGAATACCGTTTGGTACTTCTAAGAATGGGTGGGTAATAAATTAAATTCATTTATTATTATATCTGCTTTCCTCAAAGTGGTATATACATTATCAGGATTTGCATAGTCCTCCCTCACCAATCAGTGGCCGCGGAAGCTGTGGGGGCATTAATATTGTAGGACAGGGGAGGGCAGGGTTTATATAACATGGACAGATGATTCGGACATCGAATAACGTGGGGACATTGTTCTGTCCGCACCCTTCCGCGGCCACTGCACTGTTTCCATGCGAAAAACGCGATAAAATATCTTCAGCTGTATCCATAGTCCATGATTTGTTCATGATTTCGTCATGATTTGCTGTTGCCGTGCCGCGTTCATAATTTTGATCACATCCATACTCACACGATCAGTTATATATGGATAGATAGCTCAGCTCGCGGTGGTGGCTCTGAAATGTACGAATAACACATTTTGAGCACGCTTAAATTCGTTTTATCCCATTTCGGGGTCGTGGGTTCCAATACTAGTCGGGGCAATTGCTTTTTTCGCATTTTTGTTTACTGGCTTAGACAGTATTTGGGACAGAGGTTTCAAAAATGACCACTATTTTGACCAATGATTAACTGCTTCAAATTTGCTCATGTTTAATGCATATTAAGCATATATGCAAATTCATATGTACCTGTATGTATAAATACTTAAACTCATAAATTTTTTGGGGGGTAATGTAAGATTTCTAGCTTTTAACGAATGTTGAATGTCGATCATTTTGTTAGCTTCTCACAGTGCTAGGGAGCCATCCTAACTAGCAATCCTAGAATCTTAGCTAGCCATCCTAGGTAGCAATCCTAGCTAGCCATCCTAGCTAGCCATCCTAGCTAGCCATCCTAGCTAGCAATCCTAGCTAGCCATCCTAGCTAGCCATCCTAGGTAGCAATCCTAGGTAGCAATCCTAGCTAGCCATCCTAGCTAGCCATCCTAGCTAGCCATCCTAGCTAGCAATCCTAGCTAGCCATCCTAGCTAGCCATCCTATGTAGCAATCCTAGCTAGCAATCCTACCTAGCCATCCTAAATATCTTTACTAGCTAGCAATCCTACCTAGCTACCACAATATGGAACATTATAACTTTACCCTAATAATTAATAATTAGTATTAATTTGTGCTCCAAAAATTTACAGCCTTACATAAAAACATTTATATTCGCTATTCTACAAGAAAAACAACAAATCTTACAATACCCCAAAAATTTCCCGCCTGGGGGAAGTAAGACAAGGTCTTAAAATTCTCTAAAACGTCCAAAAATAGAATACAAATTTTAACCTCTGACCTTTTTTATGACCTTAATATACGTTTGCCGGCCTTAATAAGTTATTTTATATATTCCTGACCAGTATGAAGAACCCTTCATTTTGGTGTATCACATTTCCCTATCGGAGAGGAGTCCCTGTGATTGTTTTATACCTTGAATTTTATAAACTATTTTTATTGAGAACAAAATTGAAATCGGTTGATTAATTTGACTATATATCGTAATTTTGAATAAATTATACCCCATACAATGAAAGATTTTCATTCAGATCATTTGTTGTATTATTATGCACAGTTTTCTGTGTGGACGTGCTCTGGTGCTAAGTGTTGGAAAGGCCCGTGCACCGCACCAAGTTGAGGCGAGTTGAGCTATCTATCTAACAAAGCTACATTTCTTATCGTGTGATCCATACTCTATCATGATATCATCAACATTCGAAAAATAACTCATCATTATTTCACCAGCTTATTTTCCTCTTACATTTTTAATCGCTTTCATACGTAAAAATGTCTGGAGTCAATCGAGATCTCCTTCTCAAAATTATACTCCTCCGTCGGATACGTCGTCGACTGAAACGCCAACCCCGCACGGAATATATAAGGAGCATATTTGAAAACCGTGCAGTCCAGGGGGAAAGCCACCTGGCTAATGAGTTGAGGAGCGATCCGGAGTACCGCCGGCGGTACTTCCGGTAAGAAATAAATTTTGTAAATAAGTTATGAGTTATTTTAGTAATCATTATTATTTTGTAAATTTATTTATGCAGCATGAACGTTGAGAGCTACGACGAAATTTATAACCACATTGAATCCGGAATTAAAAGTTGTAATAACCATCGTCGCCCCATTACCGCTCATGAGAAGCTTGCCATTACTCTCAGGTGACCATCTAATTAAAGCATGTAAATAAAAATTCGCTCATATTCATGATATTTATCATTTGCAGATATTTGGGAACTGGAAGTTCACAGATAGCTCTATCCTTTGCTTAAATCGTATATCGCCCCAAGCAATTTCTGTTATTCTGAGGGACGTCATGACTGAAATTTGTGACAAGCTAGGCCCTATCTATTTAAAGAAGCCAACAATGGAAGATTGGATTAAGAACGAGTCCGGATTCAACGCCAAGTGGAATTATCCCAACGCATGTGGGGCAATGGATGGGAAACATGTGCGAATAAGAGCACCCGCGTTTTCCGGTTCGAATAATTATAACTACAAGAACTTTTATTCAATTGTCTTGCTCGCCATTGTTGGACCTGACTACCAATTTACTGCTGTTGACATTGGGTCGAGTGGAAGCCAATCGGACGGTGGTGTCTTTGCCAGATCACCTTTAGGAGCGTCGTTCGAGAGCGGAACGCTTGGGCTTCCCCCTCCTAAAGCGGTTGGCGAAAAACTCCTGCCCCATGTAATCCTAAGTGATGATGCTTTCTCCCTCAAACCGAATCTCATGAAACCCTACCCTGGAAAATTTCTACCAGCAAATCAAAGAATTTTTAATTATCGCATGAGCAGAGCAAGGATGACCGTGGAAAACAGTTTTGGCATCCTTTCGGCAAGATGGAGAATATTTCATGTCCCTATCCAGGCTGATATCGAATTAGTCAAACTAATTGTGCGGGCCGCAGTTATTCTCCACAATTTCCTGATATCGAAAAATGAGATGATGGAGATTGCTGCCGATGGACCACATAATGAAAATCAGGCTTTTCAAGATTTATCGCAACAAGAGATTAGTGGTGGAATTTTATCAGGTTCACAAGTTCGAGACGAATTTTGTAATTTTTTTAATGGGGAAGGCTCAGTTAGTTGGCAAAATATGAGCATAATTTAACACAATATTTGATTTTATTGTAATTATACGTATTATTTTGAGGTTGATGTATTTTCGCCATAATTGTCGGTATTTTAAATAAATGCAGTGGTTCCCTTATTTCCACAAAGCGCATCGGATTTTTAACATGGGGATTTGAAACCAAACGTTAATTATTGTACATATGCTTCCTGTGGTTGTGAAGATTCTGCTGATATGGGTCGCCATCTTCCTCTTCTCCGTGATGTTGTGCATAAAAATATTTAATTTTACGACGGTTTTATAAATAATAGTTAATTTAGGTCTGAATATTTAATTATAATTATAACGGTCACGGTGAAAATAAATAAACTGACCACTTCAGCATCAGTCACGGCAAGAAATTTTTATTTAAAGAGTGGGCTGGTGTCCAGCCCAAACGACAACACAACTTCGAATAAAACATTACTCAGCCAGCAAAGATTTCATTTCGGCGTCATGCACGATACCGTTTATTGAGTGCTGCACTTCCAAAAATGACTTCCTATCTGATTCCCCCAACGTCCTCAATTTTTGGGATAACGTTTTGCAAAAGGTGTCGTATTCGTCTTCTTTTTTCTCGAGAAGACCCAGAAGAAGTTCGGTGTCGAAAGCGTCTAGCTTACGCTAAGAATTGCATAATAATAGTATTAAACATTATGTAAATTTATTATATTACTAGTCTCTTAAGCCCGCAATGCGGGCTCTAAGCAAAACGATTTTAGTTAGTCAGCGATACAAATGTCTGCTGAATAATTGTTACACGTTTACATTCACAGAGAGCAAATGAGCCTGGACTTGATTGGCACGTTGTATAGCACGACGTTTAATAATAGAGTTCGTCACGTTACGATTCTAACTTGTGTGACAACGAAAAACGTTCAGTCACGATTCTAAGGGGTGTGACCACGGAAAACGTTCCGTCACGACTCTAAAGGGTGTGACCACGAAAAACGTTCAGTCGCGACTCTCAAGGGTGTGCCCACGGAAAACGTTCAGTCACGACTCTAAAGGGTGCGACCACGAAAAACGTTCAGTCGCGACTCTAAAGGGTGTGACCACGAAAAACGTTCAGTCACGACTCTCAAGGGTGTGACCACAAAAAACGTTCAGTCACGACTCTAAAGGGTGTGACCACGAAAAACGTTCAGTCGCGACTCTAAATGGTATGACAAACGTTCTGTCGCGACTCTAAAGGGTGTTACAACGAAAAACGTTCAGTCGCGACTCTAAAGGGTGTGACCACGAAAAACGTTCAGTCGCGACTCTCAAGTGTGTGACCACGAAAAACGTTCAGTCACGACTCTAAAGGGTATGACCACGAAAAACGTTCGGTCACGATTCTAAAGGGTGTCACAAACGTTATGTCGCGACACTAAAGGGTGTGGCAACGAAAAACGTTCTGCGCGACACTAAGGGGTGTGACCACGGAAAACGATCAGTCGCGACTCTATAGGGTGTGACCACGAAAAACGTTCAGTCGCGACTCTAAAGGGTGCATGTGACCATAAAACGTTCGGTCACGACTCTAAATGGTATGACAAACGTTCTGTGAACGTTTAGGCACTAAAAGCAAAAGCCCGCCCTCTAGCGCTGACAAACAGTCAACATCCGATAAGTGGCGCTGGTAGGTAATTAAAATTAGTAAGGCACAGGTTAAGTGTCAACTACACCTTGGGGCACAGAGGTCACATGTCAAGTATAGTGGGTGTGCTCAGATCACAGGTCAAGTGTCAAGTATAGTGGGTGTGCCCAGGTCACAGGTCAAATATCAAGTCTAGTGGGTGTGCCCAGGTCACAGGTCAAACGTCAAGTCTAGTGGGTGTGCCCAGGTCACAGGTCAAATGTCAAGTCTAGTGGGTGTGCCGAGGTCAGAGGTCAAGTGTCAAGTGTAGTGGGTGTGCCCAGGCACAGGTCAAATGTCAAGTCTATTGGGTGTGCCCAGGTCACAGGTCAAATATCAAGTCTAGTGGGTGTGCCCAGGTCACAGATCAAGTGTCAACTTTAGGGCGTGTGCGCATGTCACTTGTCAACTCTTGGAGGTGAGCACGTTGATTTGATCAACTCTCGACAAATCGGTGAGTTTCGTTGTTCTAGTGTTCGTCAACGTTTTGACACTTTAGCGAAAAACGCCCTCTAAAAACGAAAAATGCAACATAGTGCCCAAACTGCCGCTAGGTGACATTAGCTTGTACAATGTGAGACACGTGTGTAATCAAGCGCCAAGTTCAACTGGTAACACACAGACACACCACTGCACAATTCTTGATTCTGATTGACAAGTGTAAAGTATGGGTACCACTGGTTGTTCTGGTGTAGGCAGCGTTTTCAGAACGTTCTTGTACTTTGGTTGAAGGGCGCTGAAAAATGGCCTGAGGAATATCCTTGCTACGGGGAACAACTGCTGGAGAGTCCAACCCATCAGTAAGAAAAATTATTTGAGATGCATCAATATTTATAACAACTTCTTTTTCTTCATCATCATCCCATGAATCAATGTTTGAAAACTTGCTAAATAGTCGATGGATTAAAATATTGCTAAAGGAAGCGTTTTAACAACAATCGATAATCTTATTTACCATTCATCCGGGTGTATGATTCCTCTGATGAAGCTCATTGCGTCCTCATGCTTAAAGAAGGCTCGCCCACCACCACTTCCAGTAGGTTTTTGTAGACGCTTGAGAAAAGCCTGAAACTGGCTTCGCAGCCCTTCCCAATTTTTTTTTACTTTCTTCGGCTGCGTGGGTTAAAGGGAAATTAGGGAATATGAAGTCATTCATATTTCGGAAAAGTTGACTTACGTGTCTTTCCTACAAGCTTATAATTAGGGTGACATTTGTTCCATAGGCAGGGGCGATCTCGGACACCGTCTATCAATTTTACCTCCAATGACAATGCAAGCTCTTTTTTCGAAGTCATTATTTAAATTTTGGGTGATATAAACGACAGTGAAAAAATGATGATCGAAAAATGTTGGTGAAATGTTGGAGTCGTGCGGATTTCCATCCATAGTTTGTTTTATTGTTTGTTTTAATCATGTTGACAACATGTTGTTGTCATGCTGGTCAAGTATGGATGCGATAAACCATGAAATCATGACGAAATCATGAACAAATCATGGACTATGGATACAGCTTTTGTCAATACTCGAAACATTACGTATGCCATTGGTATCTTGTATCAAATTTATTACTTTATCAGTTTTCCTACTTTTCCTCAAACTCGGCTCCAATCAGGGGTCAATTGGAGGGGTCCATACAGATTAACAGACAAGTTAATTTGTTGTTTTCCTCTCGGTAAGTAATAAAATGAAGCCAGATTTACCAAATTTGACCAGTATCGCACTAAAATCATAGTCCCTGTCGTACTAAAGTTAAACCATTCGTCACATTTCAATAATCAGGAGAAATGTCGCCCAATCGTTTTAATATTTCCATTATTTCCTTACTTTTCCTGGAATTTTTTACCTCGTCCAATGCCCAGACGCTAACCGCTGTCCACTTGGACACCAAACTGCCAGACGTTGCCTCTTGCAAGCTGCCCTACTACGATGGTTATGACCGAATTTATCTCTTCGATGGCTGTATGTTCGAGAAGGAAAACAAGATCCTGCTTTTCACCATTTCCACCGGGACAATTAAATACGTTGCGGAGATGATTGGGAATACGGAACATGTCAGGGCGACACGAAGGGAAATATGTATTACTAGTCTCTTAAGCCCGCAATGCGGGCTCGAACTAAATCGATTTTATTTAGTTTCGCGATACAAATGTCTTCTGAATAATTGTTACACTCACACAGAGCAGAGGAACGTGGTCTTTATTGTCACGTAATATAGGACGATGCGTAATAATACAGTTCATCACGTCACGATTCTAAAGTGTGCGACCACGAAAAACATTCGGTAACGACTCTAAACGGTGCGACCACGAAAAGCGTCCAGTCACGACTCTAAATGGGGTGACCACGAAAACCGTCCAGTCTTGACTCTAAACGGTGTGACCACGAAAAACGTGTCGTCACGACTCTAAACGGGGTGACCACGAAAACCGTCCAGTCTTGACTCTAAACGGTGCGACCACGAAAAACGTGTCACGGCTCTAAACTATGTGACCGTGAAGAACGTTCAGTCACGACTCTAAAGGTTGTGACCACGAAAAACGTTCGGTCACGACTCTAAAGGTTGTGACCACGAAAAACGTTCAGTCACGACTCTAAAGGTTGTGACCACGAAAAACGTTCGGTCACGACTCTAAAGGTTGTGACCACGAAAAACGTTCAGTCACGACTCTAAAGGTTGTGACCACGAAAAACGTTCGGTCACGACTCTAAAGGTTGTGACCACGAAAAACGTTCAGTCACGACTCTAAAGGTTGTGTCCACGAAAAACGTTCAGTCACGACTCTAAAGGTTGTGACCACGAAAAACGTTCAGTCACGACTCTAAAGGTTGTGTCCACGAAAAACGTTCAGTCACGACTCTAAAGGTTGTGACCACGAAAAACGTTCAGTCACGACTCTAAAGGTTGTGTCCACGAAAAACGTTCAGTCACGACTCTAAAGGTTGTGACCACGAAAAACGTTCAGTCACGACTCTAAAGGTTGTGACCACGAAAAACGTTCAGTCACGACTCTAAAGGTTGTGACCACGAAAAACGCTCGGTCACGACTCTAAAGGTTGTGACCACGTAAAACGTTCAGTCACGACTCTAAAGGTTGTGACCACGAAAAACGTTCAGTCACGACTCTAAAGGTTGTGTCCACGAAAAACGTTCAGTCACGACTCTAAAGGTTGTGACCACGAAAAACGTTCAGTCACGACTCTAAAGGTTGTGACCACGAAAAACGTTCAGTCACGACTCTAAACGTTGTGACCACGAAAAACGTTCCGTTACGACTCTAAAGGTTGTGACCACGAAAAACGTTCAGTCACGACTCTAAAGGTTGTGTCCACGAAAAACGTTCAGTCACGACTCTAAAGGTTGTGACCACGAAAAACGTTCAGTCACGACTCTATAGGTTGTGTCCACGAAAAACGTTCAGTCACGACTCTAAAGGTTGTGACCACGAAAAACGTGTCGTCACGACTCTAAAGGGGTGGACCACGAAAAACGCTCGGTCACGACTCTAAAGGTTGTGACCACGTAAAACGTTCAGTCACGACTCTAAAGGTTGTGACCACGAAAAACGTTCAGTCACGACTCTAAAGGTTGTGTCCACGAAAAACGTTCAGTCACGACTCTAAAGGTTGTGACCACGAAAAACGTGTCGTCACGACTCTAAAGGGGTGGACCACGAAAAACGTTCGGTCACGATTCTAAAGGGGGTGACCACGAAAAACGTTCGATCACGACTCTTAAGCGTGTGACCACGGAAAACGTTCAGTCACGACTCTACGGGGTGTGCCCAGCAGGCCCGTATCGACGTTTCGTCCGGCCTGGAGAGTTTGGCCGTGGTCTAATATGCCCCCAAAAAAACTTTAAATCCCGATTTTATCCAGTGTATTCTATTGCCGACCCCGGCGATACGGCCCATTGGGCTGTACGGCCTGGAGAGTGTCTCTCCACCCCTCTCCAGCCTCGCTACGGGCCTGGGTCAAGAGTTCAAGCGTAGTCGATTCCAGCAGTGTTCAATTGTTCTACTGTTCAGCCGATATTATCTGAAAAAAATCTGATAGTGTTCCTGGCAGATATTTCATAATAATTTCCAAAAACCAAATAGCGTCTCAAAAATTTCCAAGGAATTAAGACTATTAATACTGGCTGAACAGTAACGTTTGAAACACGTTTCGGCGCTTGAAGCGATAGCCCACCCTCTAGCGCTGATAAGCAACCAACGTCCGGTAGTTGGCGCTGGTAGGTAAATTTAAATTAGTAAGGCACGGGTTAAGTGTAAACCATAGCTTGGGGTCACAGGTCAAGTGTCAACCCTTGAGGGTGTGCCGCGGTCATAGGTCAAATGTCAAGTCTAGTGGGTGTGCCCAGGTCGCAGGTCAATTGTCAAGCCTAGTGGGTGTGCCCAGGTCAAGTGTCAAGTCTAGTGGGTGTGCCCAGGTCACAGATCAAGTGTCTAATTTAGGGGGTGTGCACAGGTCAAATGTCAACTCTGGGGGCGTGCCCGTTCATGTGATCAAGTTTCGACGTTTCTAAAGGGTGTGTTCGTTGTACGTTTTGACACTTTAGCGAAAAACGCCCTCTAGAAACGAAAAATGCAACATAGTGCCCAAACTGCCGCTAGGTGACGTTAGCTTGGGCAATGTGAGACACGTGTGTAATCAAGCGCCAAGTTCAACTGGTAACACACACACACACACACCACTGCACAATTCTTGGTTCTGATTTCAATGAATATGAGATTTTCAAGTTTGACCCTGTAGCGAAGAGCACTTCAGCGGTCAAGCTCCCAGTTAGGGTTCGTGATAATCCAACCGTTTCATACAATGAGACAAGTAGCGTTATCTACATCATTGGAGGACGGGAAGTACTAAGTTGATCTGGAGCAACTCTTCCATATGAGGTACTTGATGCCAGCGTTGTTTAATTACTTGAATATGTAAGTGATTAATTACTAATTACTTAATTTGCCTCGACGAGGCCAAGTAATTAATTTCTAAGTTACTAATTACATCAGTCGAGTAACTAATTGCAATTACTTGCGTAATTTTACATTTCTGCATATAATAAATCAACCGACTGATTTAATTAGTAATTAGTAATTAATTACATACTCCAGTAATTAAGTAACATGACAATTAGATATATGTAACGCTTATTAATTTCTTCCAGGTTTTTGTTGGTACTGCATCCCGTGTCGGGAGCAAAACTTACATTTACGGGCTGATTGGTCCACGAAATGCGTTGGAATTGGACCTGGAATCATTCCGTGCTATGCTCGTGGGACCTCCCACTCTTCCAAATTTCGCCTTATTTCCTTCGTCCGTCTTTGATCGGAGGTATGTTTAAATACGTGATGAGAGTAGGAATGTGCCCGACATGTCAGAAAGTCCAATTTGTCAGACACTTAACATTTGTGACAAATATGACAAGTTCAAATTATCATAAATGACCAAGTTGTCCATCATACTTGTGATAAATGTCCAACTTGTCCGTCATATTTGTCACAAATGTCTAATTCGTCATAAATGTCTAATTTGTCATAAATGTCTAAGCGTGCCATAAATCTCTAATGTGTCCGTCATATTTGCCATAAATTAAAAAAAAACTGTCATATTTGTCATCTCTTCCACGATTCGTTTTATTCCCTTCAGGTATATTTACCTAATGGGAGGATACGACCCGTGGGACGACGAGGTGCTGGGAGACGGCCTGTACCAATTTGATACAGTCACGTTCGAAAACGAGTTCATCCCTGTGACGAATTTACCCCTCCTTACTGAACACAAGTCCTATGTACGAGCTCCCGCCATGGTCTTTGTCCCCTCGCTGGACAGAATCTACTTCTTCGGGGGGTGGGAGGTGGAGAAAAATTTGACCGAGTATCCGCACAACGAAATTTTCTATGTTGACCTTACACCCTTGCGTCTCGTGTAATGCAGGGTGAAATGATAACCCAAAATAAAATGTGTACGTTTGAATTCTAATTAAACAATAATTGACGCCCTAAATAAAATTTGAGTATAACGAGAACTTTGACTTTGAAACATTAAAATGCTTCGTTAAAATTTGTAATTTAAAGCTGTTCAATTAATTATTATCAGATACATACGTTGCTTTTTCCTCTCTGTGGCGTTATGTTCAAGTCATTCATGGGACGACATTTGTTTATTAAATACTTGGCGTAAATCCTAGCTTGACCACTAGAATCATGTGTTTCATTTCAGTGTTGATTTGATTAATTAAATTAAATTAAATTATGCAAAGCCAGAAATGCCAGGTGCAAGAAATTGCAAAAAATAAGCGCCACCTAGCCACGCGCCGTATGAAGTATGTATAGCGGTGGGGCGTAGTTTCTTGCGCCTTGAATTTCGCGCAGATCAAAATATGCAGCTGCAAGAAACCACTTTCTTGCAAGCGGTTACTGCATAAAACGCTGCAATTTACATAAGCATGATAAAAATTACAAGTGAAGATACATAGTTTCATACAGACCGAAGTCATTAATTTTCTTCGTATAAAATAATTTTGCCAAAAAATTGCACAAAAAACTGCATTACAAAAAATTGCACAATAAAAATCAATCGCATATGAAAATGCATCCGTTTTTTTTTCAACGGTATCGGGAGCCGTTATAATACTGGAATCGCTTAGCAATGCAGTTTTGGACCCCAAAAATGATTACTGTTTCCATGAATTTATGGTTTGTTTGTTTATTTTTTTGAAATTTTTTGTTATCATTTGTACTTTCGAATTTTGGAAAAATAAATTGACCCCGATTTTGATTGACTCATTGATTGATTGAAAAATTGACCCCGAATAATGGCACTTTTCAAAGCTTTAGTCCAAAAATTGGCGTTCGGTCGAATTTCCTCGAATGACAGAGGTGTCGCGTCGGAACCAGTTTCCAATTTTCCGTCGAAATGGTCGCTGTGGTCGGGGAAACGTTTCCTCAAAATGTTCTCGTCGCAGGAGGAGATCGAAGCGTTCTGGATGTCGCAGGCCCACCCGTCGCGGGACAATTTCGGCCAACCGATCTATTCCGTGCAGGACTACGAGTATTTGAAGCGGATCGGACGCGTGGGGCTGGTCAAAAGTGGTGAGTATATTTTTGGAAACTTATTGGGAGTGATTTTGATAAAATTTGATGATGTAAGATTTGCATATTTTCGAAAAAATTAGCATATTTATGAGTGTGAGTTTTAGAAAATGGTGGAAGGCTGCCGATTTTAGATTGAAATTCTGAAAATTTGATACGTTTAGCGGAAGATTTTTACAAACGATTCAAATAATTGTTGCTTTTCGATGAAAATTTTACCTAATTTTTTGGCTAATTTTTTGGCTAATTTTTGTCCTTATTTTCCCGTAAAGTGAATTTTCCAAATTTGACAACTCTTCCAGAAAATGGTGACAAGATTTCAGATTTTACATTAATATCGCAAAAATTAGACACGTTTAGCCCTCGATTATGGCCTACTTTTATATTCAACTAATTGTCTCGAATTTGGCCTACTTTTTGTCCCCACAATTTCCCGTAAAAACAAAATTTTTAGAAATTTCACAACTTTTTGACAAGCTTGAAAAATTTTCAGACGAGCAAGAACCACACCTCATTTCCGGAAATGATGACGACATTAATGATGACGACGAGGACAACGGCTGTACCATTCGTCACACGCCGATCCCCCTCGCCCCCACGGTTCCCCTCTTGGTCAACAATTTGCCCCGATTTGTCCGACCCGCACTGACCGATCGGTGCAAGAAGGATTGTCGCATGTGGTTATGGAAAGGGGACAGGGGTCGCCTGGCGCGGGCGCACATGACCTTTCACCTCCACAAATTGCAAGCCCGCTACGCAGAAGGAAAAGATGAGCCGTACGTCTTCCGGTATATCATCTCCATCTAAATTTCGGGTTTTTAGGATGCACGGTAAGGAACTTTGTAAATTGTGCAAATTTTGAGAAGTCCGCAAAAAACCGCACACTTTCGACCGATGCATCTTGCAAGTGTATGATGAATTTTACACATATTAAAAACACGTGCGGCGTCATAACCTGGGAAAAACGATGTTTTCAGTGTTTTGTAAAATTGCAAAGTTTACAAAAATTTGTAAAGATTAAGCTCGGGGAACAAATTAGATCGCATTCTCTGCAAAATTTTTCAAATTTCTCAAATTTACAAAGTAGGCGTGAGCGAAGTGATTAATACGAAGTCGTACGTCATCAGATATATCATATCCATCTAAATTTTGGATAAATGGTAAACTTTGCAAACTTTATAAATTTTGACAAGTCCAAAAGAAGCAAAAAACCGTTTAGACGATGCATCTTGCAAGTGTGTGATGAATTTTAGACATATTAAAACGAAGTTTTTAATGTTTTGTAAACTTGCAAAGTTCACAAAAAATAGGAAAGTAGTTTCAGTCCCGAAACGAATTACGAACGCATTTTCGTCATGATTTCTCAAAATTTGTTCACAGTTTACAAAGTGATGAACTGATGAACAAAGTGATTAATATGAACATGTAAATGATGCTAGTTTTATTATTATTAATAATCGAATTGTAAAGTGCGACCTTCAGTTAATTAAGTATACAAATGTGATTCAGAATTCAGAATTTATTGTAGTTTTGTGGATGAAATAAAATGAATTTTTATAATTTTGAATTTTTTTCTTGAAATGCATAAATTAAGAATAATACTTTAATAAATAAAATCAGAAAATACAGTGCCACCAAATTGTTTAAGGTCAAAGTACGTCATTGTAAGGGTTCGGTTGCATGGCATACATTAATTTGGAAGGAATTAGCCCAAACTGAGAAATTATGGGTTATCGACGATAACTTATCGTTAATTGGACCTTCAGGAAGAATGATGATACGCTAAAATTGTATCGTTAAAACTCCCTTGATTTTTAAATTTAGATTTTGAAACTGAGAAACCGTATGCTCTCCGCTTTGAGAAAATTAGTGACAATTGAGGACAAATTTAATCAGAATCAAATTACGAAAGACATGATCTCCCACTGCATGGGCAAGTTATGGCCGAGATATGTATTTGCATCCCAAGAGGAGAAAACGCCCAGTAAATGTGGAAAGTGTCAAATATTTAGGGCGACTTCAGGGCGCGTTTTCTCCTCTTCGGATGCAAATATCTCGGCCAAACGTGCCCATTGGGAGATCGCGTCTTCCGCAAATTTCATCCTAATTAAATTTGTGATCGATTTACACTAATTTGCTCAAAATCGGAGAGCATACGCTGGGAGACCTCCATTTTAAGATAAAAGTCAGGGTTCGGAAAAACCCAGGGTTTTAATCAAAAAGTAACGACCCAGGGGTTTTAATGGGTTTTAATGGGTTTTTTGGGTTTTAATGGGTTTTATGGGTTTTATTGGGTTTTATTAGGTTTTACATAAGTAATACATTGAACAACAATTTTCACTACTATTGCAATCCAATTTCAATTAATATGCAAATCCTACTTGTCCATGTTAGAATTTGTATCCGTTTCGAAATAGTCCTGTTTAACTGATCATAGTTTAATACTTTATGAGAATATATATTACCTCTTTCTCGAATACTTCCTCTCATCATAATGAAATCCAAGTTTCAAAGTTTTTAAAATTTAATATTTCAATGCGATCTTAACGTGTATTATCAATTCTGGAAAAAATCGAGTACTTATGAACAATGAAAGTACGTATGTATTATGATCGAGAATATAATAAGTGCTTTTTACAGACACACTTCTTTTGCTCATAATAAGGTACTTCGCTGTCCATAAGTACTCGATTTTTCCAGAGGTGATAATTAAGATCGCCTTGAAACATTTTAAAAAACTTTATAAATTAAAAAAATACTACAGTATTTTGTTTAATTTATTCGCTGAGATGAGAGGAAGTATTCGGGAAAAAAGTATTAATTATGACAGCAAAATGTAAATTAAATGTAATTAAATTATGTATGCTCACTTAAACATACCTCGTTCCGAAATTATTATTTTTAAATATTTTTGTCACTTGAAACTTGTAATGGCACTCGCTGATTTATTCCTGGTTTTTAAAACTTACAGTGGTTTTTAAAACTTACAGTATTAATCAAATAAACTGCTTAGCTGCCATGAAACAACTTCGTCTAACGTACGACAGCTGTTTTCAGCTTTTAGAATATAGTTTTAAGCTGAAACACAGTTAAAACCCATTAAAACCCGAATAAAACCCATTAAAACCCAAATAAAACCCATTTAACATGGTAAAACCCAATGGGTTTTATTCGTTAACAACCCATTAAAACCCATTAAAACCCAAAAAACCCAACCCAATAAAACCCTGGGTCGGAATACCCTGGATAAAACATGAATTTGATGAATTACAGTTTAATCTGCGATACAATTTTTATTTTTCGTTCACTTTATTCGATAAGATGTCACCATTAAAAATTATTTGCATAGTTCTGTTTTATACCTATGTATATTCGCACTTGGTTTTTCATTTTATAATATGCAATTCGTATCAGCTATACATATTTTCATCACAATCACAATCAAGGTCAGAGGTCAGGAAACACACCCCCAACTAAATCGTAGGTCCATACTCTGCGCCACAGGATCCCCTTGTAAACCAGAAGGTATCGCCGTCCTCCCCCTGACCAGGCCCACCGGAAGTGACCATCCAGTAGAAAACGGCCACCACGTAGGCGAGGAAGCAGACCAGCGTGGCAATGTCTGAGTGGTCAAAAATCACGCTGCTTCCACGTGGCAGACCCATTTCCTTCCGAAGTGGAAATAATTTCGGAGCGTGAACTACATTCGGTTCCTTAGTTTGACGATGAAATGGGGACGTGGAACGAGCACGTGACCTTAAAGATCGAGGTTGAAATTATGTATTTTTTCGGTAACGACTTGTAATAAATATCGGGATGAAAGTGGTTTCTTGCAGCTGTTTTGACCTACAAGAAATGCAAGGTGCAAGAAACTACGCCGCGCGGCTGTAAATATTTCTTACGGTGCATGGATACATGGCGCATATTTCTTGCACTTTCTCCCAGTTTCTTGTATTGCAGTGCAAAAAATTTTGCAAACCCGCAAGAAACAGAACACTGGTCTAACCGTTCTGAGAATTGTATTTTTCAAAAACTTACGCATCTTTTTTACTCGTAATTATTACGTCGTGATCCTTCTCAGAACGAATTTTGCTTCTTCTTCGAGCTTCCTCCACTTGACGCTGGATGATGACCTTGAAGTCATCCCTGGTCCGGGAGAGGATCAGGTCCGGGAGAGATCGCGTCCCGATGCGAGGTGAAACAAGTCCTCGACGTCATTTCTGCATGTATATGATTAGTGAAAAATACTTACCTATTTGTTTATGAGTGCCGAGTGTGCAATTTTTTTTACAATGATTTGATTAATGATAAAGCCGGTTTGAGCTTGTTTGGTAAATTTTGATCAAAATTGGAAGAAAAGATCACGTCCTGGTCAAATTCAATTTAAAATGTAACCCAGTAAACTACTCAAAATTTTACAGAAAATTTTCAACGTGCAATGCGGACCTTGTTTTACGAGGAATTAATACTTACATATATATAATGTGGTACATATTAAATTTTGATCCCACGTTTTATTTATTTCATAACACGAAATTCTATCAATCGTAATAATCGTGCAAAATTATTTCGCAATATTTAACCCTCGTTAAAATTCTTGCTAAATTATCATTTCATAATAATTAATTTGTTAGAACAATAAGTCCACTTGAATTTTTGCAATGATAAAATATAATTGTACAAATTCTAGATGTTGGAAATTTCGTTCGAAAAATATTTTAACTTGTATTGCAAAATTATTTTGCAATATTTAACCCCCGTTAAAACTCGTCCTGATGACAAATAACATAGTGAACAATTCCTTGTGTCATTTTGCACCCTAATTTTTGATGAAACGCGAATGACCCCGCGTTCCTCATGTCGACCCCGGACGCCGGAATGATCCCATTTTTTGCAAGTTCTTTAAAGACGAATTTCATGGCTAAATTTGCATAACCCTTTTGTCTATGGTTGGGCAAAGTGTAGAGGGCTGACACCATTCCGAACGGCATCGTCATTGCGGCACAAACCGGTTCTCCGTCGATGTACACGGCACCTGACTCATTTCTGGAAATATTTCTCGCCATGACCATCGCTGTCCCGGGCTTGGCGAATTTCCACGTGGAAGTCATAAAAGTGACGCCTTTGTCAACGTCTAATCTCTGAATGCGGAGGGAGGGATCGTCTTCCGGGCTGAAAAAAATATAACGACATAAAATTCATGATAAGTGAAAAAAGTTGGGGCATAAAACTGTATGCAAGAATTTTTATGCATAAAATACAGATGTATCCTGCATAAAATTGTGTGCATAACTATACAGAAACGGAATTGCGACATAAAATTGGTGTATGGATTTGTTTTGTATATCAATTTATGCATAAACTGGGCGCATCTAGAAGTAGGGAATTTGTGTCGAAAAACTATATGCATGAACTTGCATGAAATATACGCTATATAAAAATGTATGCATAAACTGAGCGCAAGTAAAGCAGGGAATTTGCGCCATAATATTTCTATTATTTCTACATTGATTTGTCTGCATAAAGATTTATGCATAATAGGCTTGGCTGTACTAAAAAAACAGTGAATTTGCGTCATAAAACTTAATGCATGGATTTTTCTACATGGAACCCACTGCATAAAAATATTACGCGTAAGTTGTGTCGCACTAAAATCAGTGAATTTTCAACATAAAATTATGTGCATGAATTTTTATGAATGCAGCATAAAAATTTATGCAGAAACTGGCTTTAACTTCGCCCAAAAAAATTGACATGCATCTATCTTATGCATAAAATACCGTTAAATTTTCATAACCAAAATGATTTTGGAAATATACCTCAAAATTTCGATCTTCTCAGCGTCCTCGACATCCATCCAGAAAATTTTGCAAGGGTGGAACTCGGCCACATTGCCTTTTTTATTGACACTGACTTCGAATATGATCGAGGTCAGCCATTCCTCCAGCTGGGAGATGAAATGGGGCTCATGCCATTTGAAGAGGGGACAATCGCTCAAGATTTGGATGGCCTCGTCACGCGATAACCTTTCTTGGCTGGCGGAAATTGTATAGTCCAAACCGAAGTCCTGAGTATTAATAGAGTGAAAAATTGAAGAATTAGACAAAAGCTTGCAGTGTTTCCGGTGCAAGTGACCACTTGCAAGAAATAACGGCAAGAAAATGGTTTCTTGCAGGTAAATATTTTGATGTGCAAGAAATGAAAGGCGCCAGAAACTTCGTTATGTGGCGCGTGGCTTGGTGGCGCTTGTTTCTTGCACTTTCATGTAGTTTGTGGCACCTACATAGTATTTTTTGCGTTTCTGACTTTGCAGTGCAAGAAATGTAGCAAACCCGCAAGAAACGAAACAATTATTGCAAGAAATAACTGGAAGAAAGTGGTTTCTTGCAGTTAAATATTTTGATCTGCAAGAAATTCACGGCGCTAGAAACGACGTCCCATCGCTATACTTCATACGGCGCGTTGCTAGATGGTAGATGGCGCTTATTTCTCTTGATTCGCAGTGCAAGTAATGTAGCAAATTGTTACATTTCTATACGCATATTCTGCACATAAATCGTAAGTAGTCGAAAATATGACCTTATCATTGTGCACATAAAGTAATTAAATGTTAAGCCGTGTAGAAAAATATTTACTTCCGCCACCACGACCGAAACGATCCACGTGGTTTCATCAATTTCTCCGTGAAGGGTGTAAAATGACATCCGGTCCAGGAATCGGGGATACATCAAGACCGCATTGTATGCCTTAATTGTATAAAATATTTTAGAAATTTGGTAGTAATTTGTGGTTCAAAGTTTGACATGCTTATTTTACGAATTTTTAATTCGCGTTATAAGAACGGCAATTTTTTCTACTTACAAAAACCGAGTATGGCAATCTTTTTTGCAGAATTGGTAATAATTTGGGCACCTCAGCGTTACCCAGTTGGACGAACGGCTTGATTTCGTATGCGTCCATTTGTAACGGTTTGAGATCCATTTTTAAATATTATATTTTGATATTTGTTTAACTAACCAATCAGGCAGAAAGCAGGAGTGCAATTGAATAATAAATATGCAGAATTGCATGTGCTTGTGCACAAAATTTTGCGAATTACATATTTTACATACACTAAAACATAATCCGTAAGGAATGATTAAATATGTATGGGCCATAAAATTACTTAACAAAAGCCGTCCTCCTCCTTATCTTGATCGGGTGGTGGACTGACAATGAGTTTCGCTGCGGTTTTAACCACTGTTCAAAGCAGTCATACAAAACCCGGTTTAACCAGTTTTGGACACCGAATTTTGGAGGTCCGAAATGTCCAAAATAGAAAATTGCCTAAAATATTAATCTTTTGATTAGGGTTTCGCTGTGGTTTTAACCACTGCTCAAAATAGTCGTACTAAACCGGTTTTGGACACCAGATTTTGGACACCCAGAATGTGTCCAAAGTATAAAATGGGTCAAAATGTTATAAGTTCTTTATTATTGGATCTTTCTATAATCCGTTGACTTCTGTGTAATCTCCCATTAATTTTGAGCAACACACTGCATAGTTTAGAAAATTTCTTAATTTCTCTTTTCGAAAGCATGCCAAAACCAAGTTGTTTTCAGATTTCGTAGTATTAATTATGCACCAACCAAAATCCTCAAAATTAAAGTGAGATGAGATTACATATCTGCGTACTTAGATTTGCAAAAAAGGTCGGAACTTGTCACATTTTGGCCCATTTTACAATGTTGAAAACTATTGCACATTTTGGACGTTTTAAACGCTTTTGAACGAGGTGTTTTACACGCCCAAAAATTTTTTGGGCGTGTAAAACAAAACGCAGTTACATAATTTCTATGCATTTACAGACACACACTATCAATGACCTTGACTGATAATGTACTTTCCTCGTTTGATTATCGCAATTGACGCAATTTAATTTAAATATTGTAGCTCGTTTTCGTTAATTTATTGCAAGACTCGACACGTATGTTAAAATTAATCCAGCAAATTTACTAATTTCTGGGATTTTTGTTTAAATTTTGAATAAAAAGTTCGTTAATTGTTTGATGCTTAAAATTCGATGAGAAATTTGAGGATTCCATACTCATATAAATAAACCCGTTTTATGGATTTCACACTTCTTCGTCAAGTTTACGCATTCATTCATAATTCATTCATTGAAGGAATTATTTATTCATGCAATATGAATTAATTATATTATTTATATTCCAACTCATTGATCTTCCGCATAACTAATCCTTCCTAAATGACATGCAAGCAATTAAATCAATTGTGTAAAATTTGTAAATTTTGTTAAATTTTAACGTCATTTAATGGAAAATAGTCGAAAATAAAAATGGAGCAAATCAGCGCAGGCCCGGGGTTTACAATCTTCAAGATAGAGATGTGCATAGGGTAGGGTATACCCTAAAAAAACCCTACCCTGCCCTACCCTATAGGGCTTTGGGCGGACGGGCTTTTATTACCCTGAATTTTTAAGGGCAGGGTAGGGTAGGGCTTTTTTAAGTAGGGTATAGGGCCGGGCGGGCTTTTTTGTATGTACACCAATATGGTGTAGGGCAGGGTAGGGCTTTTCCGTTTTACTATAACGCAGTCAACCATCGAGCAGGCGATTAGAAATGAGACGCGGGACAATCTTGTCATCTTTCTGCTGTATTAATTCACTTGTGTTACAAGTACTTAAAATTGTTTATACTATGGAGATTGACTACTCCATGTTGACATTTGTTACTGGTGTGGGGACACAAAATTTGGAAAGTTGCAAAAAGACTTAAATTTCTTGCGTCACATTCCATAGATATAAGAATTGTTCAACCACACGAGTACGAGAGCCAAGAACTTCATTTTTGTCCGGTGGAAACGTTAACGAAATTAACTTTGATTTACAAAATTACTAGACCATTTTTGAAGTTTTAGTGTCATAATTTTTTTTAATCATCATAATTGCGAACTAATAATATATTAATATTATTAGTTGCTTTAAACGATTTACATAAACAATTATGAATAGGGCCTGGGCCCAAAGCCCTATAGGGTAGGGTAGGGTTTTTATTGATAAAGAAAATCTAGGGTAGGGCTAGGGCGGGCTTTATTTTTCTAGGGTAGGGCAGGCCCGGGTTTCAATTTTACCCTACCCTATTGGGTAGGGTAGGGCAGGGCAGGGCCAAGTAGGGTATAGGGTAGGGCGGGCAATGAAAAATGCCGGCCCTGCACATCTCTACTTCAAGATGAATCTTGGCAACCACGAAAAAAATTTTCGCGAACTTTCCCTGCAGAATTAATTTTCATCCAAAAATTTGCACCTTGTCTTGGAAGTCAACTGAATCTCTACATTTCACGCACAATCAAGATTAATTAAAAAGTAATTACAAATTATGACTGGCAGAGGAAGAGCTGGTTCCAGAGGGGGAGGACGAGGAGGAGGAGGAGGAGGAGGAGGTAGTCTTTCAAGATTAGTGACATTTTTTTACAACAGTATTTTGAATTAAACTTGCCAATCTTTCTCATTTGCATTGAGAACAAGGGTCAAGTCAATTAATGAAAAGTTAATAATTAGTAATTAATTAAATTAATTACTAATTATTTATCCTAAGGTGGTGATAGTGCTGGGAGAGGGAGTGGTCGTGGATCTGGGAGAGGTGGAGGAGGTAGTGGTGGTGGTAAGTTAAAAGTATCCGGAAAATGAATAATTAAAATTCAATTAAAATTTGTAATTTACAAAGTTTGTAAAATTGAGTAATTTTCGTAAAGTTTTTGTTTTTTGCATTATTCGTCTTCCCAATCCCAACTATTACTTTAATCTTGATAAGTTATTTACGATAATGTAACGTTATCGTAAATAGAGTGCATAAAAACGGGCAAGGTACTAAGGCAAGGTAGCAAGGCCATACTGAGTGGTCAGTTTTTATCATAATTGTACATTTCAGTTAATACTAATAACAATAATTAGCTAAATAATCATTTATTTAAGGCGGAGATAGTGCTCGCAGTGGCGCCTCGTCCAGTGGGGGAAGCAGCGGTCGCAGCGGTGGAACTAACAAGTAAATACATCGAAATAAATTATTAATTACCACGATTATTTGTATCATTTAAATATTAATTCCCCACTTTTAAATCCCAGCGACAGTCGTGGTGCAGGCCGAGGGCGAGGAGGACGTGGCCGCATCTCTTTCGAACCCCCCAACTGGACGACGGAGCCCATCCCGACCTACACAAAGGCCGACCGCACTCTCGGTGGCGTTGACGAATGGGCCAACTATCCCTTCACCTGCAAGGAGAACGTCGTCCTGCAAACCTAGAAAGGTCCGGAAGCCTCCCTTTTCACAGAAAAAATTCCCATCTCCGTAAACCACTTCCCCCTCGAGAACTTTACCTTTCCGAAGAACATTTACCACTATGAAGTCACCATGGAACGGGTTAAACGTGACGACGGCGGTTCTTCAAAAGCTCGTGGAAAAAAAGGTGGTGGTGGCAGTGGTGGCGGCGGTCCTTTACCACCTCGTCGCCTCCCCAAACCCATCCCGCAACTCGTCCTGACCGTCCTGCTTAAACGTCTCCGAAAGAATACGGGCCACTTCGGCATCGTGTCCGACCTTTCGAACAATATCTATTCGACGGAACCCCTTGAACAGTTTAACGTCGTGGGGGTTCACTCCGTCCGCATGGCGGAGGTGGATCAGACCATTCTTCAAGAAGATGACGACGGCGAGATCAAAGTCACCATTACGTCGACCGGACAGCAAATTGATACCCGCCAAATGCAATGGGAGCTCAACACGAAGGGAACATGGCGCGGATTTGAGTTGGAAACTAGCATAAAAACGACCCTGGAACAGGTTAACAATGCCATCGTGAAGAGTCTTCCGACCTATAAATTCATTCCGTTGGGGAGGTCGAATTTGATTCGGTGGCCAGAGAATCAAGGCACGGGCGACCTGGGTGGCGGGGTGGTTTGCTGGAAAGGGATAAGTGCCAATGTAGCGATGGGGTGGCAGCCTTATCTGAGCGGTAGGCGTGCATACATATTTTCGCATAGTTTTGCAGAATTTATCATGGTAATTTATTTATTATTCAGCCGACTTATCCCACTGCGCCTTCCTGGCAGACACGAAGGTGATGGACGCACTCAAAGAGAAGATAAGGGACTTGCCGAATGATGTGACTCAGTGGAAACCGTGGCAGTTTCAAGAGGCAAAATCCTTCTTGAAAAGTAATTTTTAAAAACCTGTCTGAAAATTTTCAGGGATTATACTTTGCAAAATACAGTATTGTGAGCTCCGTTCTTCCCAGGGTTTGAATTTCCAGGGCTGTTACGCCCACAAAAAGACGAGAATCTGTACAGTGGGTAGACGAGTCATTCGAAAATGTAGGTTTTTTGAAGAGATTTATCGCCGTCAAATACTGTATTCTAAAAAAATCGTGAAAATAATGTACTTCCACTGCGATAAATGGTTAATTTTTTCACAATACCGATACCTGTATCTTCGTAAGACTTGTCTTCTCCACGTAGATTGCAGCCCTGGAAATCCATACCTTGGGGAAGAAATGAGATCGAAATACTATATTTTGACAAAGTATTTTGCCCATCCGTGAACATTCTCACCCTAAAATTGCAACTTTGACCTTATACACAGATGTCAAGATCAGGTACAAAGTGAATGGGAAGACCATTGGAGGACCGGTGACGGAGCTTTTGCCAAGATCCGTGTCCCAAGAGACGTTCCACTGGGAGGAGAAGGGTTTCACCACCTCGGTCTACGACTACTTCACGAAACATCATGGGATTAAACTGAATAAAAACGGGCCTTGTTTGGAATTACGGAAACGATGCAAAGTTCCCGCCGAGGTAATTGTAATTTTAGTCCTTAATTAATCTACATAATTAACTAACTATATTAACTTTTTAGTTGTGCATTATCAAGAAGGGACAGTCTTTTAGTCGCAAGTTGGACGACAAGCAAACCAGCAATATGCTGAACGTGGCCAAAAAAGCGCCTGCCGTCTTGAAGTGCGAAATTGAGGAGGAGGTCCGTGTTTCATTTTCCAATTAACAATGGGAACTTTTTTCAAGTTACATCGGGTTATATCAAAAAATTAAGGCAAAATTATGAGTCACGTGGCGCTTATATTTCCCTTGAATGTCTCCTTTGAAGACAAATATTGGCGGCAAAGTTCAATTTTTTAAGCAATTTTCCGTCGCTTTTTTCTCCGTGGGGTTAAAACCTGGGCAGTCGTATGAACTTTGGCCCTCAAATGATTATAGATTGATAGATGTCACGTGGTCCCTAATTTCTGATATAGCTTGAAAAATGTTCAATTATAAATTTATTTATATGTAAATTTTAATTATTCAAATTCTCACAGATAAGCAATTTGCCCACACAAGATAATAAGGAAATCATGTCCGCCTGGGGCATGAATATTGGAAATGAAATGTTATTCTTGAAAAACACGAGAGTATTGGCTGCGCCACAGTTACGTTACGGGCCAGGGAATGGGGTGTGAATGAATTTGCAAATTTTATGACCTGATTTTGGCAAACATTTTTAATCCAACATTAACCCATTTGTTTTTAGTCCAATTCTGGCAAAGGTGACGCCATCATAACTCCGAAGGAGGGTCAGTGGGACCCTTGGAGCGGTGAGTATGCGTTCCTCAACTCTAAAACGGTCAATGTCTGGACTATCGTCAAGGTTGGCGGGGCAGGCGACAAATTCGCACCGAATGATGACGATATTTTGTAAGTTTAACGTACTGTCCAAATCAACACATTTTTTAGTATTTCTCTTCTCTGGGAATTTATTTTAAAATTCTGAACGATAAATTTGCCGTCGGTAAGGTGATTAAATAATAGAATGGCGGTGAGTTTTTTTAGCCAGTTTCGACGAGTTCCAATTTTTATGAAGGCTTCTTAAACTTTGAGACCTCCTACTTCAAAAAGTATCAAAATCTGGAGTGTATATACTTTTTAAATTGGGAACGACCTGTTCTACAAATTTATCGAACACAATTTTAAAATAAATTCCTAGTGCCGAGAGATTATTAAAAATATGCTGATTTTGACTCCTGCTTTACCAGATTTTGAAAATATATCAAAATTTTATGAATAAAATGCATTGCAAATATTTATTAGGCAATTTGCTCAACAATTACGAAACAACGGGAATCGCAAAGGCATCTCTTTCAAGACCCGACCGATCCGAGATGACGGCAAGATGGCCCATCTGCGCCCTAACGATGCTGCAGCCTCCAATGTGACACAGCTTGTCGAATTGTTTGAAAACTTGGCGACACAAAATTGCGACCTTGTCGTGAGCATCATTCCGAGGAAGAATTCACCCCTGTACTCGCACATCAAGCAGGCCGCCGAGCTCCACGTGGGACTCTTGACGCAGTGTGTGGTGGGTCAAAACGTGACGAAAGGTCAGGACGCCACCGTGCAGAATATCCTGCTCAAGATCAACAGCAAGTTGGGTGGTGTAAATTATGCCATGCAAATCCCACCGGATATCGAAGTTTTGAACCAGATTGATATCATGCGATGTCCCATGTTGATCATGGGCGCGGATGTGACCCATCCACCACCAGGGTCGATGAAAAAGGTATGAATATTTATGATTTTAATGGGCCAGGACTTAATTTTGGAACTTTTTACAATTTCTTTAACCTTTCTTTGTAGAACTTTTATTTTTTTCAAAATCTTAGGTGTTTAGTGTATATTTTGTTTGGAAATTTCATTAAACTGTCGAATTTCTTCAAGTTAACAAATTTTTCACTTTTATCAAAATCGTGAGTTTTTTAAGCTATACGTTTATCCCTGTTTTCCATCACTTTCACTGAAATGTTGTCAATTTTTGGTTAGAATTTAAAATCATGAGTTTCTATGTGTTGAAATTTTTCATAATTTTAATCCCGTGTTTTTTTAGATCCAAATCGGCAAGGGTAAAACGGAAGACGTCGCAGTCCCGAGTTTCGTCGGTGTCACGGGGTCCATTGACATGACCGGAATGCCGTTTATGATGGATATCCGCGCTCAGCGCAAGGCTGACCGCGGCGCGGCTGAAGTCATCCAAGATTTGGACAAGATCGTGCTCGACATGTTGATAATGTTTAGGCGCCAAACTAAGGGAATTCGACCCAGGAAGATAATTTATTACCGGGATGGCGTCGGAGAGGGGCAGTTTCCCGAGGTATGTGTAACCAGTGGCCGCGGAAGCCGAGGGGGCATGAGGGGACATTAACATTGTAGGATAAGGGAAGGAGTGGTTTATATATAACATGGGCAGATGCGAATATCGAATGACCGTGAGACATTGCCCCTCTATCCCCACGCTTCCGCGGCCACTTAGAAAGCCTGACTACACATTTAATTAACTATGTTAATTGATAAACTGCAGGTTTTACACACCGAAATGCTTGCCATGCGGAAGGCTTGCAATTCATTGACCGATTACGACGGGAGTCCCTACCAACCAAAAATTACATTCGTCACGGTTCAAAAGGTAGCAAAATATTGGCATCGACTTTGTAAACTAGATAAATTTCTAAGAATCAGATTTAATTCACAAATTTTAAAATTAAATTGTTCCTAAAGTTTTGAAATTTGTCTTTTTAATATCCTACAAACGTTGCAAATTATCTATGTGATGATAACGTCTTATTAAGTAGCTTCAGCTACTTTATGTGAAGACTTTGTCTGTCTGTCTGTCTGTCTGTCTGTCCGTCTGTCTGTCAGCAGGATAACGGGAGAACGGATAAAGATAATCGAAATCGGTTTTCGCCATCATACATAATACCCCAGGGGGAGGATCCTATCAACTTTTGGGTGCAACCGGACCACACCCCCGGTCGCCAGGGGGTGTGGTCGGGGCAAAATGAGATTTTTAGTGCAATTGAATCTATGGATGAAATGGAGTGAAATTTTGAGTTCCCCCGTTGTGCCACACCCCCCGGGCGCCAGGGGGTGTGGTCGGGGCAAAATGAGATTTTTGAAAAAATTGAATGCATAGATGAAATACAGTAGAATAAAGTGCTCCCGAGTTGTGCCACACCCCCTCGTCACTAGGGGGTGTGGTCGGGGCAAAATGAGATTTTTGAAAAAATTGAATGTATAGATGAAATACAGTAAAATCAAGTGTTCCCGCGATGTCGTGGGAGTGCTTGGAGTGAAGTAGTCTGAAGCTACTTCCGTATGCGCGTTTGCGACGGTTTATCTTTATTTACTTACAGCGGCACAAGACTCGCTTCTTCTACCATTCGCCGCGCGGCATAGTTAATCCGCCTCCGGGAACTGTCGTCGACAAAGAAATCGTCCACCAGACGCAAACTGATTTTTACTTATGTTCTCACGCTGGGATGATGGTGAGCTTTTAATTTTGCGTTTTTTTGCAAGTTAATTCTACCATTTATGTTATGCGAATTACAATTGCTTATCATTTTAAACACGTTGTATTCTCCCTTTCATTTTTAAATTTTATTGCGTGTATATTTCTCTAAAATTTGCATAATTTGAGGGAATTGATTGATATTTTCATTTTCACTTCTAAATTTTATGACGTACGGATTTCGCAATTTTTCTAAAATTTGCGAATTTGTACAATTTCAGGGAATATCATTTCAAAACCTTCATGAATATTTTTATTTTTACATTTTATTGCACATTTCGCATGATTCTCACTTGTCTAAAATTTTGTGAATCTTTTTTTTTGCTCAATTTCAGGGGACCAGTCGACCCACGCGGTACCACGTTTTATGGGACGACTCAAATTTCACTGCCGACGAGATTCAACACCTCACGTATTATTTGTGTTATATGTACGTCCGATGCAATAAGAGCGTCCGCATTCCTGCCCCCACTTATTACGGTTAGGTTAAAAATTTGCATATTAATTAATTAGATACCCTAATTATTTTTTGAAATTTCTATCCCTATTTATTAGCTCGCCCTGCGTAGCATGAGAGCTATTGAATTCCTCTTGTCCATCTGTCTGTCTGTCTGTCCGTCTGTCTGTCTGTCTGTCCGTCTGTCTGTCTGTTAACGAGTTTTTTGCATCAATTGATGCTAATTAAACAGCCCCTTGACCATTATTGGATACGTTAGGCGCACCATTGGTACTAAACAAACCGAATCAAATTTTTTAACAAGTTAATAGGACCATTGATATCTAACAATCGGGAACACAAAATGATGCGAAATAATTGGAGGCAGGGACGCAAAACGCACCAATAATGCAGAATATCCGGGAGAAAAGATCATACAATTTTGACATAAATTTTTCAAAATTATCGTTGATCGTTGGTAGGTAATTCTGCACCACTGATGCACAATTTCTGGACTCTTCTCGATGGATAATAATTATTGATCTATTTTGTGTAATTTTTCTGCACCATTGGTGCAACATTGCATAAAAATTATGTATCTATTTTGTTATTTTGTTTGTCTATTTTGTCCGCTTATTTTTCACCATTGGTGCCAAATTATATAAATACATAAATATGATGCATATATGTATTTGCAGCAATTGTTGTGCACCATTGGTGCAAAATTGTGTCAAAATTATGTATCTAATTTGTCCGATTGTTTTGCACCTTCGGTGCGAAGTTATCTTCAAATTATGTCTCAGGGCGAGCTATTTCTAACGTTACAACGGTTTATTTACTTAGCTCACTGGGCCGCTGCTCGTGCTAAGGCCCTCACGGACGGGATGGAAGAATACTTTGGGAATTTGCCGAAATTGAATGAACGCATGCGTCGTCACGAGGAAATTCTGAAGAACAATCCAATGCACTTCGTCTAACCCGAAATAGAGCGTCAACCTATATAATTACAATTCTCTACCTCTCTAAATTTTTTTATGAAATGTTACTAACCTTCTGTGGAGGTGATTTAATGTATATTCATTAATAATAATTGTATCTGTTATTATTAGCAGTTAAGTAATTAAAAAATTATAATTAATTACAATTATAATATAAATGTTACAAATAATATACATATTTGGTACTTTGATATGTATGTAAATGTAAAAATGTGAGTGTGTATAATATTTACATGATTACACGTATGAAATTTATAATTGAGCCAATAAATGTTGTGGATTAAACAAAATGTGTGAATTATAAACATGTAAATTTATGAGGATGGATTTTTGATGTATTGTTTAAATTTCTAGCCTGAGATGTATGGCTTATGAAACCAGTATGCAATTATGAAAATGACGTCCAGTCAGGGTTCAGATGTACATAAATAACTTGTTGCCTTGCTAAATTACACAAAAATTTGTGCCATTAAAATATTACTACTATTTGAACACATGGAAGAAAGGGAAGTTGAGGCAAAAAAAATTAAATTCAAAACCTGAGTGCAATAGCACGTTAAATATTAAATTAAATTTTGCACACCTATTTATTAATATATTTTCATTGCTTATAAGGAAACTAGGCCATAAAAATCTATGCATTTTATCCATACTTATACATCCTGAATATTTAAATCGGTGAATAAGCAGTTTGGGTAAAATTACGCGAACCAAAAATAAATGTACCATAGCTCGCAAATAAATTGGTCCATGGTGTATCCATGCTAAAAAATGGTCCATGGTCCATTGCGAGCTATGGGTCACGTTGCATAATTTCTGCTGTATAGCTACCTTTTTTTTACGTAATTATCAATTGTGTAACACCCAACTTTATTGCATGATTGCTTTAGGGGCCGCCCATAAATTACATAAACGAAAAAATAGCGATATTCTAGACCCCCCCGTACCATATGTAACATAGACACGATATCATTGGAACCTTATACCCCCCTCCTCCTTCTAGACTTACGTAATTTATGGACGGCCCCTTATCCTAATGTTGGAAATAGCTAAAGATTGTGCAGACCTAATTGTGTAACATGTATTGTATTTATGTGAAAAGACTTGGCAAAATACTTGTTATGCAAAATGATTGCTATACAATGGGAGGGGATATGGCTTTTATGCAAAGGTATGTCAAATAACCTTTGACGTTTTCCTCCAGTTAATGAGCAATCCCTCTCAAATGCATAATGATTTAGTGAGAGTTTAATCTTTTATTACACTAATTTCAGAATTCACGTAATAATATTTTATTGATGAATAATCATTTAATGTAATAATTGACCAGGAAAAAGCAAGTTACGTAAAATTGGATGCAGTACGCACAGCTTTTTTCTGGCTGATAAGTGCTGTTTAGAATATGTTCATTTGTTCATTCTTGATCCATCAGCTAACAGGCGTTTTTTCTTAAAATTCTTAACGTTCCCCTTCATGTGGGGTTTGAATTTGAATATAAATAAAATCGATAAAAAATATGTAAAAATTGCATATTTTCTCATGGAAGAAAAAAATAAAAATTATAACTTCTTTACTAAATAAATAAAATACTAAAATCATCAATTTCTAAAAAAACACACAGAGATGAACAGGTTTCAAAAATCGTCATTTGAATTAATGGAAAGAAGGGAAAATTGAGACACAAAAATTCAAACTCAAAACCCACATACAAGGGAACCTTAAGCCTTAAAGTTAATTTTATTTAAAATAGTGACACATTTATTTTGCTACAAATAGTGCTATAAATACGTACAATAATGTCGCCACAATATTTTCAGGAATTTAAACAAATAATTGCTGGGATTATAATTTGGCTCATCGTATCTCCTTTTGTGGCGTTAACTGTAATATTTTTATCCTGCTGGAAAAGTTTCGTATTTCTCTACATAAAACTCAAATACAAAGGTGAGACAAGTTTGTTTGACCAGATGACCTTTACGGACGCCACGTTTGTCGCAAATGGCAATGACTTTGTTTGCATGATAGCCTATGCATTCGTCAGTGATGAGAAGATCAACCTGGTCAAACTTCGGGCTCACTTTGAAGATACGTTCATTAAGCATGGGAAAAGTTCTCAGGTTTTTTTAATAAAATTTTTACACTCCTAATATAATGCACGCATTTTTAAAAGATCATAAATAGGGCATCCAAAACCGGAAGATTTTTAAAAACTGGTTTTACACCAAACAAAACTTCGTAAATATTATCTGATAAATTTTATAAAGTATAACAAACTTTACTCTAAAGTTTAAATAGTAAATATTTTAGAACAATAATGTCTTATATGAAAACCAAGTAAAGGACAAGTATTCAGTAGACAGGGCCCTGAGATTATCTTAAAGGTTCCGCTCAAAATTCAATTTACTTTGTCTTAATTTGCCATGAGTTTAAAATTTTTAAATGGACAAATGTCTTAATACGGTCCAGAAAGAAAATTTTGAGTTTAATTATTTAAATCGTAGAAAAAGATATATTAGATATTAACAAACCACAAATAACTCAAGGATTGAAAAACACCTACGTATGCATTTACTATAAAACCTACCCTGCAGACTTGAAATAGCCTGAGTCAGGCCAAGTTTTAGTTATTACGACTTTTTTTAGTAAGCCCAAAGCAATTTTTAGAAAAAGACGAAAAGGTTTTCGAATGTGATAAAACTGGTTTTTATTGGTTAAGTTTAAAACCGAGATCCAAATCAAAAACCGGTTTTTAATCGGCTTTACAGAATCGGAAAAACCGGTTTTGAGTGCCCTAATTATATGTCCATTTGAGTTTGAGCTATAGCTAAATTCTGAGACATGCTAAAAATGGGTGTTTCTTTATCTTATGGAACAAGATTTAGCCATGGGTCAAACTTAAGTGGATGAAAAGTACTAGAGTATATGCCGATACATTTATTTATTCAGTTTCCCATCTTCCACTCCACGTTTGCTACCGTGCTAGGCTACAGCTTCAGAACGCGTGTCCCACTTGACCTGAATCGTCACATTCGGGAGGAAGAATTCGATGAGGGCGCTGCAGCAGAAACTGAAAACGAAGCGCTTAGTCGGGTCGCACATGAGAAGTCCAATTTACAAGGCCAAGTTCCAAAATGGGAAATTGTCCTGCTTCATTACACTCAGAAGGGGAGGAGCACCATGATTTTAAAAATGAGCCATGGCTTCGTCGACGCTTATTCTGTTCGAACTCTTGTCGGCATCCTTACAAACAACAAAGCCACGTACCGGGTTCCAGACGCGGCAAAGCCACGTGGACTATTGTACAAGGTGAACATTAGAGGTCAGTCGGGTTCAAGGGTTTGTGAAACCCGACCCGATCAATGGGGGGACCCGACTTGCCAGACTCGGCCAATTTTTTAACAAAACGGTCGGGTTAAAAAATTTAGTTTTCATTCAAAAGTCATTCATCCCGATTTCTGACGGAATATTTTCATTCACATTCATGTCACTTTCGTTCAAATTCATTTCATCTCACTTCATCGGACTTCATTTCTTACTTCAGCCCATGTATTAAACATAGGGTGAAGAATGAAATGAGTGAAAAATCCTTCATTCACATTCATTCATCTGAAATGACGGAATCCTTGAGTCATTTTCATTGAAATTGCAGAAATTTCATTTTCACTCACTATCATAATCAGTCAAATGAACTAAAATGAACAGATATGACCATGCTACCGGGTCAATTTTTGAACCCGACCCGTGCGAGTCGGTCAATTTTTTGAACCCGATGCTGTAACGGGCGGTCGGATTTTTCCCTGTTGACCCAGAACCCGACTCACCTCTAGTGAACATGCATAATTCTAGAAATCATTAGCAGTAAAATATTATATTGAAATTTTTGTATCATTCTAGGCAAAAATTTTCGCCAAACTCCCCGTCCTTATTTTAAATTATGTACGGCACATTAAAACTTTAAACCTACACGTTCATCCATATCGCCCCATCGGGGATAAACGATCCGATCTACTGAAACCTGTCTGGTCTAAAACCACGTTAGACTTTAGAAAACTGAGACAAATATGGAAACAGACCGAGTACAGGATTTCTGCAATTTTTATGTCCTTCCATGCGAGCACGATTAGGAAGACGTTCGTCAAATTGGGCAAATGGGATGCCGTCTGTGTTCGAAGTGATGGTCCACTTTCTTGCCCGATACTTGCACCGAATCACCCTGCAGATCAGGGTCATTTCTGTACTCATGTGTAAGAATCTCTATTTACCAAGATGAGAAAGATTAAGGTTCCAATTGCATGCGGGTTTTGAATTTGTCTCAACTTCCCTTCTTCCATGTATTTAAATAACGATTTAGAAACCTCATGGAGGCGTTGTACATACAAAAGACCCCCAACACAATGAATAAGGACTCCGGCATGGAAATTAACCCAATTTGGTCGTCGCTAATGGTTCCATTTCTCAAACAACCATAAATTATTTCGATTTTAATTTTCAAGTCTCTGGGAATAATAATAATTGATTTGTAATATTTTCCGTCCTGATGACGATCGCAATCGAGATCGAAAGCTTGACACCATTTAGAAAACAATAAAGTTTTTCTCATTTGTACATCCACAATGTCCGTAAATAAGATTTCTCCTAATTTTGAATTCTGTGGATGGAAGAACTTAAAACTACTTATAAAAAGACAACACGGCGAGTCTATGCTGATACATATTCTTTAATACGAAAAACAAGAGATGAAGAAGATCAAGATAAGGAATGATATAATATTTCTGAAAAGATGCAAATCACTTGGCATTGTTCCCAATGTTCTGAAGATAAAAAATCACTTGCAATACCTTCGTCAAAGTCATTCTTTTCTCCAAAAACGGAAACCTCTTTTCTAAAACTACATATTAACTATAAATTCGCCCAACTCAATGAAATTAAAAAAACTCTGGAAATTTTGAATCAGAAATTAAACTTACTCTCGCCAGATCTACTACAACATTTCAACTCACTTATGGAAAAGAAAAAAAGCAACTACAACGATATCATCAAGCAACGCCAAAGATCAAAAATTGACCACTTGATGAAAAAAATGACTCCAATTCCAATCCAAAATTCACAACCCGCACATCGAATTCATACAATTTCAAATAAATCCAGCGCTATAAACTTGTCATCAAGAACAATCAACCCGCAGGAGGAGAAAATCCTTGAATTAGGCCTTAACTACGCCGTCCCCACAAAACTCCACCAGCAATCACTCGTTGAAGCTGGAATCAACATCGAACTATGTCTTCAAGATTTCGAAATCACTGACCAAGCAAAGAACAAGATTAGATCGGATATTGCTGCTATAATAAATCAGAGCGAAATAAAGAAGACCCAAAAAGAAGAAAAAAAAATTATGCATGGATTGCACTACAAACCAAATCCATAAAAAGTGACCCTTCGATTGTGATCTGCCCTGCGGACAAAGGAAATGCGACCGTCATCCTTAATAAAATCGACTACAACTCCAAAATTGAAACCCTTCTGTCCGATCCTGTATATGAAACCTTATCAAATGATCCCACACCAGCTCTAACAAAAGAACTTAAGGATACCTGCAAAAGTTTACTTAAGCTGAAAAGGATATCAAAATCAGAATATGACACAATTACCAGAGGAAATCACAAGTGTCCAAACTTCTACGGCCTCCCAAAAATTCACAAGCAAGGAGCCCCACTACGCCCAATAGTTGATTTCAGAAACTCACCCCTATACAAGTTATCGTTCTTCCTCAACAAAATTCTCAAATCAATCACCGGTCAATTTCCCACTTCTCTAAAGAACTCCTACAGTTTCGCAAAGGACATTAAAGGATTTCGTGTCCCTAAAAACTACAAACTCGTTTCTTTTGACGTGGTGTCCCTTTTCACCAAGGTACCTTTACAAGAAACCCTTAATCACATAAAGACTCGACTATCAGAATCCAAAATTTGGCAAAAGTACACCAGCCTCACAAAAGAAGACCTTATCAAACTGATATCGTTATGCATGAAATCAAACTATTTCTCATGGAACTCGCGGTTTTACAAGTTATCGGACGGAACACCAATGGGAAGCCCATTATCCCCAATTTTTGCCGAATTCTTTCTACAATCTCTAGAAAAAGAAATAATCTTAAACAACCCTGACATCGAATATTTCAAGAGATATGTCGACGACTGCTTAGCATGCATCCATAAAGATTACATAGAACAACTTTTGAATGTCATGAACTCATATCATCCTTCTATCCAATTCACCATAGAGGAAGAAGAAAATGATCAGATACCGTTTTTAGATGTACTACTTATCAAAGACGACAATGGCGCAATCCATCGAAATATATACCGGAAACCAACACACACCGGCCGTTATTTGAATTATGAATCTTACCACCATTACTCCCACAAATTATCAGTAATAGATGCTTTAGTTTTCAGAGCACTCATCATTTGTGACCAAGAATTCTTAGATAAAGAATTGGACCATATCGAGATGACGCTGATAAAAAACAACTACCCCAAGTCTCTAATCAAGATGCGTATTGAGAAAATGAAAATGAAAATTGCAAATTCCAATCAAACTTCAGACAACCCCAATAATGCCAAAAAACCGCGGATGATCCTGCCATATATGGGTCCAATTACATACAAACTGACCCAGTACTTACGACGAACACTTAATTGCGAATTTGGCTATATTCCTGGAAGAAAACTGAAGAATATGTTATGCAACCACAAAGAGAAAACTCAAGCAGATGCAGTTGGTGTCTACAAAATTACATGTTCCTGTTCCAGTACCTACATTGGAGAAACTTCTCGTCCATTCAAAATACGAATCAAGGAGCACATTAAAGACACCGAAAAACGAAAAGAAAGCTCAGCAGTTGCAACACACAAGATAGAATATCCACAGCATGATATAAATTTTAACTCAGCAAGTTTAATTTTTCATGAACCAAGATATTTTCACAGAAAATTCATGGAGGCGTTGTACATACAAAAAACCCCCAACACAATGAATAAGGACTCCGGCATGGAAATTAACCCAATTTGGTCGTCGCTAATGGTTCCATTTCTCAAACAACCATAAATTATTTCGATTTTAATTTTCAAGTCCCTGGGAATAATAATAATTGATTTGTAATATTTTCCGTCCTGATGACGATCGCAATCGAGATCGAAAGCTTGACACCATTTAGAAAACAATAAAGTTTTTCTCATTTGTACATCCACAATGTCCGTAAATAATATTTCTCCTAATTTAGAAACCTGTTCATCGCCGTGCGCTATTCAAAAAATGAAGACTTTATTGCATCTAAAAAAACAGTAATTTTTAGGTTTGCAAAGACAAGAGGTTAGAATTTTGATTTTATCTTCAATGAGAAAATAGAAATTAAAAATAGGTAAAAAATAACAGGTAAAAATTAAATATTTTCTCATGGAAGAAACATATCATAATTCGAACCTCCTAACTTTGCAAACCGATTTTAGATGGAATAAAATCTTCGGGTTTCGATTGGTAAAAACCAAATTGACCAGGGCAGCGGGAAAAAGTGGGAAAAAGGCATTTTTACCACCCACCCAAAATGGGTAGGAAATGGGAAAAATGGAAGAAATGGGAAAAACTCTGGTTTTGGGGCAATCCGAAACAACTTCTTTAAAACTTAAGATTTTCAAAATTTGACTTCGTATTCGTATTCTCCATCAAATTCTCAGAAAATTAGTTGGTAATACGGTTCAATTCGAACAATCTCTAAAATTAACATGTATTCATATGGGAAAATTAGAAAATAATTAAAACTGTTCAAAAGTTCCCGTATTACATATCAAAATTTTCAGAAATTCGTGGAGATCACGAATATGAAGTCCAATTCCGGAAATATTGATTATTAAAGAAGTTAGCTTTCCCCATAACTAAATACATGGGCAGCCATATTTCCCATTTTGGACGGTAAAAACCGTTTTTCCCGGTTTTTACCACTTTTTCCCACCTGCCGCGGTAAAAAATCGTTTTTGACGGAAAAAACGAAACCCCGTAATCATTTAGAAACGCATGGAGTTGAACAGGTTTCAAAATCACCATTTGAATAGGAAAGTTGAGACACCAAAATGAATTTTTTGAAAATTTCAAATTCAAAACCTGCATGGGAACCTTAACTGATTAACAATTAAATTCAACTTATCATTACAGATCTTTGTGCACCATTGATATTCCATTGAGAGAAAGTAACCGACTAAAACAATTACAAACGATTCATGATCTACTGGTCGATTTTGAAAAGTCCGAGATTTCATCAGCTAATGAGGGAGATGCATCTGGATTTACTTACCCCTAATTTTATCGTCGCGAGGGTCAAGCTTGACAAAAATGCGTATGCAACCATCTTTAATCCATTCATATTCTCGCCGTTGGACTACAAAATTCTCGGGCCTAGAGTGACAAACCTGTATTTCTTGGTTCATTTAGAAGACAACTTGGATCGCAGAGGTAAGACCTACATAAAAATTAAAAAGGGATTTCAGGTCAAGATTTAACTACGTAACTGCATTAAGGTGGCATTGCATGCGGGTTTTGAGTTTGTATTGTTATGTCTCAACTTTCCCTTTTTCCATATTTTCAAATGGGGGTTTTGAAATGAGCGTTTTTTAAAGTGATGATTGTAATGCATGTAAGTAAAAATCGATAATTTGTAAATTTGCAAATTTAGGAGGCCATATTTTTTTTATTCCAGGTAAAAATAGAAGTAAAATAGATACAAAATAACAACTCAAAATTGAATATTCTCCTGGAAGAAATAGTTAAAATTCTAATTTCCTAACTTTGTAAACCTGAAAATTATCGATTTTTAGATGCAATAAAGTCTTCAATTTGTAAAAAAACGTACATATGTCGATGAACAGGTTGACGCAATAAAATCTTCATTAAAAACGCATAGAAATGAACACGTTTCAAAATCGCCATTTAAATAAATGAAAGCTAGGAAAGTTGATACACAAAAATTCAAATTCCAAACCCGCATGCAATGGACCCTTAAATTTATAAATTTACTCTTGACATGAGCTGACTTTGTAAACATTTTCGTAAACGTATTTTAGTAAACAATGTCGAGTTCCCTTAATATTTAAATCAGAGGTCGACGCCGACGATCCTACCCCGCCGGTAACATCTTACCCGACAATTCTAATTTCCTATTCCTACAAAATTGGGGCGCCACCGCTACAAAATTGATCGGCTTTGACCTCAGGTTTAAATGTCACAAACAAGCTGCTTATCAAATCTCACTAATACCCTAATTTTTAAGAAGTCGTGCTGACCCCACTTACTCGAGGGGATCAAGTGGATGTGAGCGTGTATCTGTGCGATGAGGCATTCAGAAATGAAGAGGACGCTGATTTATACACTACAATTCTACACGAGGAGTTGCACCTCTTGGTCAAAGAATTGGAAAAAACTCATAAATTAGGAAAAGTAGGATTTGAATAAAATTTAAACTTGAAAATTTTACAGTTTTCATCATTTTAAATTTAAAAATTCATCCCATAGGAAAATCATTTTTTAAATAAAATTCTTCTTACAATCTGTAATCTACAATCCAATCAATGCAGATTAACTCAAATGTTTTATTTTCAATTGCAAATCTATGCGCAATTAATCATTAAATTCAATAAGTTTCTGACATTGACATGTATCATGCAGGATGAAGAGTAAAGGTCGACGTTGCGAAATCTGTCCATGTGTGGCACTCAGATCTGACACGAATTATGTACAATTACCATTGTTAAAAATAAAGTAATCTAAATCTTTCTACGCGTTGGAACTGTTTGCAGTTATAAAAAAACAATTCGACGAAGATCACGTACGTCAAATCACCCAATCCACTTAAAACAAGGCCGAATCGATTGTTTCGGCAAGCTTATCATTCATCCGGTACGATTTCCAACTTATCAAACAATAACGTTTCTTTACGAAATCTGTCCCACCCTGTCATTATAAAACCTGGTGTGTGTAGCCTATTGTTGTACCAATGGTCAGAAAGGCTTATTTTGACAAAGGTTAAAGTCAATTTTTTAGGGAATAATAATAATGTCGCGCATATTTCTTTCCTACGTGGGTCTACTTTCTTTGGGGTGGAATGTGGCTTGGGGTGCAAACGAGAGTAAGTATATATAAACCCCGTTTCACGTTACTAGATTTCGTCACGTGGAGTACATTGGCCGAACGAGCCGAATTAATTTATTATGTTATACCAGTTATTTTTATTTCGGCGTTTAAATGATTCAATTTCGTATGCTTTTCACGCCAAAATAAAAATAACCAGTGTCAAATAATAAAATAATTCTGCTAATGTACTCAAGGCGGTAAATCAAGTAGCGTGAAACAGAGTTTAGTTTCATTGGGGGTATTCATTACGAGCTCGCATGTTCGCATCGTGACATATTTGAATCCTAGCCTTAGAGATGCTCAAGCTAGCAAATGAATTTTCAGGCCAGTTCTTTTGCTAACTTGTGACCTTCGACTTTTGCTAATGATACGAACTTGTACCCAAATTATTTCGCATGGTCTCAGGTAAATTACTATATTTACTTCCCTTCTCCAGCAAGTGGGATATACACGAGTCCAGGGTATCCCAGTCCATTTCCATCCTACTCAACCCAGAACACCAGAATAGAACTGCCAGGCACAAATACCACCGTTTTCTTACATTTCGAGAAACTAGATTTAAGATCTACCAGTAGTAGCAATCCGGCCTTATTAAGGGTAAGTTACTTACTTTGAAGACTAAAATGTACGGACTTAAGGAGTCGATGTATTGTGAATACTCTCGAGAATACTTTTAATTAATTTCTGTATAGGTGTACGATGGGACTTCATCAAGTTCTGAAAAAATAGCAGAGTTTACGGGAAACACAGTCTCATTTGACGTCGAATCTACAACCAACAACATGTACTTGACTTTTAGTTCTAATTCTTATCCTGGTGCGGCGGGGTCTGGAGTTTACGCGACATACAGTTAAGTCACACAAAGAATATTTTAAACCAAGAAGCCTCACCACTTGCACCGTTTGCGTCTGCTACACCCACTTGAAAGCGTGAAATAAACGAAAGAGAAGCTTTTAATGTGCTCTAGGTTGCACAAAAAATTTATTTTTGCTCAGGTTCTCATAATTTTCGCACGTTTTAGTCCCCCATAGTTACAGTAAGGTATTAAATATCTAGCTTAATTGTTTAGATTTTTTTCAAATGAATTTTGAACGCGTTCGAAAATTCAAAAAATTCATGAGATTTTTTAATTAGTTTGATGAAATCAGTATCTGTTGTCTCAGTCTCGCGGGTTTTCCTTGAATCGATAATTTTATTGGGTTTGGTCTCTTGAGGGGAACAAATGTAGCCCTAAGGAAATCCACTTTGAGAGTTATGCGTCACTGAGGTGTAACGTGTAACTCCGTGATTTTCTCACTTCAACTTGGATTCATGATTCAACACGTTAAAAGAATACAACAGTTACACCAATGATGCGATGTACAAACTTCCAAATTAAAAATAATTACGTCTATTGTCTCTAGCTACTGTCAATAATCACTACAATCTTTCCGATGGAACTGGCTCAATTTCAACGCCAAATTATCCCAATCCATATCCGGATTCAGAAGTCATTCACTGGACTATCCGACAACCCACATATGCATTCACAAGGGTAGAAATTCACGATTTTGAAACCGAAGAGTGTTGTGATAGTTTGTCCGTTCGAAACGGCCCGACTTCTTCTTCAGCTGAATTGCAGTTACTTGCCGGCGACAATGGTTACACCCCGTTCACCTTCATGTCCACCGAGAAAGCTATCTTTTTGCGCTTTATATCAAATGGATTTTCAAGTGGGAGGGGCTTCAATGCGACATATCACCCAGGCAAGATAAAGATACCATGAATATCTATGCCAAAGTTACATGGACTTTCTTAAATAACTAAGAAATTGTTATCAGGTTTTCGTTACATATTGGGAGGCTCCTCTGGAGAGGTTAAATCGCTCAATTTCCCCTCCAACTACACCACTTACCTGGCTGAACAGTGGGTTATCACTGTCCCCTTTACAAACATGAGCGTCCTATTGGAATTCAAATCATTTGATACAGAGCTTGGTGATCTCCTCACGGTATAAAATAAATCAGACAGTCACCAACGTTTAAAAATTAATATTTGTTTTATACTACTGGGTTGGAAATGTATGGTTACGCGAAACCAATTTCCTAAACAATTATGGGAAATTTCATAAAATTGAGCTCATTTGTACCGAAATTTTAGGCTTGATGGAGAGCCAACGGTTCAGCTGTTTTTACAACGCGCCCTTTGAACCATTGGCTAGCCAACCATTCCACTACCTTTATAACAAAGAAGCGACTCGTGTTGTCTACTTAATATACAGAGTCTATGATTTATACAGATTCGGAATGGGGATAGGGATACGAGCCCGATTGTCGGACAGTACTCGGGTAGCCAACTTCCCCCCATTTACATTTCTTCCGCTAATAAACTTTTTGTAAGTTTCGTTTCTCGGGATGGAGCGACAAATCGCGGAATTTTTGCGACTTATTTAGCTGGTATGAATTCGTAAATACTTAAAACTGTTAATTTTCCTGCATATCTTGACAATCCTATTTTAATCTATAGTTTACCGCTCGGACTACACAACGACGACCCAAGCACCCATCTGCACGGAGGATGGCGTTTATCGAATCCCGTTTCCCGGATTTTGCGAAAAATACTATCAATGTGTAAATTACCATGCGTACGAACAGTCTTGTGCACCGGGTATGTTCTTTGACCCTGCAATGTCGGAGTGCAACTTTGCCGACTTGGTTGACTGCCCTTGGTTCACGACCTTCCCAACGACGGAACCTTCAGTCTGTCCACCAGACGGGATAGAATTCATCCCTATCCCAGGTATTTAATGTATAATAAATAATTCTACCTTGCTCTTTAGGTATTTACTCACATATTCTAATTTCAGGGGACTGTACATCTTATATTTTGTGCGCCGAGGGCATTCCACAAGTACAGGGTGCCTGAATGGTACCCTCTTCAACCCGGTAACGAGACGGTGCGAGCCTGCCGAGAACGTTGAGTGCGAAATCATCTGTCCAGAAGAGGGCGTTGTAAATGTTCCAAAACCAGGTATTAACTTATCTTGAAGGTCAATTGATGCATAAAGAAAGTTAAGGAGGCGACTATGAAAATATACTCGTACACGACGGATACATGACATATTTTACAATAATCAGAGGCGTGGAAAATACATGCAATGCAGTTCATGCATTTTTCGCAAGAGTTTTTCAGGTATTTTGCATGCAAAATGCAAAATTCAAAATATTTAACATGACTTTACAGATATAAAATTACGGGAAATAACTTAAATCTCAAGCAATTATGCTTGCATTATTGTCCAGGACAATTTGTCGGCCTAATTTAATATTTACCTCAGCATTCTTTCTCTCCAATTTTAAAATCCGTATTTTTATCCCGACTTGAATTTAAAGTTATTTGTAAAGGAAATAAGCAAGATGCAAAGAATTGACGCAAACTTTGCAGACATTTTTGTAAAAAAAAATTCTATGCATTTTCATCTCAAAAATGTGTACTGAATTTATGGCGTGATGGGACGTTTGAAGTATAAGAAGCTCTCATCGTCGGCTATTTTGAATTTTCAAACAAAATTTTCCACACACCGACCAATAATGTAATTTGTTTTAGGATCATGCGTCGAGTACGTCATGTGCGCGGAGGGTACCCCAATCCCTCAACGGTGTCCGGATGGCACACTGTTCGATCCTATCGATTTGCGATGCAAGCCAGCAGATGAAGTAGTTTGTCAATAACTTTCCCTTTGACATTTCTTTTACTACTTTATTAAAGGAGAACACTACAGAAAAATTGACCTGTAAGTTCCCAAAATTTCCGCATTTGTGACAACTTTAATTTTGTGTCAATTTTTTGTCATTATCCATTTTGCGAATACTTATGCAATAAATACACATATATGTATGCAATCAATATTTTTTATAATTTCTATTTTTATAAAAACACAGTCTTTGAAAACGGGTATTAGACAAGTATGGCTTTGCAGACACTGGTAATAACAGGTATTATCGTTTAGTAATGTTGTGGTAATGACAAATTTATCATTTACAAAAAACTTCTATGAATCGGTTTTTACCAAATCAATAGCAGTAATGAGTATATATATAACTTACCACATTTTTAATAGTGCGCATAAACGTGAAATTTAATTTCCAAAGTTTAAGTGCAGGGTGTTTTTTTCAGTTTCCAAATTAATACAAAAAAATGATGACCAAGTTTTTGAAAGTCGACAAAATTTATGTTCAATTCACTAGAGCATCATAAACATTACAAGTGTCCCATCCCATCCGTTAAAAATTCACGCATACAAGCTAAGTTGAAGTTGAAGCTAAATTTAAAAATTAGTATCCTTAATTCCACAGAAATGTCATATTATAAGAAAATGCTTCAAAAAATTGAAGAAGTTGAAATTCGAATTAAATATTTTTGTAATTTGAATAAATAAATACATAGAGTAATAGATTAATTGAAATGCTAATTACAATTGAAAATAGATTTCCAAATGGAATTAAATTGAATTTGTAGCGTTAAAGCGGATCGAAGTTAGAGTAGAAATATAAAATTATGTTGAATCTCGTGTTTCGTTTAAAAGTAAACGTATTTTGATTTCAAGGATGCGATACAATAGCTAAAATAAAAAAATTGGTAATTAGGTAACCTGACTTTCACTTCTTTTGATAAAATTACCAATTTCAACTTAGGCAAGTTTAATTATTAATTTAAATTTAGACCTAAATTTATATTAATCATTTAAAATATAATTTAAAATATTAAAAGCGAAAAATTATGTTCTTTTTGCCATTTCGAAATTGTGAGAGCAAGAAACTTTAATGTCACCAATGCCAAAAAAATTAAACGAACCATGCCCGTACAAATTTGTATTTAACGTTCGCCGAGTTATAATTTTTAAAAACTTTCATTAATTTTTCATGTTAAAAACTGGAAAATAGTTTGACAATAAAATACTAAAAACTGAAATTTTCACGAGGAAAATAACATGAAATAGGGCGATTTCTTAATTAATCAAATATTAAGACAAAATCGCACTGCTACAAAATATACAAATCACTTGCACTGATTGAGCTTAAATGATTTTTTCAACATTTTCATATACTTTTCCGGGTTTTTGGTAGATGTTATTGAACGTTTGAAAACATTTTTGTACACCAATTTCGTGTAAGCGTTTTCAGCAGCAGAAACATTAATCTAATCTATAGACTTCTAGACATCATTTTAATGTTACTAATTTCTTTAAAAAATCATACCGGCGTCAAGTTAACAGGAAACTCGCGATTTTATCAGACCGCTAAAAGAAATAAAAAAGTTGAACACAATTTATCTTCTAATTGCTACACTTTTAAAGTACTATTCATAAATATTAGGAAATTTATTGAAAAAAATGCCTCGAAATAGAAACCAGCCGGATATCACAGATTACTATTTAGCACATTCCTTAAAAAGATCTTGTAAAAAAGATCTTGTGTCTACGTACCTACATCCAAGTTCTTAATTTACTTTTTCACCAAAATTCATTACTGGCATGAAAACATCACATTACGTACAAATTTGTCATCATATTAACCAATTATTTTTAAAAACAGTTCAGAAATGGAGACCAAGCTTTTTAATAAATTATTATGCTACCACATCTGTAATTTATTTCAAAATTGTTACTTTTCACAAAATTCGACGTTATAACTACCCGGCACTCGTTTACCCGGCAAATACTTGGCTGGAGGTAAATATCCCCAAAGGAAATTGGTCGATGCATGACGGGCAACATTTTCCGGAAGCCTGTTTCAAGAATTGCGTAACTTTATTCCTTGGTATGCTCCATGAATAGTGTGAATTAATTCTGTACATTTATCCTGGCAGACGTTCCTAAAGATCCATGTAACGCGATGGGAAAAATTCGGCGTTATAACTACCCGGCACTCGTTTACCCGGCAAATACTTGGCTGGAGGTAAATATCCCCAAAGGAAATTGGTCGATGCATGACGGGCAACATTTTCCGGAAGCCTGTTTCAAGAATTGCGTAAATTCTGTTCCCTGGTATGCTCCATGAATAGTGTGAATTAATTCTGTACATTTATCCTGGCAGATGTTCCTTAAGATCCGTGTGACGTGATGGGAAAAATTCGGCGTTATAACTACCCGGCACTCGTTTACCCGGCAAATACTTGGCTGGAGGTAAATATCCCCAGGGGAAATTGGTCCATGCATGACGGGCAACATTTTCCGGAAGCCTATTTCAAGAATTGCGTAAATTCTGTTCCCTCGTATGCTCCATGAATAGTGTGAATTAATTCTGTACATTTATCCTGGCAGATGTTCCTAAAGATCCATGTGACGCGATGGGAAAAATTCGGCGTTATAACTACCCGGCACTCGTTTACCCGGCAAATACTTGGCTGGAGGTAAATATCCCCAGGGGAAATTGGTCGATGCATGACGGGCAACATTTTCCGGAAGCCTGTTTCAAGAATTGCGTAAATTCTGTTCCCTGGTATGCTCCATGAATAGTGTGAATTAATTCTGTACATTTATCCTGGCAGATGTTCCTAAAGATCCGTGTGACGTGATGGGAAAAATTCGGCGTTATAACTACCCGGCACTCGTTTACCCGGCAAATACTTGGCTGGAGGTAAATATCCCCAGGGGAAATTGGTCCATGCATGACGGGCAACATTTTCCGGAAGCCTATTTCAAGAATTGCGTAAATTCTGTTCCCTCGTATGCTCCATGAATAGTGTGAATTAATTCTGTACATTTATCCTGGCAGATGTTCCTAAAGATCCGTGTGACGTGATGGGAAAAATTCGGCGTTATAACTACCCGGCACTCGTTTACCCGGCAAATACTTGGCTGGAGGTAAATATCCCCAGGGGAAATTGGTCCATGCATGACGGGCAACATTTTCCGGAAGCCTATTTCAAGAATTGCGTAAATTCTGTTCCCTCGTATGCTCCATGAATAGTGTGAATTAATTCTGCACATTTATCCTTTCAGATGTTAGTAAAGATCCATGTGACGTGATGGGAAAAATTCGGCGTTATAACTACCCGGCACTCGTTTACCCGGCAAATACTTGGCTGGAGGTAAATATCCCCAGGTGAAATTGGTCTATGCATGACGGGCAACATTTTCCGGAAGCCTGTTTCAAGAATTGCGTAAATTCTGTTCCCTGGTATGCTCCATGAATAGTGTGAATTAATTCTGTACATTTATCCTGGCAGACGTTCCTAAAGATCCATGTAACGCGATGGGAAAAATTCGGCGTTATAACTACCCGGCACTCGTTTACCCGGCACTCGTTTACCCGGCAAATACTTGGCTGGAGGTAAATATCCCCAGGTGAAATTGGTCTATGCATGACGGGCAACATTTTCCGGAAGCCTGTTTCAAGAATTGCGTAAATTCTGTTCCCTGGTATGCTCCATGAATAGTGTGAATTAATTCTGTACATTTATCCTGGCAGATGTTCCTAAAGATCCATGTGACGCGATGGGAAAAATTCGGCGTTATAACTACCCGGCACTCGTTTACCCGGCAAATACTTGGCTGGAGGTAAATATCCCCAAAGGAAATTGGTCGATGCATGACGGGCAACATTTTCCGTAAGCCTGTTTCAAGAATTGCGTAACTTTATTCCTTGGTATGCTCCATGAATAGTGTGAATTAATTCTGTACATTTATCCTGGCAGATGTTCCTAAAGATCCGTGTGACGTGATGGGAAAAATTCGGCGTTATAACTACCCGGCACTCGTTTACCCGGCAAATACTTGGCTGGAGGTAAATATCCCCAAAGGAAATTGGTCGATGCATGACGGGCAACATTTTCCGGAAGCCTGTTTCAAGAATTGCGTAACTTTATTCCTTGGTATGCTCCATGAATAGTGTGAATTAATTCTGTACATTTATCCTGGCAGACGTTCCTAAAGATCCATGTAACGCGATGGGAAAAATTCGGCGTTATAACTACCCGGCACTCGTTTACCCGGCACTCGTTTACCCGGCAAATACTTGGCTGGAGGTAAATATCCCCAGGTGAAATTGGTCTATGCATGACGGGCAACATTTTCCGGAAGCCTGTTTCAAGAATTGCGTAAATTCTGTTCCCTGGTATGCTCCATGAATAGTGTGAATTAATTCTGTACATTTATCCTGGCAGATGTTCCTAAAGATCCATGTGACGTGATGGGAAAAATTCGGCGTTATAACTACCCGGCACTCGTTTACCCGGCAAATACTTGGCTGGAGGTAAATATCCCCAAAGGAAATTGGTCGATGCATGACGGGCAACATTTTCCGGAAGCCTGTTTCAAGAATTGCGTAAATTCTGTTCCCTCGTATGCTCCATGAATAGTGTGAATTAATTCTGCACATTTATCCTTTCAGATGTTAGTAAAGATCCATGTGACGTGATGGGAAAAATTCGGCGTTATAACTACCCGGCAAATACTTGGCTGGAGGTAAATATCCCCAGGGGAAATTGGTCCATGCATGACGGGCAACATTTTCCGGAAGCCTATTTCAAGAATTGCGTAAATTCTGTTCCCTCGTATGCTCCATGAATAGTGTGAATTAATTCTGTACATTTATCCTGGCAGATGTTCCTAAAGATCCATGTGACGCGATGGGAAAAATTCGGCGTTATAACTACCCGGCACTCGTTTACCCGGCAAATACTTGGCTGGAGGTAAATATCCCCAAAGGAAATTGGTCGATGCATGACGGGCAACATTTTCCGGAAGCCTGTTTCAAGAATTGCGTAAATTCTGTTCCCTGGTATGCTCCATGAATAGTGTGAATTAATTCTGTACATTTATCCTGGCAGATGTTCCTAAAGATCCATGTGACGCGATGGGAAAAATTCGGCGTTATAACTACCCGGCACTCGTTTACCCGGCAAA